CATTTGGTGTTCTGCACCGCCTCGCAAATAAAAAGGATACAAACGCTGCAGAACCGTGTATTACGGTTAATAACAAACGCGCCCTGGTTCGTAAGGAATGAACAGCTCCACCATGAAATATCGTTGACATCGGTAGAAGACGAACTAAAAAAGAGATACCCGATGCTGCTTGCCAAAGCTGACTCCCACCCGAATCCGGCAATTGCACAAATTCCAGGGAATATGCCTCCACCCCGCCAACAAAGACGGCTAAAAAGAAAGCATCATACGGACTACAGATTATAAATATGTGTTAATGTAAATAAGTGCTAGTGTAAACGTGCGCCTGACGTTATATGATTATAAATAAAAACAAAAAAGTAGGTTAATTTATTTATTAATGAGATATTTATTTATCTCAAATTATTATACTCCAATGAATTATTGTGTGGACTGCCATAGGACAGGACCCACCCTCAAATGTCATGTTAATCACACTTTTTGTGTGTGCTGTATATCAGTATTTATTAGCAAAACATAATGTGTATATACACAAGAGTTAAATAAAATAATTTAAAAAAAAATAGGCCCTGATGATGGCACTATAAGTTGCCGAAAGCTTGGTGAACCGAACAATTAGTCTTTTCCTTTCTTCGCCTATCTATTGACCCCCATGAAGATTAAAACTCCACATAACACGTTGTATTCCTCATTATAGTAAAAATTCGTACAAAATAGACTACTGTGTCTAGAGTAGTACATTCCCGTATTAAAAAATTTGGTTTATTGAGAGTTATTCCCTTGACGGGTTTTAAATGAATTGTAAAACGCTCTCAAATAATTCAATTTGTATTTTATTGTCCAAGGGAATAAATGCGATGATAAAAGTCGAAGGTTTTCGATTGTTTAAAAGGCAGAAAGAATTGTTTCATTTTCATATAATTCCCTAAGAGATAAATTACATCACACTGTTAGTAAAGTTGCATTTGCAATTCAAATAGTTTGTAATTCCGTTGCGACAACGAGTGGGGTACATGTGAAGCACTGCCCTACCCATTTCGAAGATTGCCTAAACATCAATCGAGAGCGGATTCGTATTGAATACCTCTCGAATACATATTTTTAACAAGGCCGATATTTTTATGAAGGCCTTATTTTCACTGGAGATAAATTTAATTGCTCGGCAATGATTACGACCAATTTTTTTTATAGTTGAAAACGCAATTTCTCCATTTCGCCACAGTTTGATTTGTTCGTTATGGTCAATTTGCCGTCGAGTGAGTTGTTTCACAATTTTAAGTAATTATGGTCTTGATCTCTAAATAAGCAGTTAATGTTAGTTAACATAACATAATTAACATTGTCTTTGTTTTCTTCCTATTCAAATTAAAAACCTATTATAAGAGAAGTTATCCGATAATTTGTCACGCCACCTCTCCTAAGCTCAGTTTGTTTATTGTAGTTATGTGTGTATATGTGAAAAAAGAGATAAAGTATGCGTATAGATATGTAAAATACAGCCTGCAATGCTCTCTCCCTAATCCAAACTTAGGTACGCTGAAAGTCCGAACAATCCAGCAATTCGAACTGGGAAAAATTCAAGAAGTAAGAATTTCAAAGGAACGAATGTAATTTATTTGACAATTAATTAAGGTTTTTAGTTGAGAAAAAGTCAGTGTCACGAGCAGGATTCGAACCCACGACCTTCGGCTAGATACGCCGCTACTCTACCACTTGCGCTATCGTGACTTCGATCCACTCGGGGAAGATCGTGGGTTCGAATCCCGCTCGTGACACTGACTTTTTCTCAACTAAAAACCTTAATTAATTGAAAGATATTAATTGGTCAAGCGGACTACGAAAACTAGTGAATATAATTTATTTGAATTCGTAGGTTGTATGCAAAAATGAGGTTCCTTCCTGTTCCCAAATATATTCAGGTGTATTTTAAGCTAATGAAAACAATCTTTTTTATAAAGTATTTTTTTTAAATATTAAAAACTTCACTTATAATATATAATTAAAATAGAAATATGGAAGGGGACGATGGCGGAATATAGACCCTCAATTGGGTTAATTGTATAATATAATAAAGTTTGGGTTGAGAATGAATGTATTTATTAGCGTGAATGTGTGATGTGACAGGGTCGATGGCGGAATATCGACCGTCAATTGGGTTAGTTGTATAATATAGTAAAGTTTGTGTTGAGAGTGAATGTATTTATTAGCGTGAATGTGTGATGTGACAGGGTCGATGGCGGAATAATGAGTACCCCATCGACACTCAATTGGATTACTGGTACAACATAGTAAAGTTTGTGTTGAGATTGAATGTATTTATTAGCGTGATTATGTGATGTGGCAGGGTCAATGGCGGAGTATCGACTCTCCATTGGATTAGTGGTATAATATAGTAAAGTTTGTGTTGAGAGGGAATGTATTTGTTAGCGTGAATGTGTGCTGTGACAGGGTCTATGACGGAATAATGAGTACCCCATCGACCCTCAATTGGATTAGTTGTTTAATATGAGTAAAGTTTGTGTTGAGAGGGAATGTATTTATTATCGTGAAAGTGTGATGTGACAGGGTCGATGGCGGAATAATGAGTACCCCATCGACACTCAATTGGGTTAGTTGTATAATATAGTAAAGTTTATGTTGAGATTGAATGTATTTATTAGCGTGAATGTGTGATGTGACAGGGTCGATGGCGGAATATAGATCCTCAATTGGGTTAGTTGTATAATATAGTAAAGTTTGTGTTGAGAGTGAATGTATTTATTAGCGTGAATGTGCGATGTGACAGGGTCTATGACGGAATAATGAGTACCCCATCGACCCTCAATTGGATTAGTTGTTTAATATGAGTAAAGGTTGTGTAAGAGTGAATGTATTTATTAGCGTGAATGTGTGATGTGAGGGAGTGGCGGAATATCGATTGCTTCATTGACATTCAATTAGGTTTGTTGCATTACATGGGTAAATAGAGATGGAGGAATATCGAGTACTCCAACACCCTTATTATCCACCCAGGGAGTTGTAGCCCACTCAATGTGGAACTACAGCGTTGTATAATGTGGTTAAGGCTCGGGGTCCTGAAAATGGGCACCTCGTGTCTGTGACCCCTCCCAACGCTTGGTTTCAAGGGGGTGTCCGGGCACAAAATAATGGTGCAGCCCCGAGGGCGTGGCAACCTCTCTAAAGCACAAGCTGTACTCCTGTCGACCTCGGGTTGGCATGGTCTGCGGGTGCCTTATCAGAGGCACACGAGGGTTAGGGTTCCAGATCCTGTCTGCATAGACGGGGGAGGGTGCTTAACCATCTGTACTATGGGGTAACAGAAATGTTCCAAAATCCAACCCCTGCTAAACTGGGAATGGATTCGTAGTGGTACGTGACGACGCCTCTGGCGGGAAGTTAGAGAACAGGCTGTCTTCTACCTGCGACTTTAGCACGACACTTGCGTATGATCACCGTTATACACTCGGCCTCTCGGCAGCGTATAAGCGTTGAGGACGCTATGATTATGTTGAAAAGTCCCTCGAATGCGTGAGTAGTGGCGGATGGGAATGGGTAGTGAATCGGTTGCTCCTACTCGAGTATGATTTGCAAGTAGGTGTAGGCTGAGCTCGACTGGAGGCTTTTAACGTAGGCGGTCTCCTCTAGGGGGTGGTTAGCAATTCCACTTTAAACAAAACCGCGGCCGGAGTGGATCCGCTAGTTTCTACGCTCGAGAAGCCCCAGTACTCTGGGAGGTAGAGTGGCCTTCTCTATCTAGGGAGTGCGTGGGAGGCCAGGCTGATGTATTTCGGCTTAGGTAGTGCGGCATACGGTCTGATGCTTAATGCAGACCCGACCACTCGGAATGGGCAAGCGGGGAGCGAGGTTGTTTTGGGCCTCCGGGGCTGAGCTGCCTCTACACCAATGATGCGGCAGTAACACCATTCTGTCGTATGTGGAGGTGTGCCAGCTCTCATCTTGAGAAACAAAACGTCCGATAAGGCCGAATAGGCTTAAAGTTAAAGATCCTCATTGTCCTTTTAAGGACGACCGAGTATACGGGAAAGCACCCTTATTGAATGAATAAATAGGAGTGAATGTATTTAAGGATGAACGTGAATACGAATGGTGCTGATTTGACCTAGCTGTTGATAGCACCTGGAGCCTAACCTCGGAGGCTGGACAAATAAGACTGAGGTCTGCCCCAGAATTGCCAACACCCGGGGTGGGTGATTCTCGAGTCTGCCGGCAATGTACTATAAATAGAAAAAGCTGGAATTGCCGGTGGACTACGAGGAGCGAATAGGCTCCACTAAATGTTTGTATGTATGTAGATGTACGGATTGGAGCTTATGTAAACCCAAATCCTAAAATAATAATAATAAAACATTTAACAAATAAAAACAAAAAAAGGTTAACAATGGTTAATGTTTTATGGTGTGGATAATAAGTAAAACTCTGGTTATAATAATAATAAAAATTAAAATAATAGAAAATAGTATTTGGTGAGGTACCCCTCGACCCTAATTATAGATTAGATTATTAATTTTGTGTGTAGGTCGATTTAGGAATATCGTGTACTCCACTGACTAATCAAAATGAGTGCAATGTAGATAGGTGTGTATTGTATTTATTTGTGCGACTGTATTATAGTTAGTTTCAGGCTAGATTATATTTTGCATGCTTTGGATGGAATGACCTAGCTGTCGAAAGCCCCTGTTGGAGCCTACCCCGTTGGTTGGGGGGTAGGTGAACTCTGAGGTATACAGCAAATCGGAGAAAATGAAAGTTCAAATATTTGGTGGACGCCTTCTACCTTTGGTCGTTATTTTCCAAATCCACATTGTACCAGACTTGTGCCGCATAATAAACCTCTTGTCTTCAGCACCCAACTCATATAATATAATAGTTTGAAGAAAAATGACAAGTGGAATTTTCACATTTTGGGATATTTCTTTCAGTGGGAAACTTTTAAATTCCTACGTTCAAATAGAATAAATTAAAGTGACCAAAGAAAAAAAAAAGATTTATATGATAGTTTAATTTTTAAATTAGCCTTGAAAAAGTGGAACTAGTCTTCCCCGCCTCCGGTAAGTTCTCTCAATGTGTAGTAAGCCACCTTGGCCACGTAATCCATCGCTTCGTAAGGTATGAGAAATTTATGTTTTCCCGTGTCAAATTCGTACTTGCTCTTTAACTATAAAAAATATTAATTTACTTATTATTTCTATAAACGTTGCCATGGGCTCTTACGTTGGGAAATTTTCTGATTTCTTTATACTCTTCACCTGTCAGGGCTGAGGTCGTGTATACCGTCACCTCGCATCCGTGGACACAAAGCTGCCTGGGGTTCTTCTCCGGTTTGATGTTGTACTGAGGGTTCTTCCAGCCGAACCCCTTGGCCATGTCCCGCAGCTTCAGGGTGTAGTAGTCTTCATCATACATCTCGACCGTACTGCACTGTTAAACAATTGTGGTCATCACCATCGTTTTTTCACCAGGGAGGTGCAGGGTGAGATATTTCTCAACCTACACAACCGAGTATGATTTTGCTTTCGATTTTAACTGTAAAAAAATGTATTTTCGATTCCGTTTTCAAATAATCGAGAAGCAACCGAACAAACGAAAAAGCAAAATAACATCGCAACCATGTCGAAATAAAATACATTCTTATCTGATGTTGAGATAAAAAGGCTGGGATTATCAATAGAAGAACAGCCATCTACTCGGACAGCCAGGAGGCACTGAAGGCAATTACCGCATCGATGGTAAAGTCCAGAGTCGCTTGGGACTGCATTAGAGTCTGTCAGACATTGTGGAAAATAACAAATCCGGGTACATGGACATACAGGGCAGAGAAGCAACGAAGAGGCTGATAAATTCACCAAGGAAAGTTCAATGAGGACACCTGAACCTTACCACGATGGCAAAAACGCGGATACATTAGACAATCGATTGATAATAAGTCGTCCGCTCAATTGGAATGTAGACTAGCACAGAGGCACGCGACAAAGTTGATCAAAGGACCGTCGCTGAAACTAACAGTACAACTACTAAATCTAAGACGTGCTCTGACTAGAATAATAGTTGGATTGCTAACTAGACACTGCAGACTTCGGAGGAATATGTATAGACTCGGAGTGGCAAAAACAAGCCTGTGCATATATTGCCAAGATGAAGAAGAAACAGCGGAACACATCCCCTGATAGTGTGTAGGCCAATGGAGGTGATTCTTAACCCTGGGAGAGGAAAAGCCAGGGCCTGAAAGATCACACGGGAGCCCTTGAAAAAGCTTTGGGTTCTGGTAAAAAGCCTCAAGGTTAACAAGGAGCTCTAGACAAAAAACGGAGATGCACGATAGACAACTGGTTGACTACTTGCAATACTGATTGCAGTGCACGGGTCATAAAGAGGCCACTGCAGTATAATTTATCCATCTTCATACCAAGCTTTGGGTTTTTTGTTAAGCCTTCTTTAGGGCTCTACAGAAAGGCAATTATAATTGTTTTAACAGCATATGCTCACAATAAATACAATGTTTGCAATGCAATAAGAGAGAGAGAGAGAGAGAGAGAGAGAGAGAGAGAGAGAGAGAGAGAGTGAGCGCCGTGTAAACGTCTTAACCGTTAAGTACACCAGCGCCCTTTATTATTTATTGGACTTATACTCCGAAAGGTTGTCACTCCCAGATGTGCTGACCCTAGGGTCTATACGTCAGGGGAGTTCACCCACCCCTTTATGCGGCCGGGTCGCTAGTATCCCCCTTAAGCCAGATGCCCAGGAAATCGTCGATTCCCAACCAACGGGGGCTGTCTGGAGATGCACAAAATAGACCGATACTGGTCGCGGTGCACAGGTCGTAAAAAGGCCGGCTCCTATATAATCTAATCTATGTCATGTACAAAGCAATTTCCTGTTCTGTCGATAGTCCAGCTTTTCAGCTGACAACTTATCCACAAAGACGCTTTTGTACGCTTGTTCTTCCTGGAGCTCGGCATACACCTCCAATACCGCCTCGCTGCATATTTTGCAGAACATTGGACGTTTATAAACTGCCTATGTGCTGTGATGATCTTCAATGGAGAATGTGAAGGATCGGATTCCTAAGACACGCGAGACATGTTTTCGACGTATCACCTAAGCATTGATATACTCTGCTGAGGACTATGATGTAGATACATAGCATAGTTAAGCATATTTTAAGTCACTAAACTAGATACCTGAGACTAGAGTTTTTATAACTATCCCTTTAATTTAAATTGTCAAATAGTTCGGAGATATTCATTTACTAGTCAGTAGGTTATAGCACAGCCGAAACTCCTTAGTAAATACTATAAATATTATAAATTATTTATAAATAAACTATTCTCGCATACTTACAGATTTTTTCTGACCCCCTTCATATTGTTGAACTTCCATTTTTCCAGTTATAATGCCGAAAACTATTGCCTAACAAACGGCAAAGGTGGTAATGTGGGAAAATGAACATTTACGTTCCTAATAAAATTTATTTCACATGTGTTATTAATCAATAAAAACGTAGCAAAATGAACTGGACGCACTTTTGTCCCCGTTAAAACAAGCTAATTTCACTTATTCGCTTGAATAAAAACGATATATATTACAAACTGGGTGGAAATGTTACGATTCGAGGGGCGAAATGTCACCGATGTTAGAAACTGGGTCCAGTCGGACTGGCAACATCCTTGTTTTCTCGTTCCCCTTGACTCACTGATAATTCGGATTTTACAAAAATATAATATATTCACCTACCGTACAAATACTGAAAATTACACTATTGAACCGATTAGGTAACAAGACTTTAAATACTAGCCGCAAAGAATAATTGATATTGAAGAGAACTTAAAAAATATAAGTATTATGCGGTCCGCGGTTCGACTTTATGCGTTGTCTGTGGAATTTACATGAAATTGTTATTATATAAAAATTTGAACAAGTATTGCAAAGATATTTCTATCGAGGGGGTTTGCTAAACACACCGTTATAACAAACATGGTATATTTAGATAGACATTTATTTTTATATTTACTTTATGTTTATTTTTACGAGCCAAAAACCTATTTTTTTTAAAGCGTATGCAAAAGTAAAGAGAATTTTTTTTTTTTTTTTTTTTTGACGGGCTTCCGACATCTAGGTCATTTCAGCCCCCAACTAAGTCTATATTCTATTTACACTTTCAAACACTACATTCATACACATAAATACATCCATACAGTACACACATTCCGTTTGGTCGGTGGAGTACTTTTATAAATATTCCGCCATCGACCCCGAACACACACTCTTACCCTCTCTACGTTCGAGGGGCAATGATGGCGTTATATTTCACCCTCACCCCTCGCCATTCACGCTAATAAATACATGCACTCAGACAAAACATATAGACACAACACATAAGACATATTATATACAATTAAAAAAAAAATTCCCCTAAAAAGCGGAACAGGGGACTGAAACTCGCTAGTGTTCGAGAACTCTTCTTAAGTCTGGCGGCATGCCTACACGCTCTCTCTATGGAGCCAAGGCATGACACGTCTCTATTATGTGGGACACATCGAGCAACCTTTCTCTACATAAGGGGCACCTGTGCGGGCTTTGGCCCAAAAGCAGGTGCCCAGTGTCAATAAATCACTGTTCTATACATCAATAAAAAAAAATTAAAAGCCTTATGAATAAAACAACATAAAGATTTAATTAATTTTAATTAATTAGGGGGCATAGTTATAATTGGGCTTAAAAAAAAAAAAAAAAAAAAAAAAACCTGTCTATACAGGGTGTTCAGCTACTCGTCTTACAAACTTTGCCAGTAAATTCTACATTCAAAATGGAACCAAAAGCTCTACTTAACTATGGTCCAAATCTCAACATTTTCGGAGTTATTTAGGATTTCAAGACCTTGCTTCAAATAAACGATGATAAATCCAAAATAAAAAGGTTTTTGAAAAATTCGTTGATACCATGTCACCAATACTAAAATTGTAAACGTTGGTGAAATAGGCGTTTTAGTAGCGAGAACATTGAGAAAAATAATTTTCAAAGTTGAAAAATTTATTATGGTAATTCTAAACTACTATTTCCAAACCGAGAGACTAGCAAATTTCAGAAAACCTACTCCATTTAATATCCTTTTTAATGGTGCAAATGCTTTTTTAATTACTTTAATAAAATCGAGGGGGTTCGATAAACACACCCTGTTATAACAAACTTGGTATATTTAGATAGACATTTATTTCTATATTTACTTTATGTTTAATTTTACGAGTCAAAAACCTTTTTATTTATTTCTTAAAAAAAAGGAGAAAAAAATATATGCAATACAACTAACTCAACATTAATAAAGAATAAATCACAGTTCTATACATCAAAAAAAAAATTAAAATCCTTATGCATAAAACAATAAAACAACATAAAGATTTAATTAATTAGGGGGCGTCGTTGGCCGCAACGGTTTAGGCGTTGACACGGCGCTCATCACCGTAAAGTAAAGGTCCCGGGTTCAAATCCAGCGGCCCTGCATTTGGACCCGACATTATAATTGGGCTTTTTTTTTTTTTCAAAAGCACAGGCACACCGAGGGTTGATATGATCTGTTGAGAACCCTCGTAGAAAAAATAAAAAATTAATTAAACATCCTGTCTATACAGAGTGTTCGGCTATTCGTCTTACAAACTTTGCCAATAGATTCTACATTCAAAATGGAACCAAAAAGTCCTAATTAACTATGCTCCGAATCTCAACAGTTTCGGAGTTATTTTACTTTTTCTGATTTCGTCATGACACCATCACAAGTCTAAATCTGAGTGATTCATTCATGTCGGAATGAAAGCAATTATCGCAAATTTCTTCTTTCTGGCTATGACCGCAATAATGAGTTAAATGTACAAGTAGCTTTGGTTTTTCAAAAAGGCTAGCACAATTTCGAAGTACTGACAGACAAAAACCAGTAAGAATAGATAGGCTAGGATGATCGGGGATGATCAAGTTACAACTTTTTAAGATGATTGCTGTATATTAGACATGTATATGTTACACTTTCTTAATCCGGCTGCAACATGAGTTGGCTCAGTGGAGACAGGAGGGACGTGTGGATTCCACTAAGGGAGAGACAAGAGATGGTCAATGAGACGGGGTGCAAGTGTATTTACAAATATGACGTTAAGTTGGATACTTGGTATTGTTGTGAAGAGGTCACCCCCCCCCAAAAAAAAAAACAGGAAGCACAGATATAATTCTGTGTTTGAACCTGTGTCAGCCAATCTATGCAGCGCTTGCTTCTTGCTCCTCTCCTTGTTGATGAAGTCGTGCTTCCACTAAGGCAGTGGTCGGCAAACCATCATCCAAAAGAGCCAAATATAAACAAAAATACAAAATTGAAGTTTATTCAGATCCATTTTTTAAACTTAAGCTTTGTTTTAGTAGACATTTTTATGGAAATAATTAGAATTAAAAGTACACTCTCAAGCTTGCCTTTGCTAAATATGTTTCGTTTAATTAACGGTACATTAAATAAAACTTTGTATCATTCTTATATAAAGATAATATTTATTTAAAAATATCACAAGTTAAATAATATAAAAGGTATTCTTAAAAAAAACTACAAATATTCCACTAATGGTCTTGCATTTCCCTGGAAAGTAGGGGTAAGTCAGGTTTGTATGTTGTTTTTAATTTTAGGCACAATTCCAAGTTCTCATCGATAAGTCGATTTCTTAATCTACTCTTGATAAAGTTCATGCTTGAAAATGATTGTTCACAGAAATATGTAAACCCAAATAAGGAAAGAACAACAAACGCTAGTTTTTTCAGTTGATCATCATCATCCAGGTGTTAAAAATCAACATATCTTCCCTTGCCAGATCTTTCAAAGCAGACCATTTGTGCTGTAAACTTAATTCACATTTATTTTTCGCCAATAGCTGTAAATCAGTTTAAAGACGCTCGAATTTTGAGCTCCAAAATTCTTTATTTTTTAAATTCAGCAACTGCGTTTCAAAGCTGCCAATATCAATATTGAAGGGCAAAAAATTAATGTTACCGTGGCATTCAGAGGTTTTTTTTTTAACAAAGGCTAGTGTCGCTTTGTTGTTCCTAAAGTCTTTGAACCTGCTGAGCAAATTTCTTCAGAAAATGTCTGCGCACATCGTGCTTCCTGATGAATAATACAATGGTAAGTAAGTATCTCGTGATTAATTTTTTCTTTAAAAGTAGTGAAAATCCCATTTCTTGCACCTGTAATACTTTTCACTCCGTGTCAGCACTAAACATTTAGTGAAAGTGCCGCAGCTAAGAAGTCAAAGAGCCGTGGTTTGCCGACCACTGCACTAAGGGAATTAACTTAATAAAGTGCTTCCTGCTTCTACAGAAGTTAATTAATTAATACAAGTAATGTCCTATATTTAGGGTAGAAAATATGATTTTTTTTAAAATTAATACAAATAACAATTATTCTATTTAGCACTATTTTTTTTTTAATTAAACTAAAAATAAACGGAATTCCATTCTATACACATGTCTAAAGTTCCAAATTATCAGGACTGATAAAGAAATTAGAAAAGAAACAAACTCACGAGTCACTCTTCCATTTCAAGCTGCACCATGTTTGCCGTGATCAGCAGCGTTCTCTTCGGGAAAAACCTTTTGCGTATATCAAACACCACTGGATCGCCACACTCTGCTTTTTTTACAATTTCTTCCATGTCTTTTTTTTTTTTCCAAACTCAGAGCCCACTAGCCTCAAAGCCCTCGATTCAAACTAAGCTCAATTCAACTTCTTTCTGACACTTCTGAAATTTATTAAATTTGTTCGGAAAAAAATGTAAAATATATATATCATACGACACATTTTAAACTGATCGGCACTTGATCAGTCCTAACGAGTCTGCCTACTCTAACACGATATAAATTCGCAAGAGCAGACTTACAATAATATTGGTAAATTGGGTTATAGCAACCCCATGAAATTTCAGTCAATCAATAAATAATCGGTCATATATTTTTTTATTACAAAAGTATTATTCTGGAAGAAGGTCTTGAGTGATTTCCTCATCGGCGAAGTCCTCCTCTAAGCTCTTCCCCCATGGTGTCTTCGGAGGCAGCATACCAGTTCTAGGCCTCTCTTGGATTGGTCCCAATGGATCACTGTAGCTCGCTTCTGAAACAAAAAGATTTCGATGTGAATTAAAATTAACTCGGCTGGATAAAAGGCTAACCAATGTGCTGCTGGTGTGTCATTTGCTGCTGTTGGTGTGATGTCCCTCCTCTTGACGGTGGCAAAGGGGAATCCAAGTTTCCTGGGCTCAATCCTCCCCTACCGCTTGAAGACCTTCCACTACTACGCCTTGAACCTATGTACAATTAATAATAACAATATATTTTACAGAAAAAATATAACAATATAAAATCAAAAATAAGAAAACAAAGGAAAAAATTACTTACGTATTAAACAATATGTAAAGTAAGAAAATAGCTTTAAAAAATATTTCATACAAATATACAGAAAAAGATCAGATTTATCATTGTTATTTTAAAATATAAATGTTATTTATGCCAGAAATGTACCATTTTAACAGGATTATAGCAACTTTTTTTTGTAATATTAATAAAATACCCCTTAATATTTTTCTGTGCAATAACATTTTCTATTTAATAACATTATAGAATTGCATAAAATTCAAATTAATACTTAAAGTAATCATTTTTTATCTAAATTAATATCGCGAGCGGGATTCGAACCCACAACCTTTGGCTCAATTTGGCACTGCTCTGGCATCGAAACTTACTTGGTTACTTAGCTGGTTGTGGGTTTGAATTCTGCTTGTGAAATTTTTTCAACTCAACCAAGACCTTAGATAAAAGTATAATTAATTAAAATAATTAATGCGGTCAATTATGTCTACTAAACATATATGTATTAATTTAATGCTTAATGTTTGAACATCAAGAATTGTCCAAGTATTCCTTACCAGACCTGCTGCTGCTGATCCTCTCGCGGATTTCTTTAGCTTTTTCTGCTCTTTTAAGCTCCATGGCGTATTCTGTCGTTTCTTTCAGACCGAGATCGCTACAAAGCCTGACTAAATACTTTAGACCTAAAACAGAGCATTTTATTGATAATTATTACTTATTAAATATTGTTATAAATTAATAAACACAAAATAAAACAGACACACACTTTCATTTGATTTTGTGTGGGTCACAGCAACTTTCTTATTATTAACTTATAGAATTTCCTTGAATTTCCTTTATTATATTATTCGTGCAGACCTTAGAAATTAATAGAGCTTTGAACTGTTGGTTATACATTATTATTCATTATTTATCACTGAACAATCATGAAATTATTCTCCCCATTTCAATTTCTGATGTCACTGTTAATAAAGTCCATGAACCTCTTACTTACAAGTTTTTTTAAATGTAATTAACTGACTAATTTAATTTCATTTTACGGCTGCATGAATAAATTGTAAATATATGTTGCATAAATTCCTGGGATTCAGATGTTTTTTCACTAAAAGAGCTCAGGTTCAAAATGAGGGCCACTGAATCCGACCCGGAACATTCTGAGTCTTGCTTTAATTGTTTAACCGGAGGGAAAGGAAAAGAGAGTGTGATTGTGTGAGAGAGAGAAAGAGAGAGCAGAGCATAAGAGAAAGTGAGTGGGAAGGAGAGTCATATGAAAGACCAATTCCAGCTTAGCCTCTATTTTCAAATTTTCGATCCGTTCTTTTGTTCAGTGAATCCCACAACTCCCTTCAACTTCAATGAAGAAGGAATGAAGATTTTTTAAAATGATTTTTTGAAGGAAAATTGCCAGTATTTTTATGTAACAGTATTCTAATTTGCAATAATACTGTTTTGTATTTGCAATAATAATAAAGTTTTGTGTTGGTTGTTAAAATTGGTTTTTTGTGTCTATTTTTTAGCACCTTCTGTAATTCAAATTTTTCAGTAATCCGAATACTCCCCTACAATAATTAGTTCAGATTATAGAATTATCATATTCACTTGTCATATTCACCATCTGTATATTAAATTCTAATCAACTGTATTTTTAAAATTATAACTTACATTCAACATTTTCTGGAAACCTAGTCAAAGTGTTTTTGTATGTGTTAAGGGCTGCTTGATAGTTTCCAGCTCTTCTGTGACAAGAACCGATTAACAACGGCCATTTGCTCTCGTACGGTTGCATCAATGCTGCCTTCTCATAAAAAGGAATTGCCTTCTCAGGTACTCGATGTGTGACATAATAAGCGCCAAGCCAATCTAGAACTCTGAGATCCGATGGCAAATACCGAAAAGCCTACAAATAAAATAAATAAAAATTTTAATTCCGCTTGTTAAATAAATAGTATTTACCTCATAATGATAATGGTATGCTTGTTGCTTATCATTGTCCTCATCATAAATTTCCCCAAGCTTTTGCAAAATACTCGGATCTGCTGGCACTATGCTGAGCAGTTGTAAAAACCTACAAACAATTGCGTAAAAAAATTTCTATTAATTTTGACTCAGTTCTACGTACCATTCTATGGCCTGATCGATGTCTCCGACGAGCTGATGGAGATGAGCGAGTTGATAGAGAACTGGGGGGTGGCTGCTCATTATCGCATGAAGTTTAAGAAAATAATCCAAAGCGTCTTCATACTGCTCTAGTCTTTTGTGCACCAAACCTTTAAATATATTACACAGAAGTGAAATAAATTTTTTTTATTATAATTAAATAGTGTTATTAATGAATGTTCTTGAGTTCAAATCCCATCATAACCCTTAGACTTCTATTTGAAAATAATTTTTAAAAAAGTGTAAAGTCGTTCTAATCTTATCTGTGACACCAAAAGGGTAGAATTTTGTGTGCCCCTCTGTATGACTTACTTTTTAATTTGTTTTCTGCTAGTTGTAGCGATAAAAACACATACAGAAAAAAACTCCCACCAGAATTTATTGAAGCGTGGGAAAAATAATAACAGAAAAAAAAATCATACCAAGATTATAAAGTGCTGCAATGCAAGTAGGATCGTTATCAATTGCTGTTAAATAAAAATTTTTGGCCTTCTCAAAATCTCCTTTCGCAAGTGCACAATTTCCCAGATTCACAAACGCCGCTGCATTATAACTGTCTGAAAGACGAGCAAGCTCTGCAAATTTCTCCGCCTCGTCTATTTCTCCCCGCTGTAAGTAGTTCAAATTAGATAATTGACATGAGTCGTATGACTTTAATTTTATACGTGATAAAAGATGAAGGAGAGGTTAGTAGCAGCGGTGGTCGCTAATCGTGCCTCGGTACTTTTCTGCAAACCTTTCAACGTTTCAATCGCTGGAGGAAGGTCACGCTGCTTTAAATACATGAGGGCTCTGTTCACCTCCAAATCACCCGCCAGGCTAGGATGGGCAGAATTTCTTACCGCCTCCATGCACCAATTGTAACCTAATAACAATTATTATGTTACTAAACTTTTTTTTTTTCGGATACCAGGGACTGGAGGAGTTCCCTCCTGAGCACTGCAGCTGTGCTGTACAGCTTATTGTACTTTATCCCTGGCTCCATATTTGGGGGGACCCCGATATGCCGGTGTTCTTCCATCGAAGAAACTCATTTTTGAAGGAGGTTGGGACCAAATTCAGTGTCGCTGAGATCCGATCCCGCCTCTTCCATTGATGAATGTCGTGTCAATTTCTTTCAATTGCGGCCACCGGTCCCCTTAGGCGACAGAAAAAGTTCAGAGGCGACAGTGGGGATCGAACCCACGACCGCGGGATCTACTAGCTGAGAGTCTGACGCCTTAACCACTCGGCTACCGTGGCCCCCTACTAAACATATACTGCAACATGTAATTTTATTTATTAACAGAATGTTTTCGACCTCATGACAACAAATTGTTGAGTCCACTGGATAGACAAATGTAAATTAACATTGAAGAGGACTTATGTCATGCGGTCAAAGACATTCTTTTAATAAATAAACTTCCAGGATGCAGTATATGTTCAACCACCTACAATACAAATAATAAAGTTTTAAAAGAAACAGCAAAAAAATCATTTTTTTTTTTTTTAATTATTATATTCCCATACATTCTATTTTACTTTGTTACTGATTTACATAACCTTAAATCTGTACGTGTGTGTACATACTACCCACCAACAATTCCAGCTTTTGTAATTAACAATAAATTACTGGCAGACCTCAAGAATCACCCACCTTGGTTTATCCGTCCATTCAACAAGGTTAGGCTCCAGGGGTTATCAAAAGCTAGGTCATTTCAGCCCCCAATGCAATCAGTTCCTGAATCCAAACCTATTTGCACTCTCACTCTTCTTTCTTATTTACTGATGGAGTACTCAATATTCTACCATTGCCCTTATATCTGTTATATAACTAACCTACTTGAGGGTCAATGGGTACACAATATTCTGCCATCAGCCCACTTACACTACAAATTCCCACTAATAAATACATTCCCTCTCAATACATGCTAGGGACATAAAACTATCAGAACTGTATGCAATAAAACAACCCTGATTCCTCCAAGAATAGGAACAGAGGACCCACAATTTGCTGCCATGCTCAAGCACAATTCTCATACGGGTGGCATTCCTATGCCCTCTTTATATGGAGCCAATGGATTGCACCTTTCAATTTGGTACACATCGAGCAGCACTGCATGTCAACCTAGCATGGCCTATTCTTAATCGACCAAGGTTGCTTCTTCTACAAGTCAGATCCTCCAAGGGCCACCTATCAACAATGCCCTTAAAACAGGAGAGTTTCTCTTCCTGCCTACCAATACTCCCACTTTCTTTTAATCAAGTTTTCTTTTATTGCTTTTTTAGTGTCAGAAAGCTGGATTGTGTTGGTTAAGTCAGGAGGTTGGGATTTTCTGGCATTAGCCGCCTCTTCTGCCTTTTTGTTACTCTCCAGACCTATGTCCGGTACACAAACAACAACTGCCTTTTAGTAGATGTGCTACAGTTCATGGTGTCTTTCCAAAAATTCCTATTTTATTTTGTTTGGAATTATTACCATAAGGAAGAGAATAAAGGCAAAACTTCTATGTTGGAGACCATCTGAGACTGCAAAGGTTAAGGCTACTTGGCTTTTTTCAAACACTGGCACCCCAGGGGTTGATATGGTTGATATTTCTTATACATTAGATAATAACTTTTTTTAAGATATAAAAAACGTCTAACCAGCTGTAAAATTATTGTCAATGGCTGGTGCAATCAGTTTTGCTGCTGTTAAAATGCTATTGTAAGCTTGGTTTCTCAACTCTCGTTCCAATCTTCTCAAATTGTCATCCCGAATAACTTCAAAAACTAGCTTTTGGCTTGGATCAACATCCTAAAGGCAATGTAATAACAGTTTTGAATTATTATTATTAAAGTGTTTATACATTATTGTTAATTTATGTTTACCATTGCAGCATATCGTTCTTCATCGATGTCGAGAGGTATGGCAAGCAACTTGGAAAAGCTTTCTTTCATTTTATCCTTGTCTCCCATTGCAAAATAACAGATTACAGTGTATAAACCTATTTTTCGATCAATTTAAATTAATGAAATACTACATTTTACAATTTAAAATATTTTACCCGCTTTGAAATTCGGCCTTTCTTGCATTATATATTCAAAGCTGCTGCATGCTTCATTGTACTGGCCCATTTTGACAAATAACAACCCAATATTATGCATTATTTTAACCCTGAAAATTAGAATAACAATAATAATAAATAGATGCATATATAATGCAATAGACAGTTGTTATTAAAATGTATAAATTAATTTGTTTATTCAAACCTTAAGTCTTTGTAAGTATTGGGAACTTGATCAAGCGCCATTCTATACATCTTTATCGCCTTGGGTATTTGGCCAAGCCTTACATAAAGGTTGCCCATATTGACTTTAAGTTGGTTTGAATTTTGGAACATCCTGTTTGATGTGAGAGCAGTGTATGTATTTATAGCTTCTGAGTTCATTTCATTGTTTTGGTATTGTGTAGCTAAGTTGAACAAAACCTAGAGATAAACAATAATGATTTGATAAAAGTAAAACTATACAAATAACGATTTCATACTAAAGAGGTAAGATCAATGTTATGTGTGTCACCCATGCCAGATTGTTCCTGAACTCTTATCAAGCTTTTTTCTTTTCCTGACGCCTCTTTTGCCTTCTCGAGTGCTCCGGTAAAGTCCTTTTTACTCGCAAGGATACAAGATTCATCAACTAGTTCAGTTATTGATTTTTCAATTCTTCTTATTTTATCTTCAATTCTGGAGAAAAAAAAATGTTTCGTCATCGACATCCTCTTTTAAGTATGATTTTAGTTACCTTTCTTCGACTCTTTCAGTCAAAGGTGTTACAGAAGGTCTAGGAGTGATGATCATATCACTTCTCTGAGAAGTATAGCCGGCGCCTCTCACAGCTGTCATTGGTCGGTTAACTGGATCAGTCATTCCAGTGACTGGTCTAAGACTGCTTTCTCGATACTAATCAGTAAATTGAAATAATGTTGACACTTAGTCGTTAAAAAAATTGTTTAAAAACATACCCCTGATGATGTACCAAGTCGCATAGCTGTACCTGGAGTCTTAAACCCTGTGTACTAAAAGCAATAAAGTTACTAACAATTCAATTATTGATAAATAAATTATACAAATTACCAGTCTTGTCCGCTTGCCGTAGGATGATTTAAGTGCATCTTGCAAGTATTCGTCCTGATCTATATTTTTTGTATTGAAAGCAGGATGATAATCGTCGTAGCCGCTGTAAAGCTCATCCTCATCCTTTGTCGGAGTGGGTGCATGCAGCCTCCCAAGAAAGGCCATTTTTTTGTGTTTTAACCAGAAATTACAAATTGGTTTCTATTGTATTTGAAGCTGATGGTCAAATATCTAATAATAAAAAAATACAATTATTGACAGGTATAAATATTGCAAATTTAAACTATCAATACGTATTGAGTCTATATCTTCTAACATAAATTGTGGATGCTACTTGGTTTGTTGTTAATATATTTTGGGTTAGTAAGCCATTGGAATTGGCAATTTTATATTATATAGTAGAGGTGAAGTGGTCCCATGTTTACAAAGTATCAAGTGTGAATTTCCCCAAGGAAATAATTTATTTAGAAATCGTGAGATGCGGCCTGGTTTGATGTAGGTTTCAGAAAAACATTTTCTTTATCGTGCCAACGTTTCGATTTTTATTGAGATCATCTTCAGGGCCTGGGATTTACATTCCAATTGGATGTGGAAAAGTGAATTTATACAATGCAAAATATATTTTTTATATATTCAATCAAAGTATTTCTACTCACTCAAAGTGTTTGTCTTCTGTGTAATTGTGCCATTCTTGCATGTCGTGTCGAAAGTGCCAGTGAGATTTTGCTATTTTGTGTTTATATACGTTGGATTTTGAAGGGGTGGGGAAAGATGTCGGTATAGAAAAGACATTTTTGAAACGTTGGCACGATAAAGAAAATGTTTTTCTGAAACCTACATCACACCAGACCGCATCTCACGATTTCTAAGTAAATATCGATTAACGGTCACTAATCAAGGAAATAATGTTTGTTCTTATCCTTGGTCTGAAATCTAGCATTACAGACAATGTACCAAGAATCATTGTTGATTCAGAAGTCATTATTTATTCTTTGTTGGGTGATGAGGAGTATAGTAATACCTGGGGCTGATTCGCCTCAACTAACTCTATAATAGAAGATTGTAATTTGTATTTATAAGCTCGATAAAGAATTGGAACAAATTAAGTCTCATAGAAGTATAAATGACAATAGGCTATTGTAGCAGAAGGTTAATAAAGGAAGGGTCCCTTTTAGGTCAAAAATAACTTCGGAAGAAATAAGACATTGCATAAGACATAGGAACATTAATCTCCAGGAAAGAAGATATTGCAAAGATGGAGCTACCGCTATAGCAATCTGCTCAATAGTGACAGATGAGAAGAAGAATTTGAGGACATTGGAAGCATAAAGTTCAAAGAAAATGAGGATGTAGTTGACAAAAATGATGGGTGCAATAGGTAAGAAAAAACCTTTAAAGCCCCTCGGATTGACAGTCTACCCGTGGAGCTATTTAAGCGTGGCTAAGGGGAAAGCTATAAAACACTCCATAACCTAATTATATCCATATGGTGGCACAGTGGAGGAAGGATATTTTATGACAGTACACAAAAAATGGTGTCAACTGGAGTGTTCAAATTATAGAAGCATTTCACTCCTAACATCTGTATATAAGTTTTATCAAACATCCACTTTAATAAGCCCCTCTTGGCCGACAAAGATTAGAAAATACCAGGCAGGCTTTAAGAAAAATAAGTCCACAGTAAAGATCTTTTCCCTTCGGGTTAATTTTCTAAAGAAGTATTAAATTCCAGGTGACCATACATCACTTCTTTATAGATTTAAAATTATAGACTTAAAAGTGCTCATGAAAGTGTCATACACCCAAGACTGCCCAGATGCCATGCAAGAAATCAATATACCACAGGATGATAAAAATGACAATGATGAATAGACATGTTTAGTCTGGATTCAGGATGCTGATTTCAGACAGATAAAATACTGAGGCAAGGTGACATTCTAACCTGCCTCCTGTTTGACATAACCCTAAAAGAAGTAATAAGGGATTCTAGCAGCCAGACCTCAGGAACCATATTCACCGAATCCATACAACTATTGTCCTATGACATAATAGCACACACACTCCTAGAGCTAAAGGGTGGTTTGCAAGAAGCAGCCATAATCATGGGTCTTACCATTAATGAGGACAAGACCAAATATGTGTATGTAGGAAGAAGTGGCCCACTACCATGGCAAAATGGTATGGCAAACTGTTGTGGTTCAGACAAACTCTACAAAGGGAAGTAAAGAAATTCCTTGGTCCATTGATTTTACTGAACCTTAGTTTAGACAGTAGTCTGCATATACTTTCCCGTTTAGGTTACGTTATAATCCTTTTGTCATGTTTTCTGGCATATTTTGTTTGTGTGCAATTATGTCAGTGACCATGACCGGCTTTTACAAAATATGAACTGGCAGCCTCAGCAAGGAGTTTGGTTTTTGTATTTATTGCTGCTATGATATTATACCTAAATCAGGAAGATATCAGTACTATTTTTACTTAATTTCATCAAGCCCTGTTTAATTGTTGTTAATGAGTTGCCTCTAACTTTGAAAAGCATACAGAAGCTGCCTGATGGGACTAAGGAAGTTCAGTAGTTGTGTTCCATGTACATTACATAGCTAAGCTCTATAGATAGAAAATATTTGTAGCAATCACATTTGAATCATGGTGCCATCAGCAATGTTTAGAACTGCAGCTGTTCCCTGAGGATTTGGAACTGCCTCTGTACAGTGCCATCATTGAGGATCAACGACCAACATGCTGCATGTCCTTTGCAGCATATTGCATTTTTTTTGCCAGGGTCTTGTTGATTTTGTTCGGAAAGCCTGGTTTTACAGATATGAATATAGGAAATTAATTTTCTATTCGACTTATTTTGTTTCCTTTTTTGCTCTCGCAGGTAATACATATAATTTCTATTTTATGGGCTTCTAAATGCGAATTCTGTTTGCCGGTAGGGGCCCCTTTGTGAGTTGGAATCCTTGCTTTAGTTCTTTGAAGTGTCATTTTTATTATTTTCAAAGTTTATCGCATTTCAATCTTGTAATTTGAAAATCCTGTAAATAATTGTAACATCTGAAGTTGATATTGTAAATTCTCCTTTTCTTATAATTACATAATTATGTATATTCTTGGAATAGTAATGCACTCCGAACTCTGGTTGACAGTCTTAATACCATGCCATAGTAATACTGCGTTTTTTTATTTTATCATTTAATGACCTGGGGGGGGGGGTCTTTGTATCTCCCAAGAAGCTTTTTTTTTTTTTTTTGGCCTTATGATCTTTGCATATTAGCCATGACGAATTCTTATATATGTTGTTCAAATTGGGGGTTATCGGGAAAAAAGGGCCAGAGGCGACAGTGGGAATCGAACCCACGACCGCGGCGTGAGAGGACTCTCACACTAACCACTCAGCTACCGCGGCCCCCCTACGGCTAAGCTATGTCCTTTACGACCTCAAGTATAGCTAAGGTCAATAGATAGAAAACATTTGTAGCAATCTTATTTGAATCGCGGTGCCATCAGTAATATTCAAAACCTCAGCTTCTGTACCCGGAAGGATTTGAAACCGTCTATGTATACTACCATCATCGAGGTGCAACATCCTATTTGAAAGCAACATTTGACAGAATCAGGCATACTACTCGTTCCTTATATTGTTGAATGACCTTTGGGAGTTTCTTTCTATCTCCCAAGGAGCTATGTCCTTTATGACCTCAAATATAGGTAAGCACAATAGATGAACACATTTGCAGCAATTTTATTTGAATCGCAGAGCATCAGCAGTATCCAGTACCACAGCTCCTGTTCCCCAAAGGATTTGGTACCATCTGTGGGCAGTACCATCGTTGAGGGGCAACGTCCGATTTGAAAGCAACATTTAGCAAAATCAGGTATATTAGACATGTCCATATATGATTTATTGACCTTGGGAGAGGGGATTGTATCTCCCAAGGAGCTATGTTCTTTACGACCTCAAGTATAGCTAAGCCCTATAGAAAGAGCACATTTGTAGCAATCTTATTTGAATCATGGTACATCAGCTGTATTCAAAACCACAGCTTCTGTCTCCCAAGGGATGATACAGTATCATCATTGAGGGGCAACGTCCTATTTGAAAGCAATATTTCACAGAATCAGGCATATTAGTCGTGTCCTTACATCTTTTAATAACCTGGGGGGGGGGGTTGTATATCCCAAGAAGCTATCTTCTCTGTCAGAAAGTTTACTTTTCCCAAGCATAGTCCTTGTATTCACATAATATTGGGAACCCTAAAAAATGGGTCTTTAGAGTTCGGTTTGGCAAATTGTAAAAGTACAAGATGTAATGTCCTGGTGAGGGGTCCTATGTTCTTTATGATGTCAAGTATAACTAAGGTCAATAGTTAGCACATATTTGTAGGAATCATTTGAATCAAGGTGCTGTCAGCAATATCCAGTAGCTGACCTCCTGTTCCCTGAGGGATTTGGTTTCATCTGTGGGCAGTTCGTCGAGGGGCAACGTCCTACTTAAAAGCAGCATTTATCCAAATCAGGCATATTAGTTGTGTCCTTACATCTTTGAATAACCTGGGGGGGTTGTATATCCCAAGAAGCTATGTTCTCTGTCAGAAAGTTTACTTTTCCCAAGCATAGTCCTTGTATTCACATAATATTGGGAACCCTAAAAATGGGTCTTGAAAGTTCTGTTTGGCAAATTGTAAAAGTACAAAATAATAATTGTTAAAAATTAGTAACAATGAAATAAATTTGTTAAATTCAGCTGTCAGACAGCACAAATTGGCTGTGAATGAAATTTATTTTTCCTTTTTTTTTTTGTTTAGTGAAATTGCACAACTGGCAGTTGATATTTTAGAACATTTATAATTACTTATTTAATAGAAATTATTAAATTATATGTTTTGTAAAACAAATTGTAATTACCAAATGGTTTTTGGATCCGAAAACGTCCCCTGACAGCTTTCTCGTTTTGGAGTCGTCGGCTAGTTTCTACGGCGACTGGGTTGTAAATAAAAGGAAATCAATCTTTTTTTTTAAATCTCCCGCGCATATTTTAAACGGCAATTCCTTGTCGTCAATTTTTGTAAATAATAAAATATTAAATGTTATAAATATTAAAAAAGGAAGAAATTTCTTTTATTAACCGTATTCAGATTTTTAACATATTTTTTGGGGTCTAAGTTTTTATGTCAGCAGTGAGTTCCGATATGAAATCCCTCTGGAAACCTGCCTAGCCTCTAACCAACTGGCAACCGCACAGTCAGTCTTTTCTGTCCGCGTATCTATTTACAATGAAGTCAGTATTTTTATCCGTTTTTATTCAATTAATCTTCTCTCTAATAAAAACGGAAATGTGTCGATTTTTAATTGTTTGCCTTTATTTACAGGATCGGCCTCTGCTCGTACAGCGGGTACAAAATCTACCCCGGACATGGCAAGACCATGGTCAAGTCCGACGGAAAGGTTAGTTCTATTGTTTATTCCATCCTTTCTTTTTTCAGTAGTCGTATTTTCTTGTTTGAAATTGTAAAAGAAAAAAATAACATTATCGGTCTGTCGAGGTCTTTATCATTAACTATATTACAAAATATGTCAATTCTTGACAACAATTGTGTAAACTTGACATCTCTGAAGTTTCTAAAACTGGGCATCGTGTGCTACCTGGCTACGTTACAATGTTTTCAAACACTTTCACACAAAACCAATATGACACCACAAGAATAGCACTTCGTTTATGCCCTGAAGATGATCCGAATGAGAGTCGAAACGGCGGCAAAAAAATAAAAAAGGTGTTTTGTAAACTACTTCATTCTTGACCGCTTCTCACGAATCCGACAAATTTATTATGCACCTGCTCCCATATTGACTACAGGTATGCAATTATTACATTTTGTTTTGATTTTTTAACAGTGCTGAAAGTCCTATGTATATATAGGTATCAAACACTGATGACTTGTTGGCATCCAGATTTCCTATATAAGTTTTGAACGTATCGGTTCCTGGTTCGGGCAGTCATGGACAAGGACCCAAGTCTGTGATTGTTCTAAACAATGGCAGGTTGCATCCGGGATTATATTGAATCTCTTTAAGACGTCATACTAGATGCAATGCTACGGAAGTTTTTGTGACGGAAATTTCGTGATAAAAACCCGCCTAACCCGAACAAGCCACTACAGCAGAAATGAACAGAATGATTCCAACGACTGTTTGGATATGCAGTTGATAATGTGACTCAGTTGAGCGTGCACGGTACAATGAAACTTTTCATTTTGTGTGTTTACAAGGCAATGGAGAAGCGGAAGAGAAAGAGAGAACATTGGATTCATCCATTGAATATGAAAAGGGTATCACTTGGTCAGTTACACTGCCTGTATGGGGAACTTCGAAGATATCCTCTTCTTCCAATACTATAGGATTACTATAGAAATTCCACAAAAAATTGGTCCAAGTCTATCCTAGATCAGCTTCACTTGTAGTATGCTTGTCCAACTGCCTACCACTTCCGTTCTACACGTCAGTCATAGTGTGGTGCACTCCATCTGTTTTGATCTCTTTAGACAGAACCCAGCGGAACATTCTGTTGACGGATGCTGGTGCACCAACGGAGAGACGTCAGAAATTTCCGTTCAGTCTGTTGCTGGCTGTCTGTTTTGAATGTAAGTTTGTGCAGCGGAAATTTCCGTCTAGTGTGCGGCCTAAGTATTCACCAATTCGTCCATGTCCGCTCAACGTTTGTTTCAGCATGTAGGGATAGTTGTTGAAGTTGTAGGTTCTCAGGTGAGGTACTGCGAGTGTAATTTCGTGCTGTACTTTCTTCACTTTTAAATTGAAGTTCAAAGAAGAATTTCTATTGCTTAAAACTGTAAACAGCATTGTTTTTCATTCTTGGCTGTGCCGGCGCACGTTACGTCGGGGGGGGGGGAATGAAAAACGTGTTTTTCTAAACGACCTCATTCTTGACCGCTTCTCATGACTTATACAAATTAAAAAGTTTTCAAACCTCTGCTCACAAACTGTTTGTATGTTTGATGAAAAGAATCCTTTACTGTGTGAAAAGTTCTACTTCATTATCACCTAAAAATTAAACACAAAAACTAGAAATGGAAAAAAAGATATAATTACAATTTATTTTATACCTGGATATTGTAAACGAACACAAGTGCGATCAATAGCACCTATGTACTTTGGAAACTTAATTTTGAACATTTCACACAAACAGCCATTCTTCTAGATTCACACAGATTTCTAAAATCACAAACTGCCATGATCCTGTTGCATAGAATCTGAGTGTAGTGTGTAACATAAGTTCGGTATAGATAGCATCATTTCTGAAAACATAACATCAAGACAACAAAAAAATTAATAGCACTTAACTGGTAATAAGAGGAGTTATTGTATTTCTTATCATCTGTAATCCAAAGCTTGCTGCATTAACCTTCTGAATCTATTAAAGAATTCATCATTATCCCATTCGTGAAAGCGTTCCTGTATGGTTCTAAACCCCTTTCTTTGTAAAGCTATTAACTCAGGGAAATCATCATCTATTAATTCCTTTAAAAAAATTCATCCATTTCAATCTATCTCAAGACAATTCCATTTGGAGCGATCAGTACTTGCTGATCATTCAAATGCTCTACGTGGAGCAGGAAATAACCCTGTAATCTCATTGGGCATTTGATAAAGTCCACAAAGGAACAAGTGGACATAATGCAATAATTTATAAATGCCATATAATTTAAGCAATCCATTTTCAGTTTTGTTTCATACAGTCATGTTGAAACTTATTTTTTCAGACATTCACATTTCTTAATGCTAAGTGTGAATCTTCCCACTTAATGAAGAGGAATCCAAGGAATGTCACTTGGACAGTCCTCTACAGGTATTTATCAACTTATTTTAATTAAAAATTGTATCAGCAAGTAGTATTTTTTTTTTCTTTTAAGGCGTAAGCACAAAAAGGGCCAGGAGGAAGAACAGTCTAAGAAGAGGACGAGGAGAACGCAGAAGTTCCAGAGAGCCATTGTTGGTGCATCCCTCACAGACATTCTTGCCAAAAGGAACATGAAACCCGAGGTCAGGAAGGCGCAGAGAGATCAAGCCATCAAGTGAGTTATTTTTATTTATTTTTTTAATATGATTCGCTAGGTTTATTTAACACATTCAGTAAAATCCAATGGGCTGGTCGGACGCTCAGGTACGTCCTCACCCCTTTTATGATCTTTGATGATTGGTGAGGGTGGGTTTCTGGCCTCAGTTAGACCCAAGCTGTTCTATATTTTTTTTCTCTCTTTCTTTTAGACATCCATTGTGTATTAGATACAAACAGTATTTCCTTTAATTGTCGTGCTCGATATTTTAAAACAAAATCCATTTCATTACAATTTAATATCCTTTTGTTTTATTTCTTCCCTTCTCTTTGGTCTTTCCCCCTCCATTTTTAATAAAACGTCAAGTTTAACTTAGCTCAACTCTTTTTCATTATTAAGGTAACATAAATACTTGCAATTATGCATAATGTAAAATGGGGGTTAATGTGACTTGTTTATTTAATAGAGACATTACTTCAGTTATTTATTGTTCGTTAGATATTATTTTTTTAAGATATATTTCCATTTTACAGGGCTGCCAAAGAACAAAAGAGGGCGACCAAAGCGGCCAAAAAACCTGAAAAGGTTGCCCCTAAAGTGAGTTATTTTTCCATTTAATGTTGTTTTTTAATATTAGGTCTGTTTTTTCAACAAAATGTTGTTTTTTAGGTCAAGGCACCTCCTAAAGCCAAGGTATCTAAGGTACAACAAAAATCTGCACCTAGAGTCGGAGGAAAACGATGATTTGTAATAATGTTAACTTAAATACATCTGTTTCAAATATATTTGAGGTTTTATTATTTTTCCCTTATCGAGTGTTACAGTACTTAATTTATTTGTAATAGTTGAAAAATGTGTATTTTTCCATCCAATACAGATGAAAATGTTCATTTTAATTTTAAACCTGATAAAATGGTAAAGAGAAGTAACTGAGTGATTAAATGAGTTAATTTATAATGCTCATGTAAAAAAAAATTCTTTATGTTTTACATGTTGAGCACCTCCCATAGACCTTCTGAACATAGAAGTGCTGGTAGCACAACCCTGTCCAACTGATCCAAGTCCCATTCCAAATCCTCATTAATCTACTTGGTTGGAAACTATTTAACCAGCATACAGCATATCACATCTGATATTCTTTATTAGACATTAATTGTTGTTTAACATACACATGACATGGTGAGCCATCACTTTTATTTCACTAATTTTATTACACACACTTTTATTACACTATTTGCTTTCATAAATATTTTCCCTATTACTCACTCTAGCTAAACCAAGTTCCCACTGTTTGTCGAATAGTAGGTCAGTCTAATTTTCTTCTTACTCCCCGATTATGAACATTGTTTACTTAATTACTTACATTTACTCTATTACTTAAAAAAAATCAAAATATTTCACGGATTGCTCATTGTTCTATAGTTTTGTAATTGCACAACAGATCGTCTTGTGAGTTGGGGGAGAAGTATACTGTTGGAGATTGTGTGGGTTTGGGTAAATATATTGCCTTTTGAATTTTTTCAGTTGGTATATGTGAAAAATTACACTACTCTAGTGACTTGAAATTTATCTTTGGTTGTCTGTTATTACAGCTCAACTTTTCTTCCTTTCTCTATTTAGATACTCAAATATTTTCAATTGACTACTATCCACTATTTTATCAAATTTTAAACCTAGTATCAGGGGCATTTAACTAATGTATAATTTGTGGATCTACCTTCAGCCTGTGAACTTTTTTTTTTAAACAAGTGTCATTATTGCCATTAACATTCAACTGTTAACTTAGCCAGTATTAAAAATTATAAGTTTTGCTCAAATCACGCAAAAGGGTTTTTTCTAAAGTTTTCTGCTTAGTGATTTGGAGATGTAGAAGTGAATTTTAGGGGTATGGGGTGGTTATTCTGAAATTTTAAAGAGCTATTGTATTCTCTCTTCATTACCTACAGTGCATCAAATTTTATGAAGAAATTTGATAATTGCCCAAGTTTGTTTCCTTGACTATTGTGTTGTACATCTGTACAGGAGGTAGTAGGGCGTGATCCTTGTTTTACGTGCATAACACATTAATTTGGTTTTGCAATTAAACATCATCATCAAACATGATTTTTCATGAAAGCAATGTCTTAAAATTTGTATCGCTTCCTCTTGTTCCTTGGTCCTCAAAATATGGGTGAAGTAGATTAAGCTGTTTGTCCCATTGTCACTAGAAAAGGAGTAGTCACAAACCGTTTAATAAAATTTATTACAGTTAAATTATAATTAATTAATATAAGTTTATATAATGATTTCAGCTTCTCCACCCAGGGAAGAAGAGCCTGCATTAATCCAATCCGCATACAGCTGGAAAGAGTACTGCAAGACTGTTGGCTGTCTCCACCTCAATCAAATTGGAAGAACAACCAAAAAGAGGCATCATGTCAGTGTAATTATGGGTTTTCGTTAGCATAACAACATTCAATGATAGTAGTACGTTTTCTTAATTTGCATGCTTATTCATTAAATAGATATAGGTGATAGTTATAATGAGTTCTTTTTTTAATGAGGGTTCGCAACAGCAGAGGTTATATAAACCCTCGGGGTGCTGGTGTTTTAGAAAACAAGCCCATTTGTAAGTATGTCGAGCTTTCCTTCTTAAAGTTTATTATGCCCTTATCCAGTCCCATATCCAGTATGGTGTAGTTTGCTGGGGGAGTGCCTATAGAAGTGTGACCAGTCCGATCTCTGTAATTCAAAAAATAATTTTTGTGTGCCGGTATTTTTGAAAACAAGCCCATTTGTAAGTATGTCAGGTTAGAATGCAGGGCCGCTGGATTCGAACCCGGGACCTTTACCTTACAGTGTACCTTATGGTGTGTCTAAACCATTGCAGCCACCGACACCCCAATGGATGTTGTTGATATTGTTTAAGAGATGTTGATGGGAAGGTGAAGTGAGGGGTGGTTAAGTAATTGGTAATTTTGAATATCTCAACATAGGGAAATGAACAACCAGAGCCCATCTATCTACTTTTTAATGGTTCTGCGCCGCCGCAACCTCAGGGGATGTCAGCCTCATCCGCAATCTGTATTGCCCCTCCTGTTTTTTTCTTTTTTTTTTTTTTCTTCCCCCCTTCACCAACAGTAAGCCCTGATGGAGAGTTTATTTCTGCATGCATAATAAATACAAACAATTTTACATTTTTAATTTTTTATATATCTTATTTTTAATGCATGTTATTTTTTTAATTATGATAAAATCAGAAAAACATAACAACATGACAAACATAAATTTTAAAAAATATATTTAAAAAATAAATAATAACAAAATAAGCTTAACTATCAGGCATTAATTAACAACATCTATACGTTTAGTAAAAATAATGAAACTGTCTTTATCTTATTTTAAGAAGTCTTTCATATGGTAGCCATTTTTCCCCGGTGCACTACACCTTCCTCATAAGTTGTACTCTTTTATAATTCATAATTGTATTCTATTCCAGCAGGAAACAATCCCAAAGGATATGCCTGATGTTTTGGGCTGCGCTGTTCCCACAGCACAATTTGGTGACAGAATCTCACTTATCTTGTGGAGGTAGCCTCTGAATATGGACCATGCCCAGTCAGAATGGTAGTCGTGTTGCTAAGGCTAAGTGGTAAATCCTTTATTCCTACCTTAGAGTGAAAAAGGAAAAAACAGCCTTGTTTGTGCTGCTCCTGTTGTCTCCTCCCAATTCAGGTACCATTAGTTGATGGCCTGGTATTTTGTTGAATGCCACTACCAGGAGGTCATTAGATGATGCATTTTTAGCAAGGCAGTCCCCTACCTCGTTACCTTCTAATCCGTTGTATGCCTTTACCCAACTGATATATGTCTGGATTACCTGTTGTGCTAAGTTATTAATTTTGTTTTCTCGATCAGGTGATCCAGCCCATGTTTGTTATACAATGACTCCAATGCCATTTTGCTGCCTATTTTTATGTGGGAGAATGCATTGTCCCTGCATAAGAAATCAACTCGGCAGAGGGGGTGTCATTCTCTTCTGCTATTTGCCTTGCCCTTCCTGCATATGAAGCCACCTCGACAGAGGAGGTGTCATTGTCTTCTGCGATCTGCATTGCCCCTTCGGTGTATGGAGCCTTCTCAATCTCGGATTTGTGATCCTCTTCCATGATTTGCATTGCCCCTTCTGTGTTCAGAGCCTTCTCGACCTCGCGTATATCATCTATTTCCATGATCTGCATTGGCCCTTCTTTGTTCGGAGCCTTCTCGACCTCACGGATATCATCTTCCGTGATCTGCATCGCACCTCGTCCATTTGGAGTCGTCTTGACCTCGGGTTTGTGATCCTCTTCTGCGAACTGCATTGCCCCTTCTGTGTACAGAGCCTTCTCAACCTCGGGGATGCCATCAACTTCCGCGATCTGCATTGCCCCTTCTGTGTACAGAGCCTTCTCAACCTCGGGAATGCCATCATCTTCCGCAATCTGCATTGCACCTCCTGTGGACAGAGCCGTCTCAGTCTCGGGTATGTCATCTTCCGCGATCTGCATTGCCCCTTCTGTGTACAGAGTCTTCTCAACCTCCGGGGATGCCATCTTCTTCCGCAATCTGCATTGCCCCTCCTGTGGACAGAGCCGTCTCAGTCTCGGGGATGTCATCTTCTGTGATCTGCATCGCTGCCCCTCCTGCGTTCAGAGCCATCTCGATCTCGGGGTTGTGATCTTCTTCTACGATCTGCATTGCCCCTTCTGTGTTTGGAGCCTTCTCGACCTCGCAGATATCATCTTCTTCCACAATCTGCATTGCCCCTTCTGTGTACAGAGCCTTCTCAACCTCGGGGTTGCCATCTTCTTCCGCAATCTGCATTGCCCCCCTGTGGACAGAGCCGTCTCAGTCTCGGGGATGTCATCTTCTGTGATCTGCATCGCTGCCCCTCCTGCATTCAGAGCCATCTCTATCTCGGGGTTGTGATCTTCTTCCACAATCTGCATTGCTCCTCCTGCATACGAAGCCGCCTTGCCCTCGAGGATGTCATCCTCTTCTGTGATCTGCATCGCCCCTCCTGCATAAGGAGACACCTTGACATGGGGGATGTCATCCTCTTCTACAATCTGCATTGCCCCTCCAGCTTATGGAGCTGGCTCGATCTGTGGCGTTGTGTTATCCCTAGCATTGTCATCCGTTATCCAACTTTTCAACAAAGACAGTGTAGCTGGAGTAGGTCTTTGCGGCCGTTGCCTTTCTGTTAAGCCAGACAACAGTCTTTGCAGTTTTTCCCACTTTTTCCTTAAAAAAGATTGATTATATTAACAATAATACTTTTTTTTTTTACATAATGGCTGGTCCAAAACAGCCACATATTTGTTTTGCCTTTTATCAATCCAACTGAAAATAAATTATCTATCTATTCATTTGAAATTTGACAAACAATCGTATTTATTGATCAAAGAGTAACATATTGTGTCACATACATAAGTCGATAAAATTGGGGCAATTCTGTTAAAAATATCTTTGTTTTTTTAAATTTGAGCATTTAATTCTCATTAAAAGGTAGATAGATGGGCACTGGTTGTCCATTTCCCTATGCTGAGATATGGGAAATTACCAATTACTTAAACACCCCTCACTTTACTTTCCCATCAACATCTCTTAAACAATATCAACAGCAAGTAATATTATCATCCGCCTGAATTGGAGTTGTTATGTGACCCATGTGAATGAATAAAAAAAGCTCATTGAGAACATCTCTGAAAAAAGTGAAGTAAGCTGCTGGATATGACACAGTTCTAGGTCCTACTTGGTAGCATAACCAGAAACACCACTACAATCCAACTTCTTTGGATAGGCTCAACGACTTATTAATCTTTGTACTCATTATAACTATCACCTATATCAACTATATCCATTTAATGAATAAGCATGCAATTTAAGAAAACGTACTACGATCATTGAATGTTGTTATGCTAATGAAAACCCATAATTACACTGACATGATGCTTCTTTTTGGTTGTTCTTCCAATTTGATTGGTCTGGAGACAGCCAACAGTCTTGCAGTACTCTTTCCAGCTGTATGTAGATTGGATTTATTGCAGGCTCTTCTTCCCTGGGTGGAGAAGCTGAAATCATTATATTAACTTATATTAATTAATTATAATTTAACTGTAATAAATTTTATTAAACGGTTTGTGACTACTCCTTTTCTAGTGACAATGGGACAAACAGCTTAATCTACTTCACCCATATTTTGAGGACCAAGGAACAAGAGGAAGCGATACAAATTTTAAGGCATTGCTTTCATGAAAAATCATGTTTGATGATGATGTTTAATTGCAAAACCAAATTAATGTGTTATGCAAGTAAAACAAGGATCACGCCCTACTACTTCCTGTACAGATGTACAACACAATAGTCAAGGAAACAAACTTGGGCAATTATCAAATTTCTTCATAAAATTTGACGCACTGTAGGTAATGAAGAGAGAATAGCCCTTTAAACTTTCAGAATAACCACCCCATACCCCTAAAATTCACTTCTACATCTCCACATCACTAAGCAGAAAACTTTAGAAAAAATCCTTTTGCATGATTTGAGCAAAACTTATAATTTTTAATACTGGATAAGTTAACAGTTGAATGTTACTGGCAATAATGACACTTGTTAAAAAAAAGTTCACAGGCTGAAGGTAGATCCACAAATTATACATTAGTTAAATGTCCCTGGTACTAGGTTTAAAATTTGATAAAATAGTGGATAGTAGTCAATTGAAAATATTTGAGTATCTAAATAGAGAAAAGAAGAAAAGTTGAGCTGTAATAAACAACAGACAACCAAAGATAAATTTCAATAGTCACTAGAGTAGTGTAATTTTTCACATATACCAACTGAAAAAGTACAAAAGGCAATATAGTTACCCGAACCCACACAATCTCCAACAGTATTCTGTTCCTCTCCTGACTCACAAGATGGTCTTTTGCTCTTCGATCACAAAAATATAGACCAATGAGCAATCTGTGAAATATTTCATTGATTAATATATATTTCTTTAAGTAATAGAATAAATGTAAGTAATAAGTAAATAATGTTCATAATCGGAAGACAGGAGAAAATTAGACAGGCCCACTATTTGACAAACAGTTGGATTATCTAGAGCATTGGGAAAATATTTAAGAAAGCACAAGGTGTAAGTGAAATAAAAGTGATGGCTCACTATGTTGTGTGTGTTAAGCAATAATTAACATCTAATAAAGATTGTCAGTCAAAATCAAATTTGTAATTTGCTGGATGCTGGTTAAGTATTGTTAACAATCAAGTAGATTAATGAGAAGTTGGCATGGGACTTGGGTTATTGGAGTGTGTATAATACTGCGCCCTTTAAGAGCTGTCGTATTCCCCATTTTGTGCTTAAAGCACACCGGTAAGACCTAGTTCATTAAGAAATTTAGTAGGCCCGGTTTCAGTGGTTAGGTCTCTTCTACGGTCACAATAAATGTCCCAAAGCACTTCCTCCTGCGGGCAAGTGTAGCACCAGTTTTTTAGGTGTGTTGGTGTTCTCTGCTTCTTTAGAATCTGCACTTTCCTGTTTTCTTCCATAGTTTTTTAGGAGGTTCTTGGATTGTTTGTGTCCAATGAGTGAGTTCCATTGAGTGCTCATTATCTTTTTATCCTTGTCTAAGCTCATTGATAGTGAGCATTTTGATGCCACAGAAGAGCTCGTGTCTTATCAGCGTTATAGCAGCCCCTTTTCTTGCAAGGGCGTCTGCTTTCTTGTTTCCTTATACTCCCACATGTCCCGAGGCCCTTCAGTTGAATTTGCAATTCATGTTTGAGCTGATATTTGAACTTGGTGCTTTGGCTATCTTACTTGATATTCATTTAAACTTCTTTATTCAGATTGAATTGGGTAATTTGTCAATTCTATGGACTTCAGCTTGGAACATTCTGGTGTATCCTTCCTTGGGTGAATATTTGGTTCCACCCCAGGACCTTCTTGCATTCTAGGTACCAGTAGATGGTGTTTTTTTCTTTCCCATTCCTTTTTGGCAAGCCGAGATTTATAAATATCTCAAAAAGGAAGGCAAAGGAACTCCACTTTCAGCAGGCTGGATTTAAGGATTTAATGAAAAGTTAAATTTTCTTATTAAATTAGAGGGCATAGGGTGTATATAACTAAACTCCATTTCCCTCGCGCTTAGCATGATCAAAAGTAAAAAAACAACTCTTTTTTGTTGTGTACCTCAGAAGAGCTTTCATGGAACCTTTAATAAATAAAATAACAGTTAAAACGTATCGATGCAGTTGGCAAGGTGTGGTAGACAGGGCGGCCAAAAACGACCCCTCGATGCTTGACAACCCAACAGATTTAAACATATTAATTTCAAATACAGTAAAAAAAGAATATTAAATATATATAAGTAAAAGGTTTTAACTCTGTTTTGACTCGTGTTACGGAAGCAGCATGCCAAGGGTGATGTGCGAGACATAATTCATAGGACACAATTAATAGGATTATAAACACATAATTTTTTTGTCATATAAAAATCAGATTTTATTAAATGTTATGGCATCTGAATAAATAAAGTTTTTTGAGATTACACAATAGCAAATGGTAATTAACTGGTTTAAATTTGCAATACTTAACAAATGAACAAAAAAAAAATTAATTTGTAGGTTTTCAGCACATTACAACCACTTTAAAAATTAGTTTTGAGTCTTTTTTTTTTGTAAGATTTTTTTAAAGTTTTATTCAACACTAAACAATATTGCTAGTGCCTCCGTTGTCTCTCCTGTGTGCTACCATTTCCCTGAGGTTGTTCTCGCTCTCTTTTAATGATTTTTCCAATAAAGATTTTTCAACCTGAAATAAAGAAAATATAACATTTCTTTCTTTGCGAAAACTGTTTCATCATTTACCTCGACATTTTTCCTTTTGTTTTCGCACAGCTTTGATTTTTCCTCTAGGCGGCTAATTAACACCGATGCCGGTTGCACCATGAAAAACCTTCCAATGGATTCATACAATTTTGTATTTTCAGGAAGTCCCTAAAAGAAAAGAAAAGAAAAAACAAAGAAAAAAAAGTATTTTTGAAATCAAAACAAAGTAAAATTAATAATAACAATACTTTATTGAACAACTAATAATAATAATAATAATAATAATAATAATAATAATACAAAGAAACAAAATTATTTTGCAACAATGGAATTTTATCCGTTACTGGAGGTTGAGTTGTAACGAAGAGAACAAAAATAATAAAAATATACATTATCAAATAATATACTTATATTATGTTGTAATAAATACAAAAGGAAAAAGTCAAAAAAATATTTATAATAATAACTTAAAAATTAAATTGTTCAATGAGCTCCCCAACTACTCATGCTATCTACAGGCTCGGTTCATTTAGGCCTTCTGGGCTGTAGATTAATTTCTGCAAGTCTTCTTCTTAATGCTGATGCTCTTATGGACACATTTTGCACAATTCTTTTCAATGAGATATTTCAGAGAGTGTACAATCTAATAAATCGGTTGTCAGCTGGCCCCCTTGCTATTGTCTTGTCATGGAGTCTCCAGTTTAACGTTCCAGTACTTCTGAATGCCCAACAGTGATTGCAGTCGTATCGCTGATGTCTTCCATCCTCAACGAGTACAATGACACAGACTACTTACTAGCTGATTATAGGATTTATCTTTTTCTGTATTGTTAGGAGTAGTTCTGACACTGTTTGGTATCCTTGGAATTTGCAGACTTATTCAATCAAATTGGAAAAGGTCAAAAAATTTTTTTTTGCAAAATTCATGGTTTTTAAACCAGGAGGAAAAGGAATATGGTATTTGGGCTCAGAGTGCCGGCTCATGAACCTTGAGAATAATAGTTTGGTCCTTGGCATGTTTTTTATTGAAGTTAATGAATGGGATCTATTATAGTCCATAGTTATTAATTATAATACATTTCCTACTCCTTAGTAGAAGTTTGTTAATATGTTTTATCGATAATTTCATCAAACTCGTTATAGACAGTGTGGGTCAATTCTTTTTATCATTATTTGGAGGTCGTTAGATGTGGTCAGGTGTGACGTAGGTTTTACAAAAACATTTTCTTTATCAAGCCTACATTTCAATCTTTATTGAGATCATCTTCAGGGCTCAAAGTGTTGTGTGTGTAAAGAATATGTTTTTCTAAAACCTACGTCACACCAGACCGCATCTCACGACCTTCAAATAATCATGTCACAAAACATCACACTCTCTTATTATCAGTGGGCTTTTTATGATAAATTTGGCAACGTAAGAGTTTCTGGGCTGTAAATTTGATACTTATAAGAAAAATTTGAATAAAGTTGTTATTTTTTCTAATAATTTATGCTGTTTCTATTACATTTATATTTTGTAATTTCTTATGTACCAGATCTACTTTTAACTTTGCACTTGGCATGCTGCTTGTTTGCTGCTTATAAATTTTATATATATTTCTCACTACTCATATATAAATGTTATGTTAATTATTATGTAAGATCATATTACTTGGGAATTTTCTCATAATGTACTTAATAATAAAGAACGGGGATATTGTAATTGTTTTTTTGTTTCATACCACCAACACAATAGTAAATAAAGGCATTTTTAAAGGATTTAAATGGCCTTGTTGATGGCAAAACATTGTGGAGATTTCAAATCAAATTATGAATTAAGCAGTTCGTCCCCATAATGGGCAACAAAAACAAATAGTTTCCATCTAATTATAATTATTAAATAATTTTTTAAGTAGTAAAACAAAAAATTAGGTCAATACATTGTCAAGTTAAAAAATGAATTAAAATTTAAGTGTGCCACATTTTTATGGTGTGTATTTGTGACGGATGTTGTGTCAAGGCCTATGCTTGCCTATTTTTGCCAGTTTTGTCCGTCAGTTGTTCTTGCATTTCACCTTCTCCAACGGTGAATCAATGATTGTGAATGATAGACAAATTCTATGTGACGTGATGAATCAGTGGTTTGATCATTATCGATCATGCTGTTTTGCCTATTTTTGTCTGTCAGTTGCATTTTGACATCTTCAATAGTGAATCAATGATTGCAAATAATAGACAAATTCAGGGAAATATAATTAAACTGCAGCATGACGATAAATATTACAGTGCTGCATTATGCTATGAACACCTTCCAACATTGGACGATTATGGCCAAACCTCAACTGTGCAAGCGTCCAATGTCAAGCGTTGAACATTCATGTTCCAACACGATCAATTTTTGGGCTTTTACATCCGAGACAGGGAGGTCTTGAAGGAATGAAGGCATTTGTGTTGGAAGCCTGGTCACATGACTGCGGTGAAAGGAGTGCAAACAGCTAATTAACATAATGGAACAGGACAATAGCACTACAGCAGGAACCGTTTTCTCCGCTTGCTAAAAGGTTGGATCAAACATAACTGAGCAGAAACACTCGCCTCAACCTCAATCTATCGCGGAATGAGTCAAGGTTCAACGCATCATGTAATGCCGGTTTTACAAGGGTAAAAATTCTTGCGTGAGCCAAACGACAATGAGTTTTCTTAAAATAGTTATAATTTTTCGTTAAGTCAGACCCATAGGTAGAAAATATATAAGTGAAAAACACTCACTTTTATAACTGCACCTGTTATTTCCGCTTTTTGCTTGGCCTTTTTAAGGGACTCGGCCTGTAAATCCATTAGTTTCACCTTACGAGTCGTTTCTACCATTTTTTGATGGAGCTCGGTAAAGGCCTGGAAGGAAGAAATCAAAGAAAATAAGGTGTGCCAAATCAAAATCGGACTTACACGTGAAATTACTATATTATTTTCAATTATTAAACATACCACTTTAAGCTCCATATCAACTTTCGCCGCGCACATTGTTTATAAACAGTTAAAACAATTAAATTCTGAACAATTTCAATTTAGTTTGAATTTTTCAAAACTTCTTGCACCCTAGTTACTTTGTTATAACCTTATCTCTATGTTAAGTAAAGGTAGAAAATTTATGTGTGGGATTATCCACCAGGGATGCCACAAAAGAAATTCCCTTTTTTCACAAGAAATTATGTGCATTTACATCTGAATAATTATTATTTAAGCTGAATGAAAAATTAACATATTCACGATCTCGTACTTAATATGTAATTGGTCTCTTTTATATATTTTTTTTAATTCTGATGAATTTAGCCAATGACTCACTCCATTTTTTTAAATTCATTCATCTTCACTTTCACTATTGATAATATTGCTCTTCCTTCTAAAACTACAACTAAAAACCTTGTTTTTTTTTACCACAAATTAAGTTCTACTACTAAATCCTGCAGCTAAAAATGCTGGGTTTCTTATCTCATTACTCTACTGATCTTAACCATAACGCCTTGACTACGCTTTACATATTGCTAATAAAATCAATGTTTTTTGTAACCCTCGGAGCGCTGATGTTTTGAAAAAAGTAAGTATGTCGGATTTGAAAGCAGGGCCGCTGGATTCGAACCCAAGACCTTTACCTTACAGTGATGAGCGCCATGTCATCACCTAAACCGTTGTGACCACCAATATATACCGTTAAGCTTCATGTACAATTTTTTCCAAATCCTTGCTTATAAAGTGCGAGTAACTATTACTAATATAGACAATTTAAACAGTACTAGAATTTACTTCCTCTAGAGACAGACTTATCTCTAATATACTAACCCTTTTCAAAATAATCGATTATTAAACTGACAGTCTTTTTGTAACTTAGTAAAATTAACTTTTCTGCACCGAAATACTAATCATACTCGCAACATTTCCAAAGCTATCTTTGCTCAACTATGCTCTTCCTTCTTTCAATCAATGGCCAAGTAATAAGCCCAAAAAATACTCATTAATACAGTCTGCATAATCCTTTCTCATACCAACAGCTCACCTATTAATTTTTCTTCTAAAGTTAAAAATCTTGGTGTTATTTTTAACTCCAAGCTTACATGGCATGTCCTATTATTAAAAACATCTTAGCTTTTTCACTCTACTGAAAACTATAGTTCTTCTTATTAAAAGTCTAATAATTCCTTTATTTTCTTGTTCTAGCAATATTTTTATAACTTTTATTATACTCTCATCTGCTCATTGCATTCTAATTGCTTACATTGCTGAATTAAATATTCTTATGATCTTAAACCAAGAGATCATATTTCTTCCTACATTAACATATTTTTTTGCTGTAGTGATATTTTTTTTCAACTTTTATTAGACTCTCATCTGCTCATTGCCTTCAATTTGGTTACCATTGCTGAATTAAAAACTGTTATGATCTTAAACCAAGTGATCATATTTCTTCCTACATTAACATCTTTTCTTGGCATCAATTTTTTGTATAACTTTTACTAGACTCCTATCTGCTCATTGTCTTCAAATTGCGTAAGTTATATAGTTATAAGTTTTATTTTATTTACCAACAATTTTTATATGACTGCGTACTTAGGCTAAGGTCACACCAAGGTGTCCCATTTAGTGCCCAGTTACTTGATGATTGAAAAATGTTAAACTTCTTAAAAACCAAGCTTTTATAAAGTTAAGTTTGTTAAAATTATTTTTTAAATTATTTTGGGGGAACATTTTTGTATTGATGTACTGGAATCTTTTCAATCCGGCCAAGATTTGTATTTGAGTATGATAGACATGCAGCATTTTCACAAAGTACATTCATATGCTTACCATACTTAAATGAACAATTCAATTTAAATGGCTGCTTACTTAGGCTAAGGTCATACGGAGGTGTCTCGCTTGGTCCCCAGTTAACTGATGATTAAAAAATGTTAAACTTATTAAAAGCCAAGCCTTTATAAAGTTTTTAAAATTATTTTGGGGGGAAATTTTTGTATTGATGTACTGGAATTATTTCAATCCAGCCTAGATTTGTATTTGGGTATGATAGACATGCCACATTTTCACAAAGTTTTTTGCATACTTTTACCATACTTAAATGAAAGATGTTAAAACATGCCAATGTTATTGTGTATTAAACTTTCAACTTTTTTCTACATAATTTTTATTATTGTTTAACGTTATTGATCAATAATTCAATTTAAATGTATTTAAATTTAAAACACTCAGGTGTCTTGCTCGGTGCCCAATGTCCTGGTGATTAATAACTTTTTAAAAATCAAGTCTTTCTAAAGATTTTGTTTTTAGGGAATTTTTGTATTGATGTACTGGAACTCTTTCAATTCAGCATAGATTTCCATTTCGGAATGCTAGACATGTGCAGCATTTTCACAAAGTTACATCCATACTTTTACCATACTTAAATGAAGATGTTAAAACACGCCAATGTTATTGTTGTATTAAACTTTCAATTTTTTCCACATAATATTTATTATTGTTTTATTTTATTTATCGATAATTCAATACTCCTTACTTAGGCTCAAGTCACACCGAGGTGTCTCGCTTGGTCCTCAGTCAACTGATGATTAAAAAATGTTAAACTTCTTAAAAAACAGGTCTTTTTTTATTTTGGGGAAATTTTTGTATTGATGTACTGGAACTTTTTCAATCCAGCCAAGATTTGTATTTGGATATGAAAGACATGCAGCATTTTCACAACATTACTTTCATACGCTTACCATACTTAAATGAACAATTAAATTTAAAGGTCACACCAATTTTTCTTGCTTCGTGCCCAATTATCTAACGATTAAAAAGTATTAAACTTTTTAAAAACCAAGAATTTCACAAGTTTTTGTTTTTTTTGGAATTTTTTTGATTGACGGAATTTTTCAATCCAGTCTAGATTTATAGAAATTGTATTCCCCTGGAGACAGGAAATTTTACGTTGAAATTTCTCATAGTTGCTAACTCGAACTGAGTCCGCGTGACGGTGCGTCGTTGGTGTTCCTGTTACACTTGCATACAAGTTGTCTCGGCCCGTGAAGCGATTTCTGCTGAACGCTGTCAGATGAAGTAAAATCTCCCGACGAATCTCTGTCGACGGCCGACCCCTTTCAAAAGGCCGTTTTTCACCTTTTTCCCAGCTTTGTCCGAGTCGAGACGACGTGTCCGGTCATGGCGAGTAAAAGGCCGGATTTAAGCAATCAATGTTTTCTTTCAGAAATCGGGTCGAACGTTATATCGTTCTGCCCATAGTTTAGTTTTTTTATCAATTCCTGATTTGTCTCTTGAGAATTTGTTTCCCTTTCCTTATCGGGTTTGGGAAGAAAACGTTTAAAAATCATGCGAACAGCATCGACTTTTTCGGATTTCCCAGTCAAGGTACGTCATACAGATCAATTAAAAAAATAAACAGTTGCTTTAATGTTGTACCTTTTGAGAGAAAAATTGCATTTTTACAGTTACATCCATACTTCTACCATACTTAAATGAAAGATGTTAAAATATGCCAATGTTACTGTTGTATTAAACTCTCAATTTTTTCCACATAATATTTATTATTAAGTTTTATTTATTTACCAACAATTCAATTTAAACGACTGCTTACTTATGCTAAGGTCACACCAAGGTGTCTTTCTTGGTACCCGATTACCTGATTATTAAAAAACTTCTTAAAAACCAAGTCTTTATAAAGATTTTTAAACAAAATTTGTATTGATGTACTGGAATTCTTTCAATCCAGCTTAGATTTGTATTTGAGTATGATAGACATGCAGCATTTTCACAAAGTTACATTCATATGCTTACCATACTTCAATGAACAATTAAATTTAATGGCTGCTTACTTAGGCTAAAGTCACACCGAGGTGTCTTGCTTGGTGTCCAATTATCTGATGAATCAAAAATATTCAACTTCTTGAAAACAGAGACTTAGTAAAGCTTTTATTTTTTGGAAATTTTTGCATTGATGTACTGGAATTATTTCAATCCAGCTTAGATTTGTAGTTGGGTATGATAGACATGCAACTTTTTCACAAATTTACAACCATACGCTTACCATACTTCAATGAACAATTAATGGCTGCTTACTTAGGCTAAGGTCACACTGAGGTGTCGTGCTTGGTGTCCAATTACCTGATTATTAAAAACCTTCTTAAAAACCAAGTCTTTATAAAGATTTTTAAACAAAATTTGTATTGATGTACTGGAATTCTTTCAATCCTGCCTAGATTTGTATTTGGGTATGACAGACATGCAACTTTTTCACAAAGTTACTTACATACTCGTACCATACTTCAATGAATAATTAAATTTAATGGCTGCTTACTTAGGCTAAGGTCACACCGAGGTGTCTTGCTTGGTGTCCAATTAACTGATGATGATCAAAAATATTCAACTTCTTGAAAACAGTCTTTCTAAAGATTTTGTTTTTTGGGAAATTTTTGTATTGATGTACTGGAACTCTTTCAATCCAGCCTAGATTTCTATTTTGGAATGCTAGACATGCAGCATTTTCACAAAGTTACATCCATACTCTTACCATACTTAAACAAAAGATGTTAAAGTATGACACTGTCATTGTTTATTAAACTTGCAATTTTTTTTCTACACAATATTTATTATGTTTGATTTTATTTATCAATAATTCAATTTAAATGACTGCTTACTTAGGCAAAGGTCACACTGAATTACCTGATGACTTGCCTGGTATCTCGTGCCTAGATGCTTTGATGTGCTTGTCACCAGAGTTGTTTGATCGTTCACATTATTGAAACAACATTGACCAGACAAATTCTTTCGGCAAAAATATATCTTTGAAATACGAACAATCGCAGAAGGTCCCTTCATGCTGGGTGATATGTAATTGTGAGTGTAGTGAACATGGCCCTTTTCAACACCTTCCCACATTTTTTAGAATGATAATGTTTTTAAGAAGGTATGTACAAAACAGCTTGAAAGAACAATGCATAGGGATGGAGGTCAAGCAGGAAAATAGAACCTTTATAGGGGACCAGATATGGTAAAGGCCATAAAACTATATTACACAGGGGCTGGACGCAAGAACTGACAAATGGGCTGGAAAAAAAATGGCCAATGGGAAAAAGCTATAGTGAAACAGCGGACAAGGAAGATCATAGCTTAGGAGTAATGAAGATAGGGTATTAATTTTTTTCAAATGATGGTTTTGTGATAAAAACCATCATTTGAAAAAAGTGATCAAAGCTTAGGTAGTCAGATAGAGTTAGAAGGGCTGCTACCACCATTAACATGACACATTAACATAAAATTAGTAACAAATGAAGGCACTGGCCATATCTTCTTCACAAGTTAGCCAAGGACTGTATTGCCATTAATATTTTTTTTCTCCAGTGGACCATGGAAAAAGAGAGTTTATTTTGCATACTCCTTAAAACTAACACAGGGCCATTAATGATGAGGTGAACCATATTAATTGTGAGAGAAGTGAAAATGGTTAATTTCCTTTGTAACATCTTCCAATCTTTAGAACCATTACGTTTTAATAAAGATTACGAGTTGGATTCCACAAACATTCTTGTTCAAAAATTGCAGCTATTAATGCGTCATCCATGATCAGGCTTTAAAAACCACTAGGAAAAACCAACTCGACGGTGCATCTAGAGAGGCACCAAGCATGACCACTCTCACAGATTCTAGGCGGTTGTTTGCTATGATGTATCACCATGCGAGTCTTCAGGTAACTAGGTGCCTTCGGTATGACCTTAGACTTAGCCTTTTTACTCATTGGGTGTATTTCTCAATTATAATTTATTTTTATCAATAGAATTGGTTTATTTTCTGTCAACAACCAAGTGTTATTCTAAATCTATTTGCATAAAAAATTGCATATAGTTTAGATTAGCTGTCATGGACAACAGGCCAATCTTCTGTATATTCATTATATATCGTGGTCCTATTGACCAAATAACTTTTTTCGATTAATTAATCTTTTTATGTAAAGTATTGGTAGAAATGAAAAAGTTGGTTTCGCTGTCCTGCTCGTGACACTTCTATTATTTTTAAAATGTTGTATTGATTATGGTATGAAAAAATATTTGTTGATCTTTAAGCAGAAAGTTCTTTTGCATATCTACAGAACAGCTTGGGAGAACAATACTTGGGGATAGACGACAAGCTAGAAAATAAAGTAAAGGTCAAAAACTAGATTACACACGTCTAAAAAAAAGTTCAAAGGGAAAAAGCTAGAGGGAAACAAATGACAAGGAAAACCAAAGCTGAGTGGTCAGATGGAGTTAGAAGCTGCTACCATCACTATCATAAATAAAGAATAGAAATGAATTGAAGTGGGATGAGTATGGAAGTACATTTTTTGGAACAGCTAGTTCAGAAGTCTGTGGGTAGAACTATCTTTTCTAGAGGTAAGTAAATAAAAGTAGCTGAAAATGAAGAGACTGGCTGTAGGTTCTTCATGCCTAGGACATTATTTACTCACGGGCTGTACCACCATAGATGATTACAATGATGATAATATTAGAAATTCAAATTGTGAACCGTTTTAACTACTATTTAAACTGTAATTTGGTTGTTATCGATTATTGTAGGTTTGCCTATCTTCACTGGGTTAGTCTGTCAGAGTATAGATGAAAGGGTATAAAAAAAACCCAAGAAATACATGGTGTTGTTTTTATTTTCTAGGCGTAGTAAGTAAAGAAACGTCCAAAAAATAAAAACATCATGGTTATCTTGGAGTTACTTTCCACGGATACTCTTTTATCTTCTTTTCTATCTGATGTGTCTGACAAGTCCAACTCAGCGAGCGTAGGCAGGCCAAAAATAATTTTACATTAGTTAAAAACCATCATTATTGATGACTGAAAAGAAAATAATTTAATTATCATTGTGTGATATTTAAATATGTATTTGCAATTTTTCCACTGCAAAAACTTTAACTTTTTTTTCTTTTTCTTAGATCTATATGAGCAGAAGTTATTTTGCCTAGGATCTATTGTTCACTTGAATGTAGTCTTGGTAAATTTCTGTAAGGACAAGGTTCTGTAGAGATCCTTTTTGAGGGAATTCATAAAAAATTCTATTGTTTTACACATTTTCAGTCTGGTTTTTAGATGTGATAAGATGTGGGCTCAACAGTCGAGTTTCTATTTGTCCCCCTTTGACCTCTTATGTTGCATTAGTTAATGACTCTGATCTTATATTTTTAAAAATTTAGTAAATTTTTAAAAATATAATAATATTAATAATAATGGAAGCATAACTGTAATTTCAGGCATATTATGTTTATTTAACAATTTGTTTTCTATTTAACAACTTGTTTTCTTTTTTCCTTGTGCAGTGAAGGCGTGAATAAACTTCTATCAAGATGAACATTATGAGGAAGCTGAGAGGCAGTGCAGCGAATGTTGTCAACACGGGGGCAATTGACGAGAACAACGCCAATACGCAGCATGCAGCTTTGGGCTTGATGCACCTTAAAAAATTATTTTCTGAATACACCCATCCCCCACAACCACTTTCTGAAAAGGAAAAAGATGACAAACTCTACAATATGCTTCCTCTCTTTTGCAAGGTTTTTGGAAACTGTCCCTCATCTGATATGATGGACAAATTCCGAGACCTCGTCTCTTTCTGCCAGCAAGTGTCAAAATTGATGGTCTCTGAGATCCGGCGTAGGGCAAGCAACTTGTCAACAGAGACGGCGAGTTGTGCTATCGCCAAATTTCTGGAAATTGAAGGCTCTGAGGAGTCGAGCAACGGTTGGATGCTACTGTCGACGTTGAACCTTCTCGCGGCAGCAGGAGATCCACCGCTTGTTCAAATCATGACTTCGGTCTCACTGCCTTCTACTCTAGTGAAATGTCTCTATCTTTTCTTTGACCTTCCTGAAATGATTGAGCCGGATAGAACAGATGTGGACAGTGAATTCACACCTAGGGAGAGGCGGATCTTACTACAGAAAATCTTTGTCCAGGTGCTTGTGAGGTTGTGCAGTCATACCGAGCCTGCTGAAGAGCTCTCTAGAAAAAACGACCTTACACTCCTATTCTCGGCCATAACTAACAGCTGTGCACCACACAATATCCACTGGCGTAAATCTGCTGCTGAAGTTTTGATGACTATATCTCGCCATGGACTCACACCTCCTGTCGTAGCTTACATTCACAGCAAAGGCTGCGTTGCTCTTTGCCTGGAAAACATGCAACGAGGTCAAGACCTCTCACCTCTTGAAATCGTCGAGATGTTTGTTGCCGTGTTTTGCTTCTTAAAAGATTCCAGTGAAGTATCACAGACTCTTTTAGAGGATTTTAGGACATGTCAGGGTTACACTTTTCTCAATGACTTTCTACTAAAGTAAGTTTCTACATCTTGAGTTGTACTGATTGTTATTATTGATAATACATGGGTTTTTTTATTTTTTTAAAGGCTTGAGAATGATAAATCTGCTGAAGCAGTTGAAGCAATGCGCAATTTAGTTCTAATGATAGCTTCATTATCTATGTGCGGCCAAAATGAACTGAGACCTAGCCAAGCCAGCATGGGTTCATTGTTTCAGATGCTTGGTTTTACTCTGCCTCAACCGTCTGGTAGAGGTATATAATTAACTGGAATCCAATCTAATCATTTTAATAAATATTGTTTGTTGTAAAATTTAATATTCTCTTCATAGAGTAACAAACATAACAGAAGTGTGTGGTGATTATTAGTGACCATTAATCGATAATTATTCTGAAATCGTGAGATGCGGTCTGGTGCACCATCTCACGATTTCGGAATAATTAAACATAACAGAACTAGGAAGTATAGAAGTTTAAAAAAAATATATTTTTGTTCATTATTAGTTGAAGTTTCTTGAGTTAAATGACCCCATGACCTGTTGTGGACAGGATCAAAGACAGATCATTTGTATAATGTTTTTATGAATAGTGATCGACTGACAAAATACTTATGTCTTTTCCTTCCCTGGCTGACTCTTCAACTAATAATCAACAGAAATGGAATTCAACGTGGCAATGAAAATACAGTGCTCTCTCAATAATCAGAACTAATTTCTCTAGGGGAGTATTCAGATTGCAGAGGGTTAAAAAAAAGTACATTTTATAAAAAATACTATTTAGAGATTGTGAGATGAGGTCTGGTGTGATATAGGTTTAGAAAAACATTTTCTTTATCCAAAGTTTCGATCTTCATTGAGATCACCTTCAGGACCTGGGATTTAAAAAAAGTGAAAATGTTTTTCTAAACCTACATAAACCAGACCACATCTCACAATCTCTAAATAATCAGTAATTAATGGTAACTAAATATTACACATTTTATACAAAGACAATTTCAACACAACAGTTAATTTTATTGCATACCTATTAGAATACATATATTATCAATTTTGCTTTAAAAAATAAGTTCAAACAATTTACTTAAAATTATATGTTTATTAAATGTAAAAAAATATTTTGTTTGTCTCCTCTCTCACTCACTCTACTCTCTCTCTCTCTCTCTCTCTCTCTCTCTCTCTCTCTCTCTCTCTCTCTCTCTTTCTCTCTTTCTTTCTTTCTTTCTTTCATTCTCCCCCCAAATAATTTTTCATTTGTTTCCTTTAAAATTCTCACTCCTTGAATTTTTTTTCCAGTTCCAATTACTGGAAAGGCACTGTATTATATAATATTTGTACTGCTCTTAAGGAAAATGCACATGCACATAAATATTTGATGTAATTAACTTGTCTTTATCTTTAATATCTTTAAACTTTCTGTTATGGCTGTTTATTATTTTTCTTTTTAATTGTTTCCATTTTCAATAACAATGAACAACATAATTTGACCTGATTATATTTAATGAATCATATGTTTATTTTGATATTACATCTTCCTCCTAACATAAGTATCTTTGTTTTCTTTTGGTTAACAATAAAATAAATTAATAATGTAGAATTAGCATACAATAAGTTATGAGAGTGTTGTGGACTAGTATGATAGGAGCCCAAGGAGAGACCCTGTTATAAAAATTCTGCATTAAAAGTGCTAAAAGAAAATAATTATAACATCTAGTATTAATTGGTATTTTTAATTTTAGGGGCCAGTGTCCGAAACATACAAGCCTTTTTAGTTCTCCAGACCTTATTTTTAAAATCGAACTCAGCAAATCTTTGCTGTACCATTTTAGATGCCATTTCAAGTGTTTACCATGCAGACAATGCCAACTATTTTATTCTAGAGAGTCAGCACACGCTGCCCCAATTTGCGGAGAAAATACACTTAAAACCTCTAGAGATTCAGGTGAATTTTCATTCGTTCTGTTTTGATTTTATTAAAATTCTACAGCTTTCAAAAGCTTTGAGACAAATTAGACTAATTAGGGATTTATAATTAATTTTACATTTGTTGTGTTTCAGAGTTCGATACCAAATATTGTTTTTTATGTTCCTAAATTAAACTTCTTATTTCTTGCTCATCATTGTTGTATACATTCATATTAATTTTCCTTATTTTTTTTCCAGGAGAAATTTTTTAATCTTCTCGAATTCATTGTATTTCAACTGAACTTTGTACCTTGCAAAGAGCTCATATCATTATCAATATTGTTGAAAGGGCAAAATTCAGTATCTTGCAGCATAATTTGTATGAAGACTCTACTTAACATTCTTAAGTCAGTGGTGTTTCACTGTCGTATTATTCTTAATTATGAGTCTTTTGAGTTAATAATTATGTTTGATCGCAGGCACAATGTGATTTTCAAAGATGTCTATCGAGAAGTTGGCATCCTGGAGGTTTTTGTGACTTGTCTTCAGCGTTACAGCACACTTCTGAAAGAGAGACAACAGTCACAAGAAAAGAACATCGAATTTGTGATAAACCCAGAGCAAGAGAACCTTGGTATGCTAGTCATCGAAGCTCTGACATCCCTCTTGAATGGAAACACAAGCAATGCCAACATTTTCCGAGAAAGTGGAGGAGCAAAATGTGCATTGAACATGGTCTTGTATCCTGAATGTCGACATCAAATTTTAGGTATTGGTTTCATTTGTTCCGTTATGTTTTATTATGTGTAATCCTGCACATAGTAAAGATTTTAATGGAAAAATTATACTTTACAGGCATAGTACGAGAATTAATGTTAAATGTAGGTGGGGATGATGACATGGGTACTTTACTAGCTTTAATGCACGGTTCTCCAGCTGAGGCTATTGCACTGAAGGGACATATTTTGAAGGTAAATAAATTAATTGTTACATGGTCCGACAATTTATAATTATACCTTGTATGTTTCTAGTGTGTTCTTCAGTGCCTTAGAGAAAGCCACAGAACGCGAAATGTCTTTCGTAAAGTGGGCGGATTTGTGTACATTTTAAGTGTTATTGTTTCGATGGAAGGTAGCCTGAAAAACGAGCCACAGCCTCCATGGGACAAGTTTACCCCACAACAGATCCTCAGTTTGCTGCATACCATCTTCAACACGATCACAGTCGCCATGCGTTTTGAGCCAGCCAATGCCAAATTTTTTCACCAAGAGGTTTGTCCAAGTTTTCAATTAAAAAAAAAAAAACTTTTAAACACCACCAGAGAGGAATCAGAAGAGGTCGGAAATAGTTTGGTTTTTTAGCGCAACTACTACAAGTTCAGGACTAGTTCAGAAAGAAAAATATCTAGAAATATGCCCTCAGGCCTAGTGCATTAAAATTCTGCGCATGCGACTCTCATTTATTTCAAGTTCATCTTCTTCAGACTCCTCTTCCGATTTTTTTTTTATGACAAGAGAGGAGTTGGGAGCGACTTAAAACCCTTAATAGTTAGTACTTATTTTGCCGGATGGTATGATAGTGTGGAATTATTCAAGCATTTTAAGTTGGTCAGAGAATGAACAAAAAAAAATCTGTGTATTATTAGATACAAAACTATCAAAATTATTTAAAAATTTGGAGGAAAAATTTCTCCAGTAAGGGTTCCAGCTGCGCTTTTTTGGAACTTCTTCCATACTTTTACTGCCCTGGGGTTAAGCACTGTTTCCTGTACGAAACTTGCTGCTGAAACAAACCTAATTAAGTTAAAAAAAAAAAAAAAACTAGACGTTCTTAATACATATTTATTTTTTGTTTTTTAAAATAATTTTTATTTTATTATCTTTTTTAGATATGTTTAACAAGTCTTTGTGATACACTCCGTCTCCTGGGATGCTTCAGTGATAAGACATTATTTGAAGTAGCAGATAGTTCTATTCTTCCTTCAACTGACGATACATTTCATAATCTTTTCATAGGAAATGTCCAAGAACCAACGTAATTTTTTAAATTTAGTTTTTTCAAAGCAAAACAATTCCATATAAAAAAAATTCTAATGAACTCTTACAGGTTACCCGAGTCTCTGCCTAAACATGTGGCCTATGCATGTCTCGTCATTAGGTTGTTGTACGATGTAGCCATAGATCTGTATGATAAGCCTAATCAGAACAAGATGCTTTTTAGATCACCGTCGCATAAACATATCGAGGTGCAGAACTTTTAATCTGCTGTTTAAGCACACGTTATTAAATAATGGTTTGTTTTAGGGGCAGAAATCTTTGGAGTCGCCCTATTTGACTCGTAGAGTCACTAGTCTCAACTTGACCCCTCCAACACCTGACCCAATAATTGTGCATTCTGGTGTCGTTATAGCTCTATTTCACATGATTCCATCAATCTTCCATCAAAATTACCCCCAGGTACAGCACCACACTTGAAATTGTTTCGACTTGTTAGGAATACGGACAAATTGTCATTTTTAATCGTTTTCTTTATGTTTTAATTTGTTTTATTTTAGCAAACACTTCAACTAGAAATTTATTGTGTGGAAATTGTGAAATCTCTTGTTCGTTCTGAAAGAAATCAGCAGATCATGTGTGAGGCAGGACTTCCTGCTGAGCTTTTGTCCATTGGTTCTGTACCGCTCCAGGATGAAAACCATCCTCTTCATCAACCCTTACAATATATGATTGAACGCCTTGCTACACAAGCAGTCGAACCTAAGGATTTAAGGTATATTAACTTAAATAGAAAAATTCTTCATCTTTTTAATATTCTTGACTGAAGAATTGCAATTTTGGATCTTGATGTGTTTCAAAATGATAGCCATTTATTTTCTGAGCTGACGCAGACTCAGAACCCTGTTGTTTTTTTAATTTTATTTTTAATTCCCTTTGATTGATGTGGAGATCACACATCAATAAAAGGTGTATCCCATTCAATAGCAAACAACTTGAGGAAATCCAACAAACTACGAGAAATTTGATTAAAAATGAAATAAATGTTGATTAATGGACATGGCCCGAAATGTATTAGCAATAAAAATATTTCGCATAAAAATAAATGGTGTTTAATTACAAAAAAAAATTCTAGATTTAAATGTTGATACAATAATAATAATGATAATGGCTAGTGGCAACAATGGTTAATTTGTTGACACAGTGATCGTTATTTGAAGGGTCCCAATTTTAAATTTCAGGGTTTGAACCCAAAGTGCAGTGCTCTCTCCCTAATTCGAACTTCGGTACTCCGAACATTCCGGTAATCCGAATTGTAAAAAAAAAATCTAAGGAGTGAGAAGTTTAAAGAAACATTATTTGCAGGAAAAAAAAAGAGCAGGGGAGCGAGAGCGTCAGCTAAATAGTCAAAGAATGTGTGTGAAAGAATGAGTGAGAGAGTGAAAAAGGAGCGAAAAATAGAGGGAAAAAGGAGGGAGAGAGGGTGGGAGGGAGTGAGTGAATGAGTGAGTGAGTAAAAAAAAGAAGAGAGATAGAGTGGGGAAAGATTGAATGAATATCATTTTATTTAAAAAAATCTCACAAATTTATGTTATGACCTCTTACAATTAATGAGAATGAGGGAGAGAAAAAGAAAAGAGAGAGAGGGAGAGTCATGAAAGACAAAGACAAGCTTAGACTATACAATTTTCAAATATTTCTTTTGCCTAGTGAATCCGAATATTTTATCAATTTTTTTAAAATTAATTTTGTCCAGGGAATTCTTAAGGCTTGGAAATCCTCTTAGCTGCTTATCATATAAGGACTTGAGCAAAGGGTTAAAAGGTGGTGGTGCAGTACCACTTACAAGGGTAAAAACCCTGGTTTCTATGACTACTCCTAGATCTCAGGGGACGAATTTCTCACCACCTTTTACCGAATTCGACATGTCTGCTGAGGGCTTTGGCTGTCTTTATTTACCAAGCGTAGCTCCTCAGTCGCCAAATGGACCATCTGTTGTAAACGTCGCCACATTGACATCGTCTGACATAAGCGTCGTAGGCGGAATTGGTGCAGGTAACACTAAAGTTAATTCAATTGGTTTGACAAAACACTACATTTGATTTTTTTAGGTGATAGGATGTTTCCTCCTCAAACTGGTTTGAGTTATTCCACGTGGATTTGTGTCGAGCGTTTTTCAGATCCCAGATCCGATCCTCATTGTGTGCGACTTCTTACTTTAGTGCGAACTTTACAACCAGCTAAGGATCAGCACTTAATATGCCTAGCAGTTGTCCTTTCAGCTCGAGACAAGGCAATTATTATAACAACACAAGAAACTCCACTTTTAAACAGTAAGTTGTACCTTGAAGGATGTTTATAAAGTTGATTTTAGGCCGTAACGAATATTTTAATGGAAAATGTTTATCTTTATTTTAGCTGGGAATGATTGGGAGCCAGAAGCAGCCTCTGACTGGACAGCCAGGGTTTGGTGTCCTGACTTATTACAAGAAGGTCACTGGCACCATCTCGTTCTTGTACTTAATCGGGCAGTGCTCAAAAATAGCGCTCTTTCGATATATGTCGATGGCCAGCACATTCATACACAGAAACTTCACTATATTTCTCAGAACCCTGGCGGGGGTGCTGCAAATCTCACTGTAGCTTCTTCTGTGTACGGCTACATCGGGACGCCTCCAATGTGGCGCAGGTACTCCAGGCTTTCCTGGAAACAAGGCCCTTGCCATTTAATCGAGGAAGTGCTCAGTCCTCATTCTGTTCCTATCATGTATCAACTCGGACCGCATTACCTAGCAAGCTTCCAAGCACCGCACATTCACGGTATTTGTCGTATTTGAATATATAATCATTATTTAGCAGTTTCGGTGATAATTTAGTATAATAAGTTTTATTTTTAAGGTAACGAGCCAATGCCACCAATCGTAGCAGAGGAAAAAATAGTATTTGCACTTAATGCGAAAGCAGTTTCTCATTTGACATTAGCAAAAATAAGAAAGCTTTATAGCCGTGCTGATAATAAATCTATTGCCAAACAGGTAAATGGTTTTTCCAAATGAATATATTTCCTGTAAACTTGTTAAAAAAGCATATATTTCCTCAAAAATAGTCATTAGTCTTCTATTTTATGGTTTCTGATATTTCAATAATTTGTTTTTACAGGTTGGAATGTCATCTCATGAGAATGCGACACCAATCAGAGTGTTGCACAATGCAGCTGGTCATTTGTGTGGAGCAGCCAGGTCGCTTGGTGGCGTCATAGTAGGATATTTGGGCGTGAGAGTCTTTACTCCACGTCCTGTCTCAAAGGTGATTGACAGTGTAGGGGGCTGTTCTGTTCTGCTCGGGCTCATCTCGATGGCCCAGGATGTCGAAAGCCTATACGCTGGAGTCAAAGCCCTCGTCTGTGTTGTGAAGAGCGATAGGGTCGCTCAGTGCGAGATGGACCGACGGAGGGCATACCAGACGCTCGCTATGCTACTGAGGCGGAAGAAGCAAATTTTAAACAGCCACATTCTTCACTTAATCTTCAGTCTTGTCGGGACAGTTGATAGCGGAAGAGAGAGTTCTTCAATTCCTAATATAATGGCGTTTCAAGATTTACTTTGTGATATTGAGGTAATAGTTTTATGCTTGTCAGGTTTTTAGTTAGCCCAGACAATTAAAGGAGGTCAACCTTGGATTCTTTTTCCTAATGTTTCTTTAATATTTTGTGAACTAATAGTCTGATCACATGAAAAATTACTCTCATTTTCCTCCCATACGAAGAACCTGCTGAGGCATTTTTTGCAAATTTTAAATTTTACTAATTTTTACATGATGTTAAACATTTAATAAAACTTTGTCCCTAATTACAATCATTTAAAAAATTTTCTCATGGCCTTAATTTTATTTCCAAGATAGCGCTCAACACAATCTTTAGTTTTTTGCCCTTGTTAAATTGGAAAAAATAAGCAATTCAAAATATTGAACAGAAACTGTGAAAAGGAACATGAAGGTAAAATGCAGATTTTTAAGTTTATGTTCAAAGTAAACAGTTCAATAAATAAAATATATGTATATTTAAAAAAAAGAAAATATTTTTGGCCAAAATTTCCAAAATTGCAAATCCTTTACACCAACCAAACATTGCATAAAAATTTAGTTTAATAAAAAAAATTAAATTCAATTTGTGGTCAAAATTTTCAAAAATGTCTTGCTAGTACTTCCTGTGCTCAAAATTGCAAATCCTTTATGGCAAATGATGCAGAAAAAAGTCCTAGTTTAATGAAAAAAAAAAAAAAAAAAAAAAAAGGCTTTTTTAAAACCACAATTGGTTGACACTCCTTTAACACGTTTATTTTTCTTTTCTTTTTTTAATTATTATTATTAAAACTGAGAACTAACATAATTTATAGTAACTGGTATATTTTGAATTTGTCTTAAAATCTGTTAAAAGAGAAGAGGAGTCTAATTCCCAGTCATGTCTGAACTGTTAAATAATCCAAAAACCAATAAAAATAAAAATATTTTTTAAAAACCTGGACTTTGAATTGAATGGAAAATTGTGACTTTTCNTATTTTTGGATTTAAAAGACTTCGTAAACTTTTCTAACTTTTTGTTTTAATAATAATAAAAAAGGTGGAAAAGCTTACGAAGTCTTTATAATCCAGATTCTCATCCATATCCAACAAAAAGGAAAGCAAGAAAAAAGATTTTTGGCCAAAATTTTCAAAATTGGTTTTGATCACTTCCGGTGCTCAAAAAATCCTTTATGGCAAATGATGCACAAAAAAATCCTAGTTTAATTTAAAGAAAATGTCTTTTTTAACACCATTGGTTGATCCCCTTAACACATCTGTTTTTTTATTAAAACTGAGACTAACATAATTAATAACAACAGGTGTATTTTGAATTTGTCTTAAAATCTGTTAAAAGGAAGAGTCTTATTCCCAGTCAAGTCCAAACTATTAAATAATCCCAAAATAAATTTAAAAAAATATCTGTACTTGAAATAATAATAATAGTATGGTAGTTGCAAGGGGTTTAAGCAAAATTGAATAATTTATCCTCACTAATACTTGGATGGTCAAGGATTTTACTGTCAGGCAACGTTGGGACTGAGTCGGTCTTCAAAGAAATTTGAAATCTGTGAAAAACTTACGCCAATTTGTAGATATATTTAAAATTGTTTTGTCCTGCCTGATGAACTTAAAAACCTTAAAATAGGTCGAAAGCTTGACAGAAACAACTGTATTTGCTTTTTCATGAAAACCACACCATGATCTAAAGTATTTGTGGGTATAAAAGTGGTTGATACATCTAAAACTTAATAATTCATAATAAATAGTACTAAAATGTGCTAATAAAATATACAAAATTTATACAATTAATAACCACAATTTTTGATTATATATACTCACTTGTTCCTCTTAGGTCTGGCATGAAGCACCTGGTGATCTACAAAGAAGTCTTTTTGAGCATTTGTATGAATTAGTGGCTGAGTCTAGTGAGAAAAAATGCAATATCAATTTAATAAGACAAATGAGGCTTATCCAACGGCTGCTCTACATCCTCCCAGCAGTTGCGAGCAACCCTACAAGAGATTTGATGCTTACGTTGCTTGGAGCTCTTCTACTGGCTCAACCTGATACCAGTGATATTCTAGCGTAAATTAATATAGTTTTATGCACTATTAACTGATTAAAATAATATATTTTGAATTATTGTCTAGGTTTGGTCAGTTCATTATATCAACTCTTCCTTGTTCCACGACTGCATCAGAGAAAACAATCATATTACAAGAACCTTCACATACTTCTTCTGGAAATTCTTTTGACCATGCTGACCACGTTGAGATCTTTGATAGCGGTGAAGGCGCAAGCTCAATTATTTTGAGAAACAGATGCTTGCAGCTCCTTCACAGCTTGTTATTCACCCCTAGGAATGCTGTGAACACTAGGTTTCTTGTTTTATTTATGGATTTATTTTATTTTATTTTAGTTTTTTTTAACACTAACTTTGGGGTTTAGCTTCTGTGAGGAGATCGCCCTCGTGTTAGGTATGGACTGGCCCTTGTTATTTCTCCAGCCACAGCTTCACTCTTCAACAGTGATATGGGGCTTGCGGATCCTTGTCGTCCTATGCTCAATTCCCAACCTCATGATTAAGTTCAAGGATGGGGCAAGTTGTGGTGGATGGCTGCATGTTGCAGATCTTGTACTGCAAAATCGAATGGGTGTAGTTCTAGGTAAAGGAATAATATGAAAGTAACACATTTTCCTTATTTTTCTTATTTTTTTATTGTGAATTTTTAAGGTTAAATACATTCAGTCTGAATTTTTGTTTTATTGTGAATTTAATTTGATAATTTCTTTTCTGGTTCATGCCTATTTTAGTAAAAGTTCGTGAATTTTTTCCTGTTCCTTAAATTAATAACGTATTATAGCTGGTTGCCAACTTGGATCTGCTATACCAAAACGAGAATCGAAAATCGAAAACACAGGTACTCCTGGATTTCAACAGCTCACCTGGCTCCTTCAGCATCATACGGATGTTTCACAAATATATTTCCTTCTTATGGCACTGATGATGGGCCAACCTGTAAAACTCCTTCCCGCTGATTCAAAAGTAGGTAAAAATTTGAATAAATGTTTTTATTTCATTTATTTATTGTATGCTTTAAAGCTTGACCTCCTTAATGCGTGGAGTCTGTTGTTTGGAGTACCGGCAAATCAACCGATGGCGAGTGTCATGGGAAAAATAGTTCTCTGTGCTGAAGCAGTTACTGCAATGCTTTCCATGGTTCGCGTTCTTTTAAGTAACCACATAAAAATGTAAGAGCAAATTACCCACGTCATATCTGTCCACTATTTCATATTAAATAACGTATATTTTTAGATCGTCCGAAGCCGAATCTGACAGAGTGCATTATGCAGTGAACATAATTCAGTTTTTGTTCCTTGTCTACCACAGCAATCCTCATTTGATGTCTGTATTTATGAGTCAGGAAGTGTTAACTGCTCTTGCAAACACTCTTTTTCCTGTAACAAGTGAACCACCAACACCTGCAGATGAAGTATTACTACTTGTTTTCTCATACAAATTCAAAAATTATAATGACATTTTATTTGTTTAAGGTATTTCAGCCGGAAGTGGCAAGGGTGTCAAGCCATGATAATGTCAGCAATCACCCTGCTCATAAATTTGTAATGGATTTTATCAGATTCATTATTATGGACTCCCTCTCGCTCCCGGTCACTGCCAAAAGCACACCACCTCTTGATATTGTACTTGAGGTATTTACTTTTTTCAATAAAACACTATTTCTTTTGAGTTTTCCTTTTTTATATTTTATTATATAGAATAATATAATATATAAGTATGGAATCATAAACTCATTTATTTCAAAAAGCAAAATGTTTATTAAAAATTGTTTCTGTCTTGTGTATTGCTCCGCTTATCAAATGTATAAGCCTGTCGATTGTAATACAGTCGCTATCTCAATAATCTGTCTGAATTGCTGTAGGATGTTAAAAAATTCATATGTGGACAAACAATTTTTTTCAACTCAACACTTTATTATTATGTGCACAAACATTAAACCGAGGGATTCACTGAACAAAAGAAATTCTGTGAAATTTGTATAGTATATCGGTCTTGATTTTTCGTATGACCCCTCTTCATTCACTCTTCTTTTCTCTTCTCTTTTCTTTCTCTTTTTCTTTCTTTATTTTACTCTCACATCTATATAGTCTTTTGTATGATCCCTTTCACTCAATCTGTCTTCCTCTTTCTCTCATTCACTCCCTCACTCTGTCTCTCCCTTTCCCCTAAATTCTGCTTCATTTGTTTCCTTTAAAATTCTCTAATAATACCTTGAATTTTTTTCCAGTTAAGATTACTGGATTTTTTTTTTGGGGGGGGGAGCATGAAAAAAAGACCAGAGGCGACGGTGGGAATCGAACCCACGACTGCGGGATCTACGACCCCGAGAGTCTCTCACGCTAACCACTCGGCTACCGCGGCCCCCCTACTGGAATGTTGGGAGTACTGAAATCAGATTAGGGAGAGAACACTATTTGAAATAGTAAATAGTTTTTTTTTAACTTTCAGAAAACTAAAGCTAGTTTCAAACGAGGCAGTTTTAGATAATTCAACTGAGTTGCTTGGTTGATTCTCAAATGGTTACTGCCAGATTAAGACTTCTTTTATCTTTCACACTAGGCAATTTGTGGAATCAACTTCTCTTCCCAGTGGGAGTTAATACGATGTTGGAACCCGAGGAAGCAGGAGAAGCACTTTTTGTGCCTTCCCTTCCACTTGTTTGGAAATCTTAGTGCTGTTGAAATCGGGATAACTGGTCACTTCTCTGCAACACTTCTTTTAATTTTGTATAATACTCATTACAGCTCAACCCACATTTTTTCAATAAACTGTTCCACATTGAAATTTGAGGAAGGAACGCTTTCCATGTTGTTCCATTTAATTGATTCTACTAGCAGACTGGTGTGAAGGGTGAATGGCAACTAGTCTCTTTTGAGTCGGGTCAACCAGTGGAGATGAGAATGTTAATGTTGCTTCACTTATTGACACCTGCTTGGTCAACTAGTTGATTCAACTAACTGCCTCGTGTGAAATAGGACTTATTCTTCAGTGGATATTGAATTATACACAACACTAAACGCCTTGTTACAATTGATTATTTAATAATAAATAATAACTGCTAGCGGAAAAAATAAAAAATGGTGCCATATTTTTTTAAATAATTTTATATTAAAAATCTGGGATAAGGTCAATTTGAATAGAACAATTTCATCCACCTTACAGATCTAGAACAACAACAGTTCCATTTTAGTTTGTACTTGTTGCTGTCAAAAGTTAACATTTAATTATTGTAAATTTTATTATTTCTGAAACATTTCTTAATAAAATCAGCATTGAAATAAATTAACTTAAATTTGCACACAATTTAAAAAATTAAATCAGTTGTTACAAAATAATTATATTGTGCTTAATTGACAAGTTTAATATTCACATCATTATGTCAGGGCAATATCAAGAACATTTCATCTTTTGTTTATCTTCTGTTCCTTTTTTCTTTCCTTCAGTTTGGTACATTTCCAAGTCGTACTTTGATAATAGTTTTCCCACTTCATCCAAGAGAGTTTCTCTTTCGTTCTGCAATAAATTCCTCGCGTCTTCTAGATTCTTTCTTTTTCCGATCAAGGAACATCTTTCGTAAGAAATGGACAACTCTTCTAGCTCCAGTTGTTTCTTTTCACATTCAAGGATCTGTTTTTCTGCCTTTATCTTTGTTAAGCAATCGGCAATTGCATTTTCAAAATCGTTCTTCTTGCTGTCCTCTCCCTTGCAGTTTAAAGAAAGATTTATTTCTTTGGGGCCGTGTTCCGGTTCACTCTTTTTGAATTTATTTTTCACATTTTTCTCCAGCCATTTCAGCCTTTCGTACTCCTTCTTTGGCATGCAACAGATCTCTTTTCTCACTTTTGAACACGTTTTGCAGTCACTGTCACCTTTATACAACTTGCCAATGAACTGCCGAATAAAAGTCGCTTTTCTTATTAAGTTCAACACTTTTGCGATTAAAAATTTTTGTCCCTTTTCTATTCTATTCACTTTAAACTGACTTATATTTCTATTGAGGCAGAGATGATTCATTCTTGGCGCTCCTTTGCCATACTGAAACAAATAATGCCAACCTGTTTAAGGCCATCATACCGTATCATCCTCAAAATGAATTTTAACTGCCCCATCTCAAATAATATCAACTAAAAATTAAAACAAGCTGCACAAAAACTTAATACTAGCCGTTTTTATTTTTATTATTTGTATTGTAGGTTGTTGAACAATAAACTGCAGTGTGGGATTTTCTTTAACAGAACGTTTTCAACATTTTTTCAACAATATGGGACAATTCACACATTGTTAAGAGGTCTACTGTATATACAAATGTAAATAACCCTGAAGAGGACTCATGTCATGATGTTGAAAATGTTCTGTTAATAAAGAACATTTAATGCTGCAGTGTATTGTTGAACAACCTACAATACAAATAATAAAATTATAAAATAAAAAATTAATTACTTTCTATTAATGCTTTATCAATCAAAAATTGAATTATTTGTGATATTAAACTCTTTTTTTTTTTAAATGTGCCGATTTATTTTCATATTAGAATGACTCAGTGGGAAGTCAGGAAAATATAATTTTAAACAAATTTTTGAATTACCTTCACCAGCGAAGGATCAAACATATTTTGATGCTAGTTACAGCAGGTGCTAAATGATATCTAATATTAAGAAACATGGAAGCTAATTTCAGAGAACAAACAAACCCAATAAAAATATATTCCAAATGTTGTTTTTAAACAATAATTTGTTACACGAGTCAGACATACACACACACCACAAGAGGTAAATGTTTTAATGTTTTAGGAGTAATACATACATATGTTTGTTTTAGAACAAGCTGAAATAATAATTCTAAAAAAATAATGTATCACGGTCATTAATTTATTGAATATCCTACAAAACTCATAAGTGCTTTTTTTTGTTTAGCTTTTTCCAGATTTGTTTTTTTTTTCTTCAGCTTCACATTGTTCAATACAACGTTTCAGATCACTTAACATTTTCTTTTCAGACGTAAAAATTTTTTTTTCTTTTTCAAATTGGCTAGTTTCTTCATCGCACAAGCTCTTTTCTACTTCGACCAATTGCCTTTCTTCTGACATCCTTTTCTTTTTCTGCAGCAAAGCCCGCTTTTCCTTGTTGAGCGATATTTCTTCCTTTTCCACCTGTTTCATTAGTTTCAGGTTTTTATTCTGATCTTTGTTCGAAGACTTACTAGCTGCCCATTCTTTCCCTTTTTGTATTATACCTACAAGTGATGATTTTTTCTTTCCACATGCATCTTTTTTCAACTGACTCTGAGGCACTGGCACTAATGCTAAATTTAATTGTTTGCAACCATCATTTTCTTTTTTTGGCATGATGACATTCGAAGGTTTTTCTTCTAAGCAAAGCTCTTCTGAACACTTATCACATGCTTCTTTGGCTTTATTACTTTCTGCTGGCTTATCACAAGTTTTACTTTCTGCTGGTTTTACAAGTTTATCCAATTTTTCTTCTGGTTGGCAATCATTTTTCTCTTCTTTAGTGGAGTTTTTCTTCTCAACATCTTTTACCTCCTTACTATCACCAGTTTTAGATACAGCTGTCTCATTTTTGCAGGGACTGGCAGCTTTTATCTCTTTCTTTTTGGCACATTTATCTTCTTTTGATACATTTTCATCCTGTTGTGATGTTTTTTGTTCCTCTTTCTTTTGGTTACTACTATTGTCTGTTTTAGCTTTCTTATCATCAGCATTTTTATCTACTTTTTTTTCTTTGAATGCATTGATATCTGATTCTTTTTGATTAAATGGATTTTTACAAGGGTCAAAACTTTCTTTTTCTTTACCTTTGCCACTGGGTCTCTTGGCACAAGGATCTTTTTTCGAAGTTTTTTTCGAGTCTTTTTTTGACTCTTTTTTCGGCTCTTTTTTCTTTTTATTGCATTTTACTACTACTTCTTTATTTTTTTTCATGGACAGAAGCTTTTTTGCTTTACTGCTCACACTCTCCATCTTCTTTTTACACATCTTACAACCTTCTCTTAAAGTACAATCTGACTGGGATGTTTTTAATTCAGTGGACTTTTGGTCATGTTTGTTTTTATCTTTCTCAGCCTCGGCCTTTTGTTTATCCAATCTTTTTAATCGGCAGTATTCTTGTTTCGATATACAACAGTATTCATCATCTTTAGTTGGCTTTTTTTGCTTTGGAGATGAACAGATTATTTTCTTAATGAAACTCAATCGCCTTGTCTCAGTTCGGATACCTATTTCTGGAACCAAACCATTTCTTCGTATGGTTAGTTTGTTAGTAGTCTTACTAAATTGTCGGCTGTAATAATTTTCTTGTCCACCTAGGACCTTAGATACTGAAGGCAAGTAGTACTGAAACAGATAAAATGAATTGGATGTATGTACTTAGCAAGAGGCTACAAGGTATTGTTTGTCATTAATGTTAATTATTATCCATATCATTCCTATTAAGTATATTTAAGATAGCACTTTACAAAATAATACAAACACCTAAAGTTCAGTGTTATATGGAGTAAAATATTATTCATAATCTTCAGATTATCGACATTTAAATTTTTTTTTATAATAGTCATTTTTTACTTTTAATGGGACCAGATTGTTTCCTTCACTGTTTTGTCGGTAAAATCTATTCATTGCAATAAAAAAAAAGTAGCATTAAAATTCGGTCTAATGTCAACAGGGAGATAAACGATTACTGATATATTAATTATAAAACAAAGATTTGTTCACCATTATTTGCCAAAATCTGTACAGTTAAAAAACCAGGTAACTGGAAAAGTTGGTGCCTGTTTTTCATTTGTGTTGTCCTGTTTTAAAACTTTCAATAACGAATTTTATTAACAGAAAAGAATTAGGTGTTATAACATGTAAAACCAAGACGATAATGCTTCAGTACATAAAGAAAAAAATGTCTTCTTTCTCATAGCTTCAAAACTCATAATTCATGCATGCTTATTGCATGAATTTAAGCTCGATACTAGGGGTGGTCGAAAAATTGTAAAATTTGCACTTCAATGATGAAACAATAAGTGAGTGCACTGCCCAAAAGTGGTTAAAAAAGTTTCCTTCTGGTAATTAAGGGATTGACCCTCTTGAAAGACAATGAATTATATTATCGAACTTGATTCAAGTAAAAATATCACGGAGCTCACCAGCGATGAAACCTCCCGCTCTTGCTTAGTCGACTTGGGAAAACAAGCTGAGCAAATTCCTTATAAATTGACTGACAGTAACAAGCTTCAGCAATCTAAACATTTGCTTTCGCAGACTTTTTTGACTGGATTGTAATATGCAATGCCATATGCTGTACAGTAACATCAGGTCTTACCATTGGCTGCCACCATATGTCCCATTGACCCGAAAACCAAATATTTACTAACAAAAGGTGATGCTTTGTGTTCAGTGGAGTGTGCATTGTGCGCTATGAACTCTATCTTGAAATCTCAAGCCAACTGCATTGATTATCTCCTGCTCTAGCCAAGAAACACGACCTGCTCTTGTGAACAGATTAGGTGTAATTTTTCTCCTGGATAACACGAGATCTCATACGGTGATAATGGTTGGGAAGCTCTACTACACTCTGGATCGGGCCCCATCTGACTTTCGCCCTTTCTTAGCAATGGTCTATCGTATGCGCACAATCTGGAGTTCAATAATCACCGACAGCTGGAAAATAAGCTGAATTTATTTTTTAAGACCCAGGACCCAAAGGGCATAACTGGGCTTGTAACTCGGGAAAATTATAGATGCTGATGAAGACCCTGGAGAAAAAATTTTCTAGACTTAATTTTAATTGTGACAATTATTAAACACTTTAAACCCACACAAACTTTTCTGGTTACCTGGTATTTTTTAAATTATTATTGCTGGAATTGCTTCACTTTCATAAAAACCTTGAATTATATACCAATAATTTTGATTTTGAATGTCTTGAAGATGAAAATTATGACTAAGATATTTGTTATTTTACAATTTTCTTGTTATTACATATAAATAACCTAAAATTTAAATTAATAACAAAATGATACCGCACATATTTTATTGTTTGTTTAATGAATTTGCACCACAACCATTTAAGACACAAATGTGAAACGTGCTAATTAAATTATCTTTAAAAAATCTTTCTAGATCACATTTTTTTACATCATGTTATTGCTGAATGGGTCATCTAGTTTAGCTACACCGCGTGAACTGTGCCTGCATGGAGACTCTCTTTTCCATGGAAATTTTTCATATGGCCAGTTCTGGTCGATATCAGACCAATAATCCTCTTCGTCTTGACATAAAGGTTCTTTTTGTTTTGGACAGGGTAAAGAAGGGTGTTCTGGAGGGCAAGGCTCTTCTTTGTCTTCACATTTGATTTCAGGACATAAAGTATCATTGTTATCTTTGTTATAAACAGTATTTGAACCTGTGATCCAAGCCAGTTGGCCGTTCAGTAGTTGGTGGTCAAGAGATGGCTCAAATGTAGAAAGAACCTTTTCGAAAAGAGAATCTTTTTTCCATTCAGCTTCACTGTAGGTGTCTTCCATAATCACACTTCCCAATCTGCTAGTCAAAGATTGTACCCCTACCATTCTGATCCTGCCAAACAGCTTGTTGTTGGCGTAAGGATCATCGAGTTTTCCAACACCGCGTCGTTCTTGCATACATGGTGGTTCTTTATTCCAAGGGAATCTTTCATATGGCCAACTCTTGTCTATTTCAGATTCAATCTCTTCTTTGTTTTCTTCACAAGCAGGTGGCTTCGAGGAAGGGCATGGAAGTTCTTCTAGACTAGGTGGGCACGGTTCCTCTAAATCCTCTTTGGAAATACTATTAGGGCAGAAAGGATCACTATCATCACTTTGTTGGGCGAACAGGAGCTTATTTACGGTTTTGACATTTTCATTGATACATGAGCTTACAAATCCACTTACAGTCACTAATAATCTATTACCGAAAATAAAACCAGGACAGTTATTGATGAAGTGTGCAAGATTGTGATTGCTACATATGGAAAATAAAGACGACAATGAATTAATGTTCAATTCTTTGTATGATGAAGCACTTTCCTCTTGTGTGATCTTACTCTCCTTACATGAAGTGACAATAAAATTTTGAGAAATTTCATTTATTATTTTGCTACTGAATAAGTCTTTCTTGCTACTCAATTTACTGAAAAAACCTTTGATAGATTTCTTTGGTTTATCATTTCCTGCCTTTGGCTGACCATCTGGTTGCTTTTTTTTCAAAGCTTCTTTTCTTTTATTCATTTTATCACATGGATCCTGTTTATCATATTTTTTTATATTTATTTTGTTTCCTGATTCAGGTTTTTTACTGCATATATCTTTGCTCTTTCCTCCTGGGCATTCAAACATCATTCCTTTTATTTCTTTTTTGCTAGGGTCTTCCTGTTTCTTAGAAGGTTTATCATCCTTTTTACCACAAGGTTCACTTTTTTTCAAGCTTGGATCAATTTTCTTACAAGGTTTGTCATCAGTTTTACTAGAAGGATCGCTACTTTTTTTCTTGCAGGGATCATCCTGTTTCTTACAAGGTTTATCATCATTTTTGGTACAAGGATCACTTTTTTTTGTGCAAGGATCGTCATTTTTCTTACAAGGCTCATTGGTTTTGGTAGAAGGATCACTTTTTTTTGTACATGGATCATCCATTTTCTTACAAGGTTTGTCATCAGTTTTACTAGAAGGATCGCTACTTTTTTTCTTGCAGGGATCATCCTGTTTCTTACAAGGTTTATCATCATTTTTGGTACAAGGATCACTTTTTTTTGTGCAAGGATCGTCCATTTTCTTACAAGGCTCATTGTTTTTGGTAGAAGGATCACTTTTTTTTGTGCATGGATCATCCATTTTCTTACTAGGTTTATCAGTTTTACTACCAGGGTCCTTTTCTTTTTTCATGCAGGGATTGTTCATTTTTTGACAAGGGCTTTCATAGCTCTTAGAACCCGGGTCAGTATCTTTTTTCATGCAGGGATCATCCAATTTTCTACGGAGCTCCTTCAGTTTCTTACATGGGTCATCCATTTTCTTACAGGGATCTTCCAGTTTCCTACAGGGATCATCCAGATTCTTACAGGGATCTTGCAATGTTTTACATGGATCATCACTTTTATCACATCGATCATCATACTTCAATTGCTTCTCTAATTTTTCCTTTTTCTTTATAACTTCTTCCACTTCTTCAATTTCTCTTTTAATACATCTCTTTTTGTCACACTCTTTTTCAATATCTTTTAACTGACTTTGTAAGCATTCTTTTTTCTTTTGAGTTTCTTTCATCTCTTTCAGTTGTTTGCAAGGGTCATCATATTTTTTATTGTAAGCATCACTTTCATCAAGCTCTTTCAACTGCTTTTCAAGCTCCTCCTTTTTCTTGCAAGCATTTTCTGATTCTTTTAATTCTTTGCAAAGACTCTGTTTTCTCAAACATGTTGCTTCCATTTCTCTTATTTGCTTTCTTTTCCTAGCAATTTCTTCCATCTTTTTTTCTTTACACGCTTCTTCAATCTCTTTCTTTTTTTTACAATATTCTATCAATTCTCTCCTTTTTTTACAAGCTTGTTCTAATTCCTTTATCTCCATTTCCAGCTGTTCAACCATCCTTTGTTTCTTACATGCCGCTTTTAACTTCTTCTGTTGATTATAAAGATATTCTTTTTGGCTGCAAAGTTCTTCTAGTTGCTTTTGTTGTTTATAAAGACCACACTTTTTTTTGCAAATCGCTTCCTCTTGTTTTAATTGATTATTAAGGTCGCACTGTTTGCTGCAATCATCTTCCATTCGTTTATGCTGTTCTTTAAGAGCACACTTTTTATTGCATGCTTCCTCGGCTTCTTTCACTCTTTTACGCAAGCAATCCTTTTTGATACAAATTCCTTCTAAATCTTTAATTTGCTTATTGAGGCACTCTTTAATCTTGTTAGTTTCTTCCAATTCTTTCAATTTGCTACAGGGATCCTTATTACAAGGGGTGTCATTCCTCAATTTGTAAGACTCCATTTCTTCTAGGTCTTTTAATTCTTGCATAAGTTTCTCCTTTTTCTTACAAGCATTTTCACTCTCTTGCAATTTCTTTTCAAGTTCACCCTTATTGTTGCAAGTTTCTTCCATGGCTTTTAATTTTTTAGCAACATCTTCCAACTTATCACAACTCTCTTCCACTTGTTTCAGTTGCCGAGCTAAAGCTTCCTTTTTCTTGCATGCCTCTTCGGCCATTCTCAATTCGTCTTCAAGTTCATCCATTTGTCGGCATGCTTCCTCTGAATTTTTCACTTCCTTTTTAATTTTTTCCATTCCTTTGCATGGGTCAAAGTCTTTTTTCTTACAAGGATTTAATTCATTATCACCATCAACCATTTTCTTGCAAGGCTGGCTATCATTTTTTTTACAGGCCTCTTCCATCTGTTGTAACTGTTTCTCTAGATCCTGTTTCCTTTTGAAGCTTTTTTCAATTTCTTTCAATTCCTTGAATGGGTCAGTACATTGTTCTTTAGCAACAGTTTCAGCACCTTTGATTTGTTCAGCCTTCTTTTTGCAAATTTCTTCTAACTGTTTTATTTGCCTATTAAGACTTTCCTTTATCTTGGCAGCACTTTCTAAAGCTCTCTTTTTATCGGCTTCTTCCATTTCTTGTTTATTACACTCTTTTTTCAAGGGAGTAGTAACTTTTACGCCTTCTGCTTTCTTACTCGGCTTATCTGCCTTGGTTACCGGTTTATCTGCCTTGGCTACCGGTTTATCTGCCTTGGCTACCGGTTTATCTTTAATAATTTTGTCCTTAGTTTTGGATACTACTTGTTCCTTTTCCACTTTACCTTTCTTGCTCTCTTTAGGAGCCTTAGATTTGGCTTCTTTTTTCTTCATATCTGGGCAAATTTCTTTTTTCACACCATCGACTTTAGACTTGTCAGAAGCTTTACCTTCCGTTTTTTGTTTTGACAAACATTTTTTCTTTCTTCTCGGTTTCCTTTTCTTGCCCTTTCTTTCACTCTCCCCTTGGTCATTGAGTTTTTTTAAATTTTTCTTTTTCTTTCTGAAGAACTGCTTTAAGAATGGAACCTTTTCAAGTGCCTTAAAATAAAGCCCGAACGGTGTGTTTGTGAAATCTGTTGTAATAGTTAAGAAAGGCCTTTTTTGAATGGATAAATGGTTTGCGAATTTAGGAAAATGGCCGGTCAGGTACCTCCCTCTACAGTTCCTTGTTACTTCTCTGAATTGTAGCAATTTAATGGGCTGCAACAAAGATAAGAATATTCAATTAAATTTCAAAATTAATGGCTGATTTTAGATCAATTAGGGGATGATCAGAAACAAATTTAGATAGAAAATGTCATTTGAAAAAAAATCAAGGAACAATACCAAAAAAAATTTTGAAATAGTGCAATCAATTTTTTTAAATCTATCAGATATTCTACCCTTGTTATAGATGTATTACATAAATGGTTTGAGTGGATAATCCCTGACTACCCGAATTCAAAATTTATCTGTTCCCACAGAAAAAAAAAAGTTGAATATTATATTATCTTTGTTTTGCCTTGATTTTTCATATTCATTAGACTTATATGGAAAATAGAATGGAGCCATTCTTACTGTCACAACAAATTCACATTTATTTTTATCAAACAACAGATTACAATTAGTAAATGCAAAAACATATTGCAATGTAAAAATTCAAGAAAAAATATTACATATGCAATATGATAACATATGATTNTATATATATATTTTATGTATACTATATAAAAATGTATACAGTATTAACCAAAGAGCCTAGATTTTTGCACAATAACAGTACTTCGTATGTTAGTTTTTCTGTGGAATATTATTTTCTAGGTGTGAATGATTGAACATGATAATTTTACATTCCTAGTGTAAATTGTTAAGTTGATTTAAGCCTTTAAGCCTTAATTTTGGTTTTTTTAACACTTATATTTTTCTTAAAAATTAAATTAAATTGTATCAATTATGTGGAAAATGTTAATTTCGACTTACCCTGGTTGATGACCCGGTAGTTACAAATTTACTCAGTTGACGTAACATTTTCTTATGTGGTGCTTGAACTTGTTAATTTTGAATTAGTAAATGAGTTCTGATCACATTATGTTGATTGTAATTTGGAATGGAAATTCTGACATCGTGTTGTGCAAATGTGCTGTGGTTTATAGTCTGAGTTTGTACATGTGTGAACTTGGATCATATGTATGATTTACATTATTTTTATAAATTATGATTTTATTAAAACAGCCCGATTAGAAATTGTTTTTTTAAACCATTTTTTTAATAACTTTTAATAATTCCATTCTGAATAAACCAAGCATAATAAATTCTTCTATAAAATGTATTTACTAAATTACTACCATTACTAAATTATTTTAAGCAAATATTTGTATACGTAATTTTATCATTATCAATTATTACAGTCTCCTTTATCTTCACTGTGTTGGTCTGTTAAAAACTTCACCACATTTAACAAGGAGACTTCAGAAAAATCACCCTGGCCCAATGCATAGTCTATTCTCCGTCCAGAAAGTGCCTGCAGAAGCTCGATAGGCTCTACTGTCATAAGTTACTCGCTAGATTTAGCACTACCCTGGACTTCCAATTCTGGGATGGCTACTCTTTATTCCTATATTTATTAGTTATTTATTAAAATATTATACATATAGTTTTGTTAAAAATGTATTTAAAAGGGTGAACCAGCAATCTAAAGGGGGAGACTTTAAAGTAAATTAATAATAAGAAAAATATTTCCCTTGAGCCTGACCTTTTAGGGTAAGGTTGAAGGAAGCTGTTAAGTATAGGAAGTTCCCCTAATTTTGTGAACCATAAGAACGAGTTTAGTGGTCGTGGTTCACCGGTATGAGGGCTCCCTTAGAAACATTGGGGAAGTGGATGGGTTAAATTAAAAAAAAAACCTATCAGGGCATTCACTCCGACACATTTAGACAAGCTCTTTGGCCGGCATGTGCTGGGAGTACTGCTGTCTGAAGTTTAAAAAGAGCAGCTTTCTCAGCATGCAGTGGGGTTCCTTGCCAAACCGAGGCATTAGCTTTCGGGTGCAATCCTTAGATGCCAGTAGAACAGAATATATGAGCGACTTCAGGACTGGACATGACTCCTGTGAGTATGCATTGGCGAAGGCTTAAGGTATTCTCAAGGTACTCAAGCGGGAAACTCCACCCTGAGTCCTTCCAACCGTCCGGAAGATCTTTCCTTGTTATCCAAATCGTCTACACTACCGTACCTTTACCGAGGAAGTTCTTGGAACTTAGATTGACCTCGTCTTCTCCAGAAGGGGTCTAAAACTGGTGTGTGTGTCCACTTCATGGTCCAACCACACTGTAATGTTTACATATGCAAATTGCCATATGCTTGGGTGATTCAAGACAACCGTGGCTCTACTTACCTGGTCTTCACCAATTCTTCCTTCCTCAGTGTGGTTCCCTGTCAACCCTCTCATTATGCTCTTGTTGGAAAGATACCATGAACTCGAGCGTCTCATCGAAACGAAAGTTGTATCAGTATCTGGTCATATGTGCCTGGAGAGTAAAGAAAAGATAGACAAGGCAGCTAAGGTCGTGATGTACCAACCTCTGCTTAACCACTGCGATATGGCCCTCTGACTCTAAATGCAATAAAAGGCATGATTAAAATGAAGCGGCATGTCGATGGACCAGATCGGCAGAAAAGCTCTTGCATATCGAGAGTAGTCAATAGGTAGCCCTTGGAGGGTCTGACTCATAGAAGAAGGGTCATCTTCATCCGATTGAGAATAGACCATGTGAGGTTGACATACAAAACACTTTTGGTCCAAAGCCATGTAGAGGTAGGTTGCTCGATATGTCCCTCTAAATTGAAAGGTGCCATTCCTTGGCTACATGTAGAGAGTGTATAGGAATGCCACCTGATTAAGAATTAAGTTTTAGCATGACAGAAAATATCTGGGTCTTCTGTTCTGATCGTTGGAGGAAACAGGGTTGTTTTATAGAAATGATAAATGGTGGAGTGAGTATGTTATTCCATCTTTTCACCTTATTTTATATTGAGAGTTTTGTGTCCCTAGAGTGTATTGAGAGTAAGTGTATTTATTGGCGTGAATGTGTAGTGTAAGAGGAATATCACTGACCTCATCGACCCTCAATTAAGTTGTTATATAATAGGTGTAAAGGGCAATGGAGGAATATCAAGTACCCCACCACTCTAACTGAGGGAATAGTATGTAAATATGAAAGAAGAGTGGGTGAGAGTATGTAAGGGTTTGGAATTAGGAAGTGATTGCATTGGGGGCTGAAATGACTTAGATGTTTATATACCCTGGAGCCAACCCCAACAGCTGGACGGAAAAGACTGAGGTCTGACCCCCCCTCTCCCGAGGAGGTGATTCTGTAAAAGCTGGAAGAGTAGTGGTAATAAGTAGAGGAATTCCTGTCATACAGGAGAGCTAACCACCTGTTGGGTGTTGCAGTCAGAGCATATTTACCTTTTTGTTTATGTACATAAAAATTATTATTCCATCTAAGAAAGGAATTATTTTTTAGTGCTCAGGTGATGTTGGAAATGTGTCTGACCAGTCCAGAATTCAAACTGAGGTGCTAAGTGCATTGATGGAACATTTGCTCGCGGCGGATGTTCTTTTAGGCGAGCAGGCTGCCCTTTCAGTGGTTCAAGGTGGCTGCATACAAAATATACCTTCAAACGTGTCTTACTTAGCTGCCAGAACTGTTGACAAACTGTGGCAAGGTACGTTATTATATTTAATGCTTTTTGTTACTGTTAGTTATTTCTTCTGTTTTTGAAGGTATGCTGGTGAAAGATCCACACGAAGTTTTTGACTTTATCGTGAAACTTCTAACTCTTGCAAAACGAAGGCAAAATTCAAATTGCACCGAAACACTGTACCACTGCCTCAATAGAAGCATTCTTTTCTTACTTTCGAGAGGAACAGACACAATCGCTGACCAAATGTCTGTCCTGGAAGCTCTCCACAAACTCACAAACAACAGGTTTGTATATTTTTATCTTTCTGTTTAGTTTTCGTTTAAGAATTTTGATAATTGGTTTTTGTTTAGGGGACTTATATTTGGTGCTGGAAATCATGAGTTAGAATTCATTGGCTGTCTCACTTACTGTCTTCTTCAACTAATTTCTGAAATGAAAATCATGTAAGTATTTAACTATTTTGTTTTTCATTAATTGTTAATGATTTTTTTTTATTATACGTCTAAATCATTTTTATTATTTAAAATGTCTTTTTTGTTTGTGTTAGAATGGATGCAAATGCTAAAACAACATGGCACATCAATCCTCAAAGTGAAGAAAGTGAAGAGCTTACGTCAAGACAGGGTCAAAATTTAATTGGAGTAGCAGCAAGACGAGTCTGGGATGAGTTGTACGTGTGTAAAAAACCTGCAATTGAAGAGGTCACTTTTTAAAACAATAAAAAATTAAAAATTCTAACAATATACTAGGTATATCTACGTACTGTTTCAGGTCTTTAAAATGACTTTGGTTTCTTCAAACAACAAAGCACCCGATTTAGGGTCAATTAGGGAGCAAATATTTGAGTTAGCTTCTAAAATTTGGCTTAACTACGTTGACGCAGAGAGGAAAGCAACATACAAAAATCCTTGGGAAATGCACAATCAAATTCAATCTGTAACTATTCTTTTTTTTTTTCTTTTGCTGTATGTTACACCAAGTCAACTTAATAACTTTAAATAATTTTACAACGATTTTTATCCATTATATACGTTGTTTAATACAACTTCAATTTTTAATACATGTTTTAATTTTAACATTGTAAAATATGTTTCTATAAATTTTCCTAGAAAATTCAAAAAGTGACGGGAGGCTTAACAAGGCTAGCAAGCCGTTCCAAAGTAAAAAAGGAAGAGTCGCTAAGGGTAAAGTCGCAAATTAGTGGAAGTGGGAGCGAAATTGAGACAGCCGCAGCTGTCCAGGCGCAGGTGGCGCTCGTTAAAGAACTCGTCGATCTCCAGGCGAAACAACATGCACTCACTCAGGATTACACTGAACGGTATGTTTTGGAAGAATGGCTCCAAATTGAAGCTGAGCTCACAAGAGAACGGGCACTTTGGGGCCCACAGCATCCTTCCAGGTATTTTAAATAAATTAATAACAATACAGTGTCTCTCAGTAATCTGAACTAATCACTGTAGTGGGGGGGGGATTCAGAATACTGAAAAATTTGAATTACAGAGGGTGTTAAAAAAACATACATATCTAGTTGTTTTTTTTTTATTTAAATATAAACACAACTCTTTACTATTATTGCTTACTCAAAAGGTTAAACCTGTTGGAATGATATGTTTTAATTGGTCCTATTGCTGAACCAGATCAATTATTCATAGATTTGGAATTTTATTTAAAGTGTGGTTGAGATGAAAAGATTAGCGTCATGAACGGGACACAAAACCGCGACCTTTGGCTCAATACACTTCTACACTGACTACTTTAGTACACCTGAGACACCAACTTATCTCAATGTACAACTTTTTTTTTCCAAATTCCCCACTTTTATGCCTCATATTCAAATTTTATGTAATCATTTTGGATTGTTGACGGACATGAATAGGCCAGAGGAAATTGATAAAATTATAAATCACTGAATAATTGCTCTGGTTCAGCAATAGGTCCAATTCCATAACATAATTGGCCTTCCATTGACATAAGAAAAGTAAAACACAACAGTGATTATAAACGAAAGGTTATCGATTACCTAAAATTAATCAATGCATATGGCTATATATTAACCACCTCACATGGTATATTCCTCTTATTTGTATGAATGTATTTATTTGCTTGAGTGTAGAAGTATGCATGGGTGTGGCTGTGGCGGAATATCGAGTACTCACAGGCCCATCAAATTAGTGTATATATACAACTGAGTGACAAAATTATAGACACACCCTTAATTGTTATGATTTGTTAATGTAATGGGTTTGTACTACAAATATTTACTCAGACACATGAAATAAATATTTTTCTTCATTAAACTTTAATTTTTCAATAAATAAGAGAAAAAATTATTAAAATACTAAAATTAAACGATTTTGTCTGCGACAAAATTATAGACATTTGGGATAAAATCAATTTAAAACAAGGTTTTAATATTTTGTGGCATTACCAGTATTATTATTTCCAGTAATCTTTCAGAAATGGTTTTGTACAAATTTTGAATAAAATCTTGAGGCAAATTATTCCAGGCAGTGGTAACAGCTGTTTTAAGTTCGTCGACAGAGTTGTACTACTTACAGTCTTGATATACCATCCTCAATAATTTTCCCCATACATTTTTTGTAATGTTCAAGTCTGGTGAGAGTGCCGGCCATTCAAGTTTTTCATTGCTGTTCTGTGAAAACCATTCTTTAACAATTTTTGCATTGTGTATGGGTGCGTTGTCCTGCTGTAATATTGGAGTCCCTTCGCATAAATCGCTGAAACTAGTTTTTTCTTTGTCCAGTAATTTCTTGTAATATTCTGAATTGACTTTTTTTTGGAAGAAAACAAAGATTCCCTTTTTTATTACACCCAATACACCCCCAAATCATCAATGACCCACCACCCATTTGGCACCATGACAAAATTTTTTCTTCTTTAGTGAGATCATGAAAGTAGAATGCGTATCCATCCGGCCGTCCAAATTGAATTTTTTTTTTTGTCAGAAAAAATAACTTTTCACCAATAATCTTCATTTTTCAAAATGTGGTTTTCAGCAAATTTGACACGGGCTAGTTTGCGGTGGGGTTTCAGAGCTGGTTTGCATTTCAGTTTTCTTTGGTCTATGTTTTCATTTTTTTAAGGAATCTCTGAACAGTTCGAACAGAAACATCAACACATGCCTTCTCTGCTATGGCTTTCGCAGTCGAAAAGCTGTTTGAAGCAATACGCAGGATGTGCAATTTGTCTCTTCTGGTCAAGGAAGGAGGTCTTCCAGAGCTATGCCCTCTTCTGTAGTCTTCACCTAGTCGTATTATCTTCGATACCGATGAAAAACTTCATTTTATGTGTCGGGTGATATCTCGGCAGCTCATTCCATCTTCATTGAGCAAGTGAATCAACCGGCGCTCCTCATCAGAAAATCTTCCTTTGTGCATTTTAAAATAACTTTGAATTGCTCCAAATGAACTCACAGTAATCACTTTACTAAGGCTCAGGACAGTGAATACTGAATAAACCTTTGGAGTTATAAAATAAACGTAAACAAAATGTCTATAATTCTGTCGCAGCTAAATCAAAACAATACTGTTTATTGAGATGTACATTTGTATAAGATTATCAGATCAAGCCATTTTCAGAGTTAATTTTCTTTTAATATCATGAACAATATTCTAATGGCAAAAGAAATAATTTTTGACTGTTGAAATCATGATTTTTTAATGTATCTATAATTTTGTCACTCAGTGTACATGAGGCTCTGGCGATGACCCTGGTAGTTAGCCGGCAAAAAAAAAGTCCAATTAAAACATAATATAATAATTATTTGAAGGACTAGTACTTCACTAACAGCTCCCTAGATGCACGTTTATACTCGCTTTGCCTGTACATCACATAAATTCGTATATATCCACATACACTTGCACATATTACAGGAAGTTTTTATGTTCATTTACTGAAATAACTGTTTGACACCATTAATATTTTCTAAATTTATTATACATATATTGAAATGGTAACTAATCTTAGATTAGATAAATGGATGCTGGATATGACTGAAGGGCCGTGCAGAATGAGAAAGAAGATGATGAGGAATGACTTATTCTACACACATTACCCCTACAGGCCAGAGTTGGAAGCCAGTGAAAACGTAAGTGGTGTAATTATTTATTACATTGGTCAATCTTTGAAGAAATTCTTATCATATTACCGATCTACCTTTAAAGAAAGCTCTCAAGTACAAAGTAGCATCCTGCTGGGACAGCAAAGAGTATTATATTATGTACCGGGCCAACACAATCGGAGAGCATGAGAAGTTAGTACTTGAAGATAAACAGAATAATCAGATCGACAATTCAAGTGACGAAATCTCAAACAATAATGGTAAGAAGATTCAGACTGTCTATTATGACTAGATTTTTAATCCTCTGTTGTGTAATATTAGGTTTAGAAAATCTAGCACTGAGAAGAGCAGTGAAGAGGTCGGTTTCAGAACCAGATGATGCCAATGAGGAAGGAGATATCGAAGGCAGTGGTACTGAAGATGACAGCCTTCCAGACAACCAGTCAATATTGAGGTTGCTGGAAACTAATGAAAAGGTTTATTGGAGGAAACGTCAGTTTTATTACAGTATATTAATTTTAAAAAATTCTTTACAGATAAGCCACATGTTTAGATGTGCCCGGATTCAGGGCCTTGACACCATGGAAGGCCTTTTGCTCTTTGGAAAAGAGCATCTTTACATAGTGGACGGATTCACGTTGCTCAAATCTCGTGAGATACGAGATATAGAATCCCTCCCTCCTGAATGTTATGAACCAATCTTGCCACCACAGGGTACGGTCTCTTCCTCAAAACGTCAGTGCTCAAAATTCAGCTATGAAGACATAAGGTTTATTTTTTTATACAATTTGATTTTGTTATTATAAATTCTTTTTTCTAATTATTTGAATTTAAGGGAAGTGCATAAGAGAAGATATTTACTACAGCCGATGGCATTAGAGGTCTTCTCAAGTGATGGAAGAAATTATCTTCTTGCATTTCCTAGAAAAATACGAAATAAGGTGTACCAAAGGTAATAGTTTGCTTTGAAAATAAGTGTAAGTTCACATGGAGCAGTTTTTGTTGATTTAACAACTACACAAAATTAGAATATTTCAAAATGTCTAATGTTTTTGAGATCACCAAACATCAGTTCAGCATGTCATTTAATTTAAAAAGAACAATGTTAAAATCACTTACCTTACCCAAAGCTTCTCAGGTCACCGCATGGTGTGAACGTAGAGCAAAATACGGTTTGAACACCACTGTAAAATGTTGAATGATGGGTCAAAATGATCTTTGTGATGCTTGAGTGCCGTTGATAAAACCATAAGTCCCCTACGGTGTTATGTATACACCCTGCTTTGACTGATACAACTATCCACCAATTCGACAAAAACCATTCCATGATAACCTAAGACTCAATTTATTGGTCTATTTATCTATTTATAATTATATTTTAGATTTTTGGCTTTTGCCACGGGGATAGCCGATAGCGCTCAGCAGTCTGTTGCTGGACAAAAAAGAACTGCTAATGTTGAGCAAGGAGCTAGTCTTCTTTCTAGTCTTATAGGAGAAACTTCAGTAACTCAACGTTGGGTGGTATGTTGCTACAAATTATTAAACTACAGTGAAACTTCCCTTAATAGACATCTCCCTTAAACGGACAAATTCTGATTCCTAAGCATTTTGTCATTAATTTCTCATATTATAGTTTTCTACAAAGCGGACACCCCAATAACAAAAAGCCCTTGTCCACCCTGTCAATAAAACCCCCAACCCATCCTCCCCTACAAACTACCGGGGAGTTTCCATCCTCTCAAACCTGTCCAAACCCCTAGAAAGATTAGTCCAAGCACAAGTCTCCAGGCACATTGAACAGTCCCATCTTCTCAACCCCCTCCAATATGGCTTATTATTATGTTATTCCACCCAATCAGCACTAATAAAAATTACCAGTGGCCTCCACTTAGTAATGGACCAATGGAAAGTTACTATACTAGTCCTTCTTGATTTTTCTAAAGCCTTTGATTCTGTCCCTCACTCTTCTCTCCTAAACTCGAATCTTTTTCCTTCTCCGCCAGCACCATCCGTTGGTTCCACTCCTACCTTACCAATCGCCACCAAGCTGTCTCCCTTCCCAATGGCCTTACCTCCTCCTCCCTCCCTCTAAAATCTGGGGTGCCCCAAGGCTCTAGCATCTCTCCTATCCTTTTTTCCATTTATATCAATGATCTGCCCGACTCCATCCAGTCCTGTAACTAACACCTATATGCCGATGACTCCCAAATATACATATCCTTCCACCCTTCCGATCTTCACTCGGCCATTCTCAAGATCCAAAAAGATCTAAACTCCATCAATGAATGGGCCCATAAAAATTCCCTAGTCCTCAATCCGTCCAAATCCACCGCCATAATTATCGGGTCCAGGCAACTCCTCAATTCTCTCCCCAGCATCCCACCTGTCATGCTAAATAACATCCCATCCCCTTCTGTTCTTCGGTTAAAAACCTAGGAGTAGTCTGTGAACAAAACCTTTCCTGGCATTCTCACATTTCCCAAATTTCCCGCCATTCCATTGCCTCCCTCAGCCTGTTTCGTCGGTCCTGGCTTCTCGTACCTTTCTCCACCCGCAAACTCCTTGTATCTTCCCTTATACTTCCCTTCTTCGATTATAGCTGTTTGGCATACGGTGGTCTCTCGGAGGGGGAAAACGCGCGATTGAAGTGTATTATGAATTGTTGAGTAACATTTGTGTACAGCACCCCACGGGGATCCCGGGTGTCGGGGTTGTATTCCCAACTTTCCTGGCTATTCCCCTCCTTCCGTGCACAGTATTTCCTAGGTTGCTTTCTTTTCCAGTCCATCCACACTCGTCGTCCTCCTTACATCATCCAATCCCTACAATTCAATTCCTCACATCTCACTCGAAGATCCGCTCATCCCCAATCGACCTTATCCTTCCGCAACATACAACCCGTACCTTCGAAAGATCCTTTCTGATCCGAGCCCCTAAACTCTGGAACTCCCTTCTCCTTTCTATTCGTCACGCTGCCTCCTTTTCCTCCTGTAAATCCCACCTGTATAATGACCTCCTCTCCCTCCAAGCAGAGACCTCACGTTAACATTTGTTATTTTTGTTTAATATTCTCGTAACTCTTCTGACCTGCCTTTCTGGTATACATTGTGCCAAGATTTCTATCTTTTTTTTTAACTTTTAACTTCATAGAAGGAACTTCCTTTATTTATTTCATGTAAATTATTCTTAGGGGACACCAGTCCCAGAATAAAGTTTATTTTTCTTCTTCTTTAATAACAAAACAGCTTTTACGACTATATTCTGGCTCTAAAACTCTCCCAAAATGGACAGCAGTCGCAAGTTTCCACTTAAACTTCTTCTAAACTGTGTTTGACACTTAAAGAAAAAAATAACACTTTCAGTATGGCAGTGCCTTACAGCCTTTGTAGCCAAGACAGAACGTGAACTACCTGCTCAAAAAAGTAGGATGCTCAAGAGCGTTGGGAACCCGATCCACTTACCTTTTTTTCTATTTCTCTTTATCCCTCATTTTATGTATTAAAATAGGGTTGTTCTTAATCAGGTAAATACACCCTGAGACAAAGTTTGTAACAGAATTTGTTTTAGTCAGGTTAAATATAAGACTCGATTTACAAAGTGTATAGTATGTAATTTGGTTTACCATCTTATCAAACATTTACAACAAAAAAATTGTGCAAAATGTATTTTTAAAAAAATTAAATATACAATGAAATACATTCATAAATTAAGGGTAATGCAATTCATACATTTGTTAATAATTGTAACATTTTTGAAAACACTAAACACAAAGCTGGTTGGTTAAGACAAAAACCTATTCTAGAATTACTCAAATTTCCTCGTCTGCCATGAATCTTTAAAAGCTTTTTGTTTTGGAGATCAAAAGCCCAGGGGTTGGCGACAATGATCACTAAATAGCAAGAAAATATAAAGTATTTATAATACTTATAATACAAGTAAATACAGTCAACAGTCCCCCAAAAAAATTCATCATACCTGGGAAAAATTAGGAACCTTCCGAAATCCTAAAAATTTGAAGAAAAAATTGAATGAATCAATGATGATTGATTACGAAATCAATAATGTAACTGTAAGCAATAAGTTATGATAAATCAATCTGAAGAAAGAAATGAATGAAAACGTCAATAATAACATATAAATATGTGTTTGATACAGATTTTGCTGAATTTTGTGACAAAAATATGTAAAAAAAAAAAAAAAAGCCGGAATGAGTAGGGCGTATTATAGGACAGCTTGGTTCAAAACGAGGCCAGATAGAGGCAGGTAGAATGTTTCCACAGAAAGCTTACCCCACAAATCATCAAAAAAAAAATAAATAAATAAAGGGCCTAAGACACATGCAGTGGCCCATTAAATGTTAACTTACTGACACATCTGTTCATCCTCCGCACCGAAAGTGTTAATATTATTAAGTGAGTGAAAGTGAAAAACAAAGTGTGCAAGACTTAGCCACAAAGTTTTCCATCAGTAAGACTCAGGCTGAAAAGAATAAAAAGGAGGTTTTAAGTCCCGCAGATTTTTTTTTTCTAAAATGTCTGGTTTAGCCACAAGGACGTATTTGAATTGTTTTGCCAAGCTAGGGCTTGTAAAATACCACTGTCTGGTCAGTTTATCCGAGCAAAGGTTTAAAAGCTGCAATACATTTAGGCCAAATTCTGGTTGGCTCAAGCAATTTAGAAAAAGGGCATAACGTTTCTTTTAAGACTTATTAGTGGAGCGAAAGACTGAAATTGTAAAAAAACCGAATGGAAAGGTTAATATTGTGCCGATTTGCCAGAGAGGAAAAGTTTCAAAAGAGCGTTTAATTTTTCTCTTATGCAAAAATATGCTAGATGAATTTGAAAAACCCTCTCGGGTCATAGTATAGGCTAGAAATCCTCGGTGTTTCAAAGGTGTCAATCTTGTAATCCTCTTTGTGCCCATCTTGTAATACTAAAAAATTGTTTCATTCTTATCCCAAAAGCAGACACTTCTGTATAGCGGACAATTTCATCCCTTAAGAGTGTCCATTATATGGAAGTTTCACTGTATTATTATTATTATTTTTTTAAATCTGTTTAATGCTTAGGTTAATTTCTTTGACTAGTTTTGAGTATTGTCATCACAATCTGTGTTTTTGTGATGTTTTCCTCAAATACAATATTTATATGTTATGAACTGTTAAAATTAGATATACATAACAGATTGCTGTTATATAACAACAATTGTTTTAAATATTTTAAAGTTAAATTTTTTTTTTAGATATAATGAATAATTTACTATATTTTTATTTTAATTATCACGATGTTGCAGAGAGGAGAAATAACAAATTTTCAGTATTTAATGCATTTAAATACCCTTGCTGGTCGAAGTTACAACGACTTGATGCAGTATCCAGTTTTTCCTTGGATTCTCGCTGATTACGATTCTGAAATACTTGACTTGACCGACCCAACAACATTTAGAGATTTTACTAAACCTATGGGTGCCCAAAGTCCTGAAAGACTGTCACAATTTAAAAAGAGGTTAGTTTTATGTTAAATTTTAAATTTACTTAACCGCTAAAACATTTGGAAGTCGTTATATCTTATTTCCATGATGTAGGTATAAGGAATGGGATGATCCACACGGTGAGACACCTCCATATCATTATGGAACTCATTATTCATCAGCAATGATAGTATGCTCTTACTTAGTAAGAATGGAGCCTTTTACACAGCACTTTTTACGTCTTCAAGTAGGGAAACCATAAATTCATTATAACATTACATTTACACTATATCAAGCTAATTCACACACATGCTTCAATATTATTGACTAAAACTAATTATTTTTTAGGGTGGACATTTTGATTTAGCAGATAGGATGTTTCACAGTATAAGGGAAGCTTGGAACTCAGCGTCAAAACACAATATGGCTGATGTCAAGGAGCTGATTCCTGAGTTTTTCTATTTGCCACAGTTCTTAACTAATGCCAATAACTTTGACCTGGGGTGTAAACAGAATGGCGTTATGCTCGGAGATGTGGTTTTGCCGCCATGGGCCAAGAGTGACCCACGAGAATTCATCCGTGTCCATAGGCAAGCTCTCGAATGTGACTACGTGTCGCAAAACCTCCACAACTGGATAGACTTGATTTTTGGCTGCAAACAACAAGGCCAAGCCGCAGTCGAAGCAGTTAATGTTTTCCATCACTTATTCTATGAGGGGAATGTTGATATTTACAAGTAAGTTGTGCCTATTTTCAATATTCATTGCTTGTGCGTTCGCATTAACCCATTAACAATATCATGCTCACCCATGCCTCTACTGCAGATATTGCAAGAGTGATGTGCTTTAATTTCTTCGCTTTTAAGTTCAAAGAAACAGTGTTTTGCTTAAAACTGTAAACTGTTTTATTTTTTTATTTCCCACTCTCACTTGCTCCAAAAAAATAACTTAAACAGCTCACTGCTTTTATGTACCTGAATCTAAAAACGAAAAGAATACAGCATAATATCTTAACCAATACCTGCATTAAAACATGTAAGAATAAATTTAAAAAATATGCCAAGTTCTCAATGTACGAATTGTCTCATGTCTTTTTTATTGGTGAAGGGGGACAGATAATTCAATTTAAATTTTTGTTTAATTTTATCCATGGCAGTTTCTTACCATCCTCAAATTAGGCATATTTGTACAATATGTAAATATAAAATAATGCTATAATAATAAAAAATATTTATATTACATTTTTATATATTAAAAATATTATATAAATTATTGTATTGTATTTTTCAAACAATATCAATGTTTTATTTATTATTTAAATAATATAAAAACTAATAATTTCTTTTAGTATCGATGATCCCTTAAAAAAGAATGCAACAATTGGTTTCATAAATAATTTTGGTCAGATACCAAAACAGCTATTTAAAAAGCCACATCCTGCCAAAAAGCTGGGCCAGAGGGTTTCAGTGCTCGACCCTAACCCAATTTCCACAGCACCGTGCTTTTGTGCCGAGCGTTTATTCTACCATAACCTTGATAACCTGCGTCCATCGTTGCACCCTATTAAAGGTCAGTGTTTTATTAATTTTATTAAACATAATTTGTAATAATGGTTTAAACGTAGAAGTCAAAGGGCCAGTCGGACAGATAATTCAGTGGGAGAGAAATGTACTTGCTGTCGAGCAAAATAAAGTCCTTGTCCCGCCGAACTATTCAAAATATGTCGCTTGGGGCTTTGCCGATCATACGCTTCGTATGGGAAATTACGATAGTGATAAGGCTGTTCTAACATGTGAAGCCGTCATACATACAAGCGGGGAGATATTGGCCTGTGTCTGTCCGAACTCAAAGACGATCATAACCGCTGGAACTAGCTCTGTGAGTTGTACTGTTTTTCTGCTTTTGTATCTGAATTGATTGTTATTGGACTTTTGAAACAGGTAGTTACAATTTGGGAGTATAACAAGAAACAGATAAGTGTTGTACAGACCCTTAATGGCCACAACGAAGCAGTGACTTGTTTGGCGACAAGCCCTGCCTACAATGTGATAGTATCGGGTTCGAGAGATGCAACAGCTATAATTTGGGATCTTTCGCATAGAATATTTGTAAGGCAGCTGATAGGCCACAATGCACCCGTTGCAGCAGTTGCTGTAAATGATCTCACAGTAAGTTTCGCTGTACTAATATGGCAAATAAATAATTTTTTATTAGTTAATTACCTAAATTAGTTCATTAAAATTACCTACAGTGAAGAGTATTTAATGCTATGCCTAAGGCGATTATTTTTCAGTATGAATGTTTTCAAAATTTAAATTTACTAACTGAAAAACATTTGTGATTTTGTCAGGGTGATATTGGAACTTGTGCTGGAACTTGGCTTCATGTTTGGAGCATCAACGGAGAACAACTCTGTTCGGTCAACACTAGCGTGGGTCGTGCCGATAGGATGCAACAAATTCTGTGCGTCGCCTTTTCACAGTGTAGAGAATGGGATGCACAAAATGTTCTACTCACTGGTTCAACCGATGGTGTTGTGCGGGTATGTATGAACGATTAAATATAAATCAAATATATTAAATTATGAGATTCCCCCTTGGTCTGAAATACTTGAAATTTGATCCTTATAAATTATTTTGCTTTTGGTCCAATTTTTCAAAAATAAAGTTAAATCTTTTGCCATATGAAGCATAGCATTATTTTTAGGGGGTTTACGTTGAATTGACAACTCTGCAAAATTATAATGTCAAATGTCTTCTAGTTCTTCCAATGTCACTAGGTTGCTCAGCCTTACTGATGAAGTGGTGTCAATTGAACATTAATTTATTAACAATTAATTAATCTTTTTATGTAAGGTTATGGTTGAAATAAAAAAGTTAGTGTCACGAGCGGGATTCGAACCCACGACCTTTGGCTCAATACGTCCTGCTCTAACCACTTGAGCTATCGTGACAAGAAGTTAGAGCAGCTTTTTATTGAGCTGAAGTTCATCGGTTCAAACCCCCCGGTGACTCTAATTTTTTCATTTCAACTAAACATACATGTAGGATGTGTGCACTTTGATTGAGTCTAAAATTTCTGGCATTGTATAAACTCATTTTTTCACATCCTACATGTATTTGTATAATTTAAGCAATGTTTATAAATCCCAGGCCCTGAAGATGATCTCAATGAGATAGATAAGTTGGCACGATAAAGAAAATGTTTTTCTAAAACCTACATCACACCAAACTGCATCTTACAATCTTCAAATAATCATGAACTATCGATCATTAAACACCATACATTATTCTTATTATTATGCTGAAGAAAAAATAAGAAAAGGAAAAAGTATGTGTGGATCCCTCCAATATTATCAAGCATTCAGAGAAAGGGTTTTTTTAAATTAGTTGTGGCCTCAATAAAGAGATTTTTTTTTTTAATGTCCATAGTCCCTTTTTACGAGCTTCTCAGTGCAGGATTTTTGCGGAATTTCAATTAGTGGGCTTTATGATAGTACCATTATAACTCAAAGCTTCTCAGGTTACCTCACTGTGTGAACAGAGAGCACTCTTTTTCAAGTTTTTTGTGCCTATAGAACAATAAAGTGCTGCTGTTCAATTAGTTTGTACAATTTCTTCAAAATTAAACTATTATACACTGAAAGTTCAGACGTTTTGAGGGAATAATTTGCATTGTTCAAATAATGCTATGGCTTTAAGTTCATTTTTTTTTTTTTTTAAATAATTCACCTTTTGTTTCTTGTACAGGTAAAATTGTGCAGTGTATTTACTAAACCCTTCCATTTCTTTTGCAACGCTTCAACAAATCATAAATAAGTTAAATCATAAATTAGTTTGTTTTATTTACAAAAATAAAAACTGATCAACATTTGTTTACTCTACTGGGTCTGTATTTCTTTTTTTATTGGAAAAATTTAATAATAATACTAAACTAGCACAATAGAAATGGGAGGCAGTTAGGTCAAGCCGAGGCTGATTGGTGGGGCGAGGCCTGTTGTTGAAAGTCAGCAAGAAGCATGAAGTGTTTTGTTACTTGCAAGATCTTGACCAGAAGGCCATCAGGTTCAAAGCTAGTGGGCTCCAGGTTTGAAATTAGGAAAAAAAGAAGGCCAGTTGTCGTACTGTGAGATCGAAATCAAAAACTCTTAGTGTCTTAGTGGGTCTTCTATGGAACTAGGTGTGTTTTACGGGTAAGGCGGCAACTCATGAAGAGGATGGTGCAGATCCGAGTTAACACGGTGCAGCCCCTAGCCGTAGACGAGCAGTTTAAAGGTTTTGTTTTTTCTTTTATCAAGCCTGATACTTTTTGATAGTGTTTAATTCTGTTTCCCATTGTGTTAAAGAATTTGCTTCTTTAGAAACAGGAAGCACTTGATATTTAATTTAATTTACATTTACCTTGGGTGGAAGTGCTACCTCAATCTACATATCTGTTATGTACTTTTTCTTTTCTTTTTTTTAGGGTTTTGATGTTGATTCTTCCCCAACAATACCAAGGCACCCAAAATTTAATTATTTTTCCTCAATGTAATTTTCTTTGCAACACCCCCATTCTTCATTGAGCTACCGTTAACGTAAGTTACAGCCACGGTCAGGACGGCGTAGCATCTGTCTACTCTTGCAGGTTTTAGATTTCACTCAAGTGTGACACTTGATGCTGTCTTGTATAAGGAACTCTCCTGTTCCTTTCTGAAGATGGTGTGATGCCAAAAAGGCATTTGAGTGAATTCTGAACCACCGAGTGTAGAAAACCCCGGTAGAGCAATCGAGTGTCACATCAGTTCAGCGTGTGTTCAACAACTCGCATGCCCATAACCACCACTATCTTTATGCCTGAAAAAGTATTTTGGCCATTTTTGTTTTGTGCATTAAATTTGGGAATATCTACAAACAAATATTGCCCATTCTTAAGCTCTGTAATTTAATTAATTTATTGTCCATCTAATGTTTTTGTGTGTTTAATATTATAGATGTGGTCAATTGACTATGTGCAAGTCCCAAGTGAAGAACAGGATTCGTTGGACCATCCGAAGGAAGTCGATAATGTCAATAAAAAGATTAAACCTCCTTTGAAAGAACAACAGAAAATTGAGGAAGTAACTAAGGGAAGGATGCAAAAACGATTAGGAAAGCAAATGAAAATATCCTCTGTGTCCTCCGACTTCTCTGTTGATGAGCCTAAAGGTATTTTAATATTAAACAAATAATATATAACTCAAATTATTTGTTTTTGCAACTCTAAAGAAATTTTAATTATATTTATTAGATTTCATCGTCCATCCGCTTGACCAAATAAATTCAATAAATTTTAATTAAGGTTTTGGTTGAGATAAAAAAAGTCAGTGTCAGAAGCGGGATTCGAACCCACGACCTTTGGCTAAATACGCGGCTGCGCTACAACTTGAGCTACTAATTTTTCTTCTCAACCACGCACAAAAATTGAAAATAATAATAAACAATTAACAGATAATTAATCAAATAATTACAGTGAAAATCCGTTTATCCAGACTTCAGGATCATCCGGACTCATTTGTTACAATATTTTCTATAAATTATTTGGAGATCTTGAGAATATCTATGACTATAGTCCTATAGTCCCACAATCTCCAAATAATCATTAATTAATGGTCACTAAACACCACACATTTTTTAGAAATTTTTCATAAATCTTTTTTAAATTCATAATAAATGAGACCTTTAATTCGTTGTTTGAAATTTGTAAAGGCCACCAAATCGCTCTTCCACTAGTCACACGATTAAAGAGGCTGTAGAGGCACATTTTTGTTAAAAAGAAAAAAAAAATAAATAAAAGAAAAAATAAATAAAAGTTGTATACTATTTTAAAAGACTAGAAATTGTTGTCTCATGTTGTTCATATGTTGGCTTCCATTGAAAAGGTTTTTTTATTACTTATATTTTTATTAGGTATTTTTTACATATAAATTTTTCAAGAAATGCACGTCCGGACTTAAACAAAAATAAAACCAATAAAAATTATCTATTACTTTAAATGTTACTTGATATACGAATAAAAGAGTTCACCTTTGTATTTGTGTTTTTTTCCCATTTTTATGACAAGATATTAAAATCATAAATTTTTGGATTATCCGGACTTTCAATCATCCAGACAATTCCCGGTCCCTTCAAGATGAATGGATTTCTACTGTATAATAAAAGAATGTTACCCTTACATAAAAAATTCCCTGTTGCTAATCATACATTGTAATGCAATGAAATGATGTAAAGGGGAAATTTAAATAATATCGGGCTGAGAGGAGAAGTCGGTGTGGAGATTGAGGTCACAATAGCTCAAGTGGTTAGAGCACCTGCGTATTTAGCCAAAGGATGTGGGTTTGAATAATTTTTCTTCTCAACCGTCTTTGCATAAAAATTGGAAATAATAATTCACAATAACATTTTCTTTCTATTGTTATGTTTAACTAAGTATACAGGCGTTATCAAATTTGCCCCAACTGACATCATGTAACACGTGTTCAAAATTTTGAACACATTAAGAACACTATCGTAGACGTGTTTCAGCATAGATTTAGGATTTTGTGAACAGTGTTTTCATGCCTGCTTTTTCTACCTCGATGACAAATCCAAAACGTTTCTATAATTTTCGTAAAACGTTGCAAACTTTGTTTGACTGAATTTTCATTCAATGGTCGAAGAGTGGTGCTGGAGTGGGCCTAGGTTAATCCTTACATCTCCAGACTCAAGTATGTTGTAAATATTCTAGATAAAAGTATAAATGTCGTTGGCGCAATCTATAAGAAAACAAGTTGGCTCGTGTAAGTTGTAAACTTTCAAGAAATCACCTGCTACCTTTGAAAACCTCAAAATGCCATATGTTTTGTAAACTTCAGACCGATTGACGTCAGGAAATGTAATGAGAGCCACTTGATTTTCCGCTCTCATATTGTTGACACTAGTGTGACCGTCCTGTCATGTAGGATTACTTTTCCTTTTCGGCACAAAGCACACCACAGTAAACCCTCACATCGGTATGGTCGCCATCACTGGCAAGCCTGCCTCAAGCAATCAAAATTTGCCTTTTTGTTCACTAAATGTATCCCATACTTCTTCGCCCCTTGAGATGACAGGGGGTGTACTTGTAATACTGCATTGATTTGTTTTTAACCTTTGAAATGAATATGATGAAGCTAAAAGGAGGAAGCAGTTGTAGCTAGCTTAAAGTACAAATGCTATTGCTTGGCATAACTAATAATTAGCTCATGCCAAAAAGTTATAAAAATGAATTTTTTAGTTTTAGGGAAAAGTGGATCAGAGAGCTCACTCTCAGAGGAAGGCGAAAAATCCCAAGGCCATTCGAGTGACGGTTCAAGCAAGAAGAAAAAAGAACCAGACGTTCAGGTTGAGGAAAAGGAGAAATGCAGTGACGATGAGGTGAAGACAGAAGAGGTCTGTACCAAAGAGTCTCTTGATAATTCTAACAATCAAAGCTCGGATGGTTCTAACACTAATCCTGGTGCTGGGCCTGTTGTTGTCGTGTCTGAAAGCACAGATGCTGATGTTGAAGAAGACCCCCCAGTCCCAGTCGTCAGAAGAAGGCGATCCTCCGCAAGAGCCAATGCTCAGGTTTTTTTTTAACAAGATTCAGTAATAATAGAGATTTTTTTAATAAGCATGACCTTAGATGCTTTAAACATTTGACTTTCAGAGTTGCTGTAATGCACAATTACCTATTAGTTATTTTGAAAAATTCTTCCTATTAGGAGTACTGGAAAGTTTTTATTTATTTTTTATTGAGGAAAATAAATTGAGTCATTCATTTTAATACAGTTTTATTTCTGCAGTTTTTTGCTTCTAAAATTATCACTGTGGGCTGAATGATAGATTGTGCAATGTCTGTAGAAAGGGTGCGCAAGAATGTCCTTGCTGTATTTGGCAATTTATGCAATGCTGTCATATGCTCACCTGTAGTTGTATCACTAAGGCTGCTCTCACACAGTAACATGTTCAATTTTTGATATTTGCAACTTCGCAAAAAGAAAAAAATAATAATTCCTGTAATACGGGGAGACCGTGGTAGCCGAGTGGTTTAGACATCAGACTGCTAGTAGATCCCACAGTCATGGGCTTGATTGTCTCTGGGCTTTGTTCTGACAAATAAAGCTGCGATGAAAGTTACAATGACTTGACACTCATCGGCGGAAAAACCGAGGCAGGATCAGGACTCGGTGACCCTAAATTTGGTCCCGACCCCCTACAAAAATGAGTTATTTTGATGGAAGAACACATCAAGGGCTCAATTTACACATGTTTTGTCAACAAAAAATGAAGCCAATAAGGGATACAACAAGCTGTAAAGGGGGGCTCAGGGGGTATCCATTTCCTAGTATCCACAATTTAAAAAAAAAAAAAACAATATGTAATAAAACCACAATACTTCTTATGTACTATTCTTAATTAATAAGCCATGGGCTGTGCCGGGTGCCGGTTTCGAACCCAGGACTACTAACACGGCAAATATCTGTCAGAAGCCCTAACCACTTGGCCACTGCAGTCCTGTCCTGGAGAATGTAATCAGCTCTCTCACGCTGGAACTGACTTCATCATGAATGTTTTGTTTTGACCTGCGATTCTATCCCCAGCAAGGTGGAATTTTTTTGACTGACAACCCAAGAAGAATTGTCATTGCATTGAAGCTTGTATAATCTTTTTTTTTTAATTATAGAACTCAATAAATGATATTTTTTATTTATTTAAACAATTTTGCGCACAAAAAATGTTTGTATATTACATATGTAGTAATTATTTTATCGTTAGTCCTATAAAAATCCTCTCCTGGATGAGAATTTTTTACAGTCCATGGCGGGCTGAGGACCCATTCTCAGTAAAAATACAAACTATTTTGGATCTGTTTGCTTCCTGCAAATACATGCAATATTTCTGGGGAACGAGAAGGGCACAATAGTACACAATGTACTTGTGTTTGGATCGTCCACCCATTTGCAAGCGAATTCTAGTCCCTTAGGATGCGAGGCCTTAGTATGCTTTTTGATGTGAAGTTAGGATGTTTCCTAAGTAGCCGTAGACACAAAATTGTTTTAATCCAAGAAATTGCTTTTTAAAATATTTAAAGAAACCTAAAACTTAAAAAAAATTCCAAATGCGTGTCAACCAAATAACCACTACTGACGAACAAAGCCTCCAAGTCTGTTCCAGTGTGAGAGCTAGGTGTTGTCGATTCAAGCTTGAGACCAAGCATCACATACTTTTGCGTAGCAATTTTTTTTTTTTATAATTTTACTGCACATCATTAAAAAAACAACTCAACTTGAAACACACTAACAGTAGTAAAATTTAAAAAACTTTCCAGTATGCCTTTTTAATATCCTATAGAAGTTTTAAACATTAACTTGTAGATCAAGTAGAGATTTGTTTCTTAATCTAAGTGTATGTTAAAGTTTTGTAACAAATTTGGTTGTCTTTGTGAATTCAATTGCATTGCCTTATTAATTCTTTCTTAATTTTTGTTTATTTTTAACAATTGTGGATCTGATGACTAAAAAATATTCAATTAATTTTAATTATTATTCACTGCTAACGATAGAAAGTGTATTAAAAATTGTGCAGAACTAGTGTAGAAAATAAAAACGAGTATGGCAGGTCGACATATGATTTTTCCAGCACTTGTGTTTATCTAAACTGCACACATATGAATAGTTGAATTGTGTTTGTTCTGATTTTATATTAAAAAAATAAATAAACAAATAAAAACTTTCTGTCTTTATATTAACATCTTATTTTTCAGCTGAGGAAGTCTGAATGCATATCAGGAAGGCTCGCAGAAGTCGAATCATTGAGTGTAAGCTCGGAAGAAACACTCGGTCGAATCCGGCCGAGTAAAAGTGACACATCTCTCACCGAGAGCTTTGTCATCGTTAGCGGCAATGGCGAAGAGGTCGGCGAAATAGGTCCCACTCACACGCCACCACTGCGGCGTGCGAAACACTACCAGCACATTCTCAGAGAAGGTTTTGTATGGCAAAAGCAGCTCGTTTTTAGGAGTAAGCTAACCATGCATACAGCTTACGACCGGAAAGATAACTCAGAACCTGCCTCTATAACATCGCTTGCCGTCTCTAGGTAAGTGTAACAACTACACACACACATAATAAACTCATCCTATTGGAAAAAAGTTTTATATGTTTTCAAGAATTTTATTAAAGTGATGTACAATTAAATGCTAGCCACAAGTTAAGGTGTTGACACTCATCACTGCATCACTGGGAGGTAAAGATCCTGGGTTCAAGTTTAGCGATCCTGCATTCAAACCCGACATACTTACAAATGGGCTTTTTTTCCTCCTCCCCTAGAAAAAGAACCGGATAACATGAGGGATGTGATATGACCTTTGCTGCTGAGAGCCCTCGTTTAATTAAAAGAAAAAAAATACAAACTCCTTGAATTAAGGGTCACAATCTCCCTAAATAGATGCTTTTTTGATGCTTTCCCTTCCCCAAATAAGTTTCTTGCTGTTCATTATATATACTTCTACTCTATTCTCATATTTTTCAAAATTTATTTTAAAGAAAGTTAAGCAATTCTTGTCATACTGGAGAGCTTAATGTCCAAGTACACATTGGGTGTTGCCAACAAGCAGTCAAACCACTTTACAATTAATAATAAATAGGCTATGCTGGGATTCAAACCATGGACCACTACCATGGCAAATATGAGTCGGATGCCATAACCACTTGGTCAATGTGGCAAATTCATAAATTCATTCATCATCTTTTCTACCTTGTCATTGTGCTTTTGTAGTCTAACACCACAAACTGGATCTTGACAAAACATTGGTTGTTAGTTGTTGTCCCAGTAGCCAGACACATAAGTCTGGCAAATGAGGGATAATAAGGCCATGAGGTATGCCATTCCATTGGCCCTCTAACAAAATTTATGCCAATAAATATATTCACTCTCAAAACACATTAGAGACGCATAACTATCAGTGCTATATATATACAAGCTAGCCTGTTTCCTCCAAAAATTGAAACGGGGGACCAGGTACTTGCTGCTGTGCTCCAGCATGTGACATACCTACACACTTTCTATATGGAGCCAAGGAATTGCACCCTTAAACTAAGTAGTATACAATAAGCAAATTTTCTCTACATGAACTTTGGCTCAAAATAAATGCCTGTGTGTCAACCTTGGACAAGGACAAACAAGGACCTCTAGCATGGCAAATATGAGTCAGATGCCATAACCACTTGGTTAATGTGGCAAATTCATTTTCATAAATTCAATCAACATCTTTTCTACCTTGTCATTGTGCTCTTGTAGTCTAGATACCACAAACTGGACCATCTTGGCAAAACATTGGTTGTTAGTTGTAGTTGGTAGCCAGACACATAATTCTGGTGAATGAGGGATAATAAGGCCAGGCCTCCATTCTTAACCACTATGATTCAGCCTTCTTACGCTAAAAAGGCAATAAAAAACCCAATCAAAAGAAAGTGGTCAGTCGGCTGGATTGGCAGAGATCAATCAAGAGCACTGTTGATAAGTGGCCCTTGGAGGACCTGACTCGTAGAAGGATCATCCTCAACCGATTAAGAATAAGCCAAGGTTGACACACAGGCATTTACTTTTGGACCAAAGTTCATGTAGAGAAAATTTGCTTATTGTGTACTACTTAGTTTAAGGGTGCAATTCCTTGGCTCCATATAGAAAGTGTGTAGGTATATCACGCGCTGGAGCACAGCAGCAAGTATCTGGTCCCCCGTTTCAATTTTTGGAGGAAACAGGTTAGCTTGTATATAGCACTTATAGTTATGTGTCTCCAATGTGCATTGAGAGTGAATGTATTTATTAGCATAAATTTTGTGAGAGGGCCAATGGCGTACCTCATTGACCCTCAGTTGGATTAGTTGTAGAATTGTACATAACTAGGTATTTAAGAGTGAGTGAGAGTGTGAAGATATTTAGAAATCTATTGCATTTGGGTCTAAAATGTCCTACCTATTGACAGCTCCTGGAATATCAGAACTGTACAACTTCAAAAAATTAAAATTTAGTTTTTAATTTTAAGAAAGACTTTACCACTCATTATCATGGGATAATATTTACCTGAATATGCATACGCCAAGCAAGGTAAACAAACGCACATTTACTTTTGGGCTAAAGTACCCCAGTTTCGGTATAAGTAAATAAACTTTGCAAAAAGATAACCAAAAAAAAAAAAATTAATTCACTTATGAATTACACATAAGATGAGTCAGATTTGTGCATCGAGTGTCAAGTGAACTTTTTTTTTATAGAGACCATCGTGTTGTGTATGTCGGCGATACCCGCGGTCGAGTCTTTTCCTGGAGTGTCGCTGATCAGCCTGGCAGGGCTGACCATTGGCTCAAAGACGATGGCGCAGAAGCTTGTACAACTTGTAAAGTGAAGTTTTCGATTTATGAAAGAAGGCATCATTGTAGAAACTGTGGCCTTCTGTTCTGCTCAAAGTAAGTTTTGTATATCACTGACCATTATTGACATATTCTGTTGATACATCTTTTAACTTTATTTATTTTTAATTTGTTTTATTTTATTTATTTATTTAACAGCTGGTTAGCTGCCTATGCTATGCCGGCACCTCACATTTCTTTTTCCACCTCATATTTAAAGAAAAATTTTTTTTTTACAATTATAAGATAGTTCTCCTGTAGGAAGTAAGGTGATCTTTCTGGTAAAGTTAATGTTACATTATTTCTACATTTTTAGCCCCTCCACGCTTGGTGAAAAGGAACTAAAACTCTCAAACATTCAATCATTACCTAGCCTAATGTGCGGGTTTCAGAGTACTCGATATTCCACTGAAAACCTGCCCTCATTCATGCTACTAAACACATTCATACTTTATGTACAATTAAAATTTATATTTGCACAATGAATGTAAAATACTAACCTAGATTGGTGGGTTTATGGTGTACTTGATATTCCACCACAGACCCACCCTTGCGTACACTACTATCACTCTAATAAATGCATTCACTCAAGTGGTATCCACTCATTCTAGATGTACAGCTAAGAATGCGGAACCACTGGTGCATTTAATATTACAACAGTGCCTCCGCCCATTCATTCTTCAAGAAACACCTAGCCTAATACTAACCTAAATCAGTCAGTCTGTGGAGTACTCGATATTCCTGCACTACCTGCCTATTCGCACTTACTTTCGTGCCAATAAATACATTCATTCTACACAAAACACACAAAGAGAAAACTAACCTAGTTCAGTGAGTCTGTGGGTTACTTGATATTCCGATATTTCGTACCTTTTAACATTAAACTATAAATAAATTTTGCAATCAACAATAGGAAAAATGTAATTCACAGAACTAGAAAATAATAACTGTACAAACTTCCTGGTCTTAACTGACAAAAAACTACAATTTGATGAAGCACTGATTGTTAATATGTGACAGATAAGCTAAAAACAATAGAAACCACAGGCCACAATAACAGCTACAATACAAACACAATCAACAAAATAATTAATGAAATGCACAGACAAAAACAAACCAGACACTAAATGAGCCACATTCACATGCATAAGGAAAGAAATGTGCAAACTAATGAATCTATTTATTTTTTTATTATTATTTGTTAGGCATAAAACAATAGTGAAGTCCACGAATACAACCAAAACTACTCAACAAAACAATGACAAAGCCACACTTGTCAAAAATGGAATGTACACCATAACGTGAATACAAATAGACAAATAAAATGCATTAGACAATAGGGCAGAAGTACAAAAATCATAACAAAACTTCCCCTTCAAAATTGTGAATTCTCGAATAAATCAACTTTTCATATGAAACTTCTGAAAACAAATAAATAAACCGTTTGCATATTACAGAAAAACATATGCCATAATAATAAAAAAATATTTATTGATGATAAACTGGAAATAGTAAAAAACTTACCTACAAAGCTCAATAAGTTGGAAAATAGATGTTTTGCTTGAACTAAATGTACTTGCATGAAAGTCAGAGGCTGGGTGCCATATTTCCAATGCTTTGCTCACGAGTGCACCAGTTGGGCAAATCTAATAAAGCTAGAAAAGGTACGACCCCCCCGTACTGGGATAAAGGATCCCAGGTCCGTTCCTGCTATGGCGCTGGCAGCTAACATGCTAAACTGATCTTAGTATTACTATGACTCCTCCTCTCAGTTACTCACTCACTCTCTCACAATGTATACAGAGTGATTTACAATTTTTATGTAAAGTGAGGTTGAGATGAAAAAGTTAGCGTCATGAACGGGATTCGAACTCATGACCTTTGGCTCCCCTCTTACATGGTCTTACATTCAACGTGTAATCATTTAGATTCTCAGTGAACCTGAAGTGGTCACAGGGAGATGTTAGTGACGAAAGGTCCTTCAGTAATTATTATTTTAATATGTTTTAGTAGCGATTATTCAAAATTATTTATAATTTGTATGAACAACCACTTGAGCTATATGCAATGGTACAAAAGTCATAATAACTCAAGAAGTCAGCGCAGTGGCGTATTGAGCCAAAGGTCGTGGGTTCAAATCCCGCTCGTGGCACTAATCTTTTCATCTCAATCATACTTTAAATAAAAATTATAAATCACTTTGAATAATTATTCTTTGGTCAGCTAAGACCAATTAAAACATATTAATATAATCATTCAATTAATTAATCTTTTTATGTAAGGATTTTGTTGAAATGAAAAAGTCAGTGTCACAAATCACGATAGCTCAGGTGATTGGGGCAGCGTTGTACTGAGCCAAAGGTCGTGGGTTCAAATCACGCTCACTGACTTTTTCATTCAACCAAAACCTTACATAAAAAGATTAATCAATTGAATCAAGTTATTCGGTCAATAGACCACTACATATAATGAATATTAATATAATGTATACAAACATAACACATTTCACTGTACTCATAGACGCCCAAATTAACAACAGTTCGCATACATGATTTACTTCATTTTAAACAAAAGGACTGAAAATCACACTGACCAAATTACAGTGTTATTTTATTTAATTTGATTTTTAATGTTTTAATTCATATCACTTCTAGAGAAAATAATTTAAAGGATAATTGTTAAAACTCCTTTTTAAAATTGTATTTGTTCCATGTTAAATTTCAACTAGCAGTACAGATGTGCATAAATTGTGTGGATGATAACTTTTAAAAGAATTAATCTGTTATTTGTACGACTTTATTTAAAGAGACTTCAGACCATGATTCCGACCTTTCATTCTTTTTTAATGCGAAATACTTTTGTAAATCAGATAAATAATTAACTTTAGTATAATAATTAACAAAATTATTCAAAATGAATATATTTGTTATATTTAAATAACGTATGTGTTTGTTTTAAGATGTAGCCGATTTGAATCAGAGATCTCAAGGCTGAGGATTCTAAAGCCAGTTCGGGTCTGCCAAGGATGCCACACGTCACTCAAAATACAGCAGCATTGAGAAAAATTAGTACGGATCGATTTATTTAGCTGAATTCAGTGTCTGTCTCTCACTCGCTCTCTCTATCTCTCCCCTTTTCCTCCCTTATCCCGTCGTGTCTGTGTGTCTAGAGAAATTCAATTTAAACCTAACTTTCAAAGAAAGCCAAATCGATAATAATTACACACTCCGGAAAATATTATTATTACATAGAAACACTATATTTTGTATATATTCTTTAACTTGTGAAAATGTATCCTAGAATAGAGTCACTCTGTTTAAGTGAATTTACCTATTGCTGTGATAACAATTACTACACTAAAAAAATAAAGGGTTTGTAAAGATATATGAATTTTAATTTTCTATTTGTAGTTTTAAAATATAAATTTAAAAAACTACAAAGAACTTTTGAAAGAATTGATATTTCAAAAGCAAAATCTTTTATATAAAGTTTTCTCCCTCCCAATTAGTAATATCTCATTTCCTTAATGGAATAATATTTCAAAAGATATATTTTAATAAAAATAAACGACTAAGTAGTTAGAGAGTTAGATAAATTGGTTAATTTTATTAAAGGTTTCTTTTTCTTCTTTTATTTATTTATTTATTTATTTTTTTTTTTTTCAGTTTAAAAACAAAAACTGTAAAAGAAGACTATATAAATCAATCTGTTCCAATATCGCATAATAAACATGAAATATTATGTACCTGCTCTGTTCATAATGATCTTCATGAGCCTCTCATATGGCTGGACTTGATTTTATAAAAGCGTAAATAGTTTGTAAGTGATTTTCATGAAAGATATTGCATTTATACCCGGAGATGTATATTTCCCTATTTCCTATTATCTTTGTACCATAAGAAAATTTAACTGGAATTTTAAAAAACAAAAAAGGGAGGAAATATTTGTATATTACGAGGCCAACGGCGTTCGATAGTATTAATTGTTATCACATTTAGTTTGTGTGAGTGAATATAATCTTTGTGAATGCGATAAATTATACAGGACGAATGTAAGTTGTTGCCTGAAAGTAAAACAATAATATACAAAATACTGACAATATTATTTAAATATATGGAATTATATATATATATATACTTTATAGTAATTCTGGTGCAATTTATAGCATTAGTAAATTTGGAACAAGAATTTATCAATTCAGTCATAAGCACCAAAAAAAGTTCAAGGAAAGACTTTATTTATATTAATTGTAGTGTCGCTTTTTTTAAATTCAGTTCCAGATTTTTTTTGCATATTTATAAGCATTTACCTGTTACAAGAAAGTGTGATATTTTTACTCTGTGTTACTGTATTTTCATTATTATGAAATAAGAATTATTTATTTTATTTTTGTTAATATATTTTAAGTTTCTGTTGTAGGATTTGTTTTCTTTATATTATATTTTATAGTTATTTTCCAAAATAATATGCATTTACATACCATTAATCTGTAATACAATAAAAATTAGTAATAGTGTATTTGTTTTGTCAAATAACAAGAAAAAAAAGACGATAAGTATAGTGGGTTATTTATTATCATCCTGACAATATACAAAAATGTATGAGTATAATCCTGAAAAATGTCAAATGTAAAGTAGTCGATGCTTTAAAGCTACTGTTGTTTAATGTCAATAACTGAATAAAGGATACCAATCAGTTAATTTTTTTTAAACTACATTTTCCCTCAATAATTTATTCTATAAAATGATGTTTTGGGAATGGGATGTAGGAATTAACATCAACAATGAATCGAGTGTTGTGGACAAGAGGCTGAATAGAAATTGTGGATGATAGAAATGCAGAATTTTTTTTTCCCAGCCAGCTTCCTGCCAAGGCTATTGCACCTCACCTGATAAAATTTGGCGATTTTACATTTTTTATCGTACTTCTTAGACTCGATGTTTAACTGGCCCTTTCCACACATGATGGAAAGACTCTACACCTTATAACACACACATGTGGACTAATGTAAATTTGGTAGGCCTCGTGAGCTAGTTATTAGTTATAAAAAACTGCCTTGTTATATTTGAATATTAGTAATGTAAAACAGGAATAATGACATTCAAATGACAAACCTTAACCAAAAAGTGAATAATTAATTGTTAAAATATTGGAACATAAATAGATAAAAACAGAAAAATCTAAAAAAGTTTTCAATCGATAAAATCAACCTACAGGTACGAAATAAACTTCAAACCTTGGATCTTCTCTTGATTAAGATGTTAAAATTTGACAGATGAATTAATTAATTGGAAATAATCAAACAGGTCCCATGTTTGGTCTTAAACTGGCGAATGAGTTGAAAATCTGAGTTGAGTCTTCAGCGAAATTTGATAGAACCGGAGAGTGATAGGTTTAAATTAAAATAAAATGAAACGGAAGAAATTCTAATTTGTTTTTAAATTTATTTTTTAACAGACGCCCTTCAAATGATCTAAAATTTATGGCAGTGAAACTTAGCGGAACCATTTCGGACATATCTTTGTAATTTAAATATTATTTTGATTGCGATCAAAGTCTTAGGATTAAGATATCAGGCCTGGTGGGGTTCAAAAAGAAAAAGGGACCAAATACTTAAATTGGGTCCGTCCTTTCTCACTGTTACTCATTCAAAAGAGAAAATTTCATCGGACCTCGACCGAATTTCGTTATTCAAAGGGGGCCAGTGTTAAATTTTCTTTAAGAAGGCACCATTCTAGAAATAACTACACATTCACACTCTCTCTCTCTCTCTCTCTCTCTCTCTCTCTCTCTCTCTCTCTCTCTCTCTCTCTCTGTATATATAATATGTAGAGTGAAATGAGTCATATTACTTGAGTTAATTATTAGTTATAAAAAGCTGCCTTGTTATATTTGATATATTGATTTGAAACAGAAATGACATTCAAATGACAAACCTTCACTAAAAAATGAGTAATTTATTGTAAATTACTGGAACATTAATAAATAAATTTATAAACAATTTTTCAGGTAGACCGGCTTATAATCAGGCAGTATTTCTCTCATGCAGGAAAATGAGGAACAGATTATTTCATAAATTTTTTCCCATTTAACATGTAAAATACAATTTATTTTTTAGAAAATGGATAAATAGATAACAACAACAATTCATTTTAACAAGACATTTAACATACACAAGAAAATTGGCATTTAAAAACTTTTTCAAATTCTGGTAAGTAGTCGAATCGTAGTTTAACAAGCATTTACTGCGGCTTAAGTTGAGTTCCAAAATTTTTGTGCTTAAGTGGGTGCCAAGGGAGAACGTTACGCACTTTCGGCTCGACAAAGTTTAAACAGATATCCCCGGTTAATTCCTCAAGGGGAACTTCAGGGTCAGTTTTCGCCCTCATCACAGCAGCATCAATTTCTTTTTTAACTTCAGAATCGATCTCCTAAAAAAATAAAACCTTGTAAATAATAAGGAAAAATTAATATCAACACACACATCCAAATTTCTAATCCGTCTAAAACATAAGAATTGTTTAGAAATTTTTTTTTATATAAACCTTAAGTTGGTTTTCAGTGGCCAATGCTGAGGTCAAGATTTTCTCCTTGAAGGATGTAATTGGGTCTCTTGTCTGTCTCACTTCTTGAATTTCTTCCCTTGTTCGGTACGATGTGCCTGGATCTGACATAGAATGGCCACTGTACCTGTATGTTACCATTTCCATCAATATCGGTCCTTTTCCGGTTAAACAATGGTTTACAGAAAATGTTGTAGCTTCCTTTACAGCCAAGACGTCCATCCCATCTACCTAACAACCACAACAAATAGTAAATAAAATGTATTCATTGGTAATTTAATAATTATTCATATCCTTTGCTTGTTAAATGTAAGAAAGGTCCTTGAAACCTAATTTTGCGAGCTTTTATAAATAATAAATAAATAAATAAAAAATTCATCCATACTTGCTTAGTGGTCATAATTGACCATATTAATTATTCTTTTTATCTAAGGATTTTGGTTGAAATAAAAAATTAGTGTCACAAGCGGGAACCCACGACTTCGATCCCCTCTGACACCAACTCCTCATCTCAACCTACAACTGTTCGAATTTTCCCTATTTTTGGAATTTTTTCATTAAAAATTAAATAAATTAAAAAACGTTAGAAGAGTAAATTTTCTTTAAGAAGGCACCTTTCATGAAATAGCTCGCATTCACTCTCTCTCTCTCTCTTTCTCTCTCTCTACCTCTCTTTCTCATTCTCTCTTACTCACTTGCTCTCTGTTTCCATTCCCATCAAATTTCATTTATTTGCTTTAAAATTCTCGAACTTTTGCCCAGTTTGGATTAGGGAGAACTCACTGTATTTCTTGCCTTTTTGAATATTGCTTACATTAAAGGCCCAGCCAGGCAGAAACCAATCTTTTGCTAACAGCCTGATTTTGTCATGATGACAAATGATCCACTTGCATATCATCACAGATTGCCCCATTGTATGTCTGATATAATTTAAAATGAGTGATCAAATCGAAATATATAAAATAAAAATTTATTAACTGTATGAATAATTAAGTGGTGGTATTCCCATATTTTTTTCTTATTAATTTCATGCATTCGACATAGACTTTTTTTTTAATTTTTGCAATGATAATAGCAGGAATGGTTCTTCATCCAAACGCATAATCAATAACAGTAGAAAAGAAAAAAAAAACAGGGTAGTGAAAACATAATCTGTATAAAGTAATACAGGAGGGCTTAACATCCAACTTCCCGTTGGGTGTCTTGGACGAGAGGTCAAACCACATTACAATACATTTTCATACATTATCAATTAAAAAACCGTGAGCTCTGCTGAGATTTGAATCCAGAACTTTTAGTGTTGCAAATGCGAGTCGGACGCTCTAACCACTCGCCCACCACATCCCCCCAGCTATGTATATTCAAGAAAAAAATGAGTAGACTCCCCCAAGTCAAAGACTGTCACGATGAGTGATGGATCACTTCCTGCTGCAACAGATCACTTTTTGTCTGGCCAGGCTTTTACGCTATACAAAGGAAATACCAGACAAAATAAAAACAATAGTTACCAAAATTCCTGGAATAAAATCACCCCTTGTATAATAATTTGTATTGGCAGATGCCCTTTCTACACTTGTCCCCATGCCATATCCATTGTTTTCGCAAATAAAAATTATCGGTAGGTTCCAAAGCTTAGCTATATTGTACGTCTCGAACACCTGTCCCTGGTTAGCAGCTCCATCACCGTAAAGTGCTACACAGACTCCACCTGTTTTGTTATAAAGATGCTCTAGTGCAATACCAGCACCGAGGGGTATCTGAAACAAGTAATATCAGTAAAACACTTTAGAAATATTTGAAAGTCAATACCTGTGCTCCAACAATCCCATTGCCACCATAGAAATTGCGTCCATACATGTGCATGGAACCACCCTTTCCCCTCGAACAGCCTGACTTACGCCCGGTGAGTTCAGAAAGTACACCAAATGTCGGGACACCCATAATGTACGCCCAACCGTGGACTCTATATGCTGAAATCACACTATCCTGCTCTCTCAAGGACGCTTTGATCCCAACAGCGACAGCTTCCTAAAAACCAATTCTTAAGATGGCCACGCTTGCAAATATTATGAGTCTGTACCTGTCCTGAATATAAGTGGCAGAAGCCACGGATCAACTTTTCTTTGTACAAGTTACCAGCAGCCGTTTCCAACCTCCTCACTACTTGCATTGTCCTATAGAAAGACAAAGCAACATCTGACGTAATAGACACTTTCGTCGACGGCCCTTCAGTCAATTTGAACAGTTTGAATGGCTTAAATAATTACATCCTATTATTTTCTATTGTTTTATGGTATTTCTATAAAAATGGACCACCTTTGTTTCAAATGAAGCACTGCTGGCATAATCATTTTTCTTCAGAAGTATGAGTTTATCAGCAAATCTCTAAAATTAAGACATGGAAAAATAAATGAATTGATAGTGAATTTAAAATTGAATCACAAATATGTATCTGTAGTTTGGAGATCTCTGATCATCCTGTACTGTCAGCAGGCAAACAAGCAATCTCGTTTGGTATGTCATGAATGTTTTACCAGATCAGTAGTGGGTTTGTGACCCAGTTCTCATTAAAGTTCAACAAAACTAGGAAGTATAGGGGGAAAATGGTTAGAAATGGCCAAACTATGTGATCACCTCACATATTTCAACAAAATACCTATCAATAAATATTTATGCTGCATATTTAGCTAAAGTAAAATAACATGTGCCCAATGCAAGTTAGCAGTCTGAGTACAGGAATTTCATAATGATTCCATAGGGGGATCATCGGTGTGGTATGGTAGAAAAGAAGAGTTCTTCTTCTCCTTCATAGTCAGACTTTATAGGAAGTTGTGAAGATTGTTTCCGGGGTTCCCTGTGGTGCTCAAGGCGCTGTGGCTTCAAGGATGCAGGGCATCTTGCATTTCTATACCATAATTACACAGATCAGGAGCAATCACGCCTCATGGGGTGCACATAAATATAGATCTGGTCTAATGAAACCTACCAAGTGCACTACTTGTGACTGCATTGAATTGAACAATATAATTATGGAATGCCCATGGAATTAATTAAGAAAAAAATTTTTTTAGTGGTATCAAATCCTTACTTAAGAGTGGACAGGAAGTGGGGAGGACATGAGATAGTCAGGGTGCAATAGCCCCAGTTATTCTGAGAACATGCTGTCAGTAATTTTTATCCATTCCTCCAAGGAGACTGTGAGATTAAAAAACATGAAAAAAATTTATATAAGGCAAAGAGCTGTCCTCCTCTTCTACCCTGCTGGGTAATATACAAAAAATATGTACATTTCTTAAAATTAAGTTTTAAATTTACTTTAAATTTTTTTTTTTTTTTTTTTCCGGCTGGCGCAGGTAGGCTATTGCCAGCTCCTCCAAAATACAACTTTATTACACGGACAAAGTACTGATACCAGAATGGGAGGAATAGGCCAAAGAAACACCGCTAAAGGCAAATTTCTACTGAGGTACAACACCAAAACTGACAAGGGTACGGGGGCTGGATGAATAAAAAGACTGAACTTATATAAGTATGCTACTGTTTTCCAGTCTGAAATCTTATTGATTGAACACTGCGTCATGGAAATAAAAAGGCAAAGAATTCATTCCCGGAAGACAGCCATCTTCTTTGACAGGCAGTACTAAAGGCCCTAGTCTTATGCGAGGTGAAGGCAAAGTATTTGAAACTGCATGGAGACATCAGCGACATCAATGACCTGACCTGGACATGGGTCCCTAGAGATTTGGGTATGCAGGCAATGAAAAGATTGACATGTCCAAAGAGGTAGCCAAAATGGATTCTCTAGGTCCCGAACCGTTCTGTGGCCTAGCATCCAAAGAGTTTACACATTAAAATGGATCATTAATAACTCCCAAGTTTGGCAGAATAATAGCCCAGATATTCTTAGCAGGGCTATCTGCAAAACTTACAAGGCAATTACCGAAAGGGAATCGCAACCGAACCGAGATTCTGGTTGGACTCTTGACAGGGATCTGATGCCTAAGAAGGCACATGCACCGATAGTAGTACAGACTGAAGACCGTGCAGATATTGCCAGGAAAAGGAGACTGCAGGACACATTTTATGCTTTTGTGAGGGTCTGTGCAGGTGCAGATTTTTGCAAATAGGAAAGGAAAGCAAGCAAGATTCTATGCTGGCAAGGCTTTGAAGGTTGATCAAAATCTAGCTGGCCTTGGTGAAAACCACAGGAGCACAATAGACCTACTCAGGTCGAGGTGCGGAAGGCCTTTGGGATGGCTCTTTCATCCCTATCCCTATTCCCAGACCTAATCTTTCTTGTGTTAAAAATAATAAACTTACTGCTTAAAAATGAAGGGAAGCAATGTAGAAAATGGTAAATTTTAAAAAAAATTATTTCCAATTGACAACTTGGTTAGGTCCATTGTAGTAGGTAAAGGATCTAATTCATACATTCGTGCTAATAAAACTGAAAAATTTTCTAAAGAAAAATAAATAAAAAATAATAATAATAATCAGGTAGGAGTAAAAACTGAAAATATCCTCAGCGCTTGCTCACCTTTGTTGTCAATCTTGAGCAAAGATTCTGAAAAGCCATTGCGCCAAGGTAGATTGAAAATATTTAAACGTTTTAAAGAATAAAACAATTTTTTCCCAGATAAAGTACGATCTGTCAACCCTTAAATCCTAGAAAATTTAATCAGAAGGCAACAACATAAGAACCTCTGTCAAACAAATGTTTATAGTAGAAACTCATAAACGGAATGATGTCATGATAGTCCATGACTAATTCTATGGTCTGATTCATTTGTACAGTCATTCAAAGGTGCAAGAAGGAAGGATCAGACCATTGAACATAAATTAAGTGCTGTTGCTATTGAAAGCATTCGTGATAAACTTGTTATGCTTCTTATTCAATAATTATGAGTTATGGTAATCTTGGAAATGATTTTTCATCAGTTGTTGATTAATTTTAATAACTGCTTGAAGGCCTGGGAAGGAGAAGTGGATAAACTGCTAAAATCACTGCTGCAATTGGAGAGGGCTAAACTCAGAGGAGAGGTCACTGACATCTGAGAAAACATCTACACAGCATGGGCATAAACGATGATCCCATCTGCAGATTATGCAATGAGGAGGAGGAAACAGCTTCCCATATCATCTTTGAATGCGAATGCAACAGCTCAATGGAGATTTAACCTAACATCCGAAAAAAACTTATGGAATGAAATTGTAGCAGCGACAGTCAATGACCTGATACTTCTAAGGAGAAGGATTGACTTTATTGCACTGAACTAAGGAACTAGGAGGGTACAATAAGCCAGAAGACTACAATGCCTGGGAGCACAAACCCCGCTTCCTAGTACGATCATCATCATCACTCTTAGAAGATCGGGAGGCCCTCATGGGTCTGGGCTTGGGTATGGTATGGTAATAAGGATTTTTTAGTCAAAAACATAATAAATCAGGTCTGTTTTGTGTTAGAAGATACAAATGATCCCAAAAAAAATAAGAAAGGCACATATAACGCAACTTAAAGCATATAGTCAACCTAGTATAAATTAAGCTATATTTTAATCCTGTTTATTGAAAGTTACAAAAATTAGCCTCTTTGAAGTTTCATTTTGTTGTTAATTTGATTTATAAAATAAGTACAAGATCATGCTCTTAAAAGATCACTTCATTTAGATTGTTAAAAAATATAATAAATAAAAAAGAAACAAGAAAATAATAAATTTGACAACTTTAAAATTTAATAATAAAAGCTAATTTTAATTGGTATAAAACAGGATTTTTGTATAAGCCAATGCCAAGTCTGCCCCCATGCTCCAAATGCTATCCTCTTGATCAAAACTTACTCACTACTTCCTTAACTGATGACATATGATTCAAAATCATAGCAAGAATTCAGTTGTTATGGATTTTGCTACATTTGAATGAAATTGAACTTTATGGCTAAATCCTTTGATCAACCAGGAAAGATGCATAGCCTCAAACTACCTCACACCATCGCAGAAAATAGTTCAATCAAGAACGAAGAAAGAACCTGGCGTGGAATTTTGGACTTTTCGGATTTATGATCAGACCCTAAATGGTTTTTGGGTCCACAACATTATGAGTTCTCATCTTCTGAAACCCACGGATATACACCATCCATCCACACATTGTATGAGCATACATGACTTCAGAGGAGCCCATTCAGCATTTAGATGCATTCCAAGGAGGTCAAATATACGGTGGGAGAATATTGTAAATAGTTTTAAGTTTGAAAACAAACTCATTTTATCCAGGCCTTTAAGGGTGAGAAATTTTGTCACATTTCAATTTATTTCAAAGTGACAATGTTGTGATTTAGATTTCATGATTAGGCCTAGAGCAAAAAATAAGAGAGGACTGGGACATGCCATATATTCAAATTTTAGGTATTTTCCTTTTATTCAAAAGATAAAAAGGGAAAGGAGAGTTAAATATTCTGGATAACTATCACTCAATTTAATAACAATATATATTTAATTTATTCATCTTTTCTGAAATTAATTGATATCTGGAAAATTAACCCCCACATTGAACCAGTGGGATATTGGGTAAGGAAATCGGTATTTCAAATTAACGAAAGCCCTTCCCCCAACATAAATTGGTCCATTTTACGAAAAGGAAAAATGCGCCTTAACAAATTGTTTGTTTAAAATTTAAAAAGGAAATTTGTTGATTTTAATTGTTATTTTCTTGCGTAATTAATAAATTGTTTTCAAACTTGAATTAAATTTTATTATAAAAAGAGTCCTGATCGATTGTATTCAGGTTCGATCAAGACCTGTGGGGCTCTTTTTCTAATAAAAAGGATTCAGAGTCGGGCCCGTCTTGTTGAATTGAGAACAGACCGTGACATATGTACTTACATTTATTATTTATTTTATTTATTAAATAAACTAGGGACTCATATGTAGATTATTATATTATACAAAAACTAGATTTGCATCACAATAAGAAATATTAGTTGTACGGTTGTTTTTTAAATTTTTCCCCAGCAGTATAATATATTTGACTACCATTGACAAGTTGCCAATAAATTGTGTAGTGAATAAAGGTATTGTCCTGCATACAATTTTTGTTTGCAAACAATATTTGTTTCTTAAAAAAAAAAAAGAAAAGGATATACAGTAGGATAAGGAAACAAAATTGTTGTTTTTGGTTTTTTATCAACAAAAATCTATTTCATTGCCACCGTTCCCTTTTGACCATGTGTAAATACTAAAGTTGACTTTTATAGGGGCTTATTAATTTAAGGAATTCTCTATACACGTAATCTGGAATTGTATCTTTGGAAAAACGATTCAACGAGAGATCAGTGTTAGGGATGGCAATTAGCCCTCGATGTTTAGGGAATGTGAGTGTTTTTTGAATTTTTGGAACTTTAACGGAATGGTTTTCATTAAAAAAAAGACTGAAACTCTAACTGCAAAGTGACGTCTAGTGGTTTTTTATCACGTTCTATTCTGCCTAAGGAATGGGTTTTCAGAAATAATTCTGCAAGAGGGTGTGTGGAGGCAGGGAATGACCAGTTTTGTAAAATATTTAATTTCTAAGAGGCATCGTCGCAGTGGAAGTCTGACAGGAGCAGAAGCTATCAGAATAGTTTCATGTAGACCTCTGCTGTGAATTGTGTTGATAATTTGTCTAATTCGTTGAGAAGCAGATCCATACGGTTGACAATCATAGTCTATTTTTGACTGAAATAGACTCCTATCCAATATTCAACCAACAATATTCTTCACTCATTTTCTCAGCAATAACTATTTACAAAGTGCTAATAAATACACTCATTTCTCAGCAAATGCCATACTATATACAGTTAAGAATAAAGGTTGATATATTTTTTTAATGTTTGACCACATTGTCAGGTTTTAAATTTATCTAAGAATGAATTACCATGCTGTATGGTATTAACAAGCCTGTTTGTCACATTTGATGTTTTTTTTATCGTTTAAAAAGTAGTAAAACGACATTGTTGATTTTTTGAACAGATTTTTAGACGGCCTTACTCCAATTTATTTGGATTGAATTTTTCCAGAACGGAACCAAATGAAACCGATGTTAAATGTTGACAATTGAAAAGCGTTTTTTTGACGTTTAAAAGACACACAAATTCAAAACTCGGTAAAAAAAATTCGCCCAAATTGTAGGTTTGTACAACAGACTTGTGCGAGACGGGACGAAGCGGCCATATTGGGGGTCGGCGATAGCCGTGTCGAGTGTTCGAAACGACGCCCTACTCCAAAGATTTTTTAGACCGACGGGACCTTGATTTCGAGGGCGCGGACCAGTCAACACTTGTACGGATCCGGGACGAGTCTCGACAAGCAGATCCTAAAGTTATTATTATTTTTTTTTAATTGAAATTTCCTTCAGAAGCCGCTCGTCTCTCAGATAAATCCTCTTCGTCCCAAAGTATCTCTCGTCTTGGCGAAATACGCTGACATGTACGTCGAACGCCTTTTATGACGACCACTGGACACAGCTCATCCCGTACAGCCTTGATCCGACACAGATCCGTACATTTAGAATAGATGAGGAAAATGGAACGTACTCTGCTCATTTTGACCGCCGTTTTCACCTCTTTCATCTTAATGGTGAGTCGACCTATTACCCAATTAAGCCAGTGACTTTTTTTTAAGTTTAAGACGTATTTTTTTAAAGTTCAGTCTTGATATAACGCAGTTATCAGAAGCACAATGGTTCGATAATTATCCTTTTCCCAGGCACTTAAAAATGAAAAAATAAAAAAAAACGACTAACGGTCGATTGAACAGATTTTGAGGTAATTCCGAAATTGCTTGTTGTTTTGAAACTTGTTATGCTCACTAGAATTCCAAGGCGTTTTTATCGATGACGAATGATAAACTGAATTAGTTTATTACGTTGTACAGATTTTACATACTTTCTGTATAAATAACGTGTATAAGGAAATCTTTTTAAGTTTACGTATACAAGTGGGTGAATCAAGTACATTTCTATCATTTATGCTATCGCCTGGTCGATAAGCTTTTAGTTTTGGGTCGTGGTCATAGTAAACGAACAAAACAACTTTTCTACTCACCTTTCAATGATAAACAAGTTTCAGGGATGTACAGTGTAAATTTATACCTCAATTTTCTTTCCGTTTTTGGATCCGGACACGTTTTGTTCAACAATTTATTTTCAGTATTTTCTGAAATGGCCCATTGACGAAGACTTTTGGCATCGGGCGCCTGGCGTAAAAGAAAAGTCTTCGTGGATGAATGGGTGAGGCGCTAGGTGAAGTTTCAAGGATGTACAAACTTTGATTTTTTTTCCGTGTTTGGATCCAGACACGTTTTGGTCAACAGTTTATTTTCAGTATTTTCTCAAGTGGCCCAATCATAAATACATTTGGCCTTGGGCGCCTGCCGTCTTTGCGAATGGTTGGGGTGAGACGCTAGGTGCCAGGCGGCTGGCGTACAAGTGAGAGAAAAGTCTAGGTGAGTTGGGAAGATGCCTGGCGACAGAAGATTAGAGGGTATAGAGGTAGTTCATTTTGTTTTTTGGGGTTGTGTAGTCCCTTTGTATCAGTTCAAACGAAATGAAAGTGGAAAAACTTTTTGTTAAGCTGGGTTTCCACTATGCGATAAAATCATTCGTGCAACTAAACGCAAGAATTGCTTGCCAAACACCTTGGGTTAACCATTTCCACGAGGTGAAACAAGGTTGCGTGAGACAGACATGCTATTTATAACTAGACAAACTGCTGTAACAATGTTCGCTATCATGGCGATACTTTATGTGTTATCATGACTTTGATCCACTCTGACACCGGCTCTTCATCTCAGCCTACAACCTTTAGTATTTTTCCTCTTTTTGCCATTTTGAAATGTGTAATCAGGATCTGAATCTCAGCGTCTTATGAAGTGGCCATGGGGAGCTGTTAGCAAAGTGATTTCTTCTTTAATTATTACATTAATCTATACATGCTTAGTGGTAATAATTGACCGTATGAATTATTACAATTAATTATACTTTTTATCTAAGGTCTTGGTTGGGACAAAAAAGCTAGTGTCATGAGTGGGATTTGAACCCACAGCCTTCGGCTCAGTACTGCTGCTCTAACCACTTGAGCTATCGTGACTTCGGTCCACTTGGACACCAACTCCTCATCTCCATCTATAACCTTTCAAATTTTCCCTCTTTTTGCCATTTTTCACTTTTGTTTATTATTATTATTTTTTGTTTATTATGCATTTTATCTTTAGCATCCCACAAAAATGGGTAGCTGTGATACATTCGATAAGTCGAATGCAGTCTTCCTGGTTCATTCTCGTACTCGAGACAAGTAGTACAAGACAAGTTACACAGAGAGAAACAGACAACGCGACAGACTTTGATACAAAACTGTCAGCTATGGAGTATCCTTGTGCCAAAAGTTTTGCAGCCCCGGTTAGCTCTCCACAATGCGAGACAAGTTTCGTGAGTGAGTTTTGCGCAGTGGAATCTCAGTTTAAGAGTTCAATGAAAAATATAGAAACCCATGCCTATGGAAGGTGAAATCCAGAGATTACTCATATAATACATTAAGGCAAAAGGTATGGGAAGAATTAGTTTTGTTTTTGAAGAAAAAAAGTCAATCCGAGTGCGAATATTGAGTAATTTTATTCATAATCTGATTGGGTACCAAGTTACATGCCGAATGTAAATTGAGGTGCCAAAGCAAAATGTGGCATCACCGTGAATAGGGGAAGGAAGTTGGACTCCTGAGATGCCAAAAGTCCGGCATTACCGGAGGCCTTAAGGCATTACCTGTCTGGTGTGTACAGTCCTGAGTATTTGAATTAAATGAAAATCGGTATGACTTGTTGATGTACAGTGGAGAGCAAAACTTCTTTTTTCAATGTAAATGGCTTTCTTCTTTCAGTCTTGTCCTCCACTTTTTGTAGCAGTTTTCCATAAGCTCAAGGTGTTCTTGGATGTTGGAGAGAGTTTGGATATTATTCAAGTTAGAGAACAAAATTACGGTGTCGTCCGCATAGATGGTGATGTGAAGTGTGTAGATGGTCAGCAGTATGATATACAGGATCGGACCAAGAATGAGGACTCTGTCTTGTATCAGTCTGACTTCTGAGAACTCGTTGACACACCTTACTCTGAATCAGCAGTTGATTAGATAGTATTTCAGGATAAGATAAGAAGAAATGAGTTAAAAGTGTTTAAGTTTATAAACCAGGCCGGGTGCCTGACTATCAAAAGTCTGTGCTACATCTAAGAACACCCCTAGCAATACCCTATTTTTCTTGAACAGAAAAGATTGTGCGAACTCTGAAACCTTGTTGGATTGTCGATTGTGGACAAGCAGAATTAGTGAAATGGAATGATTTTATGAATATCTAGAAGAGCTTTAAAATGAGTCTTTTGATAATTTTGAACTTTGTAGGAAGAAGGACGATGGGTCTATAGGAGGATATGTTGGGAGGTTTGTAAGTTTTAGGAGTATAATGACAGAATATTTCCATAAGTGAGGATAGTAGGTGGTTCGCACAATGACGTTATGTATATTGTAGTTGGGGATTTATTAATTTAACTTCAGGAGGATTAAAAGGAGGAGGCGTCCACTGGAATTAGCATCTCTGCTTCCTCATTCCAGATGCTTGGCATTTAAATCTCGCCTAGATATAAACTATATATCTTAATTACTTTTTGTACAAAAAACAGAGACTTGTATTTTCATAATTTTTTCACGTTTTGAACCATCTTAATATTGGAATAAACAATGCAAGTCAGCTGTAACTCTAACTCTGGGGATGAGCTTTTTTACATAAAGTACTTTGGCTGTACGAATTTTTTCGTTGAGTCTCGTTGATTGAGTCCTCTGACCCTGGCTGACTGACAGTCCCCTCAGTGAGACTGTCGAATTTTCCACTACTTCCGAGGTGATTGACAGTTGACTATTTGTCCTGATGGCTGTATCTTTCCTGGCTCTGGCTGACTTGAGTTCTCTCACTTTCCGCTGCTTTCAAGATACTTGATAGTCAACTCAACAGCATCATCCTGCTCTCCTATGAACTACTTGATTTGGTCTCAACTTTTTCGGCAATCCTAAGTTTATGGTTATCCTCAGCTTCCCTCAATAAATAACCCATAGTTTTTATTTATTTATTTTTTTTATTGGGGGTTATTTACCTGTCACTTTTCTTGGGTAACATTTCTTTGCTACTAGGTGGGCGACGTAGTAGGCGATTTAAAGCACCTTACAAATCATGTTTAAAATTCTTTACAACTATGTTTAACTTCTATTAAAAACTATTCCTACTTTATACTAAGACCGCTTACAAAACTATGTAATATTAGTTTGCAAAATATGTGTTTTTGTAATTTTCAGTTGAATGCACATGGAAATCAACTAGGATCCATATTACTACATCAGATCTAAAGAACGTTTGTTACAGAAAAACTCTGACTAAAGTCATATTTCAGAAGTAACAAATTTTGTTTGTTTCTTTTTGCACAAAAACAAAAATCAACTAAAATATGCTGTTTTGAAACTGTTTCATAAACATGTAGCCTATTTACATCCAGACCTGTTTTACTGCTTGCTTTTACTTTATTCAAGTTTTTAGGCCAGGCTAGTGGAATCGTAATATATGTGATATCAATCACGGCAGGAAAAACCTAATCCACATATTGCAATTGTCCGACTGGATGAATTTGGATAATAATCTGGAAATTTTGATCATTTGAGGAAATGATTTTTTTTTTAAAGAAGCAACTGGTTCTACTTAGTGAACCAATTTTGCTGTTGGCAAAGATGGTATTAATTTGATCATGTTGAAGATGTTTGAATTATTTAGATGAAAATTGGCCCAGTTTATTATTATAAAAAAAGTAAATATTATCATACATTTCTTCTATTATTATCATACATACGTCTTAATTCTTATCACCCATTGGGTGACATGGACAAGGGGCTAAACCACTTTACAATACTTTTTTATACTATTATCAATCCGCTGAGCTTCGAGCCCATAGCCACTTTTGCGGCGAATATGAGTCGTATGCCCTAAGTACTAAGCTACTGCTGCCTTCATTATTGCCAGCACCAAGATTTAAAAAATACGAATATGATTAATTTATAAGGAACGATACCAAGAATAGTAAAGCTTGCAAATTGATAGGGTGAATCATAGCAAGATAATGCAATTTTTTATAACTTAACAATGACAAGTATCTGGTACACATTTTTCTTTCTCTGATAGATTTATACTATCCCAAGTACAAGACCTTTATAAAAAAAAAGTTGTTTTAGCCTCGTTTTGTTATTTTATTTGAATAAATTAAGTATGTAAATATTCAATTAATTATACACAATTTTTTTTTAATTTCGAAAAAAAATTGTGTATAATTAATTGAGTATTTATATATTTAAATAGAAGCTGATAAAATTTAGTATTAATCTAGAATCACACCTGTGAATCGTACACAGTCCCACTAATCTAGTATAATCGTTAATAAAAAGTGTTTCTATATGAAGCCACGATTTGCTTACAATTAGAATAAAATCGGGTAGTCGAAATGAGAGGTTTGTGGCATGGGTGATCGAAGTCACGGTAGCTCAAGTGGTAGAGCAGCGGCGTATTTAGCCGAAGGTCGTGGGTTCGAGTCCCGCCTGTGGCACAGATTTTTCATTTAGGGAAAAAAAATTGTGTATAATTAATTGAGTATTTATATATTTAAATAGAAGCTGATAAAATTTAGTATTAAATTAAGTATGTATTATCTTCATCATCCGTCCTGGGGATTTGCTCTATGTGGTCATTGTAACCCCATGGGCTCGGGGGTTTTGGGGGAAAAGGCCATTTGGAAGTTCATAGTATTTGAATTCAGGACTTCAGGAACTGGGGCCTTCCAGCGATGATTCACCTTGTCAATGCTTTAACCGTTGCAACCACCAGTACAGGTGTTCTTTATAAATAATGTGTGGTGATTAGTGACAGTTAATCGATAATTATTTAGAAATCGTGAGATGCGGTCTGGTGTGATGTAGGTTTCAGAAAAACATTTTCTTTATCGTGCCAACGTTTCGATCTTTATTGAGATCATCTTCAATCATCTCAAGATTTCTAATATTTATAAATAATAAAAGAAAATTGTAATATTAGAGTCTAACATAATTCTTTGATTATCTTCATTTTTGTTTAATTTAATTTTCCATTTTAACTAGTTAAAATACTAGAACCTATTCCGTAAATGTAGGCTACAAATTTCTATCGCCTGTAACTATTTTTAAGCCCAGTAATTCAATCCCTCTCAAGTACCAGTAAAAATTCAAAGTCTTAAAGTTGAAACTATAAGAACATCCAGCTTTTACTCTCTTCTTCCACATTTAGGAAAAAATAATGTACTGGAATAAGTGGTAATCAGAAGCTCAGGGCCGCAATAAGAATTAAACAGAAAAGTTCAAATTGAGTTGAGGTTGCCTAATGTGAAACGTGAAGTTTACAGGCTGTCTAGGGGAGTGTTTACAGGCTAACAAAGATGGTTATTTTTAGCAGAACAGTGTACATGACCCTCTTGAATAGAGATCAATTTATCATCAAGTGAGGCATATAAAATAAGCAATAATGAGTATTCTAGAATGATCAACTATCTGGCTTCATTGTTGAACTTTATATTTTCGAGTGATTTGATGAAATTTAAATCAGGATTATTTAAAAGAATTTCACAGTTTAACTTGATGTATGGATTGCTGAGGCAGTAGTCAGCTAGCTACACTGAAGCTCTTGAAAATTCAGTGCTCTGAAAGTGTGTGTTTAGTTGGAAAGTACTAGCTCCTACAGACCCATCAGCCTTCTTCCTGCAATATACAAATTCCTCAAAAGACTTTTTTTATAAGCGAATAATACCCATCCTAGAAATTCCTAAAATAATTCCATCTAATCAATTCAGCTTCCATCCTTATCATTCTATGATCCAATAATGTTGCAGTTTTGTCCTGTGCTCTAGAGAATAAAGAGTATTGTTTGGGTGCATTCCTCGATGTAGTGTAAGCTTTTGATAACTGTCACCCGGGCATGCTTTATAAATTTAAACTCTTCCTACCCAATCCTTGTCATCTTATCCTGAAATCCTACCGACTGCTGCTTCAGAGTGAGGTGCAGTAACTAGTCCTCAGAAGTCAAACAGATACAAGTCACATGAGGAAGCATTCTTGGTCCCATCCTTTTTATCATCTACATGTACACATCGACTTCTGACCGACCTATTCACCCTAATACTATCATCATCACCACTTGATGATACCACAATTTTGTTCTTTAACTTGATTCCTATTCAAGTTACCTCCAACATCCAAGAACACACCTTGAGCTTATTAAATACTCGTAAGTAAAATGTACTCGGCATTTGTTCACTTTGGGGGGGGGGGCAACAGTTACCCTTCACTATGCATCGACAACAAAGAGATCCCAATTTCTGTTCAAGTCAAAAATTTAGGACTATACCTATACAGCATACTGGCATGGAATGCCCACTTAGAGATTTAAGAGACAACTTAACATAAGACTACAAAGAATTTTAGGATGAAAAACTGGTTTGATCATCAAAACTAAACTAACCTTATACAAGACTGCTGAGACCACTTAGGTCATATGGAGTGGAACTGTGGGGTTCCACTGTCATCCAGCACATCCGATCCTTACAATCAAAAATTTTCGGACAGATTTTGAAAGCTCTTTTTGAAAGACAAAAGTTTCACACCTCTCAACACATATCGTCGATGACCTCGAGACCTTGCCCCTTAATCTTTCACATGGTTGCCAGCATTGGCTGGTTTCTCATGGTATATCTTCCGGGTGCAGTACTGACATTTAGTGTTAGTGCTGCGACTGAAAAAACTTTTTTGATCTCATGTAATATGTACAAATATACATAGGGAAAATAATTTAAAAGAGTGTTTATTTATGAGTTCTAATTGATTTCAGGTGAATGGTAACTGCATCTGGTATGGTAAATGCCACACCCGGCCAATTACTGGTCTGCCACTTAATTGCAATTACACTGGACCAGCAAAGAAACTGAATAATCCAAAGGGACTTGAGTACCTTAAGAAGTGGTGTCCTGAATTTGTCAGTGAGTAAAATTTATTCTCATCCTTATAATATATTCCAATTAATTATTATTTTTGTCTAAGGTTTTTGGTTGAGATGAAAAATTAGTTTTATTAGGTTTCGTGGTCCGCTTGTCTAAATGAATTCTTTTCAATTAATTAAGGTTTTTAGTTGAGATAAAAAAGTCAATGGCACGAGTGGGATTCGAACCAACGATCTTCGGCTTGATACGCCGCTGCTCTACCACTTGAGCTATCGTGACTTCGATCCACTCAGACACTAACTTCCCCTCTCAACCCCACCTTATGCCAACCCCAACTTATCTCAACCAAAAATCTTAATTAATTGAAAATGAAAAATTAGTGTTACAAGTGGGATTTGAACCCACAACCTTCGGCTCAATACGCCACTGCTCTAACCACTTGAACTGTTGGGATTATTGTTACGGGTCACGGGTTCAAATCTCGCGTGTGACACTTATTTTTCATCTCAACCAAAAACCTTAGACAAAATTGATAATCAATTGGAATAATTAATATGGTCAATTATGACCACTAAGCAAATATGAATTAACCTATAGTATATTATAATCATCCTTATGTATGCCTCAGTAATGCTTTTTGTACTAAAGTATTATTTGCATTACAGTTTTTAATTTATTGCAAATCAGTCTAATAATAGCAACTTTTTAAAACTATGTACTTTGATTGTGATATTTTTCATACATACAGTGCCATTGCTTCCTTTTTTTTACAATTTTTCTCTCTAGAGAAAATTGTATCTCTTTTTATGGTTTATGATGAATGTGTCTTCTCCCAACTGACTTACAAATCATTACTTCATTTGAAATTTATATTTCAAAATGAATAATTTTGATCTAGTTTAAAAAATGCAAGACGTTTTCGACTTCAAATCGGCGAGGCCACTGTATCTAATTGACTAAAGTATAACCCCCTTCTGCAAAACTTGGGATTACAATAGCATTTTCGTTTTTGCTGTGTAATTCTAAATCTAGATTTTTAAAACATAAAGTTGATTTTGTTTGGGCAAAATAATTATTAAAATGCTTTAAAGCCTTGACAAAATAAAAAATACAGGTTTGTTACTTTAATAGCTCTAAGAATTGCAAATTCTTAATCTATAATAATTAATGTTATTTCAACTTATTAAAATTAAAATATCTCGTACTTGCCAGCGTTAGACCTTGACCTTTCGTCCCTACTAAATCTTGGCTCTGGGGCTAACAACAACTAGGTCATTTCAAAAAATTTCAAACGATATATTCTGTATTTTGTTTTCAAACATTTTTTTAAATGAATTTTGAGACTTAGTTGAACTTATACATGCTCATAGGAAATAATTGTGTGGAGAAATGACAGGAATTAAAAGGAAATTTACTACTAATCAATGATAACTATTGAGTCATAAGCATTATTTTTATAATTAATTTCAAGCTTGTCTAAATTTGATAATAATCAATTTCAGATACTGCCCAAGAGACTGAGACTGAAATATGTTGCGACACAATACAATTGGAAGATTTTGATAAAAACATAAACATAGCTAAAAGTTTTCTTCAACGTTGCCCTTCATGTTTCCATAATTTTCTTGCTCATCTCTGTGCTATCACATGCTCACCAAGACAGTCAGAATTCATTAATGTTACATCGATTGAAACTAATGAAAAAGGAGGTAAATATCAAACAGTATTTTTGAATTAAACTATGTGTTAATTTAGTCAACACTAGTTAACAAATTTTATGTATTATCTTTGTTTTAGTCTTAAGACTAACTTTATAAGACAGAGGGCGGCCATTATGTTTCTTATCCCATTCACTGAATATGTTATTAATTATTAAATTGAACTCATTTATTGTATTTGTCATTGCCTTTTTTGTTAAATTTCTGATCTTAATCAAGAATTTAAATAATTTGAATGAGAGACAAAAAAAAATCCCTCATACTACATTCAAGATGCTGCTTCAAACTGCTTTATATACATAATACATTTTTATTATCAATTTTTTTGAGACGATAAGCCGCCAAGCAGTTAAACCTTTAGACTATTTTTATCGGAATTTATTAAAGAATTACAGTGCTCTCTCAACTATCTGGAAGAATCGTTATAGAAAGGTTTATTTGGTTTTATATTTTTATTGGAAACTTTATCCTATTACCTACAATATTCTATTACATGGAAATTTATTTTTATTACATGCCAACATTTTGATCAGTATTTAAAAATATGCATGTATGCCACTGATAACATAAATCTCTAGAATAAGCGAGTTCAGACTGTGATGTATTATTGTTATTAATAATTGTATTATTATCAATTGAGTTTAATACATTTTTTTTTCTTTTCAGTATCTTTTGTCAACAGTTTAGATATTTTTGTTACAACAAACTATTTGGCTGGCACATTTAACTCGTGTAAAAACGTTAATGTACCAGCAATGGGTAATCTGGCTTTAGATGTAATGTGCGGTGATCATAAAGCCATAGGTTGCAGCCCCCTGATGTAAGTAATTTTTATCTTGTTTATTCTCATAATTAGGAAAATCTTCTTGATTTCCTTGAGAGAACAAACAGTAAGTCAGTCATTCAAAATTATTGGTGCAATATTTATAAGACTAAAATAAATTAATTCAAAATTTTTACTAGGTATACAAAATTACTACTAATTCCTATATTAAATTTGTAGATTTACAATTATTTAGTTCTATAAACATTGGTGAAACCGTTAATGTAAATTTTGTATTAAGAAATAAAGATATACTCATGAATAAGTGACAATTAATTAAGGTTTTCAGTTGAGATGAAAAAAGTTAATGGCACGAGAGGGATTCGAACCCACGACCTTCGGCTAGATACGCCGCTGCTCTACCACCTGAGCTATCGTGACCTTGATCCACTCGGACATCACGATAGCTCAGGTGGTAGAGCAGCGGCGTATCTAGCCGAAGGTCGTGGGTTCGAATCCCTCTCGTGCCATTAACTTTTTTCATCTCAACTAAAAACCTTAATTAATTGTCATGTATTAATTGGTCAAGCGGACCACGAAAGTAGTGAACTCATGAATAAGCTTGGGCATGATGATAAAACACATTTATATTTAAATAATTTTTAAAATAACAGCAGATTAAAGTTTTGGTAATTAATTTCAAATAACTATTAATAAGTAATAGCTAAAATAAATTTATTTCATTCAGGTTAGTGGGTTAATAAATTTACGTTAGAAAATTTTGTATTATTAAATAATGAAAGTTCAATTATCAAGTGTACTATACTACAGTGAAATTTCCCTTTAACGGACACTCTTGGGGAATGAAATAGTATCTACTACACAGAGGTATCTGCTTATGGGAAAAAAAAGAAGAAAAAAGTTTAGTATTACAGGATGGGATCTGGACTACAAGGTATTGAGAACTTTGAAACATCGAGTATTTTTAGCTTGAGGGTTTTTCAAATTTACCAAACAATACTTTTGAAGTTTAACACTCCTTTGAGATGAAAAATTTAGAGACATGAGAAGGATTTTTCATCTCAACAATGAATAATTAATTGAACTAGCAGTAGGTTTTCAAACTCTCCCTTGCCATCTCAAGTGGAAAATATGTGGTTAACAAGTTCTGTTTTCCCACCAGCTATCAACAATACTTAGTCAACGGATTTCAACAAAATAAAACTCATTTAGTTCATCCATTTTGCTAGGAGGCAGAAATATACTATCAGAAAATGCACCCAATGTAACCACCTTGTTCTTAGGATTTCGGATGTACTCGTCAGAGCAAAATTTTGTCAGAACTCGCATCTGCTGTAACCTTAGCCTAGTGGTCTTAAAAGAAATCTTATGTTGTATGTTGTGCCAACTTGAAGATGCTTTAAAATTGATTTGCCCTAAATGTTTTGTTGGAGCTTCTAAACCTTGTCTCAGATAAGCAGGACCAAACAGTGGTATTTTACAAGCCTGAACGCAGTAAAACTTGGTCTATGGCTGAACAACCATTAGGATTGGTCATTTCCATGTTTGTAAAATTTAACCAAAAGTCCCTTTTTGTTTTTTAGAATTTCACTTCCCTGGATCATTCCAATGTAAAATTTTGCAGCCAAGTCTCGCATAGTTAGTTTTTTACTTCCACTCACTTTAATTATATTAATTTTTTCTTTAAGTATTACACACACACAGTGGCATAAACAAATTCTATGAATATTAAGAAACTTTTTAAAGGCGAACAAAACACTTAGGGGGGACAGAGTTTCTCAGTAAACATTAATATTCTGAAAGCTTCTGTTTGTTTTTAGGGATTTTTAGAATCAAAATAAGAACTGTCCATGTCCATTATTGCACTGTCCATGTCCATTATTGCGAGTGTTTGCTTTAAAGATTTTGATGTGGGGAAATTAATGTGATGTTGCAGGGGAATCAGAATTTGTCTGTTCAAGGGAGGTGTCTGTTATGGGAAGTTTCACTGTATATGCTGCAAGTGACTGGTTTTACCTAGGATTGCCGATATTTCCCTTGATAGAATGGTTTTATTCTAATATTTTCTGTATGAGGTACAGGATTTTTCCCCTTCTTACTAAGGAAGTTTTCTTAATCTTCGAGAAAATAAACTTCCGGCTTATTTTATCCCCCTGAGGATTGAACATTGTACAAAAAATTCTTGTTTAAGGTGCTCCCAGATATGTGGGATTTGCCGAATGCCAAGCAAAGCTTCCTGAATCTCAACTAGTTTAGATGGGTGTTCGGTTAATCACCTAGCAACAATAGTCCGAGCTCGGCTCACTCAGCTGCACAAATATTCGCTGTTCCCGCACAAATCGGGTAGTTGTACAAACCCTATATGTGTGTTTCTCAAATGCTAAACCGACACTTGGCAAATATTCATCATTGGGCGAATCCCGCATGTCTGGAGGCATTAAGGATTAAAATGAGGTTTTAATATTCCTTATATTTTTAGATGGTTTAATTTTATGGGAGATCCTGACAAGAATGCTTATGCACCAATCTTAATGAACTATATACCTACAGAAGAGCCTACTAAAAATATAATCCCATTTAATCCAAAAATAATACCTTGCAATGTAGCTCTTGATGTAAGTATAAAATAAAACATTGCTTGTTTTGAAATATTGCTAATAATTTTAACCAAGTGATTTTTTTTTTTTTTATATATAAGTTTATTTTTGCTTAAATTACACATTTACTTTTTTCTTTGTGCCTTTAGTTTCTAGTAAGCCATTTCCTTTCATATTTTACTTTATCCCATTTATTGATTTATCGTACTAGTGAATCCACATTATAACCTACACATCCAACCTATTTTCCTTTACTTTTCCCAATGTGTAGTAGCTAAAATTTAAAATGCTGCAACTCCTCGTACAATGATTTACTCCATATTTATTCACATATAATGAACCATGCTTTTTTACTAAAATTACGCTTAAAAGTGAGCTTAAATATAATAAAAAAAACATTACTCTTAAACGTTAAATAATTTTTTTTTAATTTTTAGAAACACACACCGCCTTGTAGCTGTGTGGACTGTGAACAGAGCTGTCCGTCACCTCCACCACCAAAGCCACCATTTGAACCATTTATGATTTTAGGCCTTCCTGGCTTACCACTTGTGATGCTTCTTATCTTCGTAGGAGGGACAAGTCTGTTTCTTTCAGCTGTTTGCTGGGGCTCATCTATCTCGGCTGGCATCGGTGAGATTTTTGTTGCATCATTCTGGTTTGTTCTAAATAATTAACAGCATGATGGGCCGCCCAAGGGAAAAGGGATTTGAGTATTAATTTGTTTATATTATTTCCTAAACTTTTTGATAAAATGCACATAAGAATATTTTGAGTTTTTAAATTTAATTAATAGGAGTGTTGATGACCTGCTTACTATAAAACTAATTTTTGATTTATTGATATGGTGTATCTATACTACCAGGTAACCGGAGAATTTTGTGCAGGTTTAAAAGATTTAATAGTTCTCATAATTAAAATTAGTTCAGAAATATTTTATTGAGCTAAACAGTCTCCATCAGCATCTATAACATTCTCCCGAGTTACTAGCCCAGTTATGCCCTTTGTTACCCCTCAGAGGAGATTTTTTCCTGGAAAAAATAAAATAATCGGCCAGCACACTGTTTTCTGTTTTTTAATCCTTTTTGGCAAACAGTAAACCCCCAGGGTGAATTAACAAAACAGTATTAAACCTCATCCCTGTTCTTTTCCTTTCATTCTAGAGCATCCATGGCGATGAGAAAATAAAGTCCCTTTTTCACCTTTCTTTTCAACTTGTCTGTGCCGACCTGTCCAAGCTCGATCTGTCCCCATTGGCCAGCCCCACTCCTCGCTGAGCCCTGGCTGGGCCTCCTTCAGCTTCCAAATATCGGCCATGTGTCTTCGGCCTCTTCCAGTCCTCACTCAACCTTGCCGAGTCTGGTCACCTCAGGGCAAAGAAAAAGTTTTACCTTCAAATTTTCACTTGTACACCTTCTTATAAAAGTTCGGATCATTCTCCAGCTGTTAATGATTATTGAACTCCTGATTGTGCATCCATTGCTAAGAAAAGGTGCAAGTCAGATGAGGTCAGATCCAGAGAGTATGGAGGGTGTGCTAGGATTTCCAGACCAGGCTTCATTATCATCTCCTTTATCGTTCTGGCTACATAAAGTCACGCGATGTCCTGGTGCACCTTGTTCATGAGAACAGGTTGATTCTGAGCCAGGGCAAGACCCTCATTGCAATTGGCTTGAGTAGATTTCTGCAGTATGGTCAGGCCATGTGGCAGGAGCTTTCTTGTGCACAATGCCTTGTATATCACCAAACACAAAGCAACACTTGTTGTTGGTGAATATTTGATTTTTGTGCTTATGGGACAAGTTCATTTGTGGACAGCATGTTGTTGTTTACTGGATCCATTATTTATCCCATATGACAATGCGGTAAAAAAAATTTCTACTTTGGGTCATGAAAGTAACGAAAAGCAAATGTTTAGATGCTGAAGTTTGTTCTTTCCTCATCCTCCATGTCTTTTCTCAAGTCGATGCTGGAACGAATGGTTTTATCGTTTCAACATTGGCAAGCTTCTGACATGTTTGACTCTAATCAAGTTCACTGGCTTCCCTTAATTTGATGTCATTCAGGGCAGAAGGTCTACCATGGTCCAGATCATGGTTCATCTCATTCCCCTCATCATCATTCCCAGAAGCAAACTATTCTTTTGAGCATTACACTCACTATTTCATTGCCGAACTCAGGGCAAATTTATGAGCTGCATCCACCCTAGTTCTGAGCTTAAAATCTTAAATAAGCGCTGGGTTTTGAAGCCATGAGAAAGAATATTTTATATTTTACAGACACTTTTTCTTTATGAACGATGCATTTTCCTCTTAGTATTATGTGATATAAACATCTAATCTTTCTATCTAAATATAAAATGATGATTAGTGGTATTAAAACAATAACGAAAAACAGTACAAACTTGTCTGGTTACCTGTTATTTTAAAAAATTGAGTAATGCTGTTAAAAGGTTAAGGGTTTCCTGGAAGGAAGAGTAGATGTAATTAATTTCCTTTATTTAACCAGATCATTTTGTTATCATGGTCGGAAAAAAAGCTAGTAAAAATGCTATAATTTCGATCACAGTTCATAAGATATACATATATCATATATGTCAAAACAGAAAGTCAACAAAAGTTAGACTTGTTATTTGAATTGTCCACATGTGTTAACCAGCTAAAAGTAAAAAGTTTTATTTAATATATTTTTTAACGAATATGATGTTGCAACATAAATACCATACCACAATAGTAAATGCATTTCACTATATTCATATTTTTTCATTACTAAATGTATTTTTATATTAAATAGAGCAGTATAGAGGAATTACTATAAAAAGTTCTATTTTTGCAAATATTTAAAAAAATTACAACTCTGTTGAAAAATTAATTAAGTTATACAATAATTATGTAGCCTTCTAAATTCACAACGTTCCCCGCCATGCTGAAGCATTTTTCAGGACAATTTTTCAAACATAGAAACTAAAGATAAATACCTACAAGGTAAAGATAGAACCTAATAATTAATTGTAGTCATTGCTATTTTTTTAAATTTATTTTTTATTTTTTTTATTTATTTATTTTTGTTTTTGCGATGTAATGTTTCCTGCTGATAGTAGTACATGCAGAGCAGTAATTAGTTTTCAGTGAGTATTTCATTCATTAGTGCTAAAATATTTCAAGAATATATCTTCCATAAATAAGACATATACGTAATGTTTTCATAGATAATTACATACATTTTGTGATCAGCTCAGCTCAAGCAATGGATGAAGCGAACATGGCCTTTAAAATGCCCTATTCAATTTCAGTGTAAGTTGTTATTGTTAATAGTTAACTCATTGAGGATGGTGAGCGTGATATCGCACTCTCTTCAAATTTTGACTGAAGTTTGAAGCAGAAGAACCTACGAGAGGTAGGGATGAGTGTGATATCATGCTCTCCCTACCACCTCACTCGGGGAACAAAAGCTGACCGTCCTGAAAGGGTTAAGTAAACTAGTTGAACGGATGTTGGGTGTCTGAACCACTTTTCAAATTTTTTACTCAAAAATTATTCTCGTATAAAATCAAAAAGGCTATGCTAGGATATTTTATATTTATAAATACCTGGAGTTTTATTATTTGAATATTATATTATGAAAAATGTATAAAAGTAATTCCTGTCATACTCATTGGTTGTTACGGATATCAAACCATTTTACAATACTTTCTTTTTACATTGTTTGTTCCAACACACGTCCAAACTGCGCAGTTGAGTTTGGCTGTTCCAACATGCTACAAATGCAAACTCAAACTGTCAAGGCTGTTTCAATATGGTTTCAGGCCAAGTTTGTAACCCGTTGACCGTCAAAACAGTCCGAGCGATCAGAAACTTGCACGGACCCTGTGCTTTTGCTTTCATCAACTCAGAAAATTCTTATAACTAGAGCCCGGTATTTATTTGCAATAACAGTCCTCAAAAGTGCAAATTTTCTTTAAAAATATTAAAATACCCAGGATAAATGTCAGAAACATTACCCAACAATAATCGAATATTTTCTTTTTAATATGCAGTGAAACTTCTCTTAGTAGACACCTCTCTTGAAGGGAAAAATACTGATTCTCCCATTAGTTTCTTCACATTAAAATCTTTCTTCTATAATGCAGACACTCCTAGTAACAGAAGCAGACAGCTTTTTAAACTATATTCTGACTGTAAACTCTCCCCAGAGCAAACTGAAGCCTCCAGAAAATGAATTGTTTCCTTTTTAGTGTTTTGTTCACCTTCCAATATTTTCCTAGTATACCTAGATTTATGCACTTTTCTAACATGTTTAAGAATTTCTTCATTGTGTTTGACAATTAAAGAAAAAATATAATTAAAGTGAGTGAAAGTTAAAAACCAAGAGTGCCAGATTTTCTGTGAAATTTTCCATCGGAAACACCCAATCAAATGAAATTCTAAAGAATAAAAAGAATCCTTTGGTTATAAAAAAAAACTAATAATCAGTGTTTCAAAGGTCTAAAATTCTAGTAATCCACATTGTGGTCCATCTTGTAATACTAAACACTCTTATCCCAAAAGCTGACACCTCTGTATAGTAGACAATATTTGGTTCCCCAAGAGCGTCCGTTATAGGGATGTAAGCATTTTTTTTTCCGGTCTAGTATATTCATTTTGAAATGAAATAGAAACTAATTACTTGTCACACAAAGCATATAATCAGAAAAAGGACGGACTTTTTTTTTGTTAAAATGAAGCCCCTATTTCCTTCAACAACTGGTATATTTTGTGAAAATTAATTTTTCAGGAAAAGCAAAAAAAAGCACCTAGAAGTTTTTGAAATGAGGAAGCCTCAATTCTGAAAATAAGATGCCAATTATTTCAAATTCTATTGGTAAAATAATAATAACAATTTCAAATTTGCAAAAATATGCAGTATAAAATTTGAACCATTGTACTTCGGAGTTATGATTTGGATAAATGTCTGATTAAAATTGTTCAGGTCTTCCAAATCCTTACTACAAAATAATAAACAGTGCACAATATATTTAATTTTTTATGTTAATTTATGTTTACAATCTTATAAACCATACAAATGTACAAACCATACAGTTTGACTGTAGGAGTCCGACATTGGAAAAAAGCAATTGAACATAGTTAAGAATCCACAGTTGACTGAAACTAGTTTGTGATTGGGTGTTGGAACAAACCTGTTATTCTCAAATAAAATAAAATTCCATGGTCTATGCCAGCATACAAACGCAGAACATATAGTGTGGCAAATACGAAATCGGTCGCTCTACCCACTTATTCTGCCTGTTGCATGTACCAAAAATGGTATATGTAGCATGGAAATTTACTCATAAATAGCTTGGCAGGGAACGTGTTAAAACTAACAAGCGGTCACAACAGTTTTATTCCGTCTTAAGTGTACATTTTAAATGAGTATCAGAGAATCAGTGAGTGAAAATATTGTCTTAATTTCTTGCATGCGTTTTGTACTCTTATCTAACTGAATGCATATTGCTTTATTTTATGTTCTCAGCATTTCAACAATATAATTTATTTACTAAAAATGTTTCAAGAGTTTAATTAAAATACGATTAATAAAAATAAATAAATAAAACCTTTGGGATACCATCATAATAAAAAAAAAAGATTAATTTTATTGACTTTCTGGTTGGTCCTTCATTTTCATGGCTCACATCCGAACAACATCATAAATCATTTCAAGATAATTTTCGCTTATGCCATCTCCATAAATAGGTTCACTTCATTCGTAGTTCTATCTTCATTAGGTAGTCGGAGTTAGCAAAATTTAGCTTAATTTTAAGAACTATTGTTATACACGGGACTCCTTATATTTTGTAGAACAATCCATAATAATGGGTTCCTCGAATAAAAGAAACAAAAAGCAATTTAAGTTTTTTTTATAACAAAAAAATATATACAAATAAATTTGCAGGATTGACTTTATATTGTATTCTAGAACAGTTACTTATTAGGCGAATTTGTAGCTGTAGCAGTCCTGAGGAGAAGGAAAGAAGACCATGCAGCAGGAAGTGTTGGCAGAAGGTTGGCTGGAATCAACTCACGAATTGCAATGGCTGCCGATGATGAATCGAGTCCTTTACAATCAAAGAGATCCAGTAGGTCTTTTTTAACAAAGAAAAATCTACGGATCAGACAAAAAAAATTTATATGCTTTACCCCACCAACCAGCTTATGTGATGTTTTGTGCTTTCTGATGTTGCTTACCATTTGATTTTGTCCGGAACATTAGTCTAGTCTTTTTTCCATATAGCTATTTATTTAATGTATGGGCCCATGTGTGTGTGAGTGTACGTACGCTTAGTGTACGCAGTATGCATTACGTTACATGTACACAATACAGAGTGAGAGAAAAATCAATATTTTTATACTACTGCACCTATTTCAAATTCTATATTCTTAATGCTTTTTTTCCTAATGCTTGAATGTTTTCTATAGATGAGCACCTGGAAGTTAATTTTGTGGAAATTTAATATTGGATACTCGTACAATTCATTGGAGGACTATATACATGGTTACATGGCATTAGAAATTTTCTTTATCAATATTTGATTACAGAATTATAAAATGTTATGGTTTGTGACTGTCTAATAGTGGTTATTTCATTAACAAAATGTGTAAATTGTTTAGACATATTGGTTGTGTGCATAAGTTTATCGGTTTTCAGGAAAAAAGTCAAACTTTTAACATATAAATTTATTTTATTTTTAATCCAAAACAAAATTTCCTTCATTTCTATAACATACTACCACGTTCTGGTGGCAGAAATAGCCACTTTCTCTAAAAGTCTGATGCATTAGGTGAGAAGAAACTTGTAAATCAGATTTTCAGAGCATTTTGGTTCAAAAATTCCCCACCTTTTAAGTTATTGTCTAGAGAGTGGAACAAGTAAAAATCGGAAGGAGCAAAATCTAGAGAATACGAGGGTTGGGCAACTGCTGCCAGCCTATCTTGCAATTTTACTCTATGTGGGACCTGGCGTCATGGTGTAACATGACATTGCGTCTGTGTACCCTTTTTTGGTTGACGTTATTCCTTCAATGCTGCCCCAACCTCTAGTACGTTGTAGAGGGTGTGCGCATCAACCCCAATAAATTATTCCTCAAATCATACCAAACAGACAATAGGACCTTTATTGGGTGCAGTCCTGCTCTTGATATCAATGGCGATGTTTCATATTTCTTACAAATGATCCTTCAGCATTTACATTTTTGTAAAAGGCCCACTTCTCATTCCCAGTGACCAAAAAGGAAATAAACTTTTACAATTTATACCTAGTCAGGAACAAAATGGTTTCTTCCATGTCCTGAGCAAAACTAGCCCAGAGTTTGTATTCTTCTTTCTATTGCTGTGTGACTTGCAATCTCTCCGACAGCTTTGCAGTTTGTCCTCATCCTCCTCCACTAAGTCGTCTTTAACTGTTAGACTTTCTATAATGAACTTTGAGTCTTTTCTATCCATTACGAAAACCCTTGACCACATACATTCAGTTAGCACGTTAACTTCATAAATTACTACAGGCATCCTCCATTCTATGCCCGTGTTCTAACTCGTACAGCGAGGAATGCCTCAAATTAATTTTATCATGTCTCCATATCATTCCATTGTTAAAATCTTTTTCTATAGGGCTTTTCCCACCTACCCAGCTAACAGAATAATAAAGGATCGCCCTTGTAAGGGCCGAAATTTAAAACACACACACAATACACAGGATGCATCAAAGAAAGAGTGAACAAGTAGTATTATATATTAAACAATACATTTGGTAGGATCGGGGATGTAATCCAATGAATGTTCTCGTGTCGAAACTACGCCAATCGTTCAGTGTTTTGTTTCATCTTCCTCAGAGCGAGATTCTTAGTGAGTATTTAAATTGTTTTCTCTTATCAATATGTATAAATCTTTTTCTCTTTTTTTTGTAATTTCTTATTTTTTATACTAAGTACAATGTTTTTTTAATAAATAAACCGCTTTTTACAAACTATTATCACAGATAAAATAATAAGAATGTAAACAAAGAGGACTAGTTTAAACTTATTTATTAAAAAAACATTGTATTTAGTATAAAAAATAAGAAATGACAAAAAGATAAAAAAAAGGTTTGTACACGTTAATAAAGGAAAAGAATTTTAAATACTGACTGAGAATCTAGCCCTGAGGAGGGTGAAACAAAATGCCGAAAACTTGGCGTAATTTCAACACCAGAACATTCATTGGACCACATCCCTGATCCTGCCAGATATATTGGTGAATACAGCTGGTCGATCACTTTTGCATCAGTATTTATACATTGATCAAATATAATTTGTTCATGTATCGTTTGAAGATAAAACTATATATTGTTGTATCATTTTAAAATACTCCTTGTTATGTGAAAACCCCCATAATATTCTGTTCAAAATTGCCATTTTTGCACTATTTTCTCATCAATTTTGACTTTTAAAGCAGAAATTTTCTTCAAAACTAGTACACTACACAATATCATTCTCATTTTCTGAAATGACCGGGTATTTATCACTCATACAAAACATGGTGCCATTAACAAATTGCTATAATGTGTCACTTAAAAAAAAGGAAATTTAAAAAAATTGGTTTTGTTATAAATTAATATTTTTGATGTCCCATCTGACTTCAGTTTATTTGTTGTTAGCATAAATAAACCTGGTTTAACTTCTTCAATCAATTATACACGATAGAAACTGAAACATTTACCCTTTATATATACAATTTTTTTTTCAAATGTGAATTTTAAAAACTTCAATTAATACACTTTCTTGAACTGAATAAGTGTATTGAAATTACCAGTGTTCAAATCAATGTTGTACTTCACTGAATGTTCCTGTTCAAAATTACAAAAGGTTAAATTTACTGAATTGTAGACAAAAGATTTGATTCTTCCGTTAAACATATGTCGTATAATGATTACTACTTGAATTCCACAAAATAGAAATGTATTTAGGCTAGAGAAATTCTATTACGAGCCTTTCCTCAGCAAGTCATGTGGCTTCTGCACGATAAATAGTCTTCGACCTATTGAAAATATTGATATGGCATTTAAAAACGGTTATTAATAAAAAACTGAGTTTGGAAGAGTAAAAAATAAGAAAAAATGTAAGATGGTTGGTTTCTGGACATAATCGTAAAGTTGTCTTCATGTTTGCAATTTGCATTTCTGACTTACCAACTTTACTTCTGTTTTTCTTTCTTTGTTGTTAAAAGTATTGCACTAAATTACTAGTAAGCTTTTTCATTTTATGAGCCTAAATTAAGTGATTAAATTTTCCAGTTTCATATTTTATTGTATTAGTTTTTATTTTATAATTATGTATAATTTCAAACTGGTTTTATGCATGTTGAATTTGTTTGCATGGGGGAGTAAAATACTACAATTTGCTATTGTTAAATCGTTTCTTTATTAAGCATTAGTATCTTTTAAATAGTTTGTTTCGTAGAATTAATAATGCTGTTATGCAGGTGTAGTGTCCTCGTCTGACGAAAGGCAGAATGAATCCCCTGCTGTAGCCGTCGCTCGACCGTCATCTCTTCGTGAGAGGTTGGGAAACCGATTGGAAATTTTCCTACAAAACTCTTTCAGGCGCCTCGGATTTGGTAAGTAGTATCAATTCTACATTCTGATTTACGTAAACAATATTCTATTAGTTCGTTGTTTTTTTTTTGTTTTCAGCTTGTGCATCGAACCCTTGGCTCACACTTTTCCTGGGTTTTTGTGTTGTCGTTGCGCTTTCTCACGGCATAAAATACTTGGAAATAACTACAAACCCTGTTGAACTCTGGGCTTCTCCTCATTCCAGGGCTCGTCAGGAAAAAGAGTTTTTTGATCAAAACTTTGAGCCTTTCTATAGGACTGAACAAGTTATAATAAGTGCTGTTGATTTATCCACTGTAAGAACAGTTTTGAAACTTTACTTTCACATTAAACTTTTAACTCATTATGTATTTAAAAACTCATAACATAATTATTGACTAACATATGTTACAATGAAGTAATATTTTGAACATATGGTTCAACGGAGTTGTTAGCTAACTGGACAGCATTCCTATCAATTCATAAACTTTTTCCCAATAAAAAAATTGATTAGGGTTGATTAAACTTATTAAAGTTTAATAATTATTGTCTGAATTTCATTCTAATTCAAAGCTTAATTTGTTCTTTTTATAGTGTGCTGATTTGAATTTTTGAATGTACAGTACTCACTCTCAGTAATGTGAACTCATTGCTGCAGGGGAGTATTCAAATGTTTGAAAAATTCTAATTACAGAGAGTGTTAAAAAAATACATGCAAATGAAAAAAAAAAAGAATACTGTCAATTTTTCTTTTTTCTTTAAAAGTTTTATTTTATTTTATTTATTTAACATTTTCTTCGTTGCTGCTCCCTCTTTTCGTAGGCATATCATAATTAATACAAGAAAAATTTCGAGTGATCTAAAGTGATCTTTTTTAGTGAAATGAGGTGAGGGATTCACTGAACAAAATAAATTGTCAAATTCTTACAGTCTAAGCTAGCCTTAGTCTTTCATATGACCCCTCTCACTCACTCTCTCTCCCTCCCTCCCTCCCTCTGGGAATTGTGATAAAATAATTTTTTATTTACTATATATTTAATATACACAAGTTAAAAAAAAAAAAAAAAAAAAAAAAAAAAAAACTGTGAAACAAGTAGGTTGAGGTTGAGTCATGGAAGCAGGGCGGTAGAGATTCCGAAGACTGTGGGATCTAATCCTATCTAAGTCCATGTCACTCTTCTTGAAACCAATTTTTGAACTCGATTAAACTGTTTATTACTGTTGGTACTAAATACTACAAAACTAAGTTAAATTTTTCATTAGTTTTACAAATTAAAATTTATTGTTGAAAAATTGTCAAATGTTAATTGCCATTTATACTTACATTAATAACAATTTTTGTTATAGGTGAAATACAATACATCATCCAAAGGTGAAGTGGAGTTTGGACCAGTTTTTCATAAAAAATTTCTGCTCGATGTTCTCGATCTACAACAATCTATATTAGCAGTATGTCGTTTTCTTATTGAATTTAATTTATTTATATTATTTTAAATATTTCTAAATCGTTTGGATTCCAACGAGGATTAACCCATTCCCATATTACCCATTTTTCACTCAAGGGCACGTTTACTGTTATGGCATTTTTAAATTTTGTGTAAAATAAAAAAAATTTCTTACCATAGCTTAATCTTAATTTTAAAAAGGAAGGATGATTTATTCTCAACTTAATATTTTAATATTCTCATGGGGGACTTAATTTTTCCTACTAAAGGATAGCCTAAAAATGAAATAATTTAATACAAATAATCCATAATCGTAACCAGAAAAGTTATTGCAGTTTTTTATCTGTTATTGTTTTAATAACGATAATCAAAATTTCATTTTGTAGAACAATTAGTTTACATCATGTTATTTTGATATAATATAGACAATGTGTCATTCATAAAGAAAAAGTGTCTTGAACAGTTCAGCATTAATTATAAAATATTTTCATTCTCATAGTTTCAAAATTGTTAATTCACGCATTCTTATTGTATGAAATTTGCACTGACTTTGGTGAAACAGCAAGTGTACTGTTCAAAAGTAGTTCAAAAAGTTTGCTTCTGGGAATGAGGGGATTGAAAATGAACCACGCTCTTAGTAGACCTGTCTTGAATGATGGCAATTTGAGGGAAGCAGCTTGCCAGTGTTCACCATAAACGATGAAACCATTTGCTCTAGCTTATCATCTTTGGAAAATGTGGAAGCTGATTTCCTAATAAATTAACTGACAATAACGAGCTTCAGTGTCTAAACATTGATCAGGACTACTTACGGCAGGAATAATCGATCTTGTACAGTAACACTGGTAGATCGTACTATTTCCTCTCATCAAATAACCCGACACGAAAACAAAATATTCACCAACAAAAGGTGATGCTTTGTGTTTTGTAGAGTACAGCAGGTATTGTGCTCTACAAACTCTTGCCACTTGGTGAGACCAACACAGAAATCTACTCAAGCCAGGTGTAACGAGTATCTCTTGCCCTGGCCCAGAAACAACCTGCTATCTTGAAAAGAAAAGGTAATTTTTCACTGGGACTAGAGAGACCTCATACAGCCAGAATGGCAAAGGAGGTGATAATGAAAGCCTGGTTGGGAATTCTTACGACACCCTCTGTACTCTCCGGTCCCATCTAATTTTTTACATTTTGTTTTTTCAAGCCTTTTTAGTTCATGATTCTATTTGAATCTATTGACATGTTTGCTGATGAGTCCTCTGGACCATCCCTTGGTTTTTGACAGATGGATAAAAGGAAATGTAGGAGTAAAGATTAGAGAAGGGGAATCCCCTGATAGCCTTGGATTTATTGATATTATGAGTCCATTTTCAACGGCCCAGGAACTGATGGCAAGATGGAGATTTGAAGGTCATGACGTGGAAAGTAGAGATGGATTTGATGTACCTACTACATAACTTGATCCCTGTGATGAAATAACAAGTTGAACAACATGAAACAAAGCCTAGTACGCACTGGGATTCTTTGTTCTAACTTTTGTCGCTGAGCTGCATCCGGGATTCATTTTCTTGCGGCCAGGACACTCCGCAAATGATTTCAATTCAATAAATCTTGAATCTGGTGTGCTGAATTTTAGTATTTTTTTGTGCAACATTGAGTCAGTGTGGATATGAATCAAACCGAGGGGACCTCTCAACCATTCTCGCGCATTGTTTTTTATTTTTTTAATTAATGTTTTTTTTGGGGGGGGGGTTCATTAAAATGCAGACAACAAATTCCACTTCACAATTGAACGATGATTTGCAAATGCGGCGATGTTTAGCAAATGGGACGATTCCTCGGAAGAATACAAAGATAGGGGAAAACAGCAGACACTGTGGTTGATTCAGCCCAAAAAGATGAAGTTAGGCTTCCACAAGAGCCTCCACTTGCGAGGAAATGAAGACTTATAGCTCGGCTGAAACTGGGACCCTAAAATTTGTCTCCTTTTTCGAAATGTGTGGACCAACCATTTCCAAAAGAAATTCGAAGTCGAATGGACTCATCATATTTCATATTTCTTACAAATGATCCTTCAGCATTTACATTTTTGTAAAAGGCCTACTTCTCATCTCGTGACCAAAAAGGAAATAAACCTTTACAATTTATACCTAGTCAGGAACAAAACGCAACGGTTTCTTCCTTTGTCCTGAGCAAAACTAACCCAGTTTGTATTCTTCTTTTTATTCTCTCCAACAGCTTTGCAGTTTGTCCTCATCCTCCTCCACTAAGTGTCTTTAACTCGTTAGACTTTCTGTAATGAACTTTGATTATTTTCTATCCATTACGAAAACCCTTGACCACATACATTCAGTTAGCACGTTAACTTCATAAATTACTACAGGCATGCTCCATTCTATGCCCGTGTTCTAACTCGTGCAGCAAGGAATGCCTCAAATTAATTTTATCATGTCTCCATATCATTCCATTGTTAAAATCTTTTTCTATAGGGCTTTTCCCACCTACCCAGCTAACAGGATAATAAAGGATCGCCTTTGTAAGGGTCAAAATTTAAAACACACACACACACAATACACAGGATGCATCAAAGAAAGAGTGAACAAGTAGTATTATATATTAAACAATATATTTGGACTCATCCGAACAAAATTTCAGAATCCCATTCCGTTTTCCAATCTCAGTGGGTCAAGATTATCGTGCCCATGCTTATTCTGATCCTTGAATATCCCATGAATCCACCACTCTGATGGCTTTTTGTTAGCTTTTTTTTTTACTATGTGAGAGCTACGAGTGCTACTGCAATCCCTGAGAGGGTGACCTCGTTTGACTCCAACTAGATGCAGACACGATTTCCAGAACAAAAATGTCACGGGGCAAAGACACTGTGACATGTATCCGATACTCTGCGACAAAGAGTCTGAACAAAGAATTCCAGTGCGTACTAGGCTAAAGTTAAAAATTCCCTCTCGATTTCTCAGTTAATCCATTTAATTTTACCATGGCTCAATTACAGTGGATTAAGTAGCAACCACTGTATCTAATAAGGGGTCGTAAAAGAACAGGAAGGTATCTTTATGCAAAATATACATGTAGGAAAAATAGGATTTTGCCTGATACACTTGTTGGGCTCCAGGATACCAGTTGATTATTTTATCAAATTTGTATAATTTTTTGCCTGTAATCTACTGTTGATTTAGCATATTTTCTAATCTTGATGTAACTAATAAATGTTGAAAATAATAAAAATTATACGTTTTAGATTGGTAGAGATGATGGTGTTGGTTTGGAAACCATATGCTTTGCCCCTCTTACTTCACCTTTCACAGGACCTGTTTTAGTAAAACAGTGTGCCGTTCAAAGCATTTGGGGCTATTTTCAAGATAGCGCTGAAGAAATTGAAGAAGATGGATTTTTTGATAAATTTCTTTCCTGTTCAAGGTATGTATGTACACCATTCAAAGATGATAGGGGAAAAAATTATTGAAAAAATCAAATATTTTTATATGTAGTTTGTAGTATTAATAAAAAACTTGGTTTTACTCAAAAATTTACAATTATCTTTTATATTCAGTATTATTAAATTAACATTTTATTATATTTTTTAGTAATCCATATTCACCTGAATGTTTGGGAACATATGGTGGACCCATTGATCCAGCGGTAGCTCTTGGAGGTTTTCTTAAACCTGGACAAAAAATAAGTTCACACTCTCAATACTATAAAGCCAACGCACTTATTTTAACATTTCTTATAAATAATAACCACGATAAAGAAAAAATAAGCCAAGCTCTTAAATGGGAGAAAAAGCAAGTTGACAATTTTTAAAAAAATATTTATAAAAAAATATATATTTGTGGTATAGAAAACATTTTGTTGTTTTAGATTTGTTGATTTTATGCTTAATTGGACACAGCATAAACCTCCCAACATGGATGTTGCATTTACATCAGAGAGGTCGATTGAAGATGAACTAGATAAAGAATCTAAATCTGATGTAATGACAATTTTAACATCTTATTTAATCATGTTTTTTTACATAGCAATTTCTCTTGGTCATATCAGACATTTCAAAACTTTATTGGTAAGTAGATATTTTCATAAATAAATCAGCAATATTAATTTTTTTTTTTTTTTCAATTGCAATTTATTAGATGGACAGTAAAATAACACTTGGTATTGGCGGAGTCATTATTGTTCTTCTTTCTGTGGCTTCTTCAGTTGGATTTTTCGGATTTTGTGGAATGCCAGCAACTCTTATTATTATGGAGGTTAGTAGACAATGACAGTAGAAAACAAAACCGATGTAGTAGTGTTTTGTAAAACCTGTAATCAGCCAGTTGTGCTTCTATTGAATAACTATCCTAATTTGTAGGGCACTAGAAAAAAAGTATTCACTTGTTTTTATTATTCCAATAACCTCAACACTAGTGTTACAATAAAAATATTTTAAAAAATTGGATGAAGCTGTATCCAGGGGACACAGCTGTTAGTTTAACATGAAATATTTTGACTAATATTTATACAATGATTAATAATACTAATTAATAATAATAAAGTTAGTTGAATATAGCAGGAATAATTAATATAGCTTGACAACTTAGGCTAACACTTTGTGAAGTACATGTGCAGCACTGAGGACAAACGGTGTATGATCTCAGACTTTCACGTTTGTCCAATATTTGTCGCCGACGTTGTTTTCTCAAGCTGGATTTGCTGCAGAGACTGATAGGGGAAGGGAAGCATTCCAAATTAGTTAGTTAATTAGTTTGATTGAGAAACTTCAAAACTACTGTTGGGCCAGTCCTTTCTTAACCAACAGAAATTACTATGTTCTTTCTTAATACATCTATACTAGTTAAGAATCGTTTATTATTGAAAAATAAATAGAAGTATATTCGATTCGTTTCCAAGCATCAAAAACCTCGGTCTGATTTTTGTAATTCGGAAGAGAAGCATTCGGAATTTTCGGTTCAGATTGAGGGACTCCAAGACTGTAAAGTTGGGCCAACAGAAATAACGCTATGTTGTTCTTTCATTATTAATATATTTATATTCGTTATGAATTGTTTATATTAAAAAATAAATAAATAGAAGTAAATAATAACTCTTGATTGATGATCAGTTGATTTACATACAGTACAGTTGATTCCGAATGTGTGGATGCTTGGAGTTCATCTTTTATGTGTCTATATTTGTGCACTTTGAAGCAGACAAGAAAATCAACAATTAACTGAGCAAGGCAAGCACCGAATATTGTTGCTCGGTGAATAACCGAGCACTCGTCCCCACTAGTCTGGAATCGGCGAACCTTGGCTTGTCATTCGGCAATCCCGCATGTTTGGAGCCACCTTTACATGAGATAGCACCCGAAGTCTGAAACAGTCTGTGGATTTGAATGAAATAAACTTCATTTAGCAGCTAAAATTTAATATTGTAAATAATACATTTGAATCTTTTTTACGATGCCTAGGAGTGAAAAAACTAAAAAAACAATAATTTAATTAATTAAATCTAATGAACGACTGACCAAAGGACCAAAGGCATGTAAAGAATTTAGAAATGTTTAAACTTTACAGCAATGATGCTCACACGGCTTACAACGCTAAAGACAGAAAATGAGGTAGGGAAGAAAGAGTTTTATTCCTTTCTACTTTTACGAGGCTAAATCTTCCGAAAGATCGCTCAGTCCTCTCATTTCGCCACTAGCCTTGTAAAACTATCTCCTTTCTTTTACAAAGAGGGTCTGCTCAGTGTTGGAGGAAGACACAAGAATTCCACCCTTTCTTTCTACACAAAACACCCCATCGTCCTCCCTAAAACAGTTCATATTTCCTCTTTATTATGTGATAATTTCAATAAAATCTCATTCCTTGCTGGTCCTAGTACTGTACAAGCATTTATCCATCAAACTTGGACATTATCCACACATGGCCTATTAAGAAAATGAATGCATCAGTGCCTCGCCTGCCATAAATTTTGAGCTCGAACTGTGACACCTTAGATGGGAGATTTACCAGCAGACCTTATTAAAAATTCTTTCAGTAAAATCAGTACCGGTCAGGCCTGAGGGTTGGCATAGCATTGTTTTTGGTTGGCGCAGCCTATGAAATTATATTGTCTCCTCGTGGTGGTTTTAAGAGAAATAGGAGAGTTCAATATTTGCATAGTACTTTTACAGTTTAAGAGCAACAAAAAGAGAACGTGCAATCACGACGGAGGTGTGAGACATGCAGCTTTCAGATTGCTTTACCAATGAACAGAACCTTCATGAATGGACCTTACCGGTTTTAATGAGGTTACTGGTGTAAACAGGCACTTTTCACTTGAGCGATAATGTCTCTATCAATTTAGGAAGATTGAAACAAAAGAAAATATAATCTTCTCAAACCATCTTGGCCAAAGTGATTAGTTAATGACAAAATTTCACGCCTATTTTAGATCCCTCTACATTGGCACAGTCTCAGGAGATGACATCATAAATGTGATTTTAATGAGTGTAAACGATCCAGAGTAGTCAGAAAATGTAAATATTTCATATGCTAACATAAATTGCGGGGTGTCAATGTCGACAAGTTTGTAGCTCATCAATGAAACGGGATCACCACTGTGGATAAATAATTAATAAAAGCCTTCTCTCAACAATGAATATAGCTTGTGTTGTCTATGACAGGATTTGGTAACGAGATCATTTAGCCAACAATAAATATTGTGCAGTTGTGCTTTGATGCCAGAAGGAGAAAAACAGGCTGGAAGGAGGTGGCTCCAGACATGCGGAATTCGCTGAATGCCGATTGTCACTAAATATTGCCACACATGGATGTGAGGTTCGTACAACCAGCCAGTTTGTGCGGAAACAGCCGGATATGTACGAGCCAAATGTCATGCGAGTCCTCAACTTACTACCAATTGTGATGGACAACAGTGAAACTGTCATTGCTGCAGCTGCCGTTACTGTTTTGTGTTGTGGGTACAAAGTCACAGATCAGTCACAGAGTACTGTTGCCCCATCTTACTTTCGACCCATTTCCACACATTGAAAACGTCGTTCTGATTATTGTGATTCAGAAGAGAAGTGTTTCAAAATTATTAGTTGAGGTTGGTAGAGATCAAGTAACTCCATGACGTTTGTTTGGTCAGTAACCTAACCAACGAAAAACACCATATTGTTCTTTCATCAATACATCTATACTAATTAGAAATTGTTTATTATTGAAAAGTAAATAGCAGATCAGTAAAAATCGTTTATAAGAACATCCAAGGCCCGTCTGAACTTGGTTCTTAAGTCCGATAGTTGCTATATCCGGTAATCAATTTTTTTGTTTAATTATTGATCAATTTTTTGAAAGTTGAAGGCTCTTTCAGTCATTCCTCTGGAACTACTTTTAAGGGGTTGAAATTAGCAATCCCATTTAGTAACAGGTTTGGAACTAAAAAGCGTTTGCGAATTTCAAGCCCTGTTTAATTATCATTGTTTAGGTTTTAAGATAAAAAAACAAAAAGATTAATCACAAAAATTTTATTTACTGCAAAACCGAAAAATAGTCTGTAATATTGGTTTGTTTATTTTATTTTTTTTATTTTTATGAAAGTAAAAAGCATTTTCTGTAATGGTGACAAGTTCTTTCACTGTCATTTTCATAGATTCCCCTGCAAAATTGTCATTACACGTTAAAAATTTATTTACCACATTTATAGCTGAGAACATTTCCTTCAAAGTGGGGCACGAAAATTCGCTTGAATCATCTGTTATGGCATTGTCTTCTTCTAAATCATTTTCTTCTGCTTTGACCCCTGCAACAATTTCTTCATCTGTGATGATTCCATGGGTAGTAAGTCTCAAGTCTACGTCTTCATATCCTTGAAGCAAACTGTTTTCAATGGGCAAATCTTGAGCCCAGTTTTGAAGTGTTTATTTTCTGCTGTGTGCTGTTATTTTCTCATGAAGTTCTTACAAAAGGTTTGTTTTCTCAGAAATACAATAACTGGTCACTAAAAGTGATATGTTCGTACTAACTATGTTCTTATAACCAGATATTTTATACATTAAGTTGCATTAAAGCTGGCCGAGAACTAGAAATTTTGTTCTTACAATCGATATGTTTTTACAACCAGTGTTCATTTAAACAATTTTTACTGTATAAACTTACTGTTGATGATGATTACAGTTTATTTATATACAGTACAGTTGATTCCCCGAATGTGTGGATGATTTGTGTACAGCTACTTTGTGAGAATATTTCTGTACTTTGAAATGGACAAGAAAACCGACAATTAGGCACGGATATTGTTGCACTGAGCACCCGTCCCCACTAGTTGGGATTCAGCGAACCTTCGCTCGGCTTTTAGCAAATCCCACATGTACGGAGCCACCTAAATGGTGTTCAAATTAAGTAATACATGCCATAAAAGTTTGGATATAGGCTAGATAACATCAATGTATTGTTTTATTGAAAAACAATTACATTAGTAGCCATGTCAACTAATCCCCCAATTTATTTATTTTTGTTCTATTGATAATTATGATTTTTATAAATATGCTACATAAGCCCAGCTGCACAACTGTTAATTATGAGATCATGTTGAACGCATTTGCATCTAGATGAATTTGTTAGGTCATTTCCTGAAATATAAATAAAAATTTGTTACACACTATTGAAGATATATATTTTTTTTCTAGGTCATTCCGTTCCTTGTGTTGGCTGTTGGTGTGGACAATATTTTTATTCTTGTACAAACTCACCAAAGAACAACTAAATTGGAAGGTGAAACAATACAGGAACATATTGGACGGGTAGTTGGACTTGTTGGGCCATCTATTCTATTAACAAGTTTATCAGAATCAGCATGCTTTTTCCTTGGTTTGTAATCTAATTAATAATATATTGTATTTTGACAATTTGTGGAAAAAAAATTGTTAACTGTCTCAGTTAATTCTAATAAAATATTTTTCATTGTTCATTAATGATGTATTTTTGTTGTAGGAGGACTATCAGATATGCCTGCAGTAAAAGCGTTTGCCCTTTATGCAGGAATGGCACTATTTCTTGATTTTATATTTCAAATAACTTGTTTCGTAAGTCTAATGGCCCTCGATGCATATCGCCAATCGGTAATTTGACTTTTAAATAAATAATTTTTTTTTAAACATTAAGTGAAATTGGGAGGGGATGTATTTGGAAATTTACATATCCTTTCAAATTTAATAAATTGATATATTCCACAGGAAAACCGTTTGGATGTAGCTTGTTGTTTTCATTCACCATCCAAGTATGAACTTCCTGCAACACCTAGTTTATTATATCGAGTTACGAAATCACTTTACATGCCTTTCTTATTGCACCAAATTACGAGACCAGTCGTAATGATTTTGTTCTTTGGATGGTTATGCATATCAATAGTCGCACTGCCGTCAATAAGCATTGGTCTCGACCAAGAACTCGCTATGCCTCCAACTTCCTTTGTACATAAATATTTCAGAGTAAGACACCAGACTAACAATTAACAGATAATTGTTAAAGATAAAAAAATTATTCGCACAATTTTATTTTTTTGTTTCAGTTTATCAAAGAATTTTTATCAGTAGGCCCTCCAGTATATTTCGTATTGGCTTCTGGGTTAAACGTGTCCAATTTTAACATTCAAAATTTACTGTGCAGTGGGAAAGTTTGTAATATGGACTCAATTACATCACAGATATATTTAGCGGCCAAAATGCCCGAAGTGTAATTTTTTTTTTTTTCTTCGAAAGTTAAGTAATTACAAAAATTACATTGATGACACGTTTTCAGTACCTATATTGCTCGGCCTTCTTCCTCTTGGATCGACGACTATTATGATTGGGCTTCTTCTGAAAGTTGTTGCAAATATTTTGCTGGCAATGAATCATTTTGCCCTCATACGAGTAAGTACAGAAAATTGATAATTTTGATTAAAAAAATCAATATTAGAAAAAAATTCCATTAATTTTTTAAAAACTTCACATTATTTGTAGATAACGACTGTACGCCATGTGAAATCGTTTTGGATAATTATACTTCACGACCAGAGCCAGTGAGTTTTGCAAAATTTCTGCCGTTCTTCTTGCAAGACAATCCTGATGAATCCTGTGCAAAAGGTGGTCATGCAGCATACGGTCATGTGAGTTGAACTAGTTAAAATTGTTTTTTACGTTTTCTGACAAGTGAAAATTGATAAAATTGAGTATTTGTCAAGAAAATTGTCTCCTTTAAGGCGGCAAGTGGGTTAAACAAATTTTGATGTTATATTTTTTCTTTATATATTAAACTATAATTTTTTCTGCATCAAATGATTTAAAAGATTTGCAATTTTGAGCACCGGAAGTGCTCAATTTAAAAATTTAAAAGGCCTACTCAAATCAGAATGGCATCTATGAACAGATAAATCCCAAAATAACAGGAGCCATCCAGCGGAAATGTCTATGTAGACAGAACTGTGAGGATTCAACGAAAGTGTGTTCAAAAAGTTGAAAATAGAACGTGCTAACTAAAAAAAAAGGTGGCGTTTTAAAAATTTGTGTTAATTTTTCTCTGCTTCTGTACCCATTCGGATCCCACTTCTGTTCAATATTTTGAATTGTTTATTTATTTATTTTTAAATTTACAATGACAAAAACAAATACAGGTTTGGCCGAGCACTTTTTTGTAAATAAAATTCAGGTCATGAGGAGATAAATGAAAGATAAAAATTAGGAGTAGATTTTTACAAAACGTTCAATGGCATTTAAAAAAAAAATATTTTTTTAAATTGCCTCGACACATTCTTCATGTTGGAGTACTTAAAAAAAAAAAAAAAAAAAAGTTGACATTTTTGTGAAAATGAATGTAAAATTCAGGCAATTTGTCGAAAAGATTAACCCCCTCCCCAAAGTGGTAATTTATTTTTTATAGCTGAAAATTTTGAATGGTTGGGCTGCTATAATTTTGTCTATATTTGAAATAGCATCAAATTTATTGTAGAATTTAATTTCAGGGCGTAAAATACACTGTAGGGAAAGGTGGAATGGCCACTGTAGGTCCTAACTATTTCATGACATTCCACACTGTATTAAAAACATCCTCAGATTACTACGGAGCACTACGAGAAGCGAGAGTTATAACATCTAATATGACCCAAATGATAAATAGCCATCTGAGTCATTTAGGTATTAACCAAGAGGTGACCGTATTTCCCTACAGGTACATTTATTGAGTTAATATGTTATAATTCGCAGATAAATTATTTATTTATTTATTTTTTGCAGCGTCTTCTATGTCTTTTACGAGCAATATTTAACAATGTGGACAGACACTCTTAAGTCAGTGTTTATATCATTGTTAACAATATTTTTAGTATCGTTCATACTAATGGGTCTCGATATATCTTCTGCAATACTTATCGTTTTAACAATTTTTATGATCATCGTAGATATCGGTGGTATTATGTACATTTGGAATGTTAGCCTGAATGCCGTTTCGTTAGTCAACTTAGTAATGGTAATTCAAATCATTAAAGTTTTATTTTTTTATTATTGGCAATTGCAATAAAAGTGTTGAATTTTTTTTTTAATTATTATTTAATATATAGGCAATAGGAATTGGAGTGGAATTTTGCAGTCACATAGTTCATTCATATGTTATGTCAACCAAAGAAACAAAAGTTCAACGAGCAGCAGATGCAATTACTAATATAGGAAGTTCTGTGAGTTTTTACAAAAAAATTTTAAATAAATAATTTAAAACTAACATTGTATATATATTATTGGTGTTTTTAGGTGTTTTCCGGAATCACGTTGACAAAGTTTGGAGGGATAATTGTCCTTTACTTTGCAAAATCTCAAATATTCAACGTATTTTATTTCCGGATGTACTTATGCATTGTACTGATTGGAGCAGCCCATGGACTTGTGTTCCTCCCTGTACTACTGAGCTATGCAGGTAAAGGAGCGAATCGTGCCAAGTTGAGAAAATAAAATAACAAATAGAGAGAATCTTGCAATTGTATAAGAACGATACAAGTCGACAATAACAACATTCTAGAAGATTTCCAATGTACCAATAATTGCATGCCAAGAATAGCCTAATTTCTTCTTCAGAAATTCTGCTAACCAACCAAATAAATAACTAATCACATTGGTCTGTTAATAATTACACAGTATCAGATTTTCTGCTTGAGTACTTGAACTCTTGAATTTGTTGACACAAAGCTTCGGGTTAAATTAAAAAAAAAATCAATGCATATATTTATCTTTGATAATGAAATTACCAAATAGGCAGGACAGTTCGTTTTTCTTTACAGGACATTGTGATATGTGATTCGCATCATTTTCAATATTGCATTGATGTGAATTTCATTTTATATTGGGTTGGTGCAAAATTAATGCAGGTTTTGAAAATTTGTTTTATTTTCGCAGGTGCTTGTCATGTAAACAAATCTAAAACCTCAAATCTAATTTATTGATTATAATAAATACTTTTATCTTTTTTACAAAATATTTTATTAAATTCACTAATTTCGTGGTCCACTTGACCAATTAATATATTACAATTAATTAAGGTGTTTAGTTGAGATAAAAAAGTCAATGGCATGGCTAGATACGCCGCTGCTCTACCACTTGAGCTATCGTGACCTCGATCTACTCGGACACTAACTTCCCATCTCAACCCCACCTTTTTAATTTAAAAATGGCAAAAAGGAGAGAAAATTCAAAAGGTGGGGTTGAAATAAGAAGTTAATGTCCAAAACTTGGGTGAAGTGCAGCTCAAACCTCTTGTAACATACAGTTTGGCTGGAGGGAAGCATTAGCGAATGCATGAAGTTCGTGGTAGGCTTTCAGTTGTGGATGACGACTGACTCAAAATGTTGATTGAAGAAAATTCGTGAAAGACAACATGGGAAATTGCAGAAGAGTTTATTGTTGACAAGTCGACCGTTGTCAACTTCAACGATGCTACAGTACATCTGGAGCAAATTGGTAAAGAAGCTCGACAAGTGGGTTCAGCACTAACTAACCAAAGCCCAGGGGGGCTGCGGTAGCTGAGTGGTTAAGGCGTCAGACTCTCGGCTAGTCGATCCCCACTCTCGCCTCTGGACTTTTTCTGATGCCTAAGGGGACCGGTGGCCGCAATTGAAAGAAATTGACATGGCACTCATCATTGGAAGGGGCGGGATAGGATCTCAGCGACCCTGAATTTGGTCCCAACCTCCTTCAAAAATGAGTTTCTTTGATGGAAGAACACTGGTACAACGGGGGCTCAAGTTTACATTTGTGTTGCGAGCCCTCCCCCAAAATATGGAGCCAGGGATAAAGTACAATAAGCTGTACAGCTCAGCTGCAGTGCTCACGTGGGAACTCCTCCAGTCCCTGGTATCCATTGTAAAAAAAAATAAAAAAAACCAAAGCCCAAAGAAATTGATGCTTTTTCTCTTCTGTTGTGCCACCAAAATCGAATCATCATGTCTGATGAGAAATTGATTCTGTACAATAACAGGACTGTGGTTGGACAACGATGAAACGCCAAAACAATCCCTGAAACCAAATCTGAACCCCCAAAAAAAGTCTGGTGGTGTACTGCTGGGGTTGTTCACTATAATTTCCTGAATTATGGTGAAACTGTTGTTACAGTCTGAATCCAGCCGAATAACAGTTGGTCCTGACGCTCAGTGGAGAAGGGGGTGAGTGAAGGAGAAATTTAGGGAGCAGGAGGAAATTGTTGAGCGTCATGGTATTTTTGGAAAAAGATAAATGCCAAAACCAGGAAAAAAAGGAATAGAAGTAAAGAAAGAAAATGAAAACTCAGATCGGTTTCCTTATTTGAACCCCAGCCGACCAATATAGCGCTTCTTGCTTCTAGCTGATTAAGTTGCGCTTCCACCAAAGGTTATACTATGGGAACTAACAAAATAAAGTTCTTCCTGCTTCTACAGGAGTTAATTTGTTAATACAAGTAATATCCTATATTTAGGGTTTAAACTATGAAGGAAAAAATTTAATACAATTATTCTATTTGGCACTAAATTAAACTTATAATAAAACAGAACATATGCCTAATGCCCAGAGTTCCAAATTATCAGGCCTGATAAAGAAATTTAAAAAGGAACGTACCCACAGGATTGCTCTTCCACTTCAGGTTATACCGTGTTCTTGATAAGCAGCGTACTGTTTGGGAAGAACCCTCCGCACCCGTAGATGAGCACCACTGGGTTTACACCTGGCACAGACCACACTCTTTTTTTTTCCAAATTTTTCTTTGTCCTCGTGGAGACCATTCTTACTCCAATAATCTCTCACGAACTCACTGCCGCCTTCTTTTTTCCAATCTTTAACCCAGAGCCTACTAGCCTCGAACCCAGTGCCCTCCGGGTTAGGATCTTCCAGGGTGCGATTTCCTGCTTCTCGCCTCGGTTCGATCTGTCACTATTTTAAGCTTTATCAATTTTTTTTTTTTTTTGCTGAGAAGAGAAAAAGAATGTAATATTATCACAGCAGAGAAATATTGCCAAGAAATTGACAAAATGCACGGGAAACTGCATCGTCTTTGTCCACTATGGGTAAACCATAAGGCCGATTCTTCTTCACGATAATGCCAGGCCACATGCCAACTATGCGGAAACTTGAGGGCTTAGGATAAGAAACCTTCCATATTCACCTGACCTCTCGCCTACAGACTTCAATTTTTTTAAGCATTTTGATCATTTCTTATTTTTAGAGAACGCGGTGAAGCCAAAAATTCCTTCCAAGACTTCATTGTAAGTCAAAATAAAGATTTTTATGTCAGTGGAATAAAAGTGCCTGTTAACGTTGGCAAAGAAGTATAGATTGTGATGGGAATTTCAAATAAATTTTCTTTATTTTATAAAAATTAAAAATAGTTTTTACTGCCTTTTCAAAACCTGCATTACTTTTGTACCAGCCAAATATTTATCTTTGTTAATTAAATTACGAAACAAAGGCAGGACAATTCGTTTTTCTTTATATTGCAATACACGATTCACATCATTTTCAATATTACATTGCTATGAATTTCATGTCATATTTTCTTTCTACATTCTTACAAGTGGTGAGGGGACGAAAAAGTTCAACAAAAATTTGAAAGATGTTTTAATCTAGACATGTTATGAAATTACTTAAAACTTGATAAGTGTTAAATATAATACTTGTTATTATATTATACAGTGCTCTCTCAATAATCCGAACTAATTACTGTAAGGGGGTATTAGGATTACTGAAAAATTCAGATTATAGAGGGTGTATAAAAAAATCCGTTTCATCAAAAAAACAAAAAAAAAAAAAACAAAAAAAAAAACACTTTCGTTGCTATACAAAAATCAACACAACACTATTATTATGCTATACACAAAACCTATTAGAGTACATATACTGGGTGTCCCAGTTCCTTCTGACGAAACTCAGGGAATCGATTCTACTCTTTGTTTGGAGCTAAAAATGCCTGGGAGAAATTTTTTGGAAATTTGTCTATTTTGAAGATATTCGTCAATTTAGGTTTTTCAACTTTTCACTACCTTACCACATAAAAACGCTTACAACTTCCAAAATGTTGAGACTGCAACAAATCTAATTACACCATTTGAAAGAATGCTAAATTTGCTGTAAGATACTTCTATTTGAAATAATCCGAATGACATAAAATGTTAGCCAATATCAGTTGGAACATGTCAAAATTACAAAATTTAAAATTTTGGTCGTGATTGCACGTTCTACTGAGGTTACCAAAAATACCTACAACTTGTCAAATTTCACAAAAACTTCTTCATCTAATATGCTTTATGTTGATATATCCAGGTTTTTAAATAATGTTCTAGTAGAGTTGAAAAATAACAATTGAATGTTCAAAAATGTGAGCTAAGATAAATTTGAAGGGGGGGGGTAGAAATACTTAAATCAATTAGAACTCGCTTTGTAAAATAAAAATGACACTTGTTTGACCGGTTGAATGAAAAATGCTGGATGGGATCGAAGTTTAACTGATATTGGCTAACATTTTATGTCATTCAGATTATTGCAAAGAAGGATCTTACAGCAAATTTAGCGTTCTTTCAAATGGTGTAATTGGATTTGTTGTAGTCTCAACGTTGTGGAAGTTGTAAGCGTTTTTATGCGGTAAGGTAGTGAAAAGTTGAAAAAACCTAAATTGACGAATATCTTCAAAATAGAGAACTTTCCGAAAATTTTCTCCTGGGCATGTTTTGCTCCAAACGAAGAGTAAAACCGATTCCCTGAGTTTTGTCAGAAGTAACTGGGACACCCTGTATACCATCAATTTTTTTTTCATCAGTTTTTATTAAACATTTTCTTTGTTGCTTTTTTTCTATTTTCACACATTTTTAAGCAGAAAGTATGTACTCCACACAAGAAAAATTAGATTGATCTAACATTTCATTTTTTAGTAGTAAAGGTCAGTCGGTGTGGGATTCACTGAGCAAAAGAAAATCTCAAAAATTCATAGTTTAAGCTGGTCTAGGTCTTCGTATGACCCCTCTAACTCTCACCCCCTCACTTTCTTTCTTCTCTCTCTCTCTCTCTCTCTCTCTCTCTCTCTCTCTCTCTCTCTCTCTAAATTTTTATTTAGTTATTATTATTGGGCCACCTTCAGCTTAATTTTTTAAAATTTTAAATATATAGAGATTAGTCACCGTTAATTGATAATTATTCAGATATCGTGAGATGTTTTTTGATGTGTGTAAAATTATTTTAAAATGTCTGTAGGTATTATGTTGTTACATCTCACGATATCTGAATAATTTTAAATATATACATATGACCATCTAGAAGCGCATGTAAGTTAAAATTGTAAAATGTTCATTTCTTGATGAGTGTAAGAAAGGTCAAATTGATCTAACTGAGAGATTTTTAAAAATAAATTGTTAAATCAAAGTGAATATCTCTCTCTCTCTCACTCTCTTTCTCTCTCTCTCACACACTCTCTCTCTCTCACACTCTCTCTCTCACACACTCTCNTCTCTCTCTCTCTCCCTCTCTCTCCCTCTCTCTCCCTCTCCCTCTCCCTCTCCCTCTCTCTTTTGCTCCCTCCCCTCACCTCTGAAGTATCGTTTCCTTTAAAATTATCACTTCTTGACCTTTTCTCCTGTTCAGGGATTAGGGAGAGAGCACTGTATATGTGTATTTATGCTATTATTACTTACAAATAAGGCTAAATAATAATATAATGGGTGTTACTAACTAACTAACTAAGGTCTTCTATGAGAAAATGATGCTTTCGTTGTTTTTTTTTTTAAATAGATGTCTCATAATATTTGTTTGGATATTGATTTTTTGGGTGTATATAAGGTCTGCATGATGGAAAATGGTTCTATCATTTAATCCCGTGCATCTTTCTTATTCTTGGTACTTTCCATTCATGCCCAGTCATACCCTAGATCATCTTATTATTCTATGTCACTGACCGTGTCTATACGTTCAATTATTTTCTACCACAAAAGCTGATGTTCATGCTTGGTTGTGGGATGTGATTATAAAATAAAAGGTTGTTAACCAAAGAAAAATAAATCACCGACATTTACATCACCAGGATTTTTGACCTGGTTTTCGCCATGTAGAGTCAAACTTTAACGATATCCAGCAATTTCAATTAAAGGAATTAGTACGGAAATAACCCAAAACAAGTCTCTTCGTACTTCCTTTTTGTGTCTTATCAAAATTATTAAAATCAAATCAAATTAAACTTAAAATTCTGACCTGAGCACATTATATTGTACCCTAATTAGTTATAATTGGTCAAAGCATATAATTAAATTCAAAGAAAATGTTTGATCACCTTGCTCTCAACAGGCGGAGGAATAAATCGTGAAAAAATGTTGCGACACGTGAAGGTGGCTCATTTGAAAGAAATGGATGAGCCCACAGAAACAGCGCTAAGCAGAGTAAGCCATATTCAAGATCAACCCTCTGGAATTGCTAGTGGAACTGATGGAACTCAAATTTCTGTGGTCAAAGCATGGCCGATGTGATTAAGCTTGCATGTTATAAGCCTAACCTCCAAGTTATTTGCAAAATAGAATTTAAGTTAAAATATAATATTTTTAAATTTGTCTACATTTAGAACAAAATTGTAGCTTAATTTTAGCGAATTATTTATATGCATTGAATGTGTTTGTGTATATTGTATATACATATAAACAGACACTTATATGTATGTTAACAGTAGAAATTATATCAAGCATGATTGTATTTATGAAAATTTATTGGTTACTGTTGGCTGTATTTTTACATTTTAGTTCCTATTTTATTTAAATATTTTTATATCAATTATTTTTGTTATTAGTTTGTTTGGTCCAAAGTTTAAAAAAAAGTTTAGTTTTTAAATGGTTTATATGTATATATATGTCAATATTATGTCATGCATTGAACTGAAATTAATAATTGAAAAAAAAAAAAAAAATGGCATTCTACTTATTTAATGGTTTATTAAGTTTTTGAGGCCGTCCATGCTTGTATTGATTATTTTTTGGAAACATTTATTTATAAATTGCATATGTATGAGCATAGTGACAACTTCCATACATCTGCATGGATTCCATGATTGCTTTCTTAAAAAGAAGAAGAAAAAAAGTGCCTTACTAAAAATAAAAAGTAAGTAAATGTAGCATCGCATTTTGTAAACCAGTTCAAGTCTGATTTTATGTTTGAAAATTATACACATTTACATTATTAAACCATTATATTCATTACTTTAAAAGGAAAAATAAAAACAATAATTAATAAATAATTCTATGTATATCTTCTCCCTTCATTTCCAAGCAAAAAAACAAAACATAAAATGGAATTACTAGTTGTTTTTTTTAATTGAATTTGCATGCATTTTTCAATTTTTAATATGCATGATTAATACATTTATGACAATAAATTCATATTTATATATTCATTTATTTATTTATAAAATGTTCCGGCCAGTCTTATTGTAATTGAAATGGTAATGAATATAATCTGCAGGGTCAGAAATGCTTTGTGTACGTTTTATTATCAAAAATGAATTTTTTCTATTGTGAATTTTTGCATGTTTGAATTCATGGCTGCTGGATTAGAATCCAAGATACAATTCTTTTTTTCTTTCAAAAATACAAACACCACAATGGTTCATATAACCTCGTAGTTGAAATGCCCTCTTACGCAGTTATGAAATTAATTTAATTTCCTTTGAAATTTTTTAGGCATGTTACAAGCTGAGAAAATTAGTCAAAAACCCGTTAAAAATAAACAGACCTTTTTTGACCCTGTCTATTCATGATCTCTATTTCGTTTACTGTAAGATGACAGTCTTGCCTCACCGTTTAGGACCACCTTGTGTAATGTTTATCACAAAAATTAATATAATGTATTCGTTTGATTTGAATTAACTTATTTTTCTCTATAACTTTTATTGTAAATGTATTTTGAGCCATGCTACACATCTTCCTCAATTCTTTTAAAAAGTTCTCAATTTGCCTAACGCCTGGAGGTATAGACTATATACGAAATATATGAATGTAGTAATCACAGTGTGGCTCGAAATGTATTTACAATACAAGGAGGAGAAAATTACTTAAAATCAAACCCCACATAATTAATAGTGCAGCGCCAACGAGCACAAATAAGCATTAACTAGGATCGACAAAGGACAAGATAACAGTGCAGTCTCGGTAATCGAAATTTGGGCTAATACGATTTTTTCTCTCCCCCTTCTCTACTAATAGTTGTTCATAATTCCTACCTGTAGTACATAATTTAATTTTATATAAAACTCAAGGATTATTTGAGAGAGAAAAAAATGCCGAACAAAATAAATTCTCTAAACTTTGTATAGTCTAAGTTGGTCTTGATCTTTTGTACGACTCCCTCTCATTCACTCACACACTTAAGCTCTCTTTCTCACTTGCTCATTCGCTTAGATCTCTCATTTTCACTCACTTAGTCTCTCTTTCACTCGCTCATTCTCTTAGATCTCTCTTTCTCTCATTTTCACTCACTTAGTCTCTTTGTTTCTCACTAGCTCATTCACTTAGATCTCTCATTCACTTAGATCTCTCTTTCTCTCATTTTCACTCACTTAGTCTCTTTGTTTCTCACTTGCTCATTCACTTAGATCTCTCTTTCTCACTCGCTCATTCNCTCTCTCTCTCTCTCACTCTCTCTCTCACACACACACACACAATTACTGAATGGTTTGGAGTACCGAAGGGAGATTGTATAGTGTAATTTGATCTTTACAGATCATCTTGGTCTGCCTATCCTTGCTGGGATGTCAAAACTTGTTTAGGATTTTCTCCATATTCAGTATGTCTATGCGTTTCTATTAATTCGAGACTCTTTTATAAGATAGTTGGTTGGGGGAGAGGCAAGAGGAAGAAGAAAGAGAAAAAAAACACTGTCCACAAAGGCGCTGGCAAAAAGTAAAAGAAAACGCCAACACCCAATAGTTAGTCGGGCGTTAAGTCCTCTGTATGACCGGAATTATTTTGTTAACTTTACATAACATTTTTGCATATATTTCAACTGATCTGAAATAACGAGTGCAAGCCTTCAGTTCTCATTATCATGTTTGGCTGTAATTAGTTATAATGGGAAGTATGTTAATTGAAATCGATTATCCAAAAATATTGGGTTGTCCGGAAAATAATGCAGGATTTTGGTATTAAACAAAAAAAAAGAAACTAGTTACTTTAAAGCAATGTTCTTTAATCAAAATAATTTCCCATACTCTCAATACATTTCTCCCAACGTGTTGGTAACTTATTAATTCCGTCTGAGTAGAATTCAGAATTTTTAGAATTGATAAAGTCAATAAATGCATTTTCCAGTTCCGTTTGATTTTTGAATATTATGTGTTGTAAGTAGTGGTCCAGGTGTCTAAAAAAATGGTAGTCAGTAGGCGAGAGGTCCGGAGAGTAGGGTGGGTGAGGCAAAGTTTCATAGCCAAGCTCCAATAATTTTTGTGACGTTACACGTGACACATGTGGTCGAGCGTTGTCATGCAACAAAATGGGCCCTTTCCGATTGACCAAAGAGGGCTTCATTACTGCCAATTTCTGATGCATGGTATTAATTTGGTTACAGTATGATTCAGCATTGATGGTTTCGCCAGGATTTAAGAAGCTGTAGTGTATTAAACCAAATGAAGCCCACCATACCGTAACCATTACCTTTTTTTGATGAGTTGGGGGCTTTGGAAAATGTATTGGAGCTTCTCCTTTGTCGAGCCACTGTCCAGAACGTCTAGTGTTATCGTAGAGAATCCACTTTTCGTCACATGTAACAATTCTGGCCAGAAATGGGTCATTTTTGTTTCGACAAAGAAGTGATGCACAAACATCAAAGCGCTGATTTTTTTGGCGATCGTTTAATGAGTGTGGAACCCAATTTTCGAGTTTTTTCACTTTTCCAATCGCCTTGAGGTGGTCAGCGACGGTCGTTTTACTGACTTTGAGTTGCTCTGCAAGTTCTCGAACAGTTGTTTTGGGGTTTTCTTCCACCACTGATCGCAGAACATCATCATTAAGAGAGGAAGGCCTTCCACGACCTTCTTCATCTTCAAGGCTGAAATCTCCCTCCCGAAATTTTTTAAACCACCTTTGCACAGTGCACTCATTAACACAACCCTCGCCCCAGACTTGGTTAATGTTTCTAGCCGTTTGGGCTCCGCTTCGGCCGAGTTTAAACTCGTAAAAGAAAATCGTACGAAATTCTCGCTTTGACATTATAAGGATGACTGAATTATTTCCAAGTAGCGGAATGCTACAGAGGTAAACAAACAATATCATTTGGAAGAGGATTAATAAGTGTTGACATTCATACAAATGAGTAATCCTGTAAACGTAAACAGAATATTTTATATAGATTTTTTTTAATGAAAACTTAAAATCCTGCATTATTTTCCGGACAACCCGATATCTGATTTAGACTAAACTGTTCATTCTGAGAATATGGTACAACAAAAATAAACCCGGATTATTGAAAATGAAGGTTGTTGTGTCTTACTCTCAGAACAGATAGGAATAGTTTTTTGGATAAGTGCCACAATTTTAAGCCATATTGAGAACTTGTAAAATACAGAAAGTGCTTAAATATTCTAGTACGCATGGTACCTTGCAAAATATTGTCAAGCTATTCCTATCAAGTAAGATAATCATCAAACCTAACGGACTAATTACCTTACATTTGTGAAGTTTTAAGTAATTTTCGGGTAGTAAACAAACGATATCTATTTAAATGTTATAGAATACTCATACACTAAGTCTCATTTCTTGGCAGCTTTTTAATTATTTACAGTACCAATTACCACATAATAATTATGTAAAAGCCAAAATCATTAAACTTGTTTCATGCAGATAAATCCCAAAATATATAATTTTTTTTTCAAGCTAATATAATAAATTATAGGTGCTTAATAAGCAAAAGTTTAAAAAACTTTTATCAGTAAACAAAAGAACTTTTTATACAAAACCAACAAACTTGAAAGAATTTGATCAAATTATATTAATAATTATGTATAGTGCTCTCTCAGTAATCTGAAGTATTGCTACAAGGCAGAATTTGATTTAAAAAATTAAAAACTTTATTATTATTAATTATTACATATTATGACCAATTAATTAGTCTAAGCTATCTTTCATGACTCTCCCTCTCACTCTCATTCATTCACTCACTCATTCTCTTGCTCATTCATTCACAAACAGTCTCTCTCTCTCTCTCTCTCTCTCTCTCTCTCTCTCTCTCTCTCTCTCTCTCTTTCTTATTCTTTTTCTTACTCACCCTTTTCATATGTGAAGAAAGATGAGGGATTACTGAACCAAAAGAAACTCATGAAAATTCATGTAGTCTAAGCAGGTCTTGATCTTTCATATGACCTCTCCCAACTCACATTTACTATCTCTGTCTCTCTTTTCTTTTTATCTTCTCTTACTCTTTTCACAGTTTTTAGTAGTAGAGGGATTTACTGAATAAAATAAATTCCCCAAAATTTGTGTAGTTCAAGCTGGTTCATTCATCTGGTCTCTCTCTATTTCTCTTTCTCTCTCCTCCGTAATAATGTTTCATTTGCATTCTTTAAAATTCTCACTTCTTGATTTTTTTTTCCAGTTCAGGTTACTGGAATGTCCAGAGTGTGGAAGTTGGATTTAGGGAGAGCACTGTAATATCAAATGATATCACTGCAATGTGATGTTCTTTTTCTAAAATATTTTTATAATGTATTTTAATATTGCCTGAGCTAAAATTCATTTTTTAGAAAGAAAAACGTAATAATTTAAAAAAAAATATTTTAAAACAATTTCATCTCCATCCTGTAAACATACAAACCTATTAAAACAACTATATTATATTCTTCAAAAATGTATAACTTAATTATTCTAGGCGTGATGAGGAAAAAAGGGGACTTGGTGCCTGAAAACTGGAGTAATACAACACAAAATTATAGAGAAGATCAAGTCGAAGAGATTGAATCTTTATGTCAAAACATCCCCGATTCGTACCAATCAATTGGCTGATTCTACTTTAAAAATCATATCAGGTGTTGCACAATTTTTTATTATAGAGTATATTTAATTTTTTATTATATTTGTTATTCTTCTATATTGTTTTTTTTATAATGGATTTATCTGAGAATAAATAATATTAATTTATGTAATATTATTGTAAATATTTTAATTGTACCTTATTTTGAACATTTTGTTTGATACGTTAATCTGTAAACTTTATTCCTTTCATTCCAATGGGAAAAAATTTCTAATTAAATAAGAAAGAAATTTTGTTTTGTTTAATGCTTATTTTAATTTTTTAATTTACCCAAAAAATACTGTACAACTGTGTAAATTTTATAATTATCAATAAAAACTTTTTAAGTTTCCACTTAAAGATTTAATATTTACCCATTTTAACTTCTTTATATTGTGAATAATTTAATGATTAATATGGTAAATTGATAAGATTTTCTATCAACGATTAAAAAAAATTAAATGAACACGATAATAAAATGTGAGATTTACTCTTGGGGTCGGCTAAGTGATAAACCTATAGTTTGGTCATTTCAGATTTTAGGACGTGTAACATTGGTTTTTGTTTGTTAGGTGTGTCCATTCAATGTATAATAACCCAGGACAAAGGCATGCAAAAAAATTCGTCAAAGGACCATAGTAAAAACTAATGGCAGAACTCTAACATTAGGACTGTAATAATTAGGATTTAGAACATTGCAGACTCCGAAATGGCAAAATACAGATATGCCAGGAAGGAGGAAAGAGCAGAACATGTCCTCTGTTGGTGCTCCTGGGAGAGGAAAAGCCAAAGCCAGAACGAACACACAGGAGTTTCTAACCCAGCTTTGGGATCTGGTAAAAATCCTTAAGCTTAAAGAGGAATTCTAGACAATGGAAATACCTTGATTTTCCTATTATACTCCCCGAAAAAAAATTGAACGATCCTACCAAGCATACTATATGAAAGCTTATTAATTTTTGGTAGTACAATCCAGTCATTTGGATTGCATTAGTGCCCTGTCAGGTATTGGTGAAAACAGCAAAAGTACTCTTATCTGCGTATCAGGGCAAAGGGCAGATTAGCCTTGAATCCTTTTGTGGCATACCAAAACGTACATCCAACAGAAAATATATATAAAAAAAAATAAGTCCTCTGTTCAAAGTATCCCAGGATACAGGCATGTGGAAAAATTTAATCAAAGGACAGTAAACTGAACCCTGCAGATTACGAAGGCATATACACAAGTATGTGCAATTGAAGAAAAAGCTTAACATGAAGGCTTATGTGGGCTAAGATTCTATATCTTGGAGAGGAAAAGCCAAGGATACAAGCAGTAGTCTGTAAAAAAGCTTTGGAATCTGGTAAAAAGCCTTAAAATTTAATGAGCTCCAGGCAACAATGGAGATACACAATAGACCAATACTTGTAGTGTGCAGGTCGTGATCAGTTCCTACTATAATATAATCTAGGTTTATGGATTAAAAAAGCATGCTTCCTCCTGAGCAGTTTGTATTCTGTACTTATCACTCAACACAGTATGCTTTTTGAGCATGTTTTGTCCACTTAAAAAATACTGGAACGGTTTTACTGGACACCAGTAAGGTCTGATTGTGCTTGGCATAATGGGATTGTTTACAAATTAATTTTTAATATTTTCCTCTTAGCTCTTATCTAATGGACTGTTTTGGAGTACAATGTAGGGGAGCAGTTTCTTAAGAATGTAAGATAAGAGCTGGGGTTCTTCAAGGTTCAGTGCTGGGACCAACATTGTTTCTTTTTATTCCACATTAAACACTCTATTTGCAGACGATGCTTGGTTTTTGAAACAAGTCTGTGCAATTGCCAGGAAAAAGAAAAAGCATAACATGTCCTCTGTTGGCATGAAGGCTTTTGTAAGCTGATTTCACTACTGGGAGAGGAAAAGCCCGGGCCTGAAGGTTACATGCAGTAGTCCTTAAAAAAGCTTTGGAATCTGGTAAAAAGCCTTAAACAAGTTAATCTTTTATCACTTTCTTCTTATGTAATGGACCATTACTTTATAATACAATGTGGGCGAGCCTTTTCTTAATAATTTAAGATAGCAGCTGGTATTCTTCAAGGTCCAGTGCTGAGACCAACATTGTTTCTTTTTATCTGTGTGATATGCAAAATTCCACATTATTGGCTCTAATTGCAGACAATGCTCACTTTTCTAAACAAGCCTGTGCAATTGCCAGGAAGAAGAAAAAGCGTAACATGTCCTCTTTTGGTGTGAAGGCTTGTGTATGCTGAGATTCCACTCCTGGGAGAGGAAAAGCCCGAGCCTGAAGGATACATGTGGTAGTCCTTAAAAAAGCTTTGGAATCTGGTAAAAAGCCTTAAACAAATTAATCTTTAATCGCATTCCTCTTAGCTCTTATCTAATGGACCATTGCTTTAGGGACCCCTGTGGGGGGTGCAATTTCTGGATAATTTAAGGTAGCAGTTGGTGTTCTTCAAGGTTCAGTGCTGGGACCAACATTGTTTCTTATTTGTGTGATATACAAAATTCAACATTATAGGCTCTATTTGCAGACAATGCTCACTTTTCTAAACAAGCCTGTGCAATTCCCAGAAAGAAGAAAAAACGTAAGAAGTCCTATATTGGTGTGAGGGCTTATGTAGGCCGATTCCACTCCTGGAAGAGGAAAAGCCTGGGCCTGAAGATACATGTGGTAGTCCTTAAAAAAGCTTTGCTATCTGGTAAAAAGCCTTAAATAAATTAATTATTTAGAAATCGTGAGATGTGACGATCACACCAGACCGCATCTCACGATTTCTGAATAATTATCGATTAACAGTCACTAATCACCACAAATAAATTAATTTTTAATCGCATTCCTCTTAGCTCTTATATAATGCCGTTGCTTCAGAGACCCCTATGGGGGAGCAATTTCTGGATAATTTAAGATAGCAACTGGTGCTCTTCAAGTTAGCTCTTATCTAATGGACTGTTGTTTTGGAGTACAATGTGGGGGAGCAGTTGCTGAAGAATGTAAGATAGGAGGTGGGGTTCTTCAAGGTTCAGTGCTGGGACCAACGTTGTTTCTTTTTATTCCACATTATAGGATCTATTTGCAGACTATGCCCGCTTTATGAAACAAGCCTGGGCAATTCCCATGAAAAAGAAAAAGCGTAACATCCTCTGTTGGCATGAAGGCATTTGTAAGCTGATTCCACTCCTGGGAGAGGAAAAGCCCGGGCCTGAAGGATACATGTGGTAGTCCTTAAAAAAGCTTTGGAATCTGGTAAAAAGCCTTAAACAAATTAATCTTTAATCGCATTCCTCTTAGCTCTTATATAATGCCGTTGCTTCAGAGACCCCTATGGGGGAGCAATTCCTGGATAATTTAAGATAGCAACTGGTGTTCTTTGAAGTTAGCTCTTATATAATGGATGTTGTTTTGGAGTACAATGTGGGGGAGCAGTTGCTGAAGAATGTAAGATAGGAGGTGGGGTTCTTCAAGGTTCAGTGCTGGGACCAACATTGTTTCTTTTTATTCCACATTATAGGATCTATTTGCAGACTATGCCCGCTTTTTGAAACAAGCCTGGGCAATTCCCAGGAAAAAGAAAAAGCGTAACATCCTCTGTTGGCATGAAGGCTTATGCATGCTGAGATACCACTCCTGGGAGAGGAAAAGCCAAAGATAAACGCGGTAATCCTTAAAAAAAAGCTTTTTTATCTGTTAAAAAGCCTTAAGCTTAATGAAAAGCTCTAGATAACAATGGAGATGCACAATAGATTAATACATTTCGGGGCTCCTACTTCAACCTGATCTGTCAGGTATTTCTACTTCTCGCCATCTTCAGTCATGGTCACCGGTGAATTTTAAACGAGAGACCAAAACGACGAGGATAAACTGATGAAAAAAAGATTGGACGCTATTAAATTACAGTTTATAAAGTCCTTTAAATCCACTTTAAACAGTTTGTGTATTTAATCTTGAGCATGAAATCTGTTCAACAGACAAAACAGTACAAACGTGACAATGCTTTATTTGAATAACATTAAATAAATACAATAAACAAATTGAAAACCACGACTAAACATTTTATTAAAACTCAACGTTCACTAACGCTCAGTTGGCTCGATTCGCCTTGGTGTGTAAAACGCAAGAATTAAATTCACCGACTTCCTTGGAGCATAAAAGAGGCTGTTGTTTATGTTTCTGAAGGCAGGAGAGTACAAGCTGAGTCCTCTCGTTGCAATCTTGTTGGGGCACTTTTTCAGAAACCTTCGGCAAATATTTCTCCATCTGTTGACTGATTTTTAAATATTCATGTTCTAAAATTTTGTTCGTATTTTCATAAGATTCTTTCTGTTTGGCCAGTTTCTCTTCCCAATAGGCGTTGTTTTTCTTGATTTCATCGTCTAGGGCTTGTTGGATCTCTTTTGTCGTGACGTACGGAAGGCCTTTGTATTTGATCTCCTCGCCGGCGTGGACGAAGTCGTTAACGGCGAAATTCCTCGTCCGTGATTTTTGAGGATGCGGTTCGGCAATTTTTGGCGTTTTCTCTTCTTCCGCCTCCGGCTCCGGCTCCGACTTCGCTTTCGAATTGCTCAGACGTTCGATCACGCCGTACGAGACGGAAATCAAGGGCGGCTCATCGTTTTCGACGGACACCACTCTCCTACTCTGTTGGCCTCCCATCCTACGGCATAAACCTATTACGATGTCCTATTTCGCCTCCTAACTTCACGATCACCAGTTTAATGTAACGATTAACAGGTCACAAATGAAAATTTACGTAACCGTAGAGGAAGGTTGACTAGAAGAAGGTAATAATCGTCGTGTAGAAATATCGACAATACGAACGAATTATTTTGTATCGATACTTTCCAAATTGGGTCATTGTACATTTCCCTCCTTAATTCGAACGTCTGTAGGTCAAACGTTCCATTAATCCGAATTGGAAATAAATTCAAGTAGTGAAAATTTTAAGGAAAAAGTTAAGTGTGGTGTTTAGTGACCGTTAGCCATTGATTATTTAGAGATCATGAGATGCGTGGTGTGACGTAGGTTTTAGAAAAACATTTTCTTTATCGTGCCAAAGTTTCAATCTTTATTGAGATCATATTCAGAGCCTGGTATTTATAAACATTGTTTAAATTTTACAAATACATGTAGGATGTGGAAAAAAAATGAATTTATACGATGCAAAAAAAATTTTTTTTTTTATATTCAATCAAAGTATTTGTACTCACTCAAAGTGTTTCTTTTCTGCGTAATTGTGTCATTCTTGTGTCAATAATGTTTAGATTTCATGCAATTATAAGTAGAAACAAAAAAACTCGAAATCAACGAAAAACCTCAAACTTTATGTACTTTTTAATTTTTTTTTTATGCGGTTTTGATTTGCTTTTTAGAGGCCAAAGTTATGCTATTAAGTGCAGTTATTTTTATTATTGTCATTTTTGCAATTTTTGAAGAAATCATTCGATCATCGGATCCTCGCTTTTACACTTTTTAATCATTAGCCGCAATGTCATTTATATAATTTTGAAATATATAACTAAACCATCGTTAAGAAATACCTAATTAGGCTAAATTAAAGGAAACACAGTTTGACACACCGATTATTTTGTTAATTTTGAGCAATAATTCTATTATTTGTAAAAAAAAACTTTTACGATGTTTGGTTTGGTTTTTGTTTTCTATTAGAGAAGGATCAGTAATTTTCAAAAGAAAGCCGTTAGAGATAAATCAGGGGAATCGTGAAACCTTAGAGGATGTGGGGGCTCGTTAAAAGAAGCTGTAAAAATAATGGCATTAAAACTACCGATGTGTAAAAAAATGAATTACACAATGCTAGAAATTTTAAATTCAATCAAAGTATTTGTACTCACTCAAAGTGTTTGTTTTCTGTGTAGATGTGTCATTCTTGTGTGTTGTGTTGAACCCTGAAGATGATCTCAATAGAGATTGAAACTTTGGCACGATAAAGAAAATATTTTTCTAAAACCTACGTCACATCAGATCGCATCTCACGATCACCAAATAAGAAAAAGTTAAACTTTTTTGAGGAGAGAGTGAGTGAGAGATAGCGAGAGGGCGAGAAAGAGAGAGAGGAAGTGAATGATTCAATGAGAGAGAGAGAGAAAGAGAGANGAGAGAGAGAGAGAGAGAGAGAGAGAGAGAGAGAGAGAGAGAGAGAGTGAGTGAGAAAGAGACGAATTTATAGCTAATAAATTACACGGCGCTGAGTTGCAATAGTTTTGCAATAACGACAGGTCATGAAGGTTTAGCATAATCGTACAGCCGTGAAATGGATCGAGGAGAGAGAGAATTTATGAATGAGTGAAAAGTGAGTGAGTGAGTTTAAAAGAGATAATTGTGAGGAAGAGTGAGAGAGAGAGAGAGAGAGAGAGAGAGAGAGAGAGAGAGAGAGAGAGAGAGAGACAGACAGACAGAGAGTGAGAAGTACGAATTTGTAGCTAATAAATTACACGGCGCTAAGATCATCAGTTTTGCAACAACGACAAGTCATGAAGGTTTAGCATAATCATACAGCCGTGAAAGTGGTCGAAAGCAGTGGGAGAGAGTGAATGAGAAAGATTGATTGATTGATAGTTTCAGTTAACCACGGAAAGTTAGGTCTGTTGAACCTTTCTTTCACTTAAAATTAGTTATAAAGTTTACATTTATTAAGATTTAGACTTAGTTGGTCTTTACTATGTATATTACAATTATAATTTATAATGAAGAGAGAAAAATTAAGTTTTTTGTTTTGTGTTTTACTAACAACTTGACAATATAATTTTATATTTTTTTATATTTTTGTTGTGATTTCATAATTTTGTAGGACATATGTACCAATAAAACAAAAAAAAAAGTTAAATAAAAATGAACAAACAAATTGAACTTTGGTAGGTGTTTGGGATAGTTATGTATGTTAGTTGGAATATGTTATGTACATCACTTTGAATTTATACAATTTGGTTACATTTTTTTTTAAATTTCTAAAAGCAGCTCATTATATAACAATTTACTTTTCATGGTAAACGCATTTTGGAAGGATTTTATTCTATGTCTTGGTTTAATATTATTGTCAGAAGAAGGCCTTATATTTTTATTATGGAAACTATTAGAAAATATATTTGATTAGCTGCAAATTGTGATTATTTATCATTATTGTTTTTTTTGTTATTAAAGTTGCACGCACTAATTTTTAAAAATATTTAGAACTAAATTTATAATATAATCTGTCATCAACTTAAGATTAAGTATGAATCTTACACAAGTGTTTAATAAATTTTGTAAATATTATTATAATTTGCATTGGACATAATTTGTAAAAAGTACATTAAATAAAGTTTTATTAATGTTTTATATATGTAATTTTAGGTTGATAGTTTTATATTTTAACAAGTTATTTATAATATAAATTTTTGAATATGCTTTTTTTCTAATGACATCAATTTGTTTCTGCCAATCCAAATTTGATTAAAAATAAACACCAAGACTTTTTACATGTTTTTTTTTTAATGTTTAGTTTTATAGAATTATTTTTATTTTTCGTGTTTTATTTATTTTAGTAGTAAGTTGAGCATTTCCTAATATTTTGCATGAACTCTTATTTGGATTAAATTTAATCAATGATTTTCTACTCCTTTCTGATATATGTTTTATTACTCATTTAAATTCTCTACAGACTCCTCTGTGTTTTGTAACTTGTTACTTTTATATATATTTAAATCATCAGCAAACATTAAACATTACATTTATTTAGAACATTTATTCGAGAGAGAGAGAGAGAGAGAGAGAGAGAGAGAGAGAGAGAGAGAGAGAGAGAGAGAAAGAATGAAAGAAAAAAGAAAAACCTGGAAATTTTCTGGACACTCACAACACGACACACAAGAATGACATATCTACACAGAAAACAAACACTTTGAGCCCTGAAGATGATCTCAATAAAGATCGAAACATTGGCATGATAAAGAAAATGTTTTTCTAAAACCAGACCGCATCTCACGATCTCTAAATAATCTTATTTTTTGAGTGTAGGTTCTCTTAAGGACACGATCCAAAAATACAAAAATATAAAACAGCATTTGAATGATAGAACAATAATTCAAAATGGAATGACTAAACATAGTCAAACCAGTGAAAGCCAAAACTGGGGGATGCACCCCTTTTTGCCATTTTCCACTTACAAAAAGTTGACAACTTGTCAAAAAACGGGATTTACAAACTTAATTGTAGGAAGTGCAATATTAAATATATAGGACAAATCGGCAAAGAAATTTAAACTTAACGAACACCTGCCTAAATCGAACAAATTTTCTGAATTTAAGGACCGTCTAAATGAGTAAAAATTGCAACATTTGCAGATGACACAGCGGTGATATCACTAGGACCGACTATATCACCCATTCAACCAAAATCCTTCAAAATGCATGTAATAAGATAAAAGAATGGACAAAAATATGGAAAATCAAGCTAAATCAGCATAAATCGGTTCATCTAATATTTACAAACAAAAAAGTGGACCATGTTTTGTTGCACACAATCGATGGAACTGCTATACCATACTGCGATACAGATAAATATCTGGTAATGACCTTAGATGCCAAGCTGAGATGGAAAGAACACGCGAAAAAAAAGGCCAGAAATAGGTTTAAGGTATAGACAACTATACTGGTTGATAGGACGTGGATCCAACCTTGCTATACAAAATTAAATATTATATAAACAAGTCATAAAGCCTATGTGGATATACGGTATTCAACTATGGGGTTGTATCAAACACAGCAATATCAAAATCATTCAAACACTACAAAATAAAATCTTACGTAACATGGTCAATGCACCTTGGTACATAAGGAATAAGGACTTACATAGGGATCTTAGGATCCCTGAAGTCACGGCGGAAATACAAAGATTTGCTGCCGAACACCAGGCTTGCCTCAGCCAGTACGAGAATGTGGAAGCGACCAAACTCTTACATAACCAAAACATGGTCAGAAGATTAAAAAGAACAAAGCCATATGAACTTGTGTAATTAAAAATTAATAGTGAATAATGAAATGTAAATCTTATTGTACCAATGGGTTTATAAGAATGTAAACATTTATTTATTCTATAATATTATTGTAAAATTAATGGTTGGTCTAATAAGACCAGTTTTAATAAATAAATTTAATTAATAAAAAAAGACCGTCTAAATGAAACAAAACACAATTTAAATTTAAATTTGAATAAAACAGTGTTAAATAGTCTCAACAAAGGGAAGGAATTAGGTTGATTTGAGAAATTTGAAATTAAAAAATGTAAAATTAAACGTAGATAGATGCATAAATATTATTATAAATATAGATGCATAGAATAGATTTTGATTTACCTCCTATTTTAAATATGTACATGAATAACATTTAGCTTTAATCATTGTGGCCACCTTCGCCCCCGACAAAGGTTTAAGTGTGCAAGGGTTTTGAAAATTCCTGCAAGGAAAAAAATTATATTTGTTTTGTTAATAAAATGTCCATTAACTTTATTTTCTAAATAACCCCGAATAAATATTCCCAATATTCCAGTTGGCTTAAGTAGTATAAACCAAATATCAAAAGCTAAAGAAGTAATTAATTTTTTACTTAAAAATAACAGTGAAGTTTATTTTTTTACAGTAAAACAATTAGCGTTTTGGAATCTGATTTTTGCATAATCTAATGCTTTTCTGAACCAATTTTGAAATACTTTTCACAATTTTACATAAATATTTAGAAATCGTGAGATGCGGTCTGGTGTGATGTAGGTTTCAGAAAAAGAACAAATAAAGATGTTTTTCTGAAACCTACATCACACCGGACCCCATCTCACGATTTCTAAATAAATATCGATTAACGGTCACTAATCACCAAACATTTTACATAAAGTCGAATGTACTTAATGAATCTGCAAATGAAAAAGTCAGTTACCATTGGAAAAGAAAACTTTAATTTTCAAACTTTTTTTCAGAAATTGAAAAAAAAAGTGTAATTTCTGCAATGTCTAAAAGTAGAGCTTAAACTTTTTTTCGAGTTGGGTAGTTTTTGAGAAAACCAGGAGGTACACTAGTAGTTAACTTATATATTATTATACCAATTCATTAATTATGTAACTTATATATTATTATATGCTTTATAGTAATCTAACATCAAATTTATGATAGGTATATAAAAAAGTTGTTAAAAAATCATTTATATGACAATTTCACTTTCTGGAATTGCTTGCTTATATTGAATTCACTAAAAGAAAAAAAGAAGCACTGTTCCCTTCAACAAGAAAATTTCAAAATATAAATAATTTAACATCTGTCTTTTCTCACAACACACACATCACACACCGAACACACATCTTTTCAAAATGATATAAGCCACCCCGTTTTCTCTTAGTATTCAGAGCGCAAAGGTCACATTTCAACCGTGCAGATGTAGCAAATTCAGAGCAATGGATCCATACCAAGAATTCCTCATACGTGAGATGCAGCGCTTGACAAACAGGTTGCTTGCGTGAGTACTGAAATTGTTTTAATATCCTATCAAAGAATCAATCATTCACCAATACAAAATTTCTTGAAAATTGGCCCAGGCGTAAAAGTATTTTTGGCATTGCATACAAAAAATTTTCTTTAAGAGGTTGTCATAAAACTGTAGAATAATTGAAATTATATTGGATATGCTGCTGCTCACTTAGATTTTAATGCTCAGTTAGTAAGGTTGTTGATACTTTACGTATTTGTAGATGTCAAGAAGAAGTGTGGAGAAGAAGAACAAAAGCGAGTCTGACATGTCCTCCGTTTCAACCACGTGCACCACGTCCAACGTCTTATTGTCTCCCTAGTCCTGCCAATCGTTTCTACAATTGTAATCGTCCTGGATGTGCTTGTAACAAACGTTCTATTAGCTGTCTTTCTACACAATTGACTCCTTTCCAGTCGCAATCTATGCTGCGTAACAAAACTGTTTTGCTTCCAGCAGAACTTACAAAGTATGAACAGAGGATACAGAAAAACACACCAAAGACAAGTTATCAGACGGAGTCGAAAGAATCTGACAAAATAATATTATCTCAAAGAGAAAGCCCATTTGAATCGACCAATCGTCTGATGAATGTGCAGACTGAACCATCGATCAGCCCAACAGATAGCATCGCATTACATTTAACTGCCCATTTTCCAAATCAAAATCAGAAATACAACTCTCTGACTAAATACAATCCTGCGTCTAGTATTCTGACTACGGCCAACCACCAAGGAACAATATTCCAACATTATATGCCTATAGAAACTAGTAGGTTGTATAAAACCCTCAATATGTCTTTAGGTAATATGAAAGCGCAGCAGTTTAAAAATCAAACAGCTTCAAATTCAACAATACAACAATCAAATAAAATTACAGTAATGCCAACCCATGATCAGTATAAAGAGCAGCAGCATAATAGTAAATTGGTCGTCTTACCAGCTAACATAATCTCAGAGAATAAGAATCTATGGGTAACAAACAAGGGCGACACAGTGACAAACAAAGTGAATAAAATGGTTGTAATGCCGAGCCAGCATTCGATGAAAACGTTAGAACAAGAGCCCAAAGAAATTGTTGGAAAGTCAAAAATAATTAATCACCAGAGGGCAAAACAAAACCCTCCCTCGAAATTGCCGCAAAGGAGCAATGAAGCAAAACCTCGTCCCAAATCTAATATCGCCACTCATTTTGTGGCTACATCACCCAGTGTACCGTCGGCAAATCTGACAAAAACCCAGTTGTCCCTAGCACCATCTTTTTTGACTAGAGAGATGAAAAAACACAACTGTCTTTCTATGCCTCCCAGAGTAAAGAATATAACTTCAAAGACTCAATCGAGCCACATGAGAATAAATAAGGAATCAATTTTGCCAAATTACCCTACACTTGGTACAAGTTCAAACCAAAACTATCTCAATCAACAATCACGTCAAAGCCAGCAATCAAAGAGTGCGAATTCCAAACACTCAATTAGAATGTCAAATAAGGATCAAAATTTCCAACATAATCAAGGGACGATTACAAATTTTAGTTCAGATAATATTTATAAAAGTAGTCAACAAATGATGGACCTACCGAAACCGAGGCCGAAGAGCTACCACGGTCCTAAAAAACAACCAGTAAATACTAAACAACGTCCAATGACCAATGTTGCCTCGAATCAAGGAAGGGTGCGGCCGAAATCACATGCGATCAACTCAATGCAAACAGTGGTGCATGAGGATTCGCGGAAAATAAAAACTGCTACTTCAAATAAAACTGTGATGAAAATTCCTAGCTCAAAGAAAATAGCTAGTTCTCAAAAAGTGATAACCTATATATCGTAACAAAAAATATCAACTAAAAACCTGGTACAATCAAAATCTCAAGGCAGAAATTTCAAACCAGGCCCTAAACAATTTGCTAGAACTAAAACGAAGTAGTCACCACTGAAAATCACAACACAACTAAAGTATAGAAATAAAAACACATTACCACTTTTATTAAATATAATAATTAATTAATATTAAATAATATAAAATAATAATATTAAATAAACTATATTTTGGTTGAAATTCACAGCAGAAAAATTTTAATTGAAATTCAAAAAAGTTCAAAAATCAGTTTAACAATCCCTTAAGATAATATACCACTGAGTTTAATCGATTATTCCATTTATTTATTGATGAACAAAGATGAAAATGCCAAAAAATTAGGCCTACTTAAAGATATTAAAGAATAAGCAAATAAAAGACAAGAAAAAGAAAACTAGAATATGACAAATGTTTTGTTATGTTAAATTATGAGATGTTTTCAATGAACCTGTAATTTGGTCATTATTGGTCATTTAGTCTGCCTATATTCACTGGTTTGGTCTGCCATGCCATGGTTTGGCTCAGGTAATTTGCGTCAAGTTTCTTTTACATAATTTTATTATGTGAGAAAAAACTTCTCAAAAATTGTGAGATTTCCTCTGTGTTCAGCGAGTCTGTCAGATGAATTTTGGCATTTTTCCATCTTTAACATTGTCAAGTTGTTGTTTATAAAATAAACTAAAATAATATAATATTAAAGAAACTTCACAAAAAATCATCCAGACCCAACAATGGTCTGACAGACCAACCCAGCGAGTATAGGTAGACCAAAATGATCAATAACAATGAAATTACACAAGTTTGTGTTTGAATTTATGTATGTACATGTTTGTGAGTAGCAAAATGTTAAACATTTATAAAGAACAGGAGTTTGAAGTGTCAGAAAATTTTAAATTCTTAAAGGGAATAGAATTTTTTTAAGGGCCTTATGAACTTTCATTTAAGCCAAGGAACATGATATGTGGGATGCGTTTTTTTTTTTTTTGGGGGGGGGGGTTGTGTGAAAAACTAGGCCAGGGGCAACAGTGGGAATCGAACCCAATGAACGTGGGTTCTAAATGTGAGGGTCTATCATACTGACCAGTCAGCTACCGCGTCCCCGTAGAAAATCTTTGATAAAATAATTCCTAAATAATAGATCTATTATCTAGTCTCATCTATTAAAAATATTACTGATAAGCTAATGACAAATTATTGTTATAAATATCCAGATTTTCAAAAAATAAAATTTTTTGAAAAGGTTCAAAGTTTTTTAGGAAAAATGTTTGATTCTTATTATTTTTCTTTTTGGTGAATCGTTGAAATGACTTTGTTTTAATTGAAACATGAACGCTCAGTATTATTGATATGAATGTAATTTACTGTGTGAGATTCTTAAAATTTTAGTTTAGAAAAATCAGCGTCACTCAGAAATGTTCCGACGAAAGATTGGTCAGCGGTAAAACACAAAGTGGATTGTCATCAATCCCGCAAGCTGCTCCGCCGGCCCAGAGTGGAGAAATTACCGCCGAAAATCAATTTACAAAACTATAACAATATGATTCTGAAAAAAAATTATTCTCAACGGAACAGCCATACCATTCAGGATAATCAGAGCTTTCCCAGCAACGTGAACTTCCAAAACATCAACAACCTACAGAACAACGCCAACAGCAGGATAGAAAACTATCAGATGAGCCCTACCCGCAAACACAACCAGAAAACCCACAACAAAAACAACTACAACAAAAACAATTACAACCAAAGCAATTACAGCAAAAATGATTACAACAAAAACAATTACAACCAAAACAATTTCAACAAAAACAACAACCAATTGCAAAATGATGCACTTGAGGGGTTGTGTGGAGAAATCAAATCTCTCATAACTCAGGTTGTAAATGGAGGTCAAAACAATGCACCGCTCAATACTGTAAGATCACCATTATAAATCACAAATTTATTAAAGAAATTACAATAATCAAACATTTCAGATACATGCACCTGGTTATGGGACGCCTCGTTCATATTATGAAAGAGACAACTATCCTTCTCGTAAACCGAGTCTATTAACACCTACCGTTTCTAATCTGCGATACAGACACTGCAATCATTGTGCTGATGAAGAGTCCTATAACCCTTGTTATTCCTTTCATGATAGGTAATTTTTAAAATTAAAGTGTTTAATTAGACAAAAAAATACTATCAATAAAAATATAGACCAAACAGCCTCAAGACTGAATTTTTATACGTGAGACAAACACCAATGGATGGGACAAATAACTGTGAAAATCAACCATATAGATATAATCAGGCTGCTGGAATAATAAAGTGATGTTCAATGGAAAGAAGATAAAGTGTAATAAATAATTTTTATACATTACAAACTGAGGTAAAAATATTTTCATTTTATGTTCACAGTTTCCATAAGAAAGAAATGTAGTTGGAAGACACAAATTTCCACGCGACTCTGATGTGCAACCAGAAACTCAGATTGCGAACAAAGTAACTCAGTAAACACACTCGCAATTTCTGATTTAATTATTAAATAATTAAATTTTTTTAGGCTGAAAGGATTAAACAAATTAAATGTTTTGTTGGACAATCTCAAACTGAGGAGAAATGTGAATACAGCGTTCCAAAAAAGTGCAACTAGAAGAAATACTGAGAGAAAACGGGATGGTTTTGAAAAAATGTGAATCTATAAATAAAACTTTTTTAAAATTGTATTCATGTTTATACCTAAGCATTGCTGATAGTATTAAAATCAATAAAATCATAAAAATCATGAAAAAAAAAAAAAAAAAAAAAAAAAAAAAAAAAAAAAAAAAAGAGACACGCAGACAATCTGGGACAAAAGGAAGGTCAAAGACACACCCTGTGCTTAGTACTATAGTTTATATTATATTTAGAGTGAATTATTTGTTATTTCAAGTGGTTAGTAGTTTGCTTCCAGTTGTTTTTGGATCTATAGTAAGCACGGGTACTCCGGACCTCCCCATTATATGGGTGAATACATGTTGAACACGTTCCAAAAATTTTGCATTTAAATTTTATCGAGAAGTTGAAATTTTAAAAGAACAATTTGGTTTTAAATTTCAATACTCTGACTCAATAAAACTGTATTTGGTATGTTAATACAAATCAATTTTTTTAACCGCAAGATAAAAAGCATAATTCTTTTCATAATTTTACTTTACGGTGCTAGATCGTTATATATGATTTAGTGAAAAAAATGATTTAACACTTGATACTAGATTGCAGCATCAGCTGTTAAAAAATAAACTGCTCAAAAAGTTTTATGCGATATTTTACATTTGGAAGTTGGTCTTGTTAAATGAAAAAGATGCTTTTCTCGTTGTTCCATGAGAAGAAGAGATTTCAAGTAACGTCGAGTGATTTTTACATGACATGCACAGAACCAAAAATCCTTGAAAAATTGCTTTTCGTCAATTTTAAACGGGTTTAAATATATTTTTAGAGTACATATTTCCTTTTTCACTATCATATGTTCAAATATCATGTAAACAAGAAACTCAAGACTTCACAAGCTATTTTTTTAATGTGAAAAAGTCAAAATTTTACATTTTCTCCTGGTGGATGTAACTTTAAAGCTGCAGAGGTAGTGACTTTGTAGTATTACCGTGTGAGTTTCTGTTTTAACGGACCAACATTGGCTATCTGACGAAATTAGGTAGGGAGACGTGTTGTACAACTGCCAATTTGATTTGCGTCTAAAAATGTGCAGGAACAATCGACCGAATGTTGTAATTTTCAAAATGTGAATAATCCTATTTCCAAATTTTTAGTCTATATAAAATCTGGACGAGTTTTAAAGCCAGCAGCAGGAAGGAAAAAAAATGACGCCGCAGTTCAACACTCATAAATAAACTTTCCCTTAAATAAGTTGTAATCACTATTTTCTCATCCAGAGAAAGAATCCAGAGTTAAAAAAATTTTCAAATATCTTTAAGAACAGCATACAAGATAACAATTTCATATAAAATATTTATAAGTGTATCCAAAATAATATTCCTAATGAGTTATATTATTTTACTGTATATTTTTTTAAGGTGATAGATGAATGAAAGAGATGAACGCCAACATGCGCCTTTTTTGTTTCACTCACCGTACTGAGTAAAAATATTACAAACTGCAGCTATGGTAGGATGCAGTCCAACGCGCCAAGGAAATGACAACAAAGTTCATGACTTTAACTGTCAAAGGGTTAGTTAAAATTAAAAAAAAAAGAGGAAATACTAACGGATTGTATTTATGTTTCAGTTGAGACAGTATAACACAGGGTTTTGTTCTGCTTTAAAACTTTTGGAAGGCGATGTGAGGGCTGTTTACTGTGATTCAAGACAATGTGATGGAAAACCTCCATATTCTCCTGCACCTAATGTAAAATATAAAAATGATTGAATCAGAACTATATATAATTTTTTTTTCAATTGTAGATAGAACTAAAACAGTTCTGTTTGTGCAAAACTTGTGCATGCAATGGCCCTGCCACGCCGACTCCGGGGGACTACTGTCTTGTTAAAGGGTGCAACTGTTGCAACCCTTGCTGTTGGTGTCCTCCCAAGTGTATCTACATCCCACCTGTAGCAGACGGGTAAGGACGAAATGCGTTAACAATCAAACTTGTTTTTTTGTTTTTTTTTTGCATCTATGTTTATTAAAGGCCGCATGAGGTGAGAACCGAGTTCTTCTACTTGAAACAAGTCCCGAATGGGACAGACGAAGAAGGGAATCAAAACTATTATTACTACGAGGATGGCGGATTTACGTACTTATGCCGTCCAAGGAACTCGAGGGGACAATGGCTCAAGACTTGCCATAAAGCTTGTTAACGTTTAAAAATAATGAAATATAAAAAAAATTGTACTCATTGATGTCATTTATGGAAAAAAACCTGTTTACAATTAAAAATTATTTGTTAGTATCTATCTTGGCAACATTTTATAAAGTTTTAACAGACTAAAAAAAGGAAAAGAAGTCACAAGAATATTATATGGTATTATTATATCACATTATTATATTATATCACATTATTATATGGTACACAGATGGCCCAAAATCCCATAAAAGAACAAGTCAGGAATATTCTAGGCAAGCCCAAAATATGAGCAAATAAATTATTACATACTAAATTCATGTGCCATAGAAAATCATAACGTTAAACAAATCCTAATAAGATCAGAAAGCCAAGCAGCCCTCCTAAAAACATTAGTATGTAAAAACATACAAATTAGACAACGAATTCATCCAAAATTATCAAAACCTGGGAAAACATTATCCGAACAAGCAGTTAAACTGGCCAGAGCTTCAGTGACCAGATCTATCAGACTCCTACACCTCCAGATAGGGGGGGGGGACAAGAGACAATATACTGAAACAGTAACGTAAAAAAATCTAAACACCAGACAAAATAAGAATCAGTAGTATCAGAACCTACACTCACGATAACAAGGTCATTCATAGACTCCATCTCTGAATGGATCCACAAAAAACAAAAGAAGTGGATGAAATTCAGAGGGGTCAGATAGTTAAGATTAAAGAACCCTCACCAAAATTGTCAAATACATTGCTACTGCTAGACAGGGTAAAGCTCAAGGTAGATATAGGGTTATCAGCCACTAGTATCAGAGAAAACACCTACACTTGGGTCAATAAATGATGACCCCCCCCCTTTTTAGGTTATGCAAGAAGAAACTGCCACCCAGATTTGAAAGCAAACTGCTCGATGGCATCTAGGGTACCAAGAAGACCCGGGGAAGAATTGCAGCAATGACAGTCTTACTACTTCTTCAAAGATGGTCAATTGAACTGAACTAAGGAACTAGGAAAAGTACTATTGTACTTATGATTCAATATGAACATGAACAGGATGTTTGAATTTAATCAAAACTTGCGAATAAACCTAGGTACCAAAAAAGAATGGGAACAAGAGGGAAACACCTCTTTCAAGAATGACACCATCCTTTGGCACACAGAGGATCTAGAACACAAGAAGGTACAGGATACCTGGAACCAAATACTCAGAACCCATGGGAAAATCCACCAGTATCTTCCAAGCTGAGATTCATGCAATCGAAAGATGTACCCAACTCAATCTAAGTAAAGGGTACAAAAACAAGAATATAGCTATCATGTCAGCCAAGCAGCCATCAAAGAACTAAGCTCAAATATCATTAGTTCAAGGATGGTGCTGAACTGCAAAACCAAATTAAACATATTAGGTACGCAGAACAAAGTCAGCCTCTGCTGGTCCCAGGATACAAGGGGGGGAAGGCAACAAGAAAGCGGACACCCTTGCAAGACAAGGTGCTGCTACACCGCTGACAGGACCTGAACCCTTATATGGCATAGGAACCTACACTATTAACGAATATCTCAAACAGAAGAAAAAAAAGAAAATGAGGGATCTATGGAATTCATTCATTAGACACAGCAAGCATCTTCTAACCAATTTTGGAAGGAAAGAAATTACAGAATGTGTCAAGGGAAGCGGGAATAAACTGTGAATCCTAATAGGATTCCTAACAGGACACTGGAAGTTAAATGGACACTTAAAGAAGATTGGAATAATCCAAAATGGCACATGCAGATTCTGCAAAGAGGCAGAAGAGACACCACATCTACTAACAAACTGCGAAGCTACACTAGCCCGCAGGAGGAAATATTTTGGGATGTATAATGTGACCATAGAAGAGCTTCAACCACTGAAACCGGGCCTGTTAAGGACTCACCGATGTGCTTTAGGCAGAGTACGAGGGATACAATAGCTCTTAAAGGGCCTCTATGATTCAATACATGCTACTATAGTCAAACAACAGTGTTTGGGAATGACAAACCCCCATTTACTCCTTATCATTCTCATCATGAAATGCCACCCACGTCATCTTTAAATGTGAAGCACCAGATTTATATAGACATAACCTAGGGAACCAAGAAGACCCCGAAGAAGAATTGCAGAAAATAAACTTCTTACTACTTAAAAGAAAGATCAAGTCAATTGAACTGAACTAAGAAACTAGGAAAAATACAACAAACTGCAGTGATTGGTAATTCTGAACACACGTTTTTTCATCAACATCATGGTCAAAGGGACAACAAGGGAACTTGGATTCCTCAAAAGCTTGACAGATGAAAGTCAAAAGTCAACTTCTTTGCCCTGCAGCAGGAACAATTTAATTTTTTATGATATTTTTAGTTGGATTTTTTTTACAATAGTACAAAAATGGTCAGTATTCATTCTTTATGATTTTAAGGACAGGTGTGATATGTTCCTTGCCTCTAATGCAATTTTTATATCCATGCTTGCTGAACAATTGATTCAATTGAACTGAACTAAAGCACACAGGAAAAGGAAAAAAAAGAAAAATAACCAAAAAGGCAGTAGTTTTTGGATAATATAAAACCCATTCTTCCTAGCATCCTTCACCTCATCATCATCATCATCATCATCATCTATAAAAAAGAATAAATTAAATCTTAAGTCTATAAAACAAAGTAACATACTCTTAAGAACCTTGGTGGCTGAGAGGTTTGGGTGTCTGGCTTGTATTTGATATGCTGATAACCCAGGGTTCGAATTCCAGCATAGCCCATAGAATTTTAATAGTGAACAATTATGAAAAAGTATTGTTAAGTGGTTTGACATCTCATCCTTGGCACCCTACACATTAAGCCTTTCTGTAAGACAGGAATTATTTACCTACCCACAAGAAGAATTTTTTTTTGTAAAAGACAACTAAATAGGGGCATCAGTGGCCACAACGGTTGACATGGCATTCACCACTGTTAGGTGTAACATCTTGGGTTCGAATCCAGTGGGCCTGAATTTTTTTTTTCAAAAACCCTGGCAACCAGAGGGTTGATATGACCTCTGTGTTGTGAACCCTTGTAAAAACATAAATTTAAAAAAACCTTCAAGCCCTATTTGTACCCTTAAAATAGTAAATATCTGAAGAAAGTACTGATCAAATGTATTTGGTATATTAGGGAAATTAAACTAATCTTCAAATATCAAATAGTGCTAAAATTAGATAAAGAATTTCTTCTAATGTTGTTTTTGATATTTGATAATTATTTTTTATTATTATTATTTATTTTTATTACAATCTGTAATTATTATTTACAATATGTAATTTGCGGATACATGAACTTATGTACAACTATTTACATTGAGGGGAGAAAATAATCAATGTTATCCTCCCTCTTCACTTTATGTTTTTTTTTACAGTTTACTCGGAAAGCAGGTCGCGGTGCCATTTCCTCTTAAGACGCCTTATGGGGTTGTAGGGATGGGTTCTATCGGACAGGGCTTGGGCAAGACTATTTGGATGGTGGGAGAGTTTTTTGTGAAACTTGGTAAATTTTTGGATATAAGGAATTTGAAGGTCGTTGTGGAGGGTAGCATTTGAGATATAATAAGGAGCATTTACAATGGATCTGAGGACTTTAGATTGAAAGGATTGGAGACGTTGGATATTGGAAGGTTTAGCGGTTCCCCACAGTTCTATTCCATACGTCCAAATCGGTTGTAGTAGTGTTTTGTAAATTGTAAGTTTGTTTTTTGTCGATAGTTTAGACTGTCGTCCTATAAGTCTGTGCAGTAGACCATACCGTCTGTTTAGGTTTTGTCGTGTCAGTCGTGTATGTTGATTTCACGTTAGTCTAGGTGGAACCCAAGGTAGCGAACGCAGTCGGATTTGGGGATAGAAATGTTGTTGTAGTATATCGTGAGAGGTTTGCTTCGGAGTGTAAATGTGACATGGACGCAAGTATTATCTTCATTTTTATCGATGAAGTTTATCTTCATTTTCCATTGTCTACACCAATCTGCTATACATGAGATATGTTCCTGCAGATCTTCCGAAGCAACCGCAGGATCGGAATTGGAGGATAGTACAGCTGTATCATTGGCGAAGGATGCAAGTAGGGTGGTAGGTTTAGTGGGAATATCTGCATATAAAGGATGTAGAGGATTGGTCCGACACACTGCCCTGCGGTACTCCCGCAGCCAGAGAGCAGTATAGTTTGAGTTTGATAATTAAAAGAAATACTTTTAAACTACTTTATGTTTTATTCGACAAATTCAGATTTACTTCTCCGTACAAGGATTTTTGGTGGTTTCTAAAATAATATCCTTTAATCTAATTATTTTCTTATGGTAGTACCTTCATTGAATATGTGTTAATATTTTTCTGAACATTCAATGTTATTTACTGCCAATGTGGGCATTTCTGTCTGTTTGTTAAGCATTAACACACCACTTTTTTAAAATTTTTTTAAAAATATTTATTCAGTTCTGTTAAAACTAATTGATTTTTTTTGTTTTTTAAATATGATTTTGTTTTAATATTTTTTCCCCACCATGTGTTAATTTGTCATTTGTTTTATGTGAAAGGAGTAACTCAAGTTGTGCTGTGGTAATTTTTTTATTTTTCTCATTTTTTACCTTTCTTTTTTAACATTTGTAGTCATAAATAATATTTCATTGGATTATTATTAAGCGCAATATTACAAATTAAATAATGTCAGATTTGGATTACAGTCAATCATAAATATTTTCTAAAGAAAGACTTCATTTTTCCTAATTTTCTGATTTGAAATAAGATCGATAAATGTTTATGATAAATTTATGAAATAGTAATATAACTCAAAGCGTTATTAAAGAAAATCTCAGTATTTTGAAAAAAAAATTCAAAATTTTATGCTAGAAATTTTCTTCAAATTTTTACATCTCAATAATAGATTATTTTTATGTTTTAATACATTCACAATTACCATTATATTTCTACAATTGTTTTAATATACTGAAATGAAAGTAAATTGTTTTGTAATATAAAGTTAAGGAGGAAGAAGAAAGGTACAATCCTAACTAGGAGCAAGACCGGCCCAAGATGTCAACCAAGAAAATCAATAGCTCCTATTAGGAAACGTTACCTGGGCTGAATGAACTTTTAATTAACTTCAAACTATAAACAAGTCCTAGTCGAAACCGATCAAAACTAGCCATGGACGTCGATTGCGCTAAGGCATGTCAAATAACATTTTAAAAATAACATTGAATTTAAGGTTCATTCTCGTTTAGCTTATAAAATACAACCGTGGCCTCGCGTGTGCCGTGGACTGCTTAAGATCCGATGCACACTCTTTGATGAGTGATGCCCTCAGTGTAAAACCAGGGAGCAAGCCTCCACTTTATGTAAGTTTGATTTTGTGCACAGTTGTAGGCAAAATAATAAATCAATGTCACAGCCTAGGGAGAAGGCGTTTTTACTCGCAAAAAACTGCGCTTGTAATGGGCCGGCGACGCTTTCCTCCGGGAACTACATCTGTTTGAAATGTTGTAACAACCCATGCTGTTGCTGTCCGAATAAACTGATGTATTGTCCTCCAGTGCCTGACGGGTAAGATGATAACAAAATCTAACAAATCCGACCTTTGTTTCATTTCAACGTTGTTATTCCAGAGACTGCAGAGTTAAAACGGATTTTTTCTACCTGAGACAAATGCCAAAAGGATGTACGGACTACACTGGAAAAGAAGAGTTCATCTACGCTCATGATCTCGGAACTGTTGAAATGTGTAGACCTCGAAATTCTTACGGTGAATGGACTAGGACTTGTCGATATTAACAATGAACACAGTACAATAAATAAATTTCTCCTAAATTGATTATTTATTTGGTACAAATATATCTAATGTCTAGAAGATCTACCTTAAATTGGGACGAGAAGTTGTATAAATCTATTATTTAAAAACCTTATAGAAATGGACTTATTTCATTTTCAGATAAAGTTGGATCAATTAATGCGTAATAAACTCAGGAACTGTTAAACCTTTGAATCTTATAGCTTATTAAATTCATTAGTTTCATGGTCTGCTTGACCAATTAATATCTTTTAATTAATTAAGGTTTTTAGTTGAGATAAAATAGTCAGTGTCACGAGCGGGATTCGAACCCACGATCTTCGGCTAGATACGCTGCTGCTCTACCACTTCAGCTACTGTGACCTTCACTAAAGGTCTCCGTGGTCATTCATTTGTCGCCGAGAATCAAATAGATTACACGACATTTGAAAAATGGCAAAAAAGATGGAAAATTCAAAAGTTAGTGTCCGAGTGGACTAAAGAGGTCACGATAGCTCAAGTGGTAGAGCAGCGGCGCATCTAGCTGAAGGTCGTGGGTTCGAATCCCACTCGTGACACTGACTTTTTATCTCAACTAAAAACCTTAATTAATTAAAAAACTTATTGCTTATGCCCATCCTCGAGATAAGGAATTTTTATAGATTTAATAAAGAAGTTTATCGTTGAGAAAAACTTTTAACATGTGATCAGGGATGAGGCAAAGGAATTATCGTATCCCTTATTGTCTTTTTTTTTTGGGGGGGGGGTTACGCTGGCATATTACCCATGAAGTTTTCTATTTTAATTTTACTGTCGAGTAGGATAGGCCGATCAGGTCCCCGCCGCGCGCCCGCACCCGCTCAGCTCAATCATGTTCTAAATTTTCATGGTTGAAGATAATCAAAAAGTAACGTTTATCGACTTTAGAAATCCATAGATTATGTTGAATGCTGATGGATTGTTGTTTGGAAACGTTTGGGACTTTGCTCAGATTTTTTAGCAGTTTATCTCTTTCATTTTCGTATTCTGGGCATTCAAAAATTATGTGGGAAGGATTTGAAGGGCAATCGCAAGTGGGACAGTTCGGAGATGATGCCAAATCGATTCTCTTCTTGTAGCTACCTCATAGGCCATGATTGATTTTATTGTCTTTTTATAACATTTAATACTAGCCACTAATTATATAAGTTCAAATTTGCATATGCATGTACATACCAGAGAGTTGAGCTTACCACTTCTTGAAGTACACCAGCAATTCCAGGTTTTGTAATTTATAATGAATTTCTGGTAGGCCTCGGTTATCACCTCAGGTGTTGGCAGTCCGAGGTCAGACTTTGGTCTTATTCATCCAGCCACCGAGGTTTGACTGCAGGTGCAGTCAATAGCTTGATCGATTCAGCACCCAACACATGCAGTTCCTAGATCTAAACCCATTCATACTCTCATTGTTAAATACATTCTCTTCTATTTACATACCATTTACTCAGGGTGGTGGAGTACTTGATATTTGGTCAATGGGGCACTCAATGTTCTTCCATCTTACAATACTCTCACACCAATAAATACATTCACATGCTAGGTGCATAAAACTATATACAGTAAAAAAAGAGCCCTGTTTCCTTTAAAAATTGTAGCAGGGAACCCAGATCTCATATCAGGTGACAGATCTTTAATGGAGGTGATACACATCGAGCAATCTTTTTCTATGGGCTTTGGTCCAAAAGTAAGTGGCCGCATCTGGCTTAATCAGGTGAAGATGACCCTTCCACAAGTCAGAACCTCCGAGGGCCATGTATCTTCTTGATACATGACAGCTTCTCTACCACGGCCACCTTCGTTTATCATCTTTTTAATGCATTTTTAGTATCGGGGGGGGGGGAGATCTGGGGGTTGGGACATCCTGGCCTTAGGTGCCTGATCATTCTCATCATGAAATGCCATCCACGTCATCTTTAAATGTGAAGCACCAGATTTATATAGACATAACCTAGGGAACCAAGAAGACCCCGAAGAAGAATTGCAGTAAATAAACTTCTTACTTCTTAAAAGAAGGACCAAGTCAATTGAACTGAACTAAGAAACTAGGAAAAATACAACAAACTGCAGTGATTAGGAATGCTGAACACACATTTCTTCATCAACATCAAGGTCAAAGGGACAACAATGGAACTTTTATTCCTCAAAAGCTTGAAAATCAAAAGTCAACTTCTTAGCCCTGCAGCAGGCGCAATTTTTTCGCAATTTGCCTCGTTTGCCTTTTTGTTATCATTCATATCTATTTGTCCAGGTGTGCACAACAACCACTTTTTTGATGAGATGCTCAAGTGCATGCCAGATAGCATACAATTCCGTGTAAACACTACAGTTGGGTGGGAGTGACCATGAACTATACGCAGCACTCGCCACACCTTCTACAGTCTTAGACCTAACTGTAAAGATGGGGCGAAAACCAGCAAACCTCAATCTAAGTTCCAAGAACTTAGCTCGGTAAACGTACTCAGTAATTAGTCACTAATTATATCACAAAAACTAACACAATATTGTAACATTTTTAGGTTTTTATTTGCAATTATATTTCAAAAGTTCAAAAACCTCTTTTGGCAAGCAAACCAATAGACAATTAGTGCAAACACAGAGAAATAAAAAGAGCAACAATAAAAAAAATTAATTTCATAGGAAATAACTGTATTATAAATTAAAATGTTTGTGTAACTATAATTACTATAATGAGAATGATGATAGTAATGATGATGATGATGCTGATCAATCTTTTCCTGAGAGCTTTCAAAGTTACATAATTTTTCAATTAAAATCAACAACTATACTGCAAACTGAGGTGCATTTTGTAGTAATTTAAATCCTACGACTTTAATTAACTGTAGAAATGTTAAAATTGGCCTTTAAAATATTTTTTTTCTTGTTTTAAGACTATTAAATAAAATTAATTGTGATATAATAATTAATGTAGCATTTGCAATGAAATCACCTGACATGTAGAAAAGAGTTATTTTTAACAAGTTTCATGTCCACACTTTACACATACACACACACACGACACAAAAACACACCATAAAACTGCATAGTGCAAATAATGTCTAATGATTGCGACCTTCTAAATGAATTGAAATGTTTGGTAGCTATATTAGACTGGTAAGTAAGAAATTTGATTTTTGAAGTTTTTTCTTGTAATGTAAGTAATGTTTTCATTAATCATGGTAAAAATAAATTTTTCAGCAATAGACCTGGACCAAGGTGTATTCCTTGCCCTCCTTGCCCACCACCATCGTTTTATCCCTGTAATCCCTGTGTACCGAGTGGCCCACCAATGTGCAGTCCGTGCCCACCCATATGCCCACCACCTTGTGGACCATGCGGGCCATGCGGGCCTTGCCCACCGCCGTGTGGTCCATGTGGTCCGTGTGGCCCTTGCCCGATGCCATGTGGCCCTTGTGGTCCATGTGGTCCATGCGGCCCTTGTGGCCCTTGCGGACCTTGCCCAATGCCATGTGGCCCTTGCGGCCCTTGTGGCCCTTGTGGCCCTTGTGGTCCTTGTGGCCCTTGCGGCCCTTGTGGCCCTTGTGGTCCTTGTGGCCCTTGCCCACTACCATGTGGACCTTGTGGCCCTTGCGGACCTTGTGGGCCGTGTGGACCATGTGGACCATGTGGGCCATGTGGACCTTGCCCACCTACTGTGTGTATGCCATGCCCCCCATGCCCACCTCCATGTCCTCCTTGTTCACCCTGTCCTCCAATATGTAATCCTATTTGTATGCCTTGTATGCCATGCCCTCCAAGAAGATCCATGTCTTGCGACAACATGTACAGCAATGGAAAAAATGGAAATGGTCGGAGATCTCAATCCATGAGCAGGGCCATAGACGAAAAAAGAAATGGCCTTCAAGGTAAGACGTTTACTCCTGCAGAGTACGCAGACCCACTGGCTAATTATTACAATAATTACGCCGATGTGCCTCAATTCAAAAACATCCCGATTGAATTATTCAATATAGCATCATTAGGGAATGGCAATGGAAGAAGGGGCAGTAAATCGTTGTGGGAAGAGATGTGCTGCGGAGGAAGGGTTCGTATCTCTTTCTTTTTGCTTTTAAGATAATTTTGAATAAGTTAAAACAATATCAAAGTACTTGTAGGTTTGTTGTTAACATTCGGCAATAAAGAATCCTCAGTGGCATGAAAATTTTTGGTCAAACCAATTAAATTGAAGGTTATTGGGAGAAAATAAACTAACTGAAGCCGTTGAGTGAGTATTTTCCATTTGAGAAAGTCTGACTTCAGTTTAATAAATGGAAAATAATTCGGAAAAAATCAGACAGGAAACAAATACACATACACATACAAAATTCTCGTTTTTAATTTGTTCGTCTAAATAAAACTATTTCAAAACGTCTATTGGTTGTTATTTCGTTAAACCGGAAGCTAGTCTTGAAAACATTGGAGCAAAATTGTTAAAATACATTCTGCAGTATCCCTACTATCTATGGGCTTCCTTCTTCCATTGCTTCACATAAGAATCCAAAGTTATCAAAGCTTAGTCAATAATGTTTTATTAATAATTCATTTTTTAAAAATTACTATATTCCATTCTACAAAATTTTTAATTTGTAATTTGAAATTATTATTATATAGGTATAAAAATCCTTTTTATTTAAGGCTGTACATTTGAAAACTTTGAATGAAAAGTAGTCTTAATTTGGCAAATATTTATAATTATTTCTTTAAAATTTTGAACTGGTTTTAAGTTTTTAAGATGAAATCATGGTAGATTTAATTATCTACTATTATATTATATTATTAATATAATAGATGTACAAAAATAAATTTAAACATCACCAAAGGTTATCACAAGGCAAATCTTTCCAAAATTGAATATTTTTTAATTGGATAAATGATGGTTGGCTGATGAAATTTTCATACCACTGAGGTAGCCTAGGTGTTAAGCGCTTCCTTAGAAACTGCACTTTTAACCAATTTTCTTTTTCAGTTTGTTACTGTTTTTTAATTTTATTTTATGGCATGATGTAAAAAATTTATTTTTGTAAAGAAAAATAGAAAAAAAAAATCCTCAACAATTAACATTTTCTTGATGACGAATAATAATTGTCACTCTTTAATTGTCAAAGCGTGAATTTAAACTGTTAGCTTTTAAATAATATGTAGAAAGTTAAAAATTCAAGAAACAATCATGAGAAGATGATGAATGTACAGAATTGCTGATAGCGCATATGAAGAACAGAAGATGTAGAAGATTACGACCGTAAGATTCATCCAGTTTTAAGGTATGTGAATTTTCCCAGCTCTGTTTTGCCGTTTCCACTCACTCTAGTAAATACTTCATAAATTTTAAGCACGCAAAATCTGTAATAAGGCATGTGGGAGGATAAAGAATTAATTTCAAAAAATATTCTTTACAAATTACATCTAATACTGTAAAAATGTCATTAATGTATCAATTTAACCAACATATTTAATTATTACTTTATGTAATTTTACACACAAACAGTTTGTCATACTTGTTAAGCAGACATGGACTAGTTTGAGTACTGAGTGGTTAGATTTTTAAAAATTCTGTCCTATTTTTTAAAATCAACTTTATTAATCTGTTTTTATAATCTTATAATTTTTGACAAATTTCCATTGTCAAATATGAGAAATAAAGAAACCTAAATTAATTTATTTCTCTTTATAATATCTTCCTTTTTATTATTTTATTTTTCCCTCTCTCTCTCTCACTCTCTCTCTCTCTCCTCTCTCTCTCTCCTCTCTCTCTCTCTCTCTCTCTCTCTCTCTCTTTCTCTCTCTCTCTCTCTCTCTCTACTACCTCTCCCTCTCCCTCATACTGACTTTCACTCGTTCTCACTATCTCAGTCTTTCAATCCTTTCACACACTCTCTCTCTCTCTTTCTCTCTCTCTCTCTCGCGCGCTCTCTTTCTCTCTCTCCCCTTCAATCCATTTTCACGTCTGTGCGAATTTGCTAAACCTTCATGACTTGTACTTATTGCAAAACTAATGATCTTAGCGCCGTGTAATTTATTAGGTAGATCATTTTCACGGCTGTACGATTATGCTAAACCTTCATGACTTGTACTTATTGCAAAACTAATGATCTCAGCGCCGTGTAATTTATTAGCTACAAATTCGTACTTCTCTCTCACTCCCTCTCTCTCTATCTTTGATCCACTTTGACGGCTGTATGATTGTGCTAAACCTTCTCAATTTCTCAACAAATTCGTACCTCTCTCTCTCTCTCTTCCTCCCTCCCTCCAATTATCTCTCTTAACTCACTCATCACTTTTTCTTTCATTCTTACACACACACTCTCTCTCTCTCTCTCTCTCTCTCTCTCTCTCTCTCTTTCTCTCTACCTCTCCCTCTCCCTCATACTGACTTTCACTCGTTCTCACTATCTCATTCTTTAAATCCTTTCTTTCCATTTTATTTACAACCATGTATTCAAATGGTTTTTTAAAGTAATACAAAAGTAACATTTTTGTTTATAAATAAGATTAAACTTAGCACTGGGAGAATTACATCCTGCCCTAAACACATGAATTTACCTCATGCTACAAGAAGGAAGCAGATAAGTTTTGCATTACTTAGTAGCAAATAAACTCTGCTTGCAGAAGGATTTCATTTTCAATTTTTTTTTCGTTTTCATATTGATTACAATTTAAATTTTATAACATCTTGCACCCACTTTGAACATGTGATTTTCAAAATAATTATTCTGCTTATTTTTTAAAGTAAATTTTTCAGAATTCACAATGGTTTGCCATTTATGTATAGATATTTCATCAAACTAATATTGAATTTTAAAGTTTAAAAGTATTAAAAAAAGAAGCTTAATAAGCTAAAAGCTTAAATTTACTCCTCTTCCTTTTTTTGCTGATGGTATCTGAATCTCTGTTAAAATAATTAAATCCCTTGTTATTTTTATTACTGTCTATGTGTCCCCCCCTCCCCCATGTTAAGGCTCCTGGGAGTCCATAAAATCCCATGTGATAACCTAAGGGTTGTGGGGTGGAGACTGGGCAGAAGCAGAACAGAGGAAAATTAACTTCTTTATTAAGAAATAAATAAGTACAGGAATGGGAGAGCTTATGGGAAACAGCCTTGTCACTTGTTAAAATTTTTCTTATGTACCTGGTGGGAGTGAAGGGTGTTGGTAAAGGCCTTATTTTGTAAAGAAGGAACAAGGGTTTTAAATTATTACACTCAGGAGATTTCTTAAATATTTTCTTGTAAACTAAAATAATTCCTGTTGTAACTGTGCTTAAGTCCAACGAATTGGGTCAAACCACTTTAAAATATTTTTTACACATTATTTTCAATTAAAAATCCACAATGCTGGTATTTCAACCTTAGCATAGCATGGGAAATACGAGTCAGATACCCTAACCATTCGGCTACAGCGATCCCCATATTTTCTTGTTTCTCCTCGATTACATTCTACTCTTCTATATTCATTTCAAGTATATCTTTCCTTTTTATATTCGGATAGAAGCAATAATATAAAATTTTGAAATTTGATTGGTTTGTCATAACAACTTAAATTTTAGACACTTTCTGAATTATATAGCTTTTTCCCCTCTTGATATACTAAAAAATAGCAACAAAGCATCAGAGTTCGTGAATTACTTGCATGCTATCAAAAAAAAATTTTTTTTAATCAGAAGTCAATTTAAAAAAAAATCTGTTATGGCTGTTTTAATAAATTTAATTAACCCAGCCCATTTTAAATTAAAAAAACAAAAACAATTGCAATATGTAAAACATCTGATTCATCATTGTTTAATCAAGTTTCTTCAAGTGACACACAATACCAAGCTCTCTCAATTATTCTTACATTTTCACAATTTTACACTAAAGGCAGCGTAAGAACAGTTTTAAGTGAAGCAATCTGACGTCAGAAGAAAAGCAATTAACAACTGAAAGCTATTTCGTGTAAGTTGATAAAAGAATATTTTTGTTTTATTCTCTTTTTGGAACATCCAATACCAAAATTTCTTTTTCATACTCAATATTAAAATTAAACAAAAACTCAAGAATCAACAATTAAAAAAAAAAATGATAGTCTTATTTTTACATTTTTGGTTCATTACATATTACTGGAAAAAATTTTCATTGTGAAGTTTGCAATTTCATAAATTTATATTCTATCTACCTTTGGTAATGGTTTGCTGGAAGATATTCTGCCTTGGCTTGTCCAACTGTAAGAACAGATTTTAATATTTTGGTCACTGTAAAATTTTTAAAAGATCCTTGAGTTTATTTTTATTCAAGAAGACATTTAGAATCTTCAATTTTTGATTTTGTGCATTATAAGAAAAAAAAGTTGAATAGATTTTTAACTTGGCCCATTTTTTCCAGGATATGAGCTGTTGTAGTCCCTGCCCACCAATGTGCTCGCCATGCGGTCCATGTGTCATTGATCCATGCAATCCTTGTATGCCAATGTGCATGCCTTGCCCACCCTGCCCCCCTTGCATACCGTGCAGCCCTTGTGGTCCTTGCGGTCCTTGTGGTCCTTGCGGGCCGTGTGGGCCACCATGCGGGCCTTGCGGGCCTTGTGGACCATGCCCTCCGCCTTGCAATCCGTGCATGCCTTGTAACCCTTGTGGACCATGCCCACCGTGCCCGCCGTGCGTGCCCTGCAACCCTTGCATTCCTGTGTGCAACCCCTGCGAGCCTTGTGTGCCGGTGAGATGTCTGCCTGACAAGCTTATGACTGAATACCTCTATGTACGACAATTGCCAGTCTGCGATGGATATCCTGGGGCCAACGGCAGCAGAGTCGAATGCCTCTCAGATATGGCCAAACAAATTCCTAAACTTATTGAACGAGATGCTTGTTGTAACCGTTATTGCTAAGTCAATGGAGGCGTGACCAGGAGCCTCCTTGAAAAACCTGTCCAACAAAAAAAAATCTAACCACTTTATCGCTGTAACCAATGTCAGAAGCTTATTTATATTACACAAACTGTCTGCTGTCTTTTCTCGCACACACCACAAATATACATAACACAGCATGAATTTGATATTTCTTTTCATAGCTAGTATTAAAATAGTTTTAAGATTGCAATAACAGATAAAAATATAAGTGCTGATTGCACTCAGTCATTAAATTTATGTGATCTTTAAATTAAAGAGTGACAAATTTTTAAATAATATAATCATTTTACATATATAAGTAGAATGTTCTTTTATTTGATGTAAACTACTTTTAGACAAAACTATTGGCAATATTCAAATGTAAATTGCCTTTTACCAAGTTTTGTTAAGTAATTTAATTTAGAATTATTCAATATCAACTTTTATTCTGTTAAAAATTGGAAAACTTTTACTAACATGTGATAAATTGTCATAAAAGTTGCTATAAATAACAGCAAATGTGAATATATCATTTGTCAAATATTTTTTAGAAGGCACAATTTATTAGCATATATTTCCTATGTATTTCATTTAGTGATGTTAATATTAAATTTAAGCATCTAATGTAATATAAATTCAATGTATTTATAATTTATAATTTAAATTCAATGTATTTATTTATAATTTAGTTAATAGTTAATCATGTTTAACATGCATCTATGAGAAAACGCCAAAAACGATTGCTTCCTGGTAACTATGTTAATATGAAAAGTACAGGTAAAATAAATATTTAGATTATCATGTAAAACAAAATTTCACTTTCAGGACGGAGCATGTTTTAATGGCTTTGGTCCCGGGCCAATAATATGCTGTTCCAATCCTTACGACCCTTGTTACCCCATCAAATGGAAGCCGCCATGCTTTGAAAAATTCATCCGAAACCAGTAAAGCTTGTTTGATTTTTTTTTTTTTTTCAATGTTTGTAAACTAACGCCTTTTTATAGTGACCCGTGCAGAAAAACGACAGAGTACCTGTTTGTAAAGCAGACACCTGTGCCTGCTCTTTACCCCGGGCCAGGCGGTGGCGAAGGAGCGAGGGTTGAAGATTTAGCAGACATGGCCCGGCAAATACCGAGGCTTTATGCTCAAAACGTTTGTGGATACATATGCTAGTTGTTAACACGTCAAACACACACAAAGTTCAGTCCAAAATACAAACAATTTTTATGTGTAGTTTGTGTTGCTTTTTTTCTAGGATAATTTCTTTTAAATTTAATATAAATAAAAATAAGGAAATCAAGAAAATCCAAAATTATCTTGATCGTTTTGACTTAGCTAATCAGATTTTCTGAAGTTTTTATTTTTTCAGGGCTTGGTTTGAGTATTAATGAGAATTACTCATCTCAAACCTTGTACGGTGCAAAAAATTGGCTTGACAAATAAAATAAAATTCAGCGCATATATTTTAGAAAGAAGTTATTAGTATTCTTAAAGTGGGTATTGGTATGAGTTTGAAAATGGGCCTTCCTTCGCGTCCAGTAGCTGCAGTGTTCACACCTAAATATTTTCCCGTGTACTTTAGCGTGGCGAGTTATCATGGCAAACTTTTTGGTCTTATAGCCGCACATACAGCACAAATAATCTGAAATATTTTCTAATCTGATGACCGCTCGACTTCGGTTGGGTTTGGCCATTTTAACAACCAGGCTATTTTCCGAGGTAAGATTCTGAAAAAATGATTCTACGGAAGCTAAAATTATGATATGATTGCAAAATGCTTTTTTTTTATGACCACATTTAATACGTACGTCCATCTAAAAATGGAGGTTCTTCTGTTTTACTGCAACCCACACCATATTCGGTTACCCCTAAAACAGAATTTTTAGAGCAAACTTTTCATTTTAAAATTACTTCCAATGATATAACTTTAAAAAAAATTGTCAAAATGTTTATTATGGATAGACTTTTTTGCTTAACTTGGATTCTCAGTACCTTTTGGAGAATCCAAGTCATTTAAAAATTTTTGTATTAATTCGTCGAGTTGCTCTTCAGAAATATCATCTCCAAAACCGTTCATTAAAGTAGCATTTTCATTTGCTTCTTGCGCCATGAATCAGTACCGAAAAAAACTCTTGATAACAAAAACAATTCAACAGTAACAAACTCAACAAAACTCAAATAGGAAAACAAAAAACATGCTGAAACACGCATGTGATTTTGTAATTCAGCTGAAAACGTTTTGTCATGTTAAAAATTTTTTACTAGATAAAAAACATTTCAATAAATTAACAACCAAAGTGATTCGATATTACCAATTTTTTATATTTATTTTCAGTTCAACATATTTTTTGGTAGTTTGTTTTCGTGATGCAAACTCACAAGTAAAGATCCCAACGGACAAAACTGAGACTATCGCTTGATCCAAATTAAGAAGTGCAAATTTCTGATGATATTTTAACAAAAGTTCTTTAAAAATTAAAAATGTATGTATTAAGATGTACAGGAGGGCTTGATGTCCAACCACCCATTGGATATGTCGCAAACGAAGGGTCAAATGATTTTACAAAATCAATCGTACAATATCGATTAAAAAGCCATGGACTGTGCCGGGATTTGAACTCAGAACTGCTAGAGTTACAAATATGATTTGGATGCCCTAACTACCATAGTCTCTAGCATTAATCTGTTAAGATGAAACCAAAACAATATTTAAAAACTATTATTGTTTTAAAAAGTAACTTTTAAAAGTATGTTAACAGAAAGTTTGTGATGTTTCACAGGAAAAGAAAAAACAAAAAAAACCAGTTATCTTGGCCTCATTGTTCTTGTCTATCAGGCGCCTTTTCTGATTTTTGCAAAATGGGAGGCTCTGATGATGCTCAGACAGTCGGTCTACATCTTGAAAACCTCAGGACAATATTATTAATACATTCAATTAATTAAGGTTTTTAGTTGAGATAAAAGTCAGTGTCACGAGCGAAATTCGAACCCACGACCTTCGGCTCAACACCGCTACTCTACTGCTTGAGCTATCGTGACTTGTGAGACACTAAATTTTTCAGTTCAACCAAATCCTTACATAAAAAGATTAATTAATTGATAGATTATATTAATATGTTAATTGGTCTTAGCTGACCAAAGAACAATTATTCAAAGTGATTTATAATTTTTATTTAAAGTGTGATTGAGATGAAAAGATTAGTGATATGAGCGGAATTCAAACCCACGACCTTCGGGTTGATACGCCGCTACTCTACCACTTGTGCTATCGTGACTTCGATCCACTCGGACACTAACCTCCCATCTCAACCCCACCTTTTGAATTTTCCCTCCTTTTTGCCATTTTTCAAGTAAAATCTCAACTAAAAACCTTAATTAATTGAATGATCTTAATTGGTCAAGCGGACCACACAAACTAGTGAATTTAATAAGTTTAAATGAAGTATACCTTCACTAAAGCTCTCCGTGGCCATTTCATTTGTCGCCAAAAATCAAATAGATTACACGACATTTGAAAAATGGCAAAAAGGAGGGAAAATTCAAAAAGGTTGTAGGTTGAGATGGGAAGTTAGTGTCCGAGTGGATCTAGGTCACAATAGCTCAAGTGGTAGAGCAGCGGCGTATCTAGCCGAAGATCGTGGGTTCGAATCCCGCTCGTGACACTGACTTTTTTATCTCAACTAAAAACCTTAATTAACTGAATGATATTAATTGGTCAAGCGGACCACGAAAAATAGTGAATTATTAATACAGAATGATTAAATTTCTCATCCTCACCAGATTAAGAATCAGCCATGTGAGGTTTACATCTGATATACGTGTCAGGCAGAAGTTGGTTAAAATGTCCTATTTAATTCCTTGGCTTATATAGAGTGCGTAGGAATGCAGATGTGAGAACTTTACTTGAGCACAACAGCGATTATTTGGATCTTCTGTTCCGATTTTTGGAGGAAACAGGGTTGTTTTATTGTATATAGTTAAAATAGTTTGTGTCCCAATCGTGTATTAAGAGTAAATGTATTTATTAGCATGAATATATAGTGTGAGAGGGCCAATTGTGGAATATTCAGTACCCCATTGAACCTCAATTAGATTAATTATATGTGTAAAGGGTGAGGAATATCGAGTACTCCACTACCCTAACTGAATCAATGGTATATAAATAAGTAATTATTTATTTAAGAGAGTGTGAATGAATTTAGGAACTGATTGCTGAAATGACTCAGCTATTGACATCTGGAGTGCAACCTCGGTGGCTGGATGGATAAGCCGAGGTATAACCAACATCCAGGGTAGATGATTCTCAAGCTCTGACGGTGATTTATTGAACATTACAAAAGCTAAAATTGAAATGATAAGATCAACTCTTACACATGTGTTTGTACATGCCGATGTGAGCTTATATAAATCTATAATCATTAATCAGTAATCATTTATTTTGTTGAAAATACAACTCAGTTTATACAATCACATAATTACAATAACAATAAAAAATATCACATTTCGAGTGGCATGAGAAAAAGGGTTGTTCTTTCTCTCCGAATGTTACTGTAAATCCTAGAATTATCTATCATGCTGTTAAATTTTTTTTTATAGTCTTTAAATTTAATCTTTTTCTATTAGCATATTAACAATAAAAAATCTGTGAACAATATGAATATCGTTTTTATATTAAAATTACATTCAGTGATGATGAATATGATAATACAATGAGGTTAAACTGGTTTGGATTTACATTCTTAAGCCGAGGACCATAGAAAGGAATTGCTCGTAATGAATTGTAATCACGCCATCCTGGTCAGTGTCGAATGCTCTAAAAGCACTTGTTAAAGTCTAAAACATATATTAATATTAATAAACAATTAGTAGTTTTAAAATTAAAATTCAAGTGACTTACATGAAGGACAATGCAGCATTGAATAAAATCGTCGAAAAGTATTGTTCCGTGTCCATGCCTATCGAACTTGGTCACCATCAGGTTGACAATTTGCGGCGAGAGGCGGTATCCGAAGGTAGTGAGGGCAGACATGAGCTCATCGCGGTTTATGTTGCCCGAACCGTCCCTGTCGAACGAGCGGAAGCATGCCTGCCAATCGGTCACGTACTTCCACAAAGCTCCGAAGTCGGTGAAGTTGACCTGACCTTTGTTTTGCTTGTCGAACATCCCTGGTTCGGAACAAATCAAAATAGTTTATAAATTATTAATCCATTTATGTTTAGCGGTCTAATTGACCATATTAATTATTTCAATTAATTATTCCTTTTATGTAAGGTCTTGGTTGAGATGAAAAAGTGTCACGAGAGGGAGTCGAACCCACGACCTTCAGCTCGTGACACTAACTTTTTCATCTCGACCAAGATCTTACAAAAAAAGAATAATTAATTGAAATAGTTTATAAAATTTGTCAAATTTGTTGAATAGATAAACGCAAAGCTAGAAAAATCAGCATACTATATAATTGAATTTGGATACAGTATGGAGCATATGCTTTATTTTTAATGTGTTTTCATTAGGATGTGATTATAAAATTAAATAAATGCACGTTCCTTTAAAAAATCTAAATTTGTCTACTACTTTTTTTTTCTTTACTAACTACTCATTTAGTGTAATAGTTTACATATTACATCATGTTGATATTTTCAAGAGCCACGTTTCAAATCATTTTCTCTACTTGACAAATTGAATCATCTGGTGTTCGGTTTCTTTTTTCCGTCAAGTTGTGTAATCTCTTCAAACGATGACTCATCAATCTAAAAGTGTTAATTGCCTTTTTATCAAAATCATTATTAGTTTTGAAAATGAATAATAAAGTACAATAATGTATAAATAAAGTATGGCCTCGTTTATTTATTTACCACCTGAAAAGGTATACTTTTCATTTAAAAAAAAAACTAGTTTTTTTGTACCATCTTCAGAATGTCAGTTTTTAATCGATGAACTAGGAAAATTTCAATATCCACAGATATTTTATGCCACTATTTCTTAAGAAAATAAATGTACAAAAGAATGGCTTTTAACAATGAGTTGACAAATTATACTTTACTTTATTCTTGTGATATTAGATTAGAGATCAGATTTTGATTTAGGCTGTGGTTTTAAATTAAATTTCATACTGAAATTTGGTTTTAAATTTTTGTCAGCATATCCTTGCTGGGGCGACCCTAAGGGCCTAGCTAGAATAGATAGACAAAAATATCAATAACGACCAAATTCATCACCCTGCAGATAACATTGACAAATCTTGCAATGTAATTTTCACATTGTTTGAACTTCAGTATTTTTGTGGTTGGTTTAAATTCTAGTGGGTACTTTTGTAGAGTAAACTCAAGATTTACTCATTAAAAAGAGGTTATTAAACTTTAATACAGTCTTAGTTAAGCATTAAAAAAAGTGTGTTTAATCTCAAAATTTCTGATATTTTGCTTTATGAGTTAAAAGCGACTTTTGCAAAATATGATGCACTCTGTTAAGAAGGGGCAATTTTGGTTTTGGTCTCTTCAGTCATTCTAAAAATTATTCATGGTCTATCCCTTTTAACCTCAATACCTCTTAATCACCACCTGAAATTACACGTATCAAAAGTTGTAATAAGAAAAAATATCGCTTTTATTAGTTCTGCTTGAATTAAGTGCTGAAAAAAAAAAACTTTTCTTCTGGGCAGAGCTGTACAATGGACTGTGAGCAGAAAAAAATCATAATTTCTGCCTAAATTGTATTCGGCGGCGAGCTGATTAATTTATGTATTATTTTCCCTTATTATACCGATTTTACTTAAATTTTTTCTCAAGCATTTGTCGTCATTTATTCATTTGAGTCCAGTCAAAGTTTGTAAGTTCACAAACGAAGTTTTTGTTTAAATTTAATTATTTTTGTTCCATTCATTTCACCCAACCTTGAAAATCTTCTGGCCCCAATGAAAATAGCAAGTTGTGAGTGACAATCAGATCTTTATTTTCTTCTTACTAGAGAAATAAACCCCATAAAGAAACTGTACAAATTAACCGATGCCAATAAACTAGTTCATTTATTTAATGCCTCTTCTTTACCTTCTGGCCCAAAAACAGCCCCATTTCTTCGAAAGAATTCAAAACTTATGCTGAAAACACATGTGTACAACACAATTTAACCAATGCCAATAAATCATGATTGATAATACTTTTTATCTAAGGTTTGGGTTGAAATGAAAAAGTTAGTGTCACAAGCGGGATTCGAACCCACGACCTTTGGCTGAATATGCCACTGCTCTATCACTTGAGCTATCATGACTTCGATCCACTCGAACACCAACTCCCCATCTCAACCTAAAACCTTTCTAATTATTCTTCTTTTTTGCCATTTTTCAAATGTGTAATCAGGATTCAATTCTCAGTGACTTATGAAGTGGCCATGGGGGGCTGTTAGTGAAATTATACTGATTTTACTTATTAAATCCCTTAGTGGTCTAATTGACCAAACTACTTCTTATAATTAATTATTCCTTTTTATGTAAGGTCTTGGTTTTCATCTCAAATTTTATGGACATCTGTCCTGCACTAAAAGAATTTAGGGTGGAATTATTTAACAAAAAGAACCTAAATCTGAAGGAGCTGAGACACATTTTAAATGTATCGGGTTGGCAGGAGCTGGTAAAATATTGAAAGAAAGCATGGCAGAACAGATACATCATCACATGCTTTAACTATTAGATTATTAGAAAAACGTTGAGTAGATTATGATTAAATTCGTTTAAAGATTGGGATGCTCTGTCAGGTAGGTATGGAATATAAAAATAAAAAAAAACTACATTTTTAAGTATGCCGACATTTTGTCAAATTTATCAACATCCTCACGCAGGTACTAATTGAGTTTTTCCTTCTTCTTCAAACCTTCATCTAGTAAGGTTGACTGAAGATCAATTAATACCTCGCCTAGAGGATGTCAATAAATATGACGAAACAACAGTATACTTCAAAATTTAGTTTTTCTTTTCTTTTATATTCCATTTTAAATCTTCACCTAGCTTTCGGAACTTTATTGTACCATATAATAAAAGGATATATTATACATTTTAATTTTGGCCAATTTACCATCAAGTATATATAAGAACAAGACACACGTTTTTGTACTTACTGTTCTTTTATTTTCATGTTAACACTGAAAACCTTTTCACTTTCTTCTTCACCTTTTCAACTAAAGTTTATATACTTCTGACAAAAAAAATCAGTAAGTATAAAAATGAGTGTCTTGTGTTGAACTGGGTTTTATAACTGAAAGAAAAAAATCCAAGAGTGGAGACAGACACAGTAAGTGGCCGTGTGCCAGTTCAACAGTTCACCGACTCGCAGACCAAAACCCATCATCTACTATGTGTATCTTGTTCTGCAAATACACATAGTATTTGTAGAATTGTTAAATTAGTCAACATTAAAATGTATAATATATCCTTTTGTAGAGTCCTGAAGAAGGAACAATAAAGTTCCGAAAGCTAGGTGAAGATTTAAAATTAAAAATATATTTCTTTGATCACATCTGTGATAATAACCAAGAGAACATTATCTGCATAAGTTGGCCGATAAATGTACAAAACATTTTATTCCACATCTACCTGACCGAGCATCCCAATCTTCAAACAAATTTATTAAGAGAATCTTATTTATGTGTAATTTTTTTTAAATTTTCTTTAATTTGGTATTACATACTTTATGATTACTTTATTATTAGCTGTAACTTTTCTCTCTCCTAAATTATCATGCAATACATACATATATGTGATGTAGGTTTAGAAAAACATTTTCTTTGTCGTGCCAATGTTTTGATCTTTATTGAGATTATCTTCAGGCCTGGGATTTATAAACATATTCAAACAATGTTTATAAGTCCCATGCCCTGCAAAAAGATCACAATATTGGCAAGACAAAAAAAGAAAAATAATAATAAAAATAATAAATAAAAATAATAATAAATGTTTGAAGACCACAACCCGAATCCTAATTCAACATCGATGTGAGCAGTAATATCTTAAAGCTAGCGATTATTTGGAGATCGTGAGATGCGGTCTGGTGTGATGTAGGTTTAGAAAAACTTTTTTTTTATTGTGCCAACGTTTTGATCTTCTTGCAGGGCCTGGGATTTATAAACATTGTTTAAATATGTTTATAATTCCCAGGCCTGAAGATAATCTCAATAAAGATCAAAACATTGGTAAGAAAAAAAAATGTTTTTCTAGACCTACATCACACCAGACCGCATCTCACGATCTCCAAATAATCGCTAGTTTTAAGATATTACTACTCATATTGACATTGATTAGGATTCGGGTTGTGGTCTTCAAACATACAATGTTATTATATCAACATTAGATCCCCCGAAGAAGATAATAAAACTTGTCGAAAGCTTGGGCGTTGATATAATAACATTGTATGTTTGAAGACCACAACCCGAATCCTAATTCAACATCGTATTGAAGGCTGGTTGATCGCTTAGCAAACACTACTCATATCGTTATGTACCAATATGTATAATTGATTCTGAATATGTTTCTTTTTATGGTTATGTTAAATAACAGCTATTATTACTATTAAAATATAAAGGCTGTAAAGACTGTGTTCCACCTTTTTTTACGAAGTTGTGGATAAGGGGTATTTAACTATGAAGTTACGAGGAACATTTTGAATATTATTAATGCATATTTTACGCATTAACATGAACATTGTAACATGTGCGTTATTTTAAATTGAAATTAAATAAAGTATAAAAAATGGCCGAATTATTTAATAGGGCAAATTCGATGTAGCTTATCTCTTCAAAAAGGAAGATTGTGTGCCCCCGATCAGTGTAAACTTTGATAAAAATGACTTTCACCTTGAGTCATTGTTAAATGTATTTTTTGGGGGGTTAAAAACATTAATTTATTGTTTAATATTACCTATCATTAGCCTGATAGTTTCTGGGTTGAATGGGGTCCAAGTACCATTGCTGAGAGCTTGCTGTAACTCGTCGGAAGATATGTAACCACTTCTATCTTTGTCAACCCTGGAAATTGAAATATTTAAAAAATAATAATTCCAAGAGAAAATGAATTTTTTTTATTTACCTTTGAAACACGTTCCAGAGGAACTCCTGGCTTGGCATCGGAGAGGCGAAATGAGACATTTTACGTCAAAACATGCAATAAAAGGGTATAAAAGTAAGAACAATAAAACTTGTGCAAACCGAAGGATAAATAGAGTGGATAACCGCTGTATAACCTCTCAAAAGATACTTGATTTAATTCCACATTCCATAAAAAATAAAAAAAATAAAATATTAATTTTGTTAAAACCATTTTAGCTACTCGTAAAAATAATAAAACTTAAAAAATGAGTTTAATTTTTTTAAAATTTTTAAATGTTTCAGAATAGAGTAATATTGATAGCATGACAGGGGGGATTTCAATGTATATCTTTTTTTCAAATTAACAAGTAATATTTTTTTTAAATGTTTAGACAAATTGCAAATTTTTGATAGATAGCTTAATTAATAAAATCTCAATATTCTTTAATTAGTCTTTGTTCAAAATCCGACCGATTTGAAGGATTTTAATGTTGTCTGGCATTGAGCACTTTGGTGCAATCAATTATAAAAATAGTCAAATGTTATTTCTCTCAATTTTCTATTGTTGAGTAAAATGTTGGTTCTGCAGATTTTAATTTACGCATAGAAATGTTAATTTATTTTTTGTTTGTTTTACGGTCTGAAGTTTGAATTTCGTGTGCAGTGTGACACACTGGTCAGAGGAGGATCGGCAAGGACATACGTAGGCCCCAAATACTTGGGATAACAGAAACAAATACAGAATCCTCCATCACGAAATGGGTCCAAATAAAACAAAAAGAGAAGTGGATAAACTCTAGGGTGTTTCTCAACACTATAAAACCACTTCGATTACATAATAAATTTTTTATCCCTACCCGGCAATAGACTACCGAAGATCCTTGCCTGTAGATGGGAGATAAAGAAAGGTTTAAGGAAATAAAAAGGATGCAGCTTAACTTGGACTTGTGCCTAGACTGGAACATCAGCAGAATTGAACTGTGGAGGAATGGTTTGAGGCTAGACAGTCCATTTGTGACAATCTAAAGAGACAAAATTGCACAGCTTTGGCCAATTCAGGCAGTTTCTCACTCCATAGAGAGCTCCTATTCAAATCCCCAAATTATCTAATAGATCTCTCTGATAGCATGCGGTGGATGATTCGTCACAGAAGATCTGTTTAACTTAAATTACACTCTTCAAACAGCAGGGTATTAACTGTAAACTTTGTAGTGGTACAGAGCAGGAAGATTTGTTCCATTTCTTGGCAAATTGCCCTGCATGGGTCACTGTCTGGAAACAATATTTTGGTAGGGAACTCTGTCTAGAGATTCTGTTACAATATATTAATGGCAAGGATTGGACTGTGTTGGTCAATTTCTGCAGAGGCTTATTTTCTTAGAGTCAGAATCAGAGGCACTTGGTGAGGGTGAAAGTGGCTTCTCTTGGCAGATTCCCCTGTATAGGTGAAAAGCTCATCCTCAACTTAAATATTTTATCATAAACATTTATTATTTGTTTTGTTTTTTAGTATTATCTCTTGTAGTATATAATGTACTTCATTATTATTTACTTTTACTATCTCCATTTATTTTATTGATTGAGTATGTACATTATAGGTAATCATAAATAAGCGATGCACATATTTGCAATTATATTTCTGCTATTATTATTATTCAATTATGTTTATTATTACATTGCTGAAATTTTTGAAGAAAGTATATATTCTTTTTTGTAAATACTAATTATAATTACTTGTAACTACCCAGAGGAGAGATTTTAATTATTTAAGGTTATGTGCTAGGGTCCCTCAGATGGTTTTAAACCATGAACGTCTTTCTTGTTTTATAATATATATTGCGGAATTGTAAACTTTGTACATACATTAAAGAATAAAGACATATAAGTAAACTTATGCTAAAAAGTCCTCACCAAGACTGGCGAATTCACTGCTGCAATTGGAGAGAGCCAGGCTAAGAGGAGTGATACGACTATTAACTGATCACTGGTATCTGTGAAAACATTGTATACATCCCATATGTAAATTATGCAATGAGGACGAAGAAACAACCACCCATATCGTCTTCGAAGCAAGACTCAATGTAGACATAACCTAGCATACAGAAAAAACCTAGGAAATGAAATTGTATCAGTACAGCCAATGGCCAAAACTTCAGAGAAGGATAGTCAATTACTCTGAATCAGAGAACTAGGAAGATACATACTTCCCTGCCTTCCCTTTATCGATACGGACTCAGGGTTTGTTTAACGTCCATACCTGCCTATTGCTAGACCTATCGGATGCCCAGGGGTGCCGAAACACCCCCAGGAGTTTGGTGGCTTCCAGTGTTTCCACCTTCTGCCACCCCCTGGAGAGGTAGATAAGGGTAGCTCTACCCCCGGCTCCTGTTGGCCGGTACCCTCCAGCTGAGGTACAAACCATGACTCAAACTTCTATTGGGGGCTGCTTGGAATCATCCACTCCCGTGGTTCAGTAATATTTTTAAGGTGAGATTGATTGCCCACCCAGGGGTTGCCCTCATACTGTTTTCACCTGTCGCTCGAGGGGTGAGGGTTCAGTAATCCGGGAAGCCTCCACCAAAGTGGAAGAGGAAAAGAAAGGAGTTAAGGAAAGGAAAGGATAAGAATAAGAAGGTAAGGGATTTGCCTCCATCTTTGGTTACTCCTAGATGCCAGAGCTGATGACTCTGAGCTGGACTTTTGTTTAGGCCCATAGGGGAGAAGACTGATATATATCTCATTTTGTTTATATTGAGATTGATTGTATTTATTAGCGTGAATGTGTAGTGTGTGAGAGCAAGTGGTATCATATCAACACCCTACTTGAGAGAATGGTATATAAATAGGAAAGAAGGGATTCTTTGACCCCCAAATTCACATTTGATGTAAAATTTCCAATTGAAATACCTGGTACCCAGACTAGGGTAATTTTGTTATTTTCCCCACCCTTCTGACAAGGCCCTAATGCAATCCCAAATGACTGGACTTTACCGCAATGTGGAATTATCAATTGCCGCCTGGATGTTCGAATTGATGGCTATTTTTCTGCCTACAATATCTTGCATTTTAATCTCCTTGGCACCATGTTCCATCACAACCTTCACTTCAAATACAGTGGCATATTGCCCAAGGCTATGGAGTCCTTGGTTTATGTTCATAAATACCAGCTATTAACCCATATTCAGAACCATCTGCTGCTGCTCTTTTTTGCTGCTGCTGATTTTGTTATCAAACCTAAATTTAGGGGTCAAAGCTTCAACAGGCATCCCTAGAACTCTGCCTGCCTGGCATCCCTAGAACTCTGCCTGCCTGGCATCCGTATAACTCTGCCTGCCTGGCATCCGTAGAACTCTGCCTGCCTGGCATCCGTAGAACTCTGCCTGCCTGGCATCCCTAGAACTCTGCCTGCCTGGCATCTCTAGAACACTGCCTGCCTGGCATCCCTAGAACTCTTCTGCCTGGTATCTCTTCCTTTCGATTTTTCCTACCTTTCACTCATTTCGGGTGTAGAAGTGTATGATATTCTACCATAGGCTCTCACACATTCATGCTAACAAATACAATACCTCTCAAAATACAGAAAATGAGATATATATGAATACTGTTTACAATAAATACAGACTCTAATACTCGCTATCGTTCTCCTACACGCTCTCTATATGGAGCCATGGAATGATACCCTTCAATTAAGTGATAAACATACATAAAATGTGTAAAATGTACATTATGTATTTCACACAGTCTGTTGTCATTGTAAGGTTCTGATAGAAAATAAATAATACTTATACAAACGTAAAACATGTATAATTTTTCTAAATAAACAGTCAAGGAAATCAACAATAATTAATGTAATTAACAAAATACAAGTTGTGAATAAAGTAGTAAAACTGAACATTTGAGAATTTTCAACGGCAAAATACTTAATATTTTGTTAATATTAATATAATTAGTCAATTTTTATATAACAAAAAAAAAGAAAAAAAATATTTTTTTGGCTTTGCATTGTTTATAATTAATAAAGTATATCACATTACTTTAACAAAAAGAGCAGTTTGTGACTAAGGCATTTAAATTAAAATAAATAAATACTAGACAAAAAATATCACAAAATTAATTATGAATCAGAAATAACATTTAAAAGGAGCAAAGAAATTTTCTCCCCTCGTTTATTTATTATTTTGACAGAGACCTTCTGCCCGAGGTGCAGTTTGACACGGTTCGAAGCTGATTCCGGAATCAGAGCTGATTTTCCCACACCGATGTCAACGAATGAACCAAACGGTGTAACATTTTCAACCCGCCCAGTAACAACAGATCCGATTATTAAATCATCGATGGATTTGATTTCAGTTTTGAATAAAGGAGCGTCCGATTTGCTCCTGATGTCAAAATCCAAGGGTTTCGAGAGAGCATCATAAATCAGTTTAACAGTCGAAGAATGAGTCTTGAGTTTTTCACCGATGTTTTCGATGTGCTGTCTCTTCGAAAAAGATTGTATTTTCTGTATGAATTCAGGTGTGCCTATATCTTCAATACATACGCCTGCCATATTCATTATAGATTCTGCTTTGTCATAATCATCAGGATGGATGATCGTCTGATCTAGTAGATTAAAATCAGGTCGCATCTTCTTTGCTTTCTTCGAGCTCGTAGCCGTCAAGCTGGTTTCAGGGACAATTTTGATAAAACCTGCGCATTGCTGAAATGTTTTAGGCCCGATTCCTTTAATGTCCATCAACTGTTTGCGAGAAGTGAAACCGCCGTTCTTCTCTCTGGTCTCGATGAGCTTTTTCGCCCGGGTTTCTGTAAGGCCAGCTATACGTTTTAAAAGCTGGATAGGTGCTGTATTTACATCGACGCCAACATCGCTGACACATTCTGATATCACTTCTCCAAGCTCTTCGTCTAATTTTTTCGTGTCGATGTCGTGTTGATACATACCAACGCCTAGATGCTTGGGCTCAACTTTGACAAATTCACTTAGAGGGTCGAGATGTCTCTTAACCAAAGACACTGCACTGATGAAATTCGGTTTCATGCCTTCATACTCTTCAACTGCTTCTTTACTACAACTATAAATCGACACACCTTGCTCAGGTACTATGACGTATTTGATGTTTAGCTTTTCCTGTTTGATCAATTTACTGACTAGCATTTCTACTTGACGACAACCCTGCCCGTTTCCTATAGCTACCGTGTTTACGTTATGCTTGAGAATCAAGTCCTTGAGCGAACTTTTAAATTTGTTGTAATTGTCCAAGTTGAAAACATCCAATTCAAGTATCTCATGTCGAACGTTGACCACTGCGATTTTACATCCATTTTTAAAACCCGGATCGATACCGAGGACGACGTATTTATCATGGGGGCGCACTGGCCGTGTTAGAAGAAGCCATTTCAGATTCGAACTGAATACATCGAGCGCGACCCTTTCGCCATGTCTCGTCATATCGACTCGTATCCTTTTCTTCACCTTTGGCAGGATCCTCTTAGAGAGCAAAGCTTTAATGGACAGTTCTATAATTTTGGTACGGTATGGATACTGGGTGCCTCGGATTGACCACTTCTTCCTGAGGAAATTTTCGACGGATCTGTTGAAACTATCCGGAACTGTTAGTCTGACTGAAAGCTGTTTTCTCTTCTCACCACGGTTGATGGCCAAGATCTGATGCGGCTTTACAAACTTGTAGTAATTAGAAAATTCATAGTAGTTCTCGAATTTCTCTTCGAAAGATTTTTTCGAATCGGTTTTGTTTGGTTTATCAGATTCGGTTTTGATCGGCTTGTCTTCTTTTGCAGTTTTCTCTTTCGCCTGCTTGCACTCGAGCAAGATCCTCTCTTTCATCGTAAGCTGGGAAACTAGATTTTCCAGTTCCGTATCGCCGGATAAAATTTCTGAAATCATTTCTACAAGCATGTCGTCAACAGACTTTGGACTTTTTAAAAGCTCGTTTTTCTTGTCGACGAGAGATTTCGGTTCGACGACCCCTTCACCGGAGAGGAGCTTTCTTGCGACCGTGTCAAACCCGACTTCTTTAAGCAACGTCGTCTTGGACTTTTTCTTGCTTTTGTACGGGGCGAAGATATCTTCCAGTTCCGGAAGGGATTGGGCGTGATCGATGCAGTTCCGAAGTTCATCCGTCAGTTCGCCTTTCGCATCGATCTTCTTTTTGATACTCTCAGCTTTCGCCTTGATCGACTTGGCGAACTGGTACATCTGCTTGATAAAGCGCAGATCCTCAGCAGTCAGGTCACCTATCAAATGTTTTCTGTACCTTGCTAGAAAGGGTATCGTAGCATCTTCTTCAAACTGTTCTATGACAGTTTTCGCCTGGTCGTACTCGATATTGGCGTATTTCGCCACCAAAATCGTCTCGTCCATAATTTTCTTTTATGGAATCCAAAACCTGTTTTAAAATAAAAATAAACCACCTGTTGAACAAAGAAAAACACGTTGGTCCCGAACAGAAAACGAAATATCAGATAACAGTTTAAAAATTGAAACCTCCCATTAAAAATCTCCAAAAATTCACATGCTCCACTAAAAAATACGTAAAAATTCTAAATAATTTAAGAATAAAATCAAAAATGAAGGTAAAACCTTTCAACACTCTTTAAAATTCTTCATTGAAAAATCTTCAAGCATTACAGAAACACAAAAACAAGTTAGCCCCTGTATTTATGTTTTGAAATATGATACAAAAGTATGATACAAGTTAAAATCAGTTGTTAGAGTTTAACGGTAGAAAAAAATAAATAAAGCAAGTTAGATTTTCAAAATTGACATAGTTTGGATTTTACCCTTTTCAACCGAGAAGCTAGTAATGGGGAAATTTTGGAGGGAGCTTTTTTCATTGGAGCTTTTGGAAAATAACCTTCTCTGATAAGGATTTAGTGATAAGGAGGGACTCGTGATTCTCTTGGAAACGAAAAAACACATAAATAATAAAAAGTCTTGGTGAAATAATGGTAAGAATTTAGTTAACTCTCATTATGTTATAATTTTGGTTTAGACAAAAAAACAAAACAAAAAACTTATATTCAATTATTTTCCAAATTAACTAGTGCGTTATTAATAAATATACTCTCTTCAGATTAAAAATAAAGAAAATCAGTTCAATTTCATGCTTTCTAGAATCAAGTTGAGTTGATTTTCAAAAGGATGAATGTGAATAAAGCTGTTTATTACTTATTATTACTAAAGGCTTTATTCACATTCAACCTTTGATAATACTTCCATCATAAAATTACAACGAACTTTAATCCATTTATATTTAGTGGTCTAATTGACCATTTTAATTATTTCAATTAATTATTCTTTTTATGTAAGGTCTTTGTTGTGATGAAGAAATGACAAAAAAGGGGGAAAATTCGAAAGGTTGTAGGTTGATGGGGAGTTGGTGTCCGAATGGATCGAAGTCACGATTGCTCAAGTGGTGGTGAGCCAAACGTCGTGGGTTCGAATCCTGCTTGTATTACTAAAGGCTTTATTGACATTCAACCTTTGATAATGGAGTTTCACCACAAAAGTACATCAAACCTTGAAAAAATCATGAGTTTATTTTTTTATTGATTTTTTTTTTGTGAAACAAATTTGAGTTTTCTTAAAAGTGTGGTTTTAAGCCGAGACGATCTCCTCTGGGTGGAGCTTTAGTCAGTGACAGATGTCTGTGACAGCCAAGTGGTTTAGGGCTACCGGAAGTTTCAATCGAAGAGAAGATAGTCGTTGACCACAATTTACGACTGTTAGAGACAGGTAGAGGGTTTCTACGGTTCTTCATCAGGAGGCTGTTCAGGCTGCCTCAATACGCCCCCACAGCCTTCCTCTATGCTGAGATGGGTCTCCTGCTGATTTTTCTCTACACTATAAAACTTCACTTTGATTACATAATAAGAATTTTATCCCTACCAGATAATAGACTCCTGAAGATCCTTGCCAAGCAGATTGTAGATAAAGAAATGTATTGCTTTAAGGAAATAAAAAGGCATATCATGCAGTTTAATTTGGACTTGTCCCTAGACCGGAACAATATCGACAGAGTTGAACTGTGGAAAGATGGTTTGAGACTAGTTAGACGGTCCATTTCTGACAATATAAAGAGACCATACTACACACCTATGGTCAATTCAGACAGTTTCCCACTCCTTTGAGAGCTTCTATTCAAATCCCCAAATTATCTAATGGATCTCTCGCTACCCTTAGATAGCATGCGGTGGATAATTGTCGGGGGGATCTGTTTAACTTAAACTGCAAACACTTCAAGCAACAGGATATTAACTGTAAACTTTGTAGTGGTACAAAGCAGGAGGATTTGTTCCATTTCTTGGCAACTTGCCCTGCACTGGCCGCTGTCAGGAAACAATATTTTGGTAGGGAAACTCTGTCTAGTGAGATTCTGCTAGAATATATTAATGGCAAGGATTGGACTGTGTTGGTCAATTTCTGCAGAGGCTTATTTTCTTAGAGCGAGAATCAGAGGCACCTGGAGAGGGTGGAGGCAGCTTCTTTTGTTGGATTCCCCTGAATAGGTGAAAAGCTCATCTTCAACCTGAATATTGTATCTTAAACATTTATTATTTGTTTTGTTTTTTACTATTATCTCTTGTGGTAGATAATGTACTTCATTATTATTTATTTTTACTTTTATTATTTCCATTTTCTTTACTGTAGTTTATTTTATTATTGAGTTATGTGCATATAAGTAACCATAAATAAGAGATGTATATATTTTCTATTATTAATGCTAGCTATTATTATATTATTATATAATTATGTTCTATTATTACATTACTGACATTTTTGAAGAAAGTATATATTCCTTTTGTAAATACTAATTATAATTACTTGTAAATACTAAGAAGAGAGATTTTAGTTAATAAGTTTATGTGCTAGATTCCCTCAGACGGTTTTAAACCATGAGGAACGTCTTTCTTGCTCTGTAATATATACTGCTGATTTGTAAACTTTGTATATATATTAAAGAATAAAGACATATAGTAGTAGTAGTAGTAGAGACAATCTTTTTATCGCTCTTACTGCATATCGAAACTATCACTTAACAGCTTCTTTGATTAGTCAATTCAAACTGGCTGTAATGCAAGGATGAGCTACATAACAGTCATCAAAATGCTTCGTAAAATCACCATGTTTACTTTCTTAAAAATTTGTATCCAAATGCTTCTAACTGGATCTATTTTTTGACACTTAAATATTCGACGTTTTATATTTTGTTCATCTAGGTAGTATGACTGGTAGGTGGAAGCCTCCGAAATGATGAGGATTGGCAGATCGAAGAAGATCAAGCTATTTTTGAATTGTTTTTTTTTTTCAAATATTGATTTTGCACAAATTCTCTTAAAAGGCTTTCAAACAATGCTTTAAATAAATTCACTAATTTCGTGGTTCGCTTGACCAATTAATATGTTACAATTAATTAAGGTTTTAGTTGAGATAAAAAAGTCAATGGCACGAGCGGGATTCGAACCCACGATCTTCGGCTTGATACGCCGCTACTCTACCACTTGAGTTATCGTGACCTCGATCCACTCGGACACCAACTTCCCATCTCAACCACACCTTTTGAATTTTCCCTCCTTTTTGCCATTTTTCAAATGTGTAATCGGGTTGGATTCTCGACGACAAATGAAATGGCCACGGAGAGCTTAAGTGATTTTTAATCATTAAATTCACTAATTTCGTGGTCCGCTTGACCAATTAATATATTACAATTAATTAAGGTTTTAGTTGAGATAATATTAAAATTATTAATTATAATTGAAAAATGGCAAAAAGGAGGGAAAATTCAAAAGGTGTGGTTGAGATGGGAAGTTGGTGTCCGAGTGGATCGAGGTCACAATAGCTCAAGTGGTAGAGCAGCGGCGTATCTAGCCGAAGATCATGGGTTTGAATCCCGCTCGTGCCATTGACTTTTTTATCTCAACTAAAACCTTAATTGCTTTAAATAAAATAGATACATTGCAGATTTTGTCTTGATAAATGGCACATTTTTTTAAATAATTTAATAATTAATATATTTCATGCGTGTGATGATATGAGGTATTTTGTTGAATTTGGATAAAAATAATCAGTTTTTAAATTTTTTATTTTTGTTTTCTACTTTGGGATGAATCTTAAAACCTAATAAAACAGTTATATTCTGTGTATTTCTATAAAATAAATATTTGTCAATAAATTTATTTATCATTATTAGAGACAAATTTAAGAAATAAAAAAAAAACTTTTTCAGTTCATATTTGAGAAAATATTTTATTTTATCTGCTTTTAGATGTGAAGAAAGTGAAAGTCTTGATGTTTGGAAAAAAATCCGCCGAGCCTGTACCCGGACCTTCTGGACTGGTGTGTGTTAATTTTTTTAATATATTTATTGTCTACCCTCTTAAAGAAGTATGCCGAACATATGCCTCCAATTTGGTCAGTGCGGCGGACAGTTGGGCTTCGAGATATTCGACTGTCTCAGCAAAGACAGTGTCCCGACGAAAATTTTCAGCCGAAAGTACATCGACAACCATGTAGAGAACGATTGGTTCTCGAGGTACGAGAACGACCGGCTTGAAGCTCGTTCAGTCATTGTTGACACGGAGGTAAAAGTCATTTCTGAGCTAGAGAGCAAAATCAAGGGCAGATTGTGGAACTACCCCAAGGAAAATGCAGTCACGACCAATACCGGAGGATCGGGGAATAACTGGGCAAGAGGTCATTATGAAAATGGTCCTATAGTCAGGGATGAAGTATTAGAGAAGATACGAATCGAAGCTGAGAAATGTGATCGCTTGGATAGTTTCTTCTTGCTGATGAGCTCTGCCGGTGGGACCGGATCTGGCGTTGGTACGTACATATCTAGATGCTTGAAAAACGACTATCCAAAAAATAACAACATCACTGCACTTGTACTCCCCAACACCTCTGGAGAAGTCACCGTCCAAAATTACAATACAATGTTCACTGTCGGTAAACTTTATGAATCTTCTGATTCTATTATTGTTTTTTCAAATGACTATCTCTACAAGATCTGCTCGCAGTTACTCCAGATAAAACAAGTAAATTACGAGAACATGAACAATATTATCGCAGGTCAGTTGTCGTGTATTTTTAGCGCGGCGGTGCCTTCCAATTGCCTGTCGAAATTCCTCCCAATGATGACAGCTCATCCCGATTACAAACTGTTGCACATGAAGTCCACCCCTTATTATCCAGAAAGTAGCCAGATTTTTGAAACCCCTCTCAAGTGGGATGCAATCCTGCGCCACATGAAAATGATGCTTGTCAAAGCTGACGACTGCCTCTGGGACACAAAGCCAACTTGGCAGTTCAACAGCAGTTCCAAACAGAGAGCATATGTTTACAACAAATGCATAGCTAACCTCGTAGCTTGCACCGGTAATGAAATAACAGGCGCCGGTCATTGTATGGAATCGCTTTTTGGTTCCGACGAACTCTACGTACCATGGGTCCCTAAGCGGGATAGGTGTTTCAGCTTACAGAACAACAGGGTCATCCAGGGCAAAGAGAAATTCTGCTCCCTCCTTTGTAACAACGGGATGTACATTGGCAAACTGGGCGAAATGATTGAAAAGGCGTGGAACAGCTTCATCCACCAAGCTTACACCCATCACTTTTACAAACATGGATCCAACGCCGAAGACTTTGTCTACACCTTTGCCAAATTAGAAAGTGTCATAAAAAGTTATACTTCAATATAGTTTGAGTATTATATCATTTTACATTACACTGATTTTTTTTTAAATTTTAAATTTTGTATTTTTTTAAATAATAAAGTAATTTATTTTTTAGTTATAATTTTAACATATGTTTATTTTATTGTTTCCATTTCTTTTTCTCTCTATCAAAACTTGCAATTTTAAAAAAAATCACATCTGGTTTTTAATATAGTTGCGTAAAAAAAGTTAAATTACTGTAAATATTAAATATTTCGGTCTTTTCTGTACAAATTATAAACGAAATGATGTTGAAGTTTAAAACTTACAGCAATAAACTTACAAAACCTTGTCTTTTTTTATAACTAATGCGGCACAAGTTTATAAAATGAAAGATTGAACTTTAACAATGTGAATACTTACATCAAATATTTTTTACCTTGAAAATTTATACCTTTGCTGTATAAGCCTAATAGTAAGATTCTTTAAACATTTTTTTTAATGATTTATTTTATTAACTTTCTAAACAGATTAAACTCATTCCTCCCAATCTTAAGTATTTCCAAGGTTTCTAGTCATTTTCTCTGACAAAAGGTAAGCAAGCGTTCTTTAGCAAGAAGAATTACATATGGTTTGCTTGTCATTTCTTTAAAAAACAAACCTTTTTTTTAAGTTATGAAAAGGCAATCTACATATGCGTGTTATTGCCTTAACACTCCTAATCTCTACTTTATGACAGGGTGATTGAGCAGCTCGGGGAATGGGCAAAAAGGTGAGCTCTGACGACAACACCCCCTTTCTGGTATTCCCTTTACTCCAAAAATTGATACATCTGTACTTTAATTATTATTGTGCAGATCATCTGAGGTGTTGCATATCACTACTGACATCCACACCCTTCCAAATCTCGGGTGCCTGCAGTGACCCGAAGCTCCCAGATGGGTGCGCACCCACCAAGCCCCGCCACACCCACACCCCAAGAACTTCAATCCACCCCATAGCTGGCTAGATTAATATATATTTTGAGCAGTAATTTAGAGGCTTGTAGGATTGTTTTTATTTGAGAAATCACCAAGAATTTCTGGCCATGTGGTGTTATCTTCTAGCCTAGTCAGTCTTTAGTCTGACATGAGTTGCATGAGAAATTAATTCTCTAGCTACTAGATATCCATGAGTGAGCTTATTCTCAGACAAATCAAGATTGTTTTGTTGTCTGACAAGAAGTTCCATTGTGCAACATTCAGCTTTATCTCCCTTAATTTGTTGTTATTTATCTCAGCCTATTGCCATTGTAGATATAGTTTCGGGGTATAGTACACTGCGCCCTTTAAGAGCTATTGTATCCCCTGTGCTCTGCCTAAAGCACATCGGTGAGTCTAATTTCATCATGAAACTTGATTAATAGGCCCGGTTTCAATGGTTCAAGCTCTTCTATGGTCACATTGTACATCCCAAAACATTTCCTCCTGCGGGCTAGTGTAACTTCGCAGTTTGTTAGTAGATGTGTTTCTGCAGAATCTGCATGTGCCATTTTGGATTATTCCAATCTTCTTTAAGTGTCCATTTAACTTGCAGTGTCCTGTTAGGAATCCTATTAGGATTTGCAGTTTATTCCTGCTTCCCTTGATACATTCTGTAATTTCTTTCCTTCCAAAATTGGTTAGAAGATTCTTGCTGTGTCCAATGAGTGAATTCAATAGTTCCCTCATTTTCTTTTTGTCCTTCTGTCTGAGATACTCGTTAATAGTGTGTGTTCCTATGCCACAGAAGGGTTCAGGTCCTGTTAGCGGTGTAGCAGCCCCTTTTCTTGCCAATTCTCATTGCCTTCTGGTCCACATGTCCCGGGGCCCTGCAGTTGGATTTGCAATTCAGCTTTGAGCTAATGATATTTGAACTTAGTGCTTTGATGGCTGCTTGGCTATCTGACATGATAGCTATATTCTTGTTTTTGTACCCTTTACTTAGGTTGAGTTGGGTACATCTTTCTGCTTTTCTTCTTTTTCTTGCCATTGCTGCTATGTCCTTTTTCTACTTTGAGCAATAAAATCAGTACTTGGGGTGAAGTGTCAATGTCTACATTTTTATTACCCAAAACACCGGACTTCTTAAATTAAACCTCCTGTTAACTAATTATTCACTTTTTTGTTTGACACAAATATATTATTGAATATAATGAATACTAAATATTTCACTGCTTATCTATCACGTTATTCATTCATCATGTCATTCAAATTTCTATTGTGATAATACTTTTTGAATAAGGAAAAATATTAGAATAACTTTCACTCTTTTTTAATAAAATGCATTAAAAAGAAGCACTACGAGCTTTTATATGTGCTAAAAGTGAAATTGTTTATTTTTCTTGTGGCATTGTTTTGTTATTTTGAAAAAAAAATACAAGTCCAGTTTGCTAAACTATTTACTGTAATAAATAAATTAATAAGCAATAAATTACAGAAAGTCACAATTTTAATTTTTATTTCTTCTTGAGGTCTACGAGATGATGAAAATGTAACTTGGTCGTTTCTGATTATTTTGGCCTGCCTATTCTTGCTGTTTTGGTCTGCAAGACAAAATCTGTGAAAAAGCCAAAACAGGGAGATCAAAATTATTATAAATGATTTAGTTACATTTACAATTCGTTTAAGGTTAAATAAGAAACTTGGACAATTTTTAGCAAATCATTTTTTTTATATTTTAAATAAGCTCCACTCTGTACATATGTGTACAGATTGAGCTTACCAACTTCTTATGGCTTGTCGAGGCTTGACCACTTCGGGTTGCTTGGACTTCATTCTTACCAACCATCCACTGAAGTTATTCTTCAGGGGCTGTCAAAAACTAGGTCATTTCTGTCCCCAACACATACAATTTTTAAATCTAGACACCTACATCGTATTCTTTAATCAATTTGTATGTACATATGGTTCACTCAACCAAGTATGTGGAGTATTTGATATTCCAACATATTCTCTTCACACAAACTGTAACTATGTAATTAAGGGATGATTAGGTTACTCAATATTCCACCATTACTCCTCTCACCATACACATTCACACTAATAAATACATTTACTCTCATTATACACAAAAGGGAACACAAACATTTTGTGACAGAGGACTCAAAAACTCACATATCGGGTAGCATTCCTACATGCTTTCTATATAGAGCCATGCCACTATTAAATTAGGTGGGACATCGAGCAAACATTTTTTTTGTTTTGGCCCAAAAGTAAGTGTCATGCGTCAACTTTGCCTATTCTTACCCAAGTGAACATGATCCCTCTTCGACGATAATGATCCTCCAAAAGCCATATTGACTGGTCTTGATACGTAGGAGCTACTCTACTAATTTGATCCACTTAAGCTGAGCTTATGTCAGAGGACTGGATCTTGATGGTCTGGTAAGGAGGTTGAGACATCCTGGTCTATTCTTTTTTTAATTTAAATATTTCAGAAACTTTTATACTGCTGCATGGCAAACAAAAATCAATATATTTTTCAAATTATTACTTATTGGAATTATTAGATCACGTAGGTAATTTTTTTAGGCCGAGTCTTCAAAAAGGACCAGGAGATTGAGGGTGACATCGCCCTGTACTGACAAATACAACAGGAAATGGTCCGTCGAGGAGAAGACCCAACTGCTCGACGCCCTGAAAACAATCGGACCGAAGGATATCGACCAGATCGCCACGCACGTCCCTTCTAAGCACAAACACCAAATTACGACCTTCATCAATTACCTGAAGCGAAAGGCCAAAGTCATCCGAGAGATGCGACTTCAAATGAAGTACGTCGACAAAATGTCAAACATCAAAGAATGGATATCCTGGGCCAAGAGGACGTCAACCGTCGACTCAATTGGAGAAAACCTGCCGCTTTTGTTTTCAATACTCGCTATTTTAAAATTTGAAAAATTCCCCAGTATGAATTATTCTGACAAGGATTTTACTATTAATTTCAAGTTAGTTAATTATGGAAAAATTATTTTTTTATAGAAAATAAATACAAAGAATATATTTATTAATTATTATTATTTTTTTTTTACAGTGAAGCATATTTGTTTCTGTTTTATCTTCTCAACGGAAATAAGGAACAGATGAGAGTGGTTTCTGAACCAACGAGATCATTCGTGTTTGAAAGTATTAAAATGGCTGCAAAGTCGTCTGTCGTCCATTCTGAAGCGTTGACCAAAATTTTCAATGGGAAGATCAATCCTTTGCAGTCATTCCTTTATGTAAGGCCAAACAATTTTTTAAAAATATTTTCATTTTTCAACAACAATTGTATGCAAACATGAAAATTTAACTTTTTTTTTTAAAATCCATTTTGATTTTAGCCTAGAAAAATGAATGACGAGAGTGTACAGGAGACATCGCATGATCAGGTTTGTTAAACATATATTTTTTCTTTCTAATTCTAACAAATATGCTTTGTTACACTGCGAAAATATGTAGTATGTCATTATATATTTAGTTTAAAAAATTTTTTTTGTATAAAAAATTACATAAACCTTATAAAACGTTTATAACGAGCTATAAAAAAACTATTAGACATTTATTTTTTCTTGCGTTGATTTAAATTTTCAATTATTCTAATCTTAATTGTCAACAAATTGTGCCCTTAGCTCTTGCAGCAGAGATATAGTCGAATTATCATCATGTTTCTATTTTTCTCCATGCAAATTGCAGTTGTTTGACCCAACTAAAGATAAACTTTTTACTTATCGTTTTAATTACTTTCCTTAATTTTGGAAATCTTCATCGGATTATAACTATAATTAAATTAAAACAAAATAATTGTATGTAATAATAAAATATCAGAAGAGTGAGAATTTATATTCGAATTTGCAACACCTCAGGGACAGGGATAGACTCCAAAACGGCCAAAAATCTAGGGGTCACATTAGACCAGAGGCTTACATGGAATTCGTATCTAATTAAAACTATTCAAAGATCCAAAATTGCCTGGAGGAGGTGCAGAAAGAAAGTTCTGAGCTGAAAACAAAATGACCCTATAGCTCTATACCTGCGTTATTAAATTAATTTTTGACATTTGGCTTGGTGGTGTAGTGTACCGTCAGGCTATTAGTTGGCGGCTGTTGACAAGGAGGTTGACTAACAGCCTGAAGCTTCTCAGCGAAAAAAAAAAAAAAAAAAAATCAAAGAGCACAATCTTCCCAACTCATTTGTTCCTATCCCTATCCCTAGGACCTCAAGAATTGAACCTCTTATCTTATAAGAAAAGAAAGATAAAGATTATATTGTCATTGTCTTCCTCTAACAACAATAAATTAAATTTGTAAACGATGCCAATTATAACCTGTTTTATTTATTTTAAGGAAGTATTTCTGGAATCGACCGTCAACAATCCATTAATGTTCCCTCGCCATACCGTCGAAGTGAATTCTGATTTAATGAACCATTACATTGAATTAAAATAATTAAAAAAAAAAAAAAACTGTCTATTTCTGACCTTTTTTCCCAGTAATTTTTTCATACAATTCATTATTTTAATTTTTTTTAAATATCTTCAGGTGCAATGTTAAAAACAGAAAAGGAGATCAAACAGGGGCAGAAGATGCCTCCAAAAACTATAACTATGGTAATATTTCCACAAGATACCAAAACAGTATAGTTTATTTCTAAACAAAATTATAAAAAAAATCCATACAAAATTTGCAGTTTTAAATATCTCAACAGGAAGTTGTCTAAGAATTAATATCATGGCTCACTCTTGAACTTCTCTTTTCCAACTGACTAAATAATAGAGGCAAGGAAAACAAAGGCTGCATTGTCATTGTGAAGTTCCACCATAGCTGAAATCATCAAAAGGCAAACGAGATAATTGTAACGTTCGTAAATTGCTGACATTTACACAATATTGAGATAATTTAAAATTGTTTTAGTACATTGAAAACTCGTCAGTTGCCTTATATAAATCTGGATAACTTGTTATTAGGACACAAACACACCATTGAGGATGGCAAAATGAATGGTTCAATGCCTTGCAAAACGACAAAATGTCAAACAATTTATTATTAGAATTATTCACAGAAATATTTTTTTTTAAAACAGGCAAGTTTTTTCAAATGTGTCTGAAAATCTTAACTACGATAAAATCTGATCAAAAGAAGGCACGAATAGGCACAAAATGACTAAGCTGAGACTAAAAACACTTTAAAATGTAAAACCAACCAGGTTTATATAACAACTTAAAGGTCTGGAAAATTACACAGTTAATGGCTAAAATTTTTGTCTTCAAATTTAGCTTGGTGAAGGAAGAGGTCTAAAAATGTAACCAGTTTTTTGTGAAAATCGTAAGACCACCGGGAAAAATAAAATAATCCGAAAAACTTCCTGGACTACTTGCTAATCTTTATCTTTTTAAAACAATGGCCTTATTAACTTTGCATATTAGCCAAGGAACGTTATATCTCATATGCGATGCGTATTCTTTCTTTGGTGGTGGTGAGGGGGGAAGGGTTGTGTGAAAAAAAGGGCCGGGGTGATGGTGGGAATCGAACCCATGACCATGGGGTCTAGAGCCGAGAGTCTGATCATGTTGATGAGAGGAAACTAAAAAGCTAGATTTGGTATTCCCCAAGCTCTGCAATGTTTTTGCTTATTGTACTTTTCCTTGTTCCTTAGTTCAATATTCTCAATCTTTATTTTAAGAAGTAGTAGATCATTGACTTCCATTGCTGAAATTCTTTTTCCTGGGTTTCTTGATACCCTAAATTTCATTAAGCAGTTTTTTGCATATGGTTTAGTTAGGGGTTTTTGGTGGCTCAGAGAAAAACCTGTGTTATGGGTGGGGCTGATGGTCGAAGCTTGTAGCCTGATGTTGAAGGAGCAGGAGTCAGTAGACTGGTAGTGGGTGAAGGAACTCGTCAAAACAGCTGTCGGCTGTTGAGACTGTGAGACATGATGCTGCAAGTTCCTTGCTGACATTACTCCATTAATGGGATTTGAGACTTCGTTGACGAGTCTGAAATAAGCTTGTTGAGCTTCAGCTTAATAAATAGGGCTGCTGCAAGCTCTGGCTGAAGCGTGGAAGGCGAGACCATTGTTGAAGCAGTGGTGACACCTAACTTTGTATTTTAGTGACTGGGAGTTTTTCAAGGACTGCCAAGAAGCCAAGTACCTAGGACTTAACATAGGAGCAGGCATGAGTTTTAAGAAACATATAGAGGCAGTAAAAGATAGAATATCAACAACCATCTGTCGTATGAATGCATTAACAGGACCATCATGGGGCGTTCGATTTCGTCAAAGAAAAACAATAGCCACGGCTGTCTATGCGTCAGTCATCTTGTATGCATGGACCCCAATCTGGACAAGTGCTGGAGCATCAGCCCAACGAAGAACGTTAGAAACAGCGCAGCGAAAAATATTACTAAAAATTACTAGAGCATACCGTACTGCTCCTACGGAAGCTCTCTGTGTGATTGCCGGAGTAATCGCAATTATATTAGAAGTTGAAAAACGGCGTAGAATCTATGAAGAAACGCAAGGAATAGAACCGGCGGAAAAGAAAGACATTATCAACAGAATTCTTCTGGACACAATTACGCGATGGCAGAGACGATGGGATGAAACCGACAAAGGCCGTCGTACACATCAGCTTATGCCTTCTATAAGTGACAGACTAAAACGTAATATGTCGAGACAGACCATTATATGACCCAAATGTTCACGGGGCATGGTGATTTTGGGACGTATTTGTGTAAATTCGGCATGCGGAACACGGCGGAGTGCCCTCAGTGCTCTAACGGTTCTGAAGAGACACCAGACCACACTTTTTCGGAGTGCCCGGCTTATTCTGCTGCAAGAAGCAGATGGTTAAGGGAAACGTGCTCCATAGAGTGTGACGTCCGAGCCATATCCAGTGCGATAATGTCAAAGGAAGGATTCGCGGCCACCAAACGCTTTGTGTATCAGGTGATGACAATAAAAGGATGGCCAACACCACCCAACATTGACTAATAAGTGTCAGTGTAAGTGTTAAACTAAGTATCAGTGAGTTTAATTGTATATATAAACATATTGTAGTTTATTGTATATATAGTATTAGTATGTACGTGGGGTGCCCACTCTCTTTCTCTCCTGGGCGGGGTTCAGTGTACGGGGAGATTGGGCACCCCTCATTAGCACGTAAGCTATTTGTAAGGTGCGACCCTCACGTCATATCCCGACCAGGCACCTCCCCGTGATCCATCCTGGGCACGGCTGCAGCCGTGGCTAACGCCTGGTGACGTGAGGATTGGGCCTTCAGGTATGGTTGCACGACCATCCTGTGTAAGTCCTGAAACGGACATAGGAACAGTCAGCCTTAGACCTATGAAGGTAGTGACACCTAACGAGTGCCATGGTAACTGTAGGTTCCCACTACAGTATACACAGGTGGTCACCATATACTCCTGCAATGGTTGAGCTACTCCAAGCAGCAGTCCAATGAAGAGTGGCGTGTTCTCCCAGTTCTAAAATGTTCTCAGGAACATCTCCTCGGGGTCACCACTTTAGATCCCTGAAAAAGATCGGGTTATGGGCGGAGCCGATGGTTCAAGTATATTAACTGATATAGAGTAGGGGGAGTAGGGAGTACGGGACTCGTACAGCATGCAGCTACCTCACCTGTTGAGAGTATGAGAGACGATGCTTTGAGTACCTTTATTACTGAAGCTTACTAGGCTAGATTAGTTAGAGTTGAGATTTTGATAACTCCACGCCGAGTATATATACAAAGCTGCTGCAAGCTCATTTGCTGCATCGAGGAAGGCGAGAACATTGTTGAAGCAGTGGTGACCTAGTGCCAGTGCATAACTTATCCACTGATGTTAGGTAGATGTATATATTTTCTCGAATAAAACAGAAAAAAGGCCTTATATCTACGTATAAAACGTCAGGATTTCTTTTGTATTCTAAATTCTCCGATAGTGTTCGTTATCGGTGGCGTGATTGACCGGCGATATGTGAATAGCGTACGGTCAATAATGAACATTTTTATTTTTTCTTCTCGAAGAGTGGTTTATTTTGAAGTTTTTATGAGCAGCCTGTCTATTGTTACGTCTGAGTAAAAGACGATTTGCTACAGAACGCCCCTTTGTTGTCCTGTTTCGCCAGACGATTCCTTTATCTCATCGCATCACGCCACAATTGAAAATAACGTGTTTCTTATTGCTCAATTTTATTTATTTCTCCTTATTGTACAGATCGACATCGATTTAAAATTGTATTCAATGCTTAAACTATTTCTTGCTGTTAGATAAGACGTAGTACTAAAATATATCGCATGTCCATCCATTTGCCTCTCTACTTCGTATTTCTTGTTCCCCCTGTTTTTGATCAGCCATTTTCTAAAGACGAGTAAAAATCTAAAACGTCGAGAAAAAAAGTTCAAAATATAAACAAATAAAATGATTATGATACAAGTTTAATAAATTTTCTTTATTTAATATTTGTTAGCTTTTTTTGCGAGAAAATTCTGAATTCTAAAGCTCTATTCTGATTTGTGTGGTGATTAGTGACCGTTAGTCGATGATTATTCAGAAATCGTGAGATGCGTCTGGTGTGATGCAGGCTTAAGAAAAACATTTTCTTTATCGTGCCAACGTTTCGATCTTTATTGAGATCATCTTCAGGGCCTGGGATTTACAAACATTGTTTAAATTTAACAAATAAAAAAAATTTTGCATTGTATAAATTCTCTTTTTCCACATCCTACATGTATTTTTTAAATTTCAACGTTTGTAAATCCCAGGCCCTGAAGATGATCTCAATAAAGATTGAAACGTTGGCACGATAAAGAAAATGTTTTTCTGAAACCTACATCACACCAGACCGCATCTCACGATTTCTGTAATATATTCTAATTAATTAATTAATGTTTAGTGGTCTAATTGACCATATTAATTTAATTATTCTTTTTATGTAAGGTCTTGGTTGAGATGAAAAAGTTAGTGTCACGAGTCAGATTCGAAGGTCGTGGGTTCGAATCCCGCTGAAGATATAGATCTGAATATATATTTGAAATAAATTATAATTTTCTGTTCTGAGATAGAACGCCATATTCGTTCGTATTGTACGATTATAAATTATCTCGTTTAATTATTAAAAGCGGGTAATTGGATCATTACTGACGATAATTGTTATGACTATTAATTGTCCAGTCTTTACTCCTATCTGATGTTGTACATACGAATATAAAATAAAAACGATTTTTCCCCTCGTCAATAACGTGACCATTTTTCTTGTTTCCCAAACAAAGAAATATGCCACATGCTTTTTTTGTTGTAAAATTTTTTAAAAAAGTTTTCTATTTTTTTTATGGATTTTAATTTTTAAATCGTTAACCTCCTCGTTCAATGAAGGGGCCAATTTAAATTTATTCAAATACGAGCAAAAATATTTAATGATTAAAAAAAATTAATATTAAACATTTTGTGTGATTTATTTATTTTGTATTGATCGATTTATCAATACTATATCTGACAAAGTTATTAAAAGACAAAGTATCATTAAGGACTACATAAGTGGAATTTGAGAAATATCCCAATGTTTAGTAAACATTATTGAATAATAGACCAGAAATAATACATTTACGAAAAAATCTAAATAATAATCGATTAAAGGATCCAGAGTTCATCAAGGATCTGTGCTAAGGTCAATTTTGCTCAATACACAAATAATACGACAAATTCTGGCTCTAGAGACTAGTGTATAAACTTGATTTGATGAAATATTTCAATGTTTTGTACATATTATTGACTAATTGGCCACAAATGGTGTGCCAGCAAAAAGTTCTTCGTCGTACGGAGTGATTTTTATTGAGTAAGGTTAACGGCCAATTATAAAGCGATAGTGATAAAAAGATTAAAACCCCTTCGGGGAAAAAGTACTTTCAGGTAGTCACTTCTTGTGAATACAATTATAGTGTGGATGATGACCATCGTAACATAGACTGCTGTACAGATGGTTCACTTATCAAAGGTAAAGGGAGTGGTGCAGGAATCTAACCTAAATTAGGTATCAGCATCTCCTTCCCTCTTGACAATAACACCTTCGTTTTTCAGACGGTAATTTGGGTCATTAATGTGTGTTATAGAATGGAAAATAAAATCAAGGGAAAAGATATTAGAATTTTTTCTGACAGTCAGGCTAGTCTTAGGTCATTACAAAAAGATTTGTCGACATCTAGTCTGGTGGAGGAAATTGTAGATCTTATCAATAGGATCTCTTCCAGGTTTGAGAACAATGTAATCTTTATTTGGATACCAGCACATAAAGGACACTATGGCAATGAAGAGGCGGATAGCCTGGTCAAAGAAGGCTCTAATTCTGCGTTTGTCAGGCCACAACCGGTATTACCTCACTCTATGAGAACAGCGAAAGAGAGTATTTAGGCAGAGGGTATGAAACAATTCCTTAAGGAATGGAATCTATCCCCGGACACAGGCAATCGAAAGAGTTTGTTAAGGAGATCAAGCCAGCAGAATCGAAATGGCTATTCTCTATCTCAAGGAAGGGAGTTCGGAGGCTGATAGGTATTCTGACGGGCCACTGCCCACTGAGAAAACACCTCTTCGTAATGGGTATTCTACCAGATCCTTTTGCCGTTTTTGTGAAATAAAAGAAGAAACGGCAAGGCACTACCTCGCAAAGTGTGATAGGTACGCTAGGTCAAGATTTGAAATTTTTGAAGGAGAGGACATCACGAAATCACTCCCCGAGATTAAATGGTCCAAAATCTTGGGGTTTCTGAACAGGTCCAAGAGGTTTATGCAGGTCACGTGAGCCATGACACGTGAACACTGCAGCTGTACAGCTTATTGTACTTTGCTTACTTTGTGAATTGGAGTCCCCGGTGTGCCGGTGTTCTTCCATCGAAGAAACTCATTATTGAAGGGGGTTGTGACCAAATTCAGGGTCGCTGAGATCTGATGCCGCTCCTTCCATTGATGAGTGCCGTGTCAATTTCTTTCAATTGCGGCCACCGGTCCCCTTAGGCGTCAGAAAAAGATCAGAGGCGACGGTGGGGATTGAACCCAAGACCACGGGATCTACTAGCCGACGCCCGACAGTCTGACGCCTTAACCACTCGGCTACCGCCATATATATACCAGACCCAACGATTTTGGTCATTTTAAAGGTGAATATAATCTATGATCTAAAGAGTAGGTAGTTTTTCAAAATTAATAATTTATGTTTATTGTTAACACACGTCAAACCTAGTAGAGTTCATTTCAAATTGCCGATCGTCACATGTTAATAATTATTTTAAGAAAAATTGGTAATTGGGCTCATCAGTACTAATTTCGAATTTTGAACGTTTCTAGTCGTTAGTCGGTTGTACGTAGTAATTGCCTTTGTGTTATTTTTAACGTCAAATCCTCTTTACTGCGTAATTGTTAAATTTCCTTTGAAAATGGATCTAGGATGTTTCCTCGTTTAGCAGTTGTAGTCGGACTGCCTTTCGTTTAATCAGCGGAGGATAGATATCAGACTGTATGAGGAAAATGTACCCAGCATACATTTATATTAAATAAACAGATTTGCCCTATTATGGAAAGGAGTTTCCGATAATTCAGATACTAAAGACTATACCTAGACCCCAAAATGACATGAAATCATCACCCAAGACAACAACACCTGGGTAAATTCGAAGACTTCTAGGTCTGAAATCTGATTTGACCAAAAACTTTAATAACTCTATTCGTCTCGTCTTTACGGACGGGTCCAAGTCCGGCGAGGGTGTGGCGTGCGCCGTGTATAATGGGGGTTCGTCCACTTCTGGGCACTCCCGCGGCACTGCACCACACGGCGGAACTCTATGCGATCTGGCACGCACTCGGGGTGATTCGAGACGATGAGAGCTCTGCCTTCCTTGTCTGTACACGGACCCCCTGAGTGCAGTATCGGCAATCCAGGACAGATTCGCCACGGACCCTCTTGTCGTGCTCCTTTTAGAAAGATATGCTGAGCTGGAGCGCCTGGGAAAAACGGTAGTAGTTGTCTGGGTACCCGGAACGCAACGAACGTGTAGACGAGGCAGCGAAAGCTGGAACGTCTCGCCCTCCAGACCAAGCTACCGCGATTCGGCCCGGTGACGCTGTGCGAGCAGTATAGAACGCTGTGGGAAAGCGTTGGCAGCGTCAGTGGGCCGGGTCGTCCGAGAAGCTCCTGCGAGTTAAGGGCACGACTGAACGATGGCCTCATGAGAATCTGAAACGAAATGAAAGGATCGTGTTAACTCGGTTGAGGATTGGCCATACCCGTCTGATACACGGACATCTGCTTCTGGGTCAAAACCCGCCCAGGTGTCCCGGTTGTAGAGAAAGGTTGCTCAGTGTGTCTCATCTGTCGAGGAGTGCCGTGCCTTGACCCCCCACAGGGAGCGAGTAGGCATCAACCCCGACATAAAAACGGTACTCGGGCGAGCAAGTAAAATGTTGGATCCCCTATTCCGCTTTTTAAGAGAAACGGGGGTGTTTCCTCACTTGTAAATAGTGTATAAAACGTGAATATCTGTAAATAAGTGTATCTGTGTTGTGTTTTATTGTGTCGTGTATTTATTTGTAAGTAATTTATTTATTTGTTTGTTGTAAGAGTTTTATTTGTCTTTTAGACTGTAGGGCCGATGGCGGAATATTGAGTACCCCTTCGGCCATAACAGTGCAGTGACAGGGGGCTGAAATGACTTTATTGTTCGAAGCACCCGGGAAAAAAAAACTCTATACATGACTGCGACGCGACTACTTTGAACTTAAACAGTTGATCTATGAGGTTACGTCAAGCCATCCAAAAAAAGTCCTACGAATACTCCAAACTCCAGCTATATCACTAACCTAACAATCAACAATGACATTAACATTCCTTCCTTCCACGAAAAATGAATATACACATATACACATATACATATTCACAATAAAAATAATCGGAAAACGACCAAATTACCGTTCAAATGTCAAAAGGAAATCTTAAAAATTTTCATTGTCTTTCATTGTGGCAATGGAAAATTTGTCCTGAATTTGACACTTGTGTTTGGGCCTTAGTTTGTACAAATACGATCAACAATCCAACCTAAAAAAATTGTATTAGTTAAATTTAAAAGTGTCCTGCAATGTCAATAGATTGAGTACTACCTTGAAAAGGTTTGTTGTTGGTGGTCCGCGGGGGTCGAACCACGACCAGGGGTCATCTTTTATCGAATCCCCGTTCCAGATTGCAGGGAGGGCTCACGTGGTGTCGAACGTGTACACTTCAACTTGCGACCTCGCCTTTATCAAATGGGCCAAAATTTATCCAGCGTCGATTTTTTCCATAACGTTCGCCCCAGTTCTGAGCCATAGTACGACAGAAACATCTGCGCTGTGGGTGCTATCGGCCGAAACGTAGATAAATGCGGTTGTCCCTTCAATGGCAACTTATCTGATCAGTAAGAAAATTTTTTGTTTGTTTTGTTTTTGTCATTAAAAGTTTGTTTTTGTTCTTTCGTCCTTTCCTTGCAAATTGGTTATATAACCTAACCTATAAAGGCTATTTGCTCTCCATGCACACAAGAGGAACACGTGCTATGTTGAACCCAACAAAAAAGGTAATTTAAATGAAACAATTAATAATAAAACATAGATTACTCACTCACATCTTTGGAAAAATAAATAAAAATGAAAAACAAGCAGTTTTAGTACGAAACGAAAATTGATCACAATTACAAAAATGCTAAGAAAAAATGTAGGAATGAAGGGAATCGAATTTATACTCACTTTAGCCCTGACCTTGGTCCTTTAGGCTACTACCTCTTCTAGCAATGGCCTATTTCGCCATGGGACAAAACAACTTAACATGATTTCTTATATTAAAAACAAATATTAACTTAAAAAGTACTTCGAAATGATTCAGACTTATTACTGTGCTTTCAATTCTCGTCGTTTTTTTAAGTTGCACTCATACTCGTTTCATACTTCTAAATTACTTTTCCCTCCTTTTTAGCCTTTTTATCTTGACTAAAAACCTTAATTAATTGTAATATATTAATTGGTCAAGCGGAAATTAGTGAATTTAATGAATTAAATGAAGTATGATTCACTAAAAGCTCTCCGTGGCCATTTCATTTGTCGCCGAGAATCCAATCCGATTACACGACATTTGAAAAATGGCAAAAAGGAGAGAAAATTCAAAAGGTGCGGTTGAGATAGGAAGTTAATGTCCGAGCGGATCGAGGTCACGATAGCTCAAGTGGTAGAGCAGCGGCGTATCTAGCGGAAGAACGTGGGTTCGAATCCCGCTCGTGCCATTGTCTTTTTTATCTCGACTAAAAACCTTAATTAATTGAAACTTATTTATAGTTAACAATCCAACATTTTCAAAAAAAAAAATTCCAAATTTCAACATTTTTGTTTTTTCAGAATTTTTCGTGCAGAATTTTTTCATCGATTCTGCAATATAAATAGGTATTCTAACAGAAAATTTAACGTTCTTTCAGGTGGGACACACCAGATTTCTCTACAGTCAGAATTTTTGCAGTTTATAAGCAATTTAGTGGACCTAAGTCGAAAAAAAACCCCCAAAACCTGAAATTACTTCTTTACCGTTGAGATTTGGACAGGGGTTTATAGGAATTTTTTTGTTGCATATGATGATTAGAAACATCTCCTGAAATTTTCGACACTTATAGGGTTGGTCTAGTACAGTTCCTTCATTCATTTGTTGGAAATACTAAATTCACTGCCGGGTGTTTAGACTTTCTTGTGAATTACTTTTCGCTGGACTGGTTTAGATATTTCTTTTATTGCTATTAGATACCTAATTTACTGCTCAGTGTTTAAACTTTATAATGTAGCTACTTAATTACTTGTTACTTCATGCCAGTTTCTTGTTTAGCTGTTGAAGATATTTAATTTTCTGTCAAGTGACTGTTGCCCTGATGTAGCTGTTTAATTCCTAGTTACTTCACTTGGTCTAGTACCTTTCGAAAAGCAGAAATTCATCTGACAGAACAAACCAGCGAGCATAGACGAACAAGAACGACCTGAATTGATTAAACTACGTTACATCACTTACACACTTCAAGAAGAAATACCTCACTTTTTTCTAGCTTAAATTTAGCAAAAACCCAATTCGTTGGTTAAATTTAGCACTCTTGACACGTAATTCGACTGGGTCGTTGTAATTGTTCCGTTTTCGTCTCTCTGGGCAATTGAGAAATTTTCTCAACGTTCCGATTCGTCGGACAATGACGCGTTTGTCTTAATTGAAGCATTAACGCACGTATGTACGCCAGTAGGTAGAGTTGAAGATTATCCTGGTAATTTTCTCCTTTGACGTCCATTAATGCGCGCCCAGGCTCTACACCTGCAATTCAACCACTTGCGTCATTGTAAATCATAATTGACGATTGTTTGGGACGATTAAAAAATTTGTTTACACTCTGCCCGATTCACAAATGTCATACACACACGTAAACGTGACAAATAATCATATTTACGGTTGGACATAATGTTATTATACATCTGTCAATTTTTTTTATATTATTATTTTTTTACCTTGTATAAAACAATAATAAGCAAGTTCATATAAAATGAGATTAAATATAATAAAAGTTACAAAAAAGGTAGGAAATTTTTTTTAAAACAAACAATTTGGATTCTTTATAGATCTTCTTTGTCTTGCTAAACAAAATTTCAACGTACGCTGCTAAGTCCCTAACTTAGCAGCTAGTAATAACATAGATATCGTAGATTCCTTTCGTATATTTTACCCGAGTTTCGTAACAAAGTGTAGACTAAAATATTTTTCGAGCGAGAAACAGTTGAAATTTTTTACCGCGAAAAAACCCTAAATAAATGGATATATGGTAATGGCGTTAATGTCAATGCCAAAAAAGCGCTTAAAATGAACCGATTTTTTTTAAAATGAATAATTTTGATTCCTTGTAAGCATCCTTTAAAGCCCTTAAACACAAGCCAAACTTTGTAAGACTAGATTGTTCTATTTTCAGCCCTTTTAACAATTTTTAACTTCGTGTCGTTTTAACGAAGAAGCAAATATACAATCGAAAATTTAATTTTATATCTCTGGTTGTAATTTATTTTTTGAGTAAAGTTTGCCCCATTAAACGTAGTTTATATTTTACAATTATTTAAGGTTTTCAGTTGAGATAAAAAAGTCAATGGCACGAGCGGGATTCGAACCCACGATCTTCGGCTTGATACGCCGCTGCTCTACCACTTGAGCTATCGTGACCTCGATCCACTCGGACATCAACTTCCTATCTCAACCCCACCTTATGAGTTTTTTTATGAGTTTTTTATTTGAAAGCCAAGATTTAATTTCGTTGGTTTTTTTCATGCTACAAGTTTATTCTGAGTTATGTTTGTTTATTTGTTTGTTTTTCATCTGTTTATTTCTCTGATGATCTCCAAAAACTCCTGCTGTCTTGTACAAGCTTTGCTTTTTTACAGCAGGCAGGGATGTACCAAAATATCTATTGCATTTATATGTAATGCCCATTCTTGGAAAAAAAGATTTATTATTATTATTTATTTATATAAAAAAACGGCCTGTCATGAAATATTAGTATTAGTGAGAAAATGAGGTAAATCAGTTGTGGCAGTATATCAACTTAAAGCTCAAAAGGAAAGCTTTAAAGTCATTGCTCATGTGATATACATATATAAAGTACCTGTTAAGTTTAGTTGTTTTATTATTTATTAATCTAATAAATCTAATCCATATTTATTTTCATAATTGACTATATTAATTTTTTCAATTAATCATTCTTTTCATCTAACGTTTTTGGGTGAGATGAAAAATTAGTGTAACGAGCGGGATTCGAACCCATGACCTTCGGCTCAAATCGCTGCTGCTCTAATCACTTGAGCTATCGTGACCTCGATCCACTCCATCAACTTCCCATCTCCAAAAGGAAAATGGCAAAAAGGAGGGAAAATTCAAAAGGTGCGGTTGAGAAGGGAAGTTGGTGTCCGAGTGGGTCGAGGTCACGATAGCTCAAGTGTTAGAGCAGCGGCGTATGAGCCAAAGGTCGTGGGTTCGAATCCCGCTCATGACACTAATATTTCATCTCAGCCAAAAACCTTAGATAAAAAGAATAATTTATTTTTTAAAAATATTTTTACTATTTATATTGTTAAAACGGATAGATGGAGTATTGTTATTTGACAAACCTGTTTGTTGACAAAAACACCCTGAGGGTTGATATAAGCTCTGCTATTGCGAACCCTCGTAAAAAAAGAAGACAATAAGGGATTTCACCTTGGATATAACTAAGGTCACTTTTGAGGTACCAAGTATAATTTTTCTCCAAAAAAGGTAAAAATTTGAAACTAGACTAAAATATTAATTAAACACGTATTTTTTTTATAGCGTCATTCATTCAAGAGAAATTTGGCCATCTAAAAAGGACACCTTGTAGATGAATTAGGACTGTGGGGTTATAAGTCATCTTTAGAAAAGTTTGCAAGTTGTCGGCCGTGGAAATTTATTTTGTTTTCCCTTTAGAAAAAAAAAAAAAAACCAACCATAACGGGATCGATAAACCGTCCAGTTCCTTGGAATTTGAAGGAGGAAAAAAGGTCAATTAAGCATTTGATGCATGGTGACTTATCGGTTCGTTAATCGCCAGATATTGTTTGCCTTCGTCCAAACTGATGTTTACTGTTTAACGATGGCCAGTGAACCACAAACGCCCTTTCCCTTATCTCACCGTCGTTGCTCGATCCCTTTTTAATGTTTTCAATGAATTTTAACGAAAGGGACGGGAAGAAATCAATTAAACTAATTGGCATCTTAGTTGCGTAAGGGGTCGTAAATGATAAAATTCGATGAACGAGGCGACGTGGAATCGTTCAAACATCGCTGTAAGTTAGCCTTGAAAGACAATGTTTATCCTTCTTTTGGTACTGGACCATGACAGTAAAAATATATCGTTAAAATTTAAAATAAAAAAATTGACCTTTTTGAAAAAAATACAATTTTATCTATTCGTAATTTATTAAAAAAAAATTAGCTTGTGTTTAATTGCCCACCAACCTAATTAAATAGTGTGCCAGGCTAGCTGAACCTTTCGTCAGACTAATTATACAATTTGCCAAACCAATTAAACCTTTTATCAGAGACATTTTGAATTTTTTCAGCAGACTAATTTTTCAATATTTATACCTTTTTAAAAAGCTATTTCAAGAATTTTTCTCAAAACAATTACTGTAAGTGACTAAAAACAACAACTAAAATTAAGTAATTTTGAAACGTTAAAAAGTTCTAATTGGTAAAGTTTTAACTGACAAAAATGTTCCAAAACCAATTTCTTGATAGAAATGATAAATGATGGAGTGAGTGTGGTGTTCAATCCTTTTTAAAAAGATAGTTCCTACTCACAGTAAGTTGTTTTGCAACGACCGGATTTCGAGCCT